TAACTTCTTTATAAGGAAGGTCTCTTTTTTAGTAAGCTTTTCTTTCTTAATAAGCTTCTAAATACAGATAGTACTAAAGGTAGAAAAGTCTTTAGAAAATAAGCTAAGAGTCTTTATAAGTAAGTTAGTTAAGGCCTTAGACTTAATATACTTCTATAATTCTTTCTTTTTATAGTTATTAAGAGAGTTACTACTACTAAATAAGTACTTATTACACTACTACTTATAACTATTATACTCCTTTATAAAGATAAAAGTTAGGTCTGAAGTATTTATATTAGATCTTATAGTAATACTACTATAAAAAGGTATATTATTAAACTTTATAATAAAGTTATCTAGACTAAGAAAAGTGTAACTTATAGACTTCTAACTAGAATATATATAAAAATATAAGAGAAAATTAATCTTTTACTTATTAGATACTTCTATCTTAGTAAATACTTACTTATTAAAAGTAAGGACTAGGAGGCTAACTATATAATCTAATAAATATATAGTCTTATTAGCTTAGATAGCTACTATAACGTTTTAAATATAAACTATACTAGGGGTTAAGCTATATAAAGAACGCTCTAAGATATATTAAGCGGAGATAGTCTTTAAAAGTAATACTATAGTAATAGAAGTGATAGAGATATAGGTTAAGAGTATAGAAAGTATAAGAAAAGTAGTAAAGTATAAAGATAGTAATAATAATATAAAGAAAAGAGATAACTATAGAAAAATAGTTATTAAAAGAAAAAGGAAAATTCAAGAAAATAAAAGCGTAAAGAGGTTTTTATATTAAGTAAATAGTAGTAGTAAGGCTATAAAAAAGGTGAATTTAGTAGGAAGAAGCGTAGAATAGCGAATAAAAAGATAAATTTTAAAAGAGAAAAGTAAAAAAGATAGAGAAGTTATTAGTTATTTATTATATATTAGTTACTAGCGGGTAGCGCGATAATATAATTAGAGAAATAGTAGGCTATAAGCTACTAAGTAAGGTATAAGAGCCTTTAAGGGGGGATTTAAAGCACCGGGGATTTTCTTTAATTTAAAACTTTCAACTTTCTTTAAAAAATAATAACTTCCTTATATTTCGCGCTATAATAACTAAATTACTATATAGATATAATAGTTCACTATAAATAACAGGGGAGATATAAGTATAAGCCTAGTTAAAGTACCTATAGAAGATAGATTACTAGCTTTTACTAATTTTAATAAAGTAATTACATATTTAGATAAGATCCTGCTATAAGACTAATATAATACTTAGTTAAGGGTCTTAGAGATTATAATAGCGTACTATAACAAGGCTAAGGAACTTATAAAGCAAGTATATAAGTATATAAAAAAGTCTAAAGTATTCCGGATCTATATATCTGAAGATAAGTTTTATTAGTCCTAGATAGAAGTTCAAGTTATAATTATTAATAACACAAAGAAGAGAAATAAATAAGGTAAAGCTTATAAAAGTATAGTAAAGAACTAAATAGACTTAGAAGTACTAGCTTAGCTAGCGACTAAGTTAAGGGAATTCGTAAGTCACTACTAATAAGCTTCTATAAAGATATCTATTAAAGAAGCTAGATTATAAGTTAATTTAAAAGTCTAAAGATAAGTCTTAAGGCTACTTTATTAAGGGATATCTAAGGTAAAGGAAGTTACTATAATAAATATAACTTATATAATAAGTATAAAAGTAAGAGAAGAGAAGGCAAGGAAGTTATTAAAAGGAAAATAGAGAAGTATTAGAATATAAGTTAGTACAAGAGGCTTTATAGAAGAAGAGGTATTTATAAAGGAATTAGAAGATACGCCTATAGCTATAAGTAAGGAAGAAGGGAGCCTTAGTAATATTAATAATTTAGCTTACTTAGCAGGGGAAATTATTATAAATACTATAGTAACTTTAGCTCTCTAACCGTGTTAATCTTAGTACTAAGAGGAAATAAGCGAGGCTATAAAAGAGTTTAGGTTTATATATAAAGAAAGAGCCGAGATTAATAAAAAAGAGATTAACCTAGTTAAGAAGGAACTAAAGGAATAAGAAAAGTAAGAAGTTAATAAGAAAAGCGGAGATAAGCAGAAATATAGCTATAAGAAGGATATAACTATTAGCTAGAAAACTATAATAAGAGGAAAGAAAGTTCTACTAATTATAGTAATAATAAAGCTCTTAAGTAAGATACTAGGATTTCAGCGAATTTACTATAGTTACTTACGATTAATAGTAGAATATATAAGTCTCTATATAAAGTAGCTCTTAGAAGGTTTAACTATTAAGAGACTATATATTATATATAATAAGAGGTTAGAAATTAAAAAGCTAAAGATAGACCTAGAGACTTATATTTAGTTTTATATAGCTAATCGCCTTTCCTACTTATTAAATAAGCTTAGACCTTATAAATTTCATAAGAAAGAGAGACTTAAATTATTTAATTACGATTAGAAGCTAATTCTAGATAGCTAAGATCTAATAATCTTACTATAGTAAGAAGAGAACAGATAAGTTATTTACTCTCTCTTTAAATAATAGTTTAGTTCCTCTCTTAAAAAGTAAATCTATAACGAATTAGATATATATTAGCACTACTTATAAGAGATTAATAAGCGTAAGAATATCAGATAGCTATAGAATATATTTTTTTTAGTAACTTAATAGCTTATACGCTAAGACCTCGCCTACTATATATTATATACGACTCTTTATCCTAATAAGAAGTAGAGACTTATCAGTTACCTTTACTATGTTAAATACACTATACTAGGAGATAGAACCTTTTTTTATTATATCGATTTAAATATTAATAATACACTTACTACTAATTAAGGGGCTACTATAATTTAAGGTAGTATCTCGCTAGATTAGGAAGATAAGAACAATTATACTTTCTACTATCTAGGGATATAATATAAGCTAGGTAAGTAGTAGGCGTGTATTTATAAGTAAAGATAAGATACTAACTACTATATTCACTAAATTATAGACTAAACGTTTACTTAAGAGGATATAGAGGTCTTAAGAGTAGATTAGGTTAAGAGTCCTTATAGCCTTAGAGATATACGGATTATACTACTAAAGATCTTATATAAGTTAACTAGGCTTATAATAAAAGTTTATTAGACTATCTTATTATAATTTATTATAATTTAAGATAATAAAGAAACCTTAGAAGTTATAAAAGGGGGAACTTAGAGAGATCTAGCTGACTCTTATTAAGATTTTACTATACCCCTAGCTACCCTATTAAGCCTTACAAATTAGTATAGAGCTATTCCCTTTTAGTTCGCTACTATAGTTAAGCTTTCCGAGTTAAGTACTTTATCTAATACTTTAGTTACGTAATAACAATAGAGTTTACTAGTAGTAATAACTTAAAGAAACGTTTTATTAAGAAGGGATCGAGCGGCAGCTTATAGCTTTATTAATAAGTAGAGAGCTAAGGTATTAGTTATAACTATAGAGGCTTTTAAAATAGTAAGGAGAGTAAAGAAAGAGGCGTTTAAAGAGAAGTTCTTTTACTACCTAAAGGAGGTATTAAAAGCTATAGGTATTTTAATAAAAGAGGTAAAGGCTAATACTATTTAGCTAAGTAAGGAAGTAATAGAGATCGCGTTAAAAGAGAGCTTATTATTTATAAAGAAAGCTAAGGAGTACTTAGTAGTAAGTACAGGCAATATAATAAAAGTAGATAGTTAAGAGGAGTATCTATATATTTCTTTTATTTATACGATATATCAGGGGATATAATTAAGAGGTGACTACTTAATTAGGGGAGGATATATATAGTAAGGTAGTATAGTTTTAAGTCGGAAGATAGTTAGCTTATTCTATAAGGTTATATAAATAAGCGCGATAGCGCGTAATAAATATATTATCTTCTTTCTCCTACTCTTACTACCTATTTAGTTAGTAGTCCTCTATGTCCCTACTTACTATATACTTTAACGGCATTACCCCACTCCTTTATAATACCTTAATACTATAAAGTTACTAAACTCCTAGGAAAACAGGAGACGTAGGTACTATATATATACTAGTATATTACAAGAGTTAATAAAGTATAATTAAGGCTCCTTATATAATATAAGTTATTAGCGATACTTCGGCGATACTCTAGCGTCGCTTCGGGAATATTCAGCGCTATACTACTTTAGAAAGCTCTATTTACTACAGATATAGAGAATAGGGGGGGCTATTAGAAATATAGGGATTATAGGCGTAGACTCAGTACTATAGGCTATACTACTAAGTACGCTACCCCTTTATATAGGAGATTCTCTCTCTCTATAGTAGCTCCTTATGCAACTGCAATTCTGTCACCCCCATTCGGCATAGATCCCAAACTCAATTCCCACCTCTCGGACTTTGCCCTTCATTTCCCGATCAACCTCACCTCTCACAACATATCCAGGGAGCAATAGCTCGTGTAACAGACCATTGAGATTTCACGTCTGCTGTCCAGACTCAAAAGATCTAACTCAGTTTCAATCAGACACAAGGCAATAGCTGGACCTAGTGGAGCGGAAGCTAAGCCGGCTATTACTGAGCATCTCAAACCATTCGTTTCGGTTTCGCCGAGCTGTGGTACTTATCCTATCAACCCCAGCTCTCTCTTGGTCTGCGAATATTTCCTTATCGCGTATACTTGCTGGGTTGCTGATTCCTACTTGATCAGCTGTATCCTATTCATCTTCTCCTTAGCAGCAGGTCCACTTTTGTTGCAACCCTATCAAGTGTCAGGGGCTGCATTGCCTGTCACCTCTCAAGTTGAGGGAAACGATCTTCGTCCTACCAATTTTGGCGGTTTGTTCCTGTTCTGTACACATGGGGAATGCTCTGTGATCGGCAGTCCTAGAAACCCCTTAGTCTTAATTCTCTCTTGCAACGGGCGGGAATGTCACCACATTATCATCCATGTGGTGTTCTAGGGACAGGGTCTCATGCAGGGCATGTAACCCATATCAAAGCCGTCCCCAGCCAACTCTGGGATTGAATATTCACATGCCCTGCTTTCACCGCGGCTTGCTGTCTGGTTCTTGTATCTGATAACAGAGCTTCAAGTTGAGCTGTCCCCCACACGGCGCCACTCTTCTCGCCTTCTGTTACCTTGTGTACTTAAGTGCAGCTGATCCTTCGGCTGTGAGAGTAGAGTCAATTAGATATCCGTCCTGAAGCATTGTGTAAGTTGCTCGTCCATGCACCATTTTGGTCTTGTAAACTCTAATACTTGTACTGTTTGCAGGCAATAATCCCTCACCTACGGACCTTCTTAGCTTTTGAGCTGATATCTTTGTCGATCCTTGCAGTCAAGAGCAGATTTCAAGTAGGTGGCCAAACACCGGCAGCATTCTCATTTCTTTTAGTGCGGGTCTGGTTCTTGGTCGTAAATCTCAGGTCAGACAGGTGACAACCAGTTGTAACCCGAAGCCATGGCACCATCAGCAATTCCCGTAGATGGGGAACACACTACTCTTCCGTCCCCGGGATCCCAGAGCAATGGAAATGGATCATCATCCACAGCCGGCTTTCTGCAAGGCAATGCATCAATCTCTGAGGCGGACTCGATGCCCATAGCAATCGTAGGCATGGGCTGCCGCCTCCCAGGCGATGTTTCTACCCCCGATGAGTTCTGGGAACTCTGTTCCCGCGCTCGCAGTGGCTGGTCACCCATTCCCAAAGCTCGCTTCAACCATGAAGCTTTTCACCACCCAAACCCCGATAAATTGGGTTGCTACAACCCTGAAGGAGGTCACTTCCTCTCCGAAGATGTGGGCCTTTTCGACGCTCCTTTCTTCAACATTACGGAGAAAGAAGCAATTTCCATGGATCCTCAGCAGCGATTGCTGCTCGAATGTACATATGAAGCGCTAGAGAATGCCGGCATACCGAAGCGAGATCTCGTTAATGAGAATGTGGGGGTTTTTGTTGGAGGCTCCTTTGCAGACTACGAGCTCCGCAATTGCAGGGACTCGGATACCGCCCCTGTTTTCCAGGCGACCGGTTGTGCGCAGTCACTTTTGTCGAATAGAATTTCGTACTATTTCGATTTCACAGGACCCAGCTTTACAGTCGACACAGCCTGTTCGTCAAGCTTGGGAGCCATGCACCTGGCGTGCCAAAGTTTGCGAAATGGAGAGTCCAGTCAGGCGATTGTGGCATCATGCCATCTCAATCTTCTTCCAGATTATTTTGTTATTATGTCCATGTCGAGGTTAGTATCATGTTTGGTAGTTTTTGCTTAGCCTAGAGATATCTCATACTTACTCGTCTCACAACAGCCTCTTCTCTAAAGAAGGCAAATCTTTTGCCTTCGACTCCCGCGGCAATGGCTTCGGGCGTGGTGAAGGTGTGGGCTGCGTCATCCTCAAGCCTCTCGCTGAAGCCCTCCGCAACAATGATTCTATTCGAGCTGTCATATCTGGGACTGGCATGAATCAAGATGGACGTACCAAAGGCATCACCATGCCCAATGGTGACGCCCAAGTAGCCCTGATGAAATCGGTGTACAAGAAATACGGCCTTGATCCAAAAGACACCGGATACATCGAGGCCCACGGCACTGGTACAAAGGTCGGTGATCCAATTGAAGCGACTGCTTTGCATAAGGTATTTGGTGAAGGACGGACGGCGAAACAGCCACTATTGATCGGCTCAGTTAAATCGAATATTGGGCATCTTGAAGGTGCTAGTGGTGTTGTGTCGGTCATCAAGGCGGCGATGATGTTGGAGAAAGGTTTCGTTCTGCCGAACTGCAATTTCCAAGAGGGTAATCCCAAGATTCCTTTCGATGAGTGGCATTTGAAAGTCCCTACCTCGCAACGGCCATGGCCGAGAGGTAAAAAGTATGCGAGTATCAATAATTTCGGCTTCGGAGGCACGAATGCGCACACAGTACTCGAGAAAGCCCCTGCTGTTCAGAGAGTCATGCTCCCAGGCACAAATGACACACTTGCAACTGGGACGAAAGCTACGGCAAAGAGGCTTTATGTCCTTTCTGCGAACGACAAGCCGTCCCTTGAAGCTCGAATGCACGATCTGACAGTCTACCTTGAGCAAAGACCAGAAGTGTTCCAGAACTCACTTTTGCCAAACCTCGCTTACACTCTTGGTCAACGCAGGTCGCATCTTGCGTACAAAGTCGCGATTCCAGCTAGAAACTCAGCAGAACTTATTCCGGCACTTGCAGGTAACGATATCACTCCTTCGCGGTCGACCAAAGAGCCGAAAGTCGGATTCATCTTCACTGGACAGGGCGCTCAATGGTATGCGATGGGTCGCGAGCTCATTGATGCCTATCCCGTCTTCGCAGCTACGATGGAGAAAATTGACCGACATCTGCTTGATCTTGGCGCAGACTTCTCTCTGATTGATGAATTATCGCGAGACGCGGCATCATCGCGAGTATCGGAAGCGCATATCAGCCAACCTGCGTGTACCGCAATACAGCTGGCTTTGACAGATCTCCTGAGGTCTTGGGGTATCAAACCTTCTGCAGTAGCAGGCCATTCCAGCGGTGAGATAGGAGCAGCTTACGCAGCTGGTGCTCTTTCACTCGAATGCTGTGCCGCAATCGCATATTTCAGAGGGCAATCCATCGTGTTCTTGAAAGAGAAATTCCCCGAGCTGAAAGGTGCTATGATGGCAGTTGGGAGTAGCGCAGAAGACATGCGGCCCCTAATCAAGCTGTTGAAAGAGGGTCGGGCAACTGTTGCATGTATCAACAGTCCCTCGAGCATTACTGCGTCTGGAGATGAAGACGCGATCAATGAGCTGCAGGCAGCTGTTGAGGCTAAGCAAATGTTTAATCGCAAACTTCGTGTGGATACCGCGTATCACTCGCACCATATGAACTTGGTCGCTAACGAGTATCACGATACTATCAAGCATGTTTCGTCGCGCAAAAATACCTCGACATCCTTCCACTCCTCATTACACGGCCGCCTTATCGAGACCACCGAATTGGGGCCAATGTACTGGGTCGAGAATCTGACTTGCCCTGTCCGCTTTTCCGAGGCTGTCCAAAGCATGTGCAAAGCCACCGGGGACAGCAATGATCCAGGGGTCGATGTCTTGATCGAGATCGGGCCTCACGCTGGTCTCGAAGGGCCAGTCAAGCAGATCTTGAAATCCATGGGCGGAAGTGCCATCAAAATTCCTTACTCATCCACACTCCTTCGAAACAAAGATGCAGTGGACACAGCTATCCAACTCGCAGCTACCATGTTCATGAAAGGTGTTGACATCAATTTCGGCGCCATCAACTTCCCATTTCCAGGTGTCAAAGCTCCAGTCCTTCTCACCAACCTGCCGAAATACTCGTGGAATCATGCAACCAAGTATTGGCACGACTCCCGTATTGCCGAGAAGCATACCAACAGACCGTTCGGAAGAAATGATCTGGTCGGCACATTGGCGAATTACTCCAATGAACTAGAGCCAACCTGGCGGAACATCATCCGTGCTGATGACATGCCCTGGGTGCGCCATCACCAAATGCAGCACATGAATGTTTATCCTATGGCAGGCTACATTGCAATGGCAATTGAAGCTTCAGCTCAACGAGCTGCGATGCGAAACGTAGCATTCGACAAATTTGAGCTTCGAGAAGTGACCGTGAGCAGACCGCTAGTCATCCACGAAGGCTCAGATGTCGAAGCCAACATCACTCTTCGAGCATTCACTGAAGGTACAAGGTCTTCGTCTGATTCCTGGGATGAGTTCAGAATCTTTTCGTGGGCGAAAGACAGAAATTGGATTGAGCATTGCCGTGGTCTCGTCTCGGTCACCAAGTCAGCTGACGGTAATGTTGTTGATGGCGCTCAGCAAAAGTTGAATGCGAAGACTGCTTTAGTGTACAAGATGGCTGCTTTCACAGAAGCATGTACTTCAGATGTTGACACGCCTCAAATGTATGAGACGCTCGCTCAGGCAGGTGCTGGGTATGGACCGACTTTCCAAGGGCTGGAGAATTGCCGTGCGAGTGACAACTACGCGGTCGCAGATCTGATCGTTCCAGATACAGCCGCAGTGATGCCAATGGGTCATGAGCCAGACTTCTTTATCCATCCAGCATTCCTGGATCAATTTATCCAGATTGTATGGCCGATCTTTGGTGCTGGTTGGAAAGGACTGGACTTGTTGTATATGCCGTCCTTTATTCAGAGTATGTCTCTATCCAAGGACATTACTCGCAAGAGTGGTGATCGATTGAAAGTATTCGGCACTGGAAATCCCACGCCAGCAAACCCCACTGCCACGAAACTATCACTATTTGCAACTACGGAAAGTGCAGATGAGGCATTGATTAGCATGGAATCTTTGGTCATGACTCCGGTCTTCGATGGCTCCAACGCATCTAACTCGACTGCCACCCGTGAACTGTGTTACAAGCTGCAGTGGGAACCGCTTCATGCCAAACACGAGCGTTCTGGTATCGACAGCCCAGTCTCAGAAACAAATGAGCATAGCAATGGTGATGGCATCAATAGTGTGCACATCAGTAGTATGAACGGAACGAATGGGCTCATGACCCCGCCAACGTTGGAATGTGACATTGCAATTATTTGCAATGAAGATACTCAAGAAGCTCTCACATCCAGTGTGAAAGATCTAATCATCGATCTCACACAGAAGACTCCCATTGTAGGCTCACTAGGAAGCGTCGAGACCGAAGGCAAAGTCTGCATCGTTCTCTCCGAGCTCGATCGGCCCATTCTTTCATCGCTCAACGAATCGGGCTTCCAAGCAGTCCAGAAGATGGTCACTGGAACAGCTGGCGTTCTCTGGGCCATTCGAGGCGCATACACTGACTCCACGAACCCAGATGCACAAATGGTAATCGGAATGGCTCGCAGTATCCGGTCAGAAACACTCCTCAAATTCGCTACTCTTGATCTGGGGACGTCACCTGATCTGTCAAGTACCGGGACAGCTGAAAAGATCATTGAAGTCTTGAAGGTCACCTTCTCATCTGAATCCCCATCAGTGGGAGCGAATATGGAGTTCCAAGAACGCAACGGCGATTTGCTCGTTCCGCGTGTCGTCGAGGACGCCGACATGAACAAACTCGTGCACCAAGAGACTCAGCCTGTATCAACACCTGATCTTCAACCATTTGTACAAAAGAATCGGCCGCTCAAGATTGCAATCGAGACAGCTGGAGCACTGGACACTCTATTCTTCACTGATGATCTTGCCGTTGGAACACCACTTCCAGACTACGAAGTTGAGATCGAGGTCAAGGCCACCAGCATGAACTTCAAGGACATCATGATCTCGATGGGTCAACTGTCAAGCAAATACATTGGTGTAGAATGTGCCGGTATCATTAGTGCAGTCGGCAGCAAAGTTACGGATCTCCAGGTCGGTGATCGTGTCTGTGCAATGTCGGAGGGGGCATATGCGACATATACTCGCTGCCTCGGGACCAGTGCCCAGAAGATCTCTGACTCAATGTCATTCGAAGATGCTTCCACGATTCCGGTTATTTTTTGCACTGCTTACTACTCGCTCTTCGACCTCGGTCGACTGACAAAGGGTGAGAGCGTGCTCATCCATGCAGCAGCTGGTGGTGTCGGCCAAGCAGCTATCATTTTATGCCAGATGATTGGAGCAGAAATCTTTGCTACAGTTGGAAGTGTCGCGAAGAAGGAGTTCCTCATGAGTGAATACCACATTCCTGAAGATCACATCTTCTACAGTCGAAACACCTCGTTCGCAAAAGGGGTTCGCCGTGCTACCAATGGTCAGGGTGTAGACGTCGTTCTCAATTCTCTTGCTGGTGATGCTCTGCGCGAAACATGGGACAGTCTTGCGCATTTTGGCCGCTTCATCGAGATCGGCAAAAAGGACATCGTGAGCAATTCTCGCCTCGAGATGAGTAGATTCGAACACAACGCCACGTTTGCTTCGGTGGATTTGACAGTGGTTGCAGCTGAGCGGCCAAAGATCATGAAGAGACTTCTCTCAGATGTGTTTGACTTGATAGGCAAAGGACTTGTCAAGCCAATCTCACCCATCACCATCTTCCCGATTGCCAATGTCGAATCTGCTTTCCGTACTCTTCAGGGAGGTAAGATCATGGGCAAGATCGTCATCGTTCCCCGAGCGGACGATCAAGTCAGAGCTATCCCTTCCAAGACACCGAATGACCTCCTGCTCGCTGACGCCACATATTTGATTATTGGTGGTACTGGTGGTCTTGGTCGTAGCATGAGCAGATGGATGATTCAGAAGGGTGCCAGGAGTATCGTCCTTCTTTCTCGAAGCGGAAAGTCGGATGGGAAGGTTGGCGAGCTGATTGAAGAGGCTTCAGCAGTTGGAGCAGATATTGTCGTAAAATCATGCGACGTCTCCAGTAAGGAAGCTGTTGAGAGGCTCGTATCGGAAGAGCTCTCCACTCTGCCGCCAATCAAAGGTCTTGTACATGCCGCTATGGTCCTCGATGTAAGCTTCCCCTTTCGTAACTTTATGCACCCGAACTGACATTGCGACCAGGACGTTCTATTCGAGAAAATGCAATTCAAGCAGTGGCAGACAGTTGTTCAGGCAAAGGTATCCGGCGCTTGGAACTTCCACCAAGCACTCTCCAGTTATCCCCTCGACTTCTTTATCATGATCTCTTCTGCCGCCGGTGCGGTTGGAAACAGAGGCCAAGCTGCCTACTCGGCGGCAAACTGTTTTCTCAACGCTTTTGCGCAATACCGAATCGCCTGTGGTCTCCCTGCCTCTTCCATCGACCTCACGGCCGTCTCAGACGCGGGGTATCTGGCCGAGGGATCTGCGGAGCGCGCTGCACAAGTAGCGGAAAATCTGGGTTCGGAGACAATCTCGGAGAAAGAGGTTCTGGCATTGATCGCTGCTGCTATCACAGGGAAGATGGCGAAGGAGTGCAACTCGCATTGTATTACTGGACTGAAAATCTCGCCGGAGAGTAAGGATACATTGTTCTGGGTTGATGATGCGAAGTTCAAGCATTTGAAGGAGGCTGCTGAGGCGGAAGCTGCTGCTTCTTCGACGAGCTCTCCAAGTGCTTCGATCTCACTCAGTGCAGCGCTGAAACTTGCAAGTTCGAAACAGCAGGCTGAGGAACTTATTTGTGAGGGTCTGATGACAAAAGTGTCTGCCGTTCTGATGGTCCCGAGGGAGGAGATGGACCCAAGCAAGGCAATCGTGGTGTATGGTCTTGACTCTCTTGTTGCAATTGAGATCAGGAATTGGATCACAAGAGAATTGGAGGCGAGTCTGCAGGTATTGGAGTTGCTGACGAGTGGGAGCTTCTGGGCACTATCAGAGGCTGTGTTGGTCAAGAGTAAGCTTGGGGTGAAGTTTCTCGCAGAGAAGGAGACTAGTTGATTGACAAAAGGTGGTTGTTTTGCTCCACAGCTGGCTTGGAGTGGAACATCTGTACCTTTTTCGTCGTTTAGGTCTGTTCTAACTGTTTCTGTTTTGATGTATCACGATGCTTCGTGTTCTTCGGTTTTGCTGCACAATAGTCAGTACAGTAGATGCAAAATTCTTCAAATACCTTGATTTTCCATCTTCTACTCCACCACTTTGTCGGTGATCTCTCGTGAGAACTGCACACCGCATAGAGGTATTGCGGCCGTGCTTTCTGTTATCACTGACTTTGTCCTGCAGACTCACTTGTCGGCTCCAATTCGATCTGACTCTGCCAATCTATCAGCTTCTAACATTCGCGTCTCTCAAGCCGTTGTGGGTATGATGCAACTTTTAGGTCACCATTTTTCGGAAAAGGATTGTATGGACCGGTCACCGAACACAGAATTAGTTCTCGTAGTGTACCAATTTATTTGCAGCTTCGTGAAGCTCCCATAAATAACTCCGCAAATCTACCTGTCCGCCAATATGCCTATGTCTTATGCACCGTCACCTAGTTCTGTGCTAAAGCTGGTATATGATTTGAAGCCTAATAAAACCACCTTAATGCTCTTCATCAGCTTCGAGTCGACTTGGTAGAAAGATTCAGTACCGCACTTCCAAGCAGCTCTCTACTGGGATATCGCTGGAATGTTGCTGAGTAGCCGTGATACCAAGTCCATTTATGGAGACCTTCCATGTTCTTAGTGGTCATTCGCATCATCAAGGGTGAGCGGAGGAGGTAGTGAGTGGGTAGGACGGAACAGCGAGTCATAGAATACTGTATCTTAGGGTTAGTAAGGCTATGAGCGACTCCATCTATATCTGGTCATCCTTCTTACCAAGGGGAACTGTAGAAAACCAGACGGAATCAGTCTAGAGGTAACAATACTGAAACAAAAATAGGAAGAGCGGGTATGCGTTTTTGCGTAACTGGCCACCATGTCTACTGTACGCCACCTTCCAACCTTCCATATTGTATCCGATCAGGTTATTGTACGCTTTGTATAGTGTGCCTGATCTGCTGTCCTCGTATATGCTGTCTTCGTAGATTCGTCTTGGGATTCTTCGACGAGCTGGTCGGAGGGATTCTGCTGTTTGGGCCAGGGAGAGCCACCTTCAATTGCAGGACATAGATCTTCCGCCGTTCTCAAAACTATATTCGCAGATTGGCGGGAGAAAGTAGAGCAGCATAGGCCGTGTCGAGCTTTGGTGGTCAGCAGAGAAGGAAGAAGACTGGGAGATCTTGGCTGTCATGTCAGCTAGGGAGCTTCTAGTTGTCAAAAGTGGTTCTGGACGAAGCTGGTCCCGTGGTGAGATTGCACGAAACTTTCACCCACTCCGTATATCTGGCGGAGTGACTGGAATGAGGTGGAGAAGTTGTTCTAGAGTAAAAGGTGACGGGAACTTGATGTAAGGGGGCTCGAGGCCCGTCCCTTCCGTTTTTGGTATATTGTGAAGCTGGAATCAACTCTTAACGCGAACCAAGAGGCAAATATCGATCTTTGCTGAGCTTGATTGACTAAGCCTTCAGTATCTGCGAGGCCCTGGAATTGGGGATCTGCGGGCAGCATGGAAAACCCACAGGGCGACAACTGCGTAGAAATATGGGGGAGGCGGGATGGCGAAGACAGTGGTGATGATGACGCGACAACACCTTGCAGAACGTAACGATTAGGAAGGAGATCATGGGCAGCGTCTATCAGAGAAGAGTCGGTATTCAGAACAGAGAGGAGGTGAAGACTTTGGGGGGGGAGCCGACTTGGAGAGATCTTGGCAGTAACCCTTCACGAGTGATACGAGGCCATGTCAAGGGTAACAATCACATCACAGCAAGATAGTATCATAGCGAGAGGGATAATGCTTCATACAATGGGCTGATACTATCTACAGGAAAACAGGCCAACATCATCCAACCCCAAGCCGAACCCATCCACACCACACCTACAACGCGACGATAACGTCGAGAGGATGGGTGTCAGCAGTCAAGAGATCAATCAGGAGGAGACTCATACCATCAATGGAGAATACTAGAAGGTGTTGGCCCTTGGTTTCCCCTTTCGGGTACTCACACTCATCACCGACGTGAAGGTTAGGCCATGATGAGCGCCGCAGCGGAGGAAGGGACACCCGATGCTGCTACGAAATGCAACCAAAGATGCCCCCTCCCCAAAAGAAGGGAGCCTACGTGGTATATAAACGAATTCACGTCAGCATACTGAACTTTCTCGCATAAATGAGAGTCTGTTTGCAGAGACCTGGGTAGCTTGACAGTGCTCCTTCGCCGAAGCTTGGAGTTGTCGCGCTCTACTACAGTGAACCCAGAGATGGGCAGGCCATTACCACACGCGCTGAAGAGGCATGTCTCAGTTCCCACTGCCGTAGCCATGGTCACACCGGATCTCTACCCGGTAGGTTGAGCCGTCGGATGTAGCGTTCAGCACGATGCCATCCATCTGTAAGCAACTTTGCTTCTTCCTTTCTCTGAGGCGAGGCTACGCGCTGCGCGCTGCAAAGAAGGGAAATGACTGAATGAAAAGGGGATACTTACTTGTGTCAGAGATGAGTGAACGCGATACGACCGTTTCGCGATGTTGGGTGGAAGTAAGGATGGAAGGAGGTGCATAGTGTAATGAATGGAAGAAGGAAGGTGAAAGACGAGTCGTGAATTGGGGTACAAATCAATGCTTGGGTGGAAGAAAAGATGAATAGGTGGGAAGGAGGAAAGGAAAGATTGGGGGCCAAAAGCCTCTTCTTATAAGAATTCAGGAGGCGCGATCAACTCCTAGCTTGGCAGGCTAAACCCGTTGAGAAGTCTGGCAGACAATGACCAAAGCCGCTTCACGATGCTTCCATCAACTCGCTCGCTAGCTGCACTTCCATTGGTCAACGGAGGTTTCCAGACAGCTGTTTGCGACTCCATTGGTCCCAGGAGATCAAATAGTCTGGTTCACGGCTCCTAGCATTTTGTCCTCGCACTGGACCACTCTTTCATGCTCCAGATACGTGCGGATCAGCATTTCTATTATCAAATGCTAATTGTACCAGGGCAAGACAGGACACTCTTTCGTTGAGGCGCCAGTCTATGCCAGGAGAGTGTCGCGCACAGGACAAGCCGGGCCAACATCTCAACACATATTACATAACCAGCATCTCACGACCTCCAAAACAGCCCATGACTGCTCCAAACCACTATTTTATTGCCACTGCACGAATAGGCATCCTTTCTATCGTGATTTTCCACAATATCAACAGTTCCACGAAAGTAAACAAACATCCAACCACGCCAAGATCTAAGCGACGTCGCAGAAACATATCCTTCTCATGGTGACAATTCTGCATCGATTCCCATGAGACGTTCTGGTTACTCAATGGGAGAGAAATCTCGCGTTCTGGCAGTAGTCCAGGGTCTGTCGATCCCCGTTGCTAGGAGGTTGATGAAGTGACGTTGGGGGATATACTTTTTTGTGGGTCAGAATGCGGGACGGACCTAGACCAGGGTCCACGCTAAGCCTTATGTCAGCCCTACGTTCAGCCTCATTGACTATCTACTGTATGTAGCATGAACATGGAAATGGATTGAAGCTCTTGTAGTGTTATTGGATTTGGACTATTGTTGTTAATGCCGTTGAGTTGCCACGGGCCTCAAAACTGAGAAAGGTGACTGACGGTGGACAGTTTCGATCATGGTCGGTCACGAGCCGACTGGACGCGATGGAAGGCGCCTTCTGCTTTCCCCAGGTATCTTTTATACAGCATCTACTCTTCCATGTCGGTACATAGTCGTATCTCTTCTTCTACACACATCTGCTCTGGTGCAGCAGGGTCTGCTAACAAAGCAACTTGTCGTGCTCGAGTCCTCAACCTTCCAAATCCGCTACGTCCTAATCTAACATTCATTCAAGCCATGTCATGGAATCCTTTTTTCTTTCTAATCATCTATCCCACACGATATAAGATCAAGATCCATGCTACTCGAATCTGCATAGTCTACACAATCACGTCGAGACGCCCAAGGAGAGGAGTCAGAGGACTGCATAACGGATGGCATGCTAAAGGGAGCAAATCTCTCGGATGCAGGGATAGATACATGACTGAGATCAGTCTGGTGGAGTGTCAATTATAGAATTAAAGACTACTAGTATCAATTATCAGGGACTGGGAATGGTTACGTGCCTCCAGCCTATCCTCGGATATCTGACGAAAGAAGTAAAGCTGCTGGGTACTCTCAACGATCCAACAGTACAGTTTCGATAAACCGTATCACTCTTCTAAGATCTATCAGAATATTCAGCTCGCTCTACCATACCCAGTCGCAGGCGTCTCTTGTATCGCTCCTCCATAACCACCACCAGATCCAGACGGCACACCCGTCTCACCTCCTCCAGCTCCTCCATAACCACCTCCGCCTCCACCACCAGAACCCCCTTCCCCAGGCGCCTCGCCTTCCGTTCCTCCTCCTCCACCACCACTATACTCTCCTCCACCCTCCACAGGCGGCGCCGCACCACCAAGAGTCGGTCCTCCAGGACACGCACACTCATACGCCATCATCCCACAACTCAGACATCTACACCTCTTCCTCAACCTCCAATACCACAAACAAGCGGCAATAAACAAGATCAAGAATATTACGAAGAGAATCAGGAATATGATAAAGAGGATTAGGTAATCTCGCTCGCGGTCGCATTCCAATGGTGGGAGAGGACTGCAGGATGTGGAGACTGTTTCGCGGGGTGGGATGGTGCAGGAGGAGAGGGAGGTGAGGGTTTGTGTCAGGGTAATGTATTGCGGTAAGGTAGTTGGGCAGGATGTACAGCTGGCGATCTGGCTGTTGTTAGTGCTGGTGCTTGAGGACGTGTCTGATATTGAGTTGGAAGTTGAGCGTGATGTTGGGAAGCAGGATGAGGGGTAGACTGTTGATGCTGTGCAGCTTGTTTGAGATGTTGTGGATGAGCATGACTGGTTGTAGACCGTTCTTGTGGGCGAACATGTTGACACCGATGAGGTCGACGTGGACTCCGTGATACTTGCAGATGATGAGATCAAGCAGCTCCCTGTTACAGACACAGTGATTGTCTGACGAGTTGGACAAGTAGTAGGGAAGACTGAGCTGGTGCTTATAAACGATGTTGAAATCAGAGTTGGACAGTCAGTCTGAGATGAGATGTACGATGCTGTAACAAGAGTTGGACACGTCAGGGACGTGCACTCTTTTGTGACGGTACTGATCCCGGAAGAGCATGTTGTTGGAAGTAGCGAAGTCGTAGCGGTACATGAAGTTACGGTCGGATAAGCGCTGGTTGTGCTTTGAGTGCTTGGAGGACAATTGCTTGGGAATACTGATGTCGTGCTGATAAAAGATGTGGATGTTACGCTCGGACAAGTAAAAGCCGTACACTGGGCATTAGACTGGCAAGTCGTCGGAAACACAGAAGTCGTTGTGATATATGAAGTAAATATCACTGGTGGGCAGTTTGATGCCGTGCATTCCTGACTCGCCGTACTCACCACTGTCTGGGTGGTTGTCATAAGTGGGAAAAAGACAGGAAGTGTCGTCGTTGCTGTCGTCGTAGACTGCGCACAAGATGTCGATGAGGAGTACGGACAGAAACTGGGACAAATCCGAGACCGAGACCGAGATGCGGTTGCTGTTTTGTTGCAACACCCGACTGTAGTTGTGAAGTTCCCATAGTTGAAGTTCGTTACATGGGTTGTTCCTGCCTGGCAAACGAATGAGGGAGGCAAAGTTGTTGTGACGGTTCTGGTTGAACCAGGGAGGCTGGCTGTTGAGAGGAAAGTATGGGTTATTGAGGTTGTTACGGTTCGAAGAGTAGTTGTTGCGGTCACGGTGAGTGTCGTTGGAGTTCTATGGATAATGGATTGAGTCGAGGTTACTTCTGTTGTGATGTACACTGTTTGATGGACAGTGACTGATATCATTGGGCATACTGGTGACGAAGTGGATGCGCCCACTGACACTGAGGAACTTCTAAGTGTAGGTGTGGCTGAGCTTGTTGAGCTGCCAGAAGTTGGAACCGAAGAGCATGTAATCGCCGAAGGAGTTGGTGTAAGAGACGAGGAAGTCAAATGTGAAGAATGACTAGAAGAATGGGGTGGCTTGACTCCGGAGCCTGATTCGCGAGGGACCGATGTGCTTGGAGTATGGCTAGCGACTGTCAAGCTCCTGGTAACCGGCGCTGAGGGATGGTATACGTATTTCGAGGGACTACTGGTCGATGACAAGATGTACTCGGAAGGCTCGTATGTATCGCAGGGAGTGCTGATAGGTGGATGAGGCCCATAGCTTATTTTTCTGGTCGGTGGAGTCTCGCTTGAGGGAGGGTCATGATGCTGGTGTTCTTCCCATTGAAGGGAAGTGTGGACCCAAAAGGTCAAAGTTAGGAAAATAATGAGTAACATCACGATCTTGTCTTTGATCGCTTAGAGTCCAAGTGGATCAGATATAGAGATATGAAGAGCCATGTGGGACAGCTGCGATTTTGAAGGTACCTTACCGGTCGCCTTGAACCACTTGGCTGACTACCTCATCGCTCACCAACGCTTCACCAGAAACCTTCATGATCAAAGGATTAGTGAAGCTTCTGCCGTATGCGTATGGAGACGCACTGGTGACATAGCTCAGCTGAAGCCACAATATGCAGGCTTCGGTCAAGTCACGACATGGTTGCTAGCAGAAGATGACCTTTGAGAACACGATGTGACCGAACAAAACAAGCGGCTCCGAAAATATGCATTTACTTATGCAGAGATGCTGAAGTTAATCGCCTGATTAGGAAATGTGGCTGGCTTGAATGCTGAAGGTATGCAAGCGATTGGTGTGTGCACGAGATACCACTGGGTGATTCGAGAGCGTTTGAAGCTTGTGGGACAGCGTGTATGAAACCTCTGCAATCACGATCGCTCCGAAGCTGACCGACACTTCGCAATGGAGAATCTTGCTATCGTGTACCTGGATGGGGGATTTCCCAGCTTGACGACAATATTCATTGGCATCGTGTGTTTCAAAGATATTCTTTGCGCTCCTAATGCTAGCTGTTCGAATGAAAAGGCGGGTTTGAGATTGAATGAACTGTTCAGTTCTGAATGTCAAGTAACTGGCACGAAGAATCATTAAGTAAGCCGTGACGTCTATCTGCTGGGTATATGGGGTGGCTGGCGTCCAGTTGTGAAGTTTTAATTGTGGCGTTCTTGAAATGTCTAGTTGGCTGTGCTGGCAGATCTTGGAAGAGCTGAGCTTTGAATCAAAGTCACGTTTTGGTCAGCTCTTCGCCGTAAGGCACGGACCTTGATCGCGTCGCGCCGCGCTATTGTAGGTAGGTGACCTTGAACCTTCAGGTCGACCCGACGTAGCTCACGAGAACGCTTCTGTAGCACCTGTACAGAGGCAAACATATCGGCAAAAAGACGACATCCCAATCGCTGTTCGCTCGAGCACGAGCATAAAGAGAAAAGGAGCCATTCGAGCTGCTGAACGCGTCTTGGAGGCTCTTGGGAGGGATAGCAAGGGCAAAGGTATATCGAGGAGCCAGAATAGTGTGCTGGAGCCCTGCATCCGGGCACAGTGGTCAAGGAAGGCTATTCTCAATGACGGGATAACGGATCCCAATTTCTGGAAAGGCCAGGGACATGGACAAGGATGGCTGCAGCGACAAGGTGAATCGACGTGTGAATGGATGTCAAGCAAAAGCGCGATGATTGAATCCCGACGCCGGAGACTCCGTCGATGAGCATGAATTGAAGGATCGCTAGGATTATGACTGAAATCCCGAATCCCGCTTGCTGTTTGGCTGGAAATATATCAATATTCGATTCACGACTTGCGATTTTTCGGGCACGAGCTTTGCATACAGAGAAACCCTAAGCCTCGACGTGCGTCATGGGATACGGAGTCTACAACGTCAAAACTCAGAGTATGGTGTCCCAAACGCCATGCGTTTCAAGAACGCTGAAATCGTCCTCATCTCATGTTGTAACTAGTGATCAGTGGAAGTTAAAGTCAGCTGAAATAAGGGCGGAAGGAAATGCTTAGGAATTCTTCAAGCATATCGATGAAGTTCGCCAGCACAGCAACAAGCCGGTACAGGAGACTCCCACGCTAGGAAAAACATTCTAGGGCTCATTTTTGCAACGACCGCGGGCTTTGGTGCTAACGAGATGCTTCCTCTTGTCGATGACCAAAGCAGCGCTGAGATCCACTCTCAGGATATACCGGATGCTGCATGTGTAGTGGAGAAACTAGATGAAAATGCAGGAATCAATGAACTCCCACAAGTACCAGTGAGTCTTCGCGATTACCGTGGGCGTTTCCATTTGGTAAAGCGTGAAGTGACGAGCGTGACAGAGGAAAGCGGAGAGACCAAAACCGAAACAAATGACAGGAAACTGCTGGGAAATAATCACGGGCGTGACTCAAAGAGAAGCCCGCGAGCCCCCATTGGACAGGTTATGGTGCCGGTATTGTAGGCTGCGGTCTCATACTGTCGCCTGTCGCTTGAGCGTCTGCGACTTTTTTGCTTCCGTTCGACTTCGTTCTGCTTTGCTCTTTTGCTCCCTTTTCCTTCCCTTTTACTTCCATCCTCTTTCTAAAACACGACCTTTTCTGGTTCTCTTGTCGTTCACATTTGTGGCCAACCTCAAAATAGGGCTCTCATAACGGTTGCTTGCACGACGCCTGTTCCTGCTGGCTAAAGTATCTTTCACTGCTTCTTCTGTTTTGAGCTCATCCCACGACGAGAATTACCGGCCAACCTCGAATTTTGTGGACATCTCTTCGTCCAACCTTACTGTTGGATCGTGTGTTTTTCATATCTCATCATCAACAACAGCAGCCGGCATAAGCCTTTCGTGTCTCTTCCCGACAGCCAGCTTAGATTGCCAAAATACTGACTTAACCGAGATTCAACACCAAGTCACAATTGTAAGTCTCTGAACATGTCTGTTCTACTCAGACATTTCCGCCACACCGCTACACCAGTGAGAAGGTTCCAAATTCCACCCTGCGTCTACAACCGATCCTCATGGACGAGAATCAGACATCTTGCTATTCTTCAGGCTCGTGAGTTACGATCCATTCATCAGCTGTCCTTATCTTATACTGATCCAAGTAGGCAATGTGCATCAAAATCACACAATTCGAACGATATATTCATTCTCTTTCAAGGACAGCCTCCAAGTTCTTCCGGCTGGCGAGCCAGCAACCGAGTTTCCTCTCAGTCCTCGATACTGTATTCCAAACAAAACAGCCCTCCTCAATATCCTTATTAATCTCAATTTACACAAAGTATCCACGTATCAACTCGGAATTTGCGAGCAATATTTGTACTGCTACTCTTTTCCAACGCGCTCGTCGAGCCACATCAACATTGGGAACAGTCTCACAATTGCTATTGACGACATAAACGATGGCTCACTACACCTGGTCGACGGCCCAGTAAACCCTTTCCACCGCGGCATTATGAATCGACGCTTGTACTGCTTCGATGTGGTTTCAAAAATTGGCCACTGCGAACTTGCTCATGGGAGAATCTTGGCATTAGTTGTTGGCCTCATGGTATTCATAGAGGGAGATAAACATGTCTTCACACATTGGGTAGTTGCTCTGGATAGCAATGGCATTCTCTGGGCATTCCACTCCGACGGAGTCGATGAGAGGGAGTGTGATCGATGGGTCATTGATGAATGGGATCGGGACGACGATGTGCCGCCGGAATATCCAGAATTACCAGTGACAGATTACAGAAAGGTTCTGGACTTGTTTGGTCCATACGACTCCCCATTGGTCAGACTTGGTCCGTTAAGAACTGTTGTTGGTAAAAAGGGTGGCTTACAACCTGAAATTGCATCCGGCGTTACGAGCTGGACATGCTTTTGGGTACCTTCTGAACCAGAGCCGGAGGAGAAAGCGGGCAAAAAGTCCTACGACATGAGTCCCGCGGAGTTAGGTGCTGAGGATCTAGTCGAGTTAGATGGCTTATCCGTTGACCCATCACGAGAATGAGTCTTGTTGACACTGCTTGGGGGCGAAAGGATATTATTAGGAAAACAAATTCATCAATTTCAACGCTCAAAGATACACCTATACTGTAGCCATGTGATTGAATCGTCGAAATATCGTCTTAAATCAACGATCCTCATTAACTTCAAAGTCTCAAAGTATCGAGCAGATTATTTCGAGGTTGAACGAGTAAAGTGACGTCTGCAAGATGAGACGTTGGACGCTTCTTTTATCCCCTCAACTGGCGTACTTCTACAGGGAGTACTTGGCCTGTAGCAAGGCCCTGTAATTAAGCGAGGACCGCTGAAATCAGAATACTGCGTTGTCGTCCAGGCAGCCTTAGCCTCGCTTCAGCGCTGTATCCTGCAAAAGTGTGTTTTCGGCAGTTGAGTGGATATTTGAAATTACCCTGATCAAACCCCTGTATTTCTCTCTGAAGATCAATTACTTCCATACAAAATATGAATGTGCGAGGTACTTTATGGTCGTTGTTGCGGCAGAACTGAGATGCTGATTTGGTCACGGGGATGTTGTGGAATCACTCAGAACTATGCACACAGTTTGGTGGCCGATCAATAAAGACTCTAGTTTTCCGCAGTCACCCTAATAGATTATCTGGAACTCGTCGGCACACATCAAGTGCATCATGTCAGTCATTGCTTAGCCAGGTGGAGGTGCTCAGATATTCCAAATCAAATCCAGTCAGTTGTCGTGGCGTTCTTGTTCACACTGCACCCGTGGAAATGCAGAACTTTGTATCACTTCTTCCAACCGACTTTCCTTCAAACGACATTATCTGGTGCGAATACGTCAAAGGAAATCTCATTGCTCAACCTTGACTGGCTGTCGGCGCGATGGTGAACGGCTCAGTAAGCCAACCGTCCACGGGTAGCACAGCCTCAGCTGAAGTGGCCTTTAAGCAGCCAATCACATATCGGTGTTGGAATCTCTCGTCGCTGGATTCTCAACCTTCTTTCCCATTGACCCTTGGATATCGTCCCTCGACCCAAAATCATAAAAGTCGTCAACTGCCTTCCGACAAGCTGACTCCTCATACCTTGACCGCAGACAATCCTCGACATCCTCCATCCCATTCAAAGCTACACGTTGCAAAAGATACCAGCTCCCCGCATGATTTACCACCAAACAACAATGACATCTCCACTTAAAGGAACTGTCCTGGTTACTGGTGCCAACGGAGGATTAGGGAGTGCATTTGCGGCCAATTTCCTAACGTCTCCTCAAGCCAAAGAATATCGCGCTCTCTTCACTGTTCGCAATCCGGCCACCGCTCGTGACCTACAAGCAGTCATCGAAAAAGGCCCGAAGGACTCCAATTCCGAAGTTCTTCCCCTCGATCTAGGAAGCCTTGAGAATGTACGATCCCTAGCAGCAGATATCAACGAGCGGGTTGGGAACGGCATTCTTGAGCCTATCAGAGCTCTAGTCCTGATTGCAGCATTCCAAGATGCAAGTTCTGAATCTTTGAAACCCCAGGCTTTCACGCAAGAGGGATATGAGATGGCGTTTGGAGCGAACTATCTCGCCAATTTCGTGTTCGTTCTTGATCTCTTGCAGTCGATGGATAAGGAGCATGGAAGAATTGTTTTTGTGTCAAGCTGGACTCATGACTCCTTCGATCCACAGAACAACATACCACCTATTTATAAAGGCGAAGAATTCAAAACAATGTTCACCAGTGCGGAGGCTCTGTCTAAGGGTATCGAGTATATGGACGATGCATGGGCAGCTGGTATGCGGAGATATGGTGCGAGTAAATTGCTGGTAGTCATGTTCATGTAAGATCTCGACCCCCCGCTGCAATGCATTCTCAAGACTCACAACTCGAAGGTATGAGCTCCAACGCCGCCTGGACTCCGATCCAGCTCTTTCCAATATCTCGGTCCTATCTATGGACCCCGGAGCAATGGGAGGGACTGGCATCGCAAAAAGAGCCCCTCTACTGATTCGCTTCATCACCCAAGTCATGATACCTCTCTTGCAGCGAATCTCGGTCTATTTCTCGCCCAATGGCTCCATTCGACCAACATGGAAGTCTGCCCAAGATCTCATGCTCGCATCGTTCGATGAGAAATATCTCGGCGTGCGTCCCAAGGCCGTTTACTTGAATGGAAGCGCCAAAGCAGAATCGTCAATTGAGTCACGGGATGAGGAGAAGCAGAGGCAACTTTGGGAGGAGAGTCTGAAATTGGCGATGATTAGAGATGGGGAGACGGTGTTGAAGAATTGGCAGTGATCATGCGGATCAGCTCGTGGAGATAGACGCTTGTTGTGCATCTGATCGTAGAAGGTGAGTTTTTGGTGCAAGATAACTCGTAGTAGGGGGGGGGGGGGGGGGGGAAGATCGCTGTACAGCACCTCGAGGTTGAAGATGTAACTCATCAGACGTGGACTCTGGACAGTGGGAGAACCTCCCTGAGAAGGAAGGAGTAAATAGAAATCTCGAGATGACCATCATATGAACGATCGATTACTTCTCTAGTTACAAGAAATATTTTTTCCGAAGACTCGTTTGTTAGGTATGTGATGTAAAGGTTCAAGAGCCGGGGAAAACGGAAGTCCCTGACCTAGTCTCGAAATGTACATCCTGTCCTAGCGATAATTGAAAGAGACATTGACCTGCAAAACCAGACCTGGTGGGCCTCCATTAAAGTAAAGGTCTTGTCTCAATCTTAAATGAACGGCATTCTCTTCACTGGAATCGCTTTCGATATCTCAAAAGTCGCTCGTTAAATTTAATACGCCGGCGAACCCCGCAAAAATGGGTACTGAAAACAGTGGGGTTAACTCCGAGAGTGCGGTGTGCTCCTTGATCCGGGACCCGGGCATCTGAGCCCTGAATCTTCGGAGATAGTGGGCTGCTTGGGGATCGGGATCAGGTAGGGCTGAGTATCGAATTTGTGCCCAGTTTTGGATGTCATTATCAGATGGACAGTCGTGCGATATTTCGTAGTCGATTCGGCTGTTCTATCTGCTTAGGAAATTTCAGTATTTCCTTGTAAAGGCTGACAGTAATTACTTATCTGTTCTATATCCATCTTCGTGTTGAAAAATCGGCTCAACATGTTGTTTAGGTGTTGGTTGGTGGCACAGACTTTGTTTCAGGCGGTAGAGACTGGACGTTTATTCTCCCTAAGAAATCGGGCGGCTCTGAAGATACTCCCCTGTTCCGAAAGAAGCGATACTGCCTTCTTCACAAGTCCCGAATAACATTGCCCGAGGCCAGGTTCGAGGCTCTGGCATACTAGCTTCTCATCGGTATCTGCAGTAGAGCTAAACAGTGACCAAATTAAGGTTGATCCATAGCTTCAGTAGCATCGCATCTAATATGGATCATTACCCACTTGTAGAGGCTCAATTACCAAAGAGTGACTGAAAGTATCAAATGCGTTGGATGGCATCCATCGATTTGCACTTTCGTCCCTCCCGGGCGCGAGCAGCTCTGTCTTAGTCATGGGAATTGTTCCACTTTTCGATTGGCAGCAACCCCCCTATCAAGCGACTCGAACCCTGTCACCTGCAAAGTGCATCAGCGCATCAGCCACCGACCTGGACGACAGACGACCGTCGATGACCAAAGGCGCCAGGATCATCTCCATCACGACTTCAACGCACCTCTCCATCTCCGGTATTCATTACGCAATAGCCGCGAGTATCCTTGCCGTTGAAAAGATACAGTTACATAAGATCATATGCATTTGAGCCTCTCCTAGACCTCTCACGATGTCCCGGCGGACACTCGGCCCTGAGCTCCTCCCTCGGGAGGATGCCGTCGTCAAGACATCGGAGACCGCTCGGGAGGCATCCTGTCGGCTTCGAAACGACAAGAGATGGAACTTCCATAAGGACGAGATCCGGAGAATCTATATCGAGGAGGACCGGACGCTTCAGGTGACCATGAGGATGATAGAGGAGAAGTATGGCTTTAAAGCAAGGTAGGCGCCGTTACTGTCATATTGTTAGTGGCCGCTAGGGTCAAGACTAACATCAAAGTTCAGCCCTAGGAAGTGGAAGATGAAACTAAAAGAATGGAACTTTGAAAAGTACTTCCCCTCAGCCATCATGAGCTTTGCTGTTGCCAAGACGGAGAAGAGAAAGAATGACGAAGGGAAAGACACTGTTTTCTATCACGGCAAATCCTTGATTCCTTCTGAGAAGATAGAACACTTCAAAAGAAGGAAAATGTCGAATAAAGCCCGGATAGCAAGTCCAGATCCAGGTGGGTTGACTTTCTTGGGTGGATGCAGATGATATCTAACTTTCGTCTAGGCACGCCAAGAGATATCAGCTACCATACCCCAGGTCCTGAGCGGTCACCATCGCCTATTCCAGAAGAGCCGACCGATCACCGTTCGACACCAGGAAATCAGAGAAGTGTTACTCCATTGATGGATCAAGGTGTCACTCCTGCCATGGAACATAGTGTGACGCCAAGACCTGCCTACAGCCTTCCTCAGATGATGGACGAAGACTATCCTCGAGTAGAACCACCAGCAATGAACTATGAGCCCAGAGTAGAGGATATGGACGAGGACATGGAAGACTATGAAGTTACTCCCGCACCGCCTAGCTATACCGATGAAGTTCCTGTCCTCAGCCCTCTCATGCCACTGTCGTCCCCGAATTCCTCATCAAACCTTCAAGACCTCTCCCCCAGTCCACAAGCAACTTCACAAGATCACGTCGCCCTTCCACAGATGCAATATCTTACAATAAATCCTGTATTTCTAGATGTGAATCATGTCGGAGAGGAATCGAATTCATCGAATGGTGACCAGATGGCATATCAAATGGACAGGCCAGACACGGGAAAGAGCCCTGACGTGCAAATGGGGGAGAAAGAAGGAAGTGCAGAAGTATCAGATAGTCTGATTCACGGCGTTGTCATCGACTTTCCACGGATAGCTTCACGCCTTTCAGGTTTTGATATTGCCGGCCAGACATCTTATCTTCGAGGATCCGACGACATGTTACCGCCTATCGAGGGGAACACAGATGAAAGAGCACTGGATGGAACTTTAGCGTCGTTTGAAGAGAAAATGGAACTCGCTCAATCATATCGAGAAAGCGGCTCCTTGAGAAATGCTGAGTCAGCATACTTACAAGCTTTGGTGGAATATTCGGAAATACCCAGCGTGGAAGGGAAGATCGCTCAACACATCCCGGAATTCTTACTCTTTTTCAGATCACTGAATAACACTGGCCCTCAACACAACTTAGATCAGAGCGTTTTCATATGTCGATGGCTACTGGTAACCTGCGAGAAAGAGCTTGGCCAGAGGGCAGAAACGATGCGAACGACACATGCACTTGCGGACTTACTACGAAGATCCAATCGTTTAGATGATGCGGAAGACTTGTACACGAAAGCATTTACTGGATTTAAAGACCTTGGCATGGTCAAAGAGAGACTGGAATGCCAGCGCTCCCTCGGAACACTGCTCTTCGTGGTAGGACGCCTCGACAAAGCAGTACACATGCTCGTTTCGACGCTCTGCGAATACATGACGGACGACTCATTGGAGGGAGAAGAAATTGGAGGAGTACTAACGGCCCTCTCGGACGCTTTCACAAAAGTAAAACACGACAAGCATTGGGACGTCATGAAGTCGTCCGTCGCTCAACTGCAAGTCCTCCTCATCCGGCCCAGCGCTGTCTGTCGCTGGTCGCAGAACATCCCTCCGAAAGTCTTTCTCGAAGCAATGCGTCTCGCATCCACCATCTCCGAGCAAGACTGGTACGACACAGCAGAGATGCTCTATCTTGTCACAGTCCCCAGGATCCACGCCTTGGACAACTTCATCTACGGTCGCAAAAAAGCCGACGCCTTCATCGCATACTGCATGCAGCATCAGCGGCGTAAGCAATGGCGTAAATGCATCCGTGATATCCTGCACGCCTACAAATGTCTGATGGCTGGAGACCGCGAGTCAGCAGTACAAGAAGGGCCCGTCGATCTCCTACGTGAGACATGGTCACTTATCAAGAAAGCTGTTGCCGAAGAGCCAAACGTCACGAAAGATGCGTCGACGCGAGAATCAATGCGAAAGATCGACCACGCGGATCAGAAGTTGCTGTGTTGGAAGAAGCTGCAGCTGAGTGGACTGCTCGACGAGAGCGAAGAGGAAGATTGGGACAAAGATACCACGCGCAGCTCCAAATACGGAGTTACGTACAGTGTGAGCGATGTAACTGGAGTCAGCTACTCTGCTTATTATAGAGAATTGCATTAGGTGTTTCGCTTTTGGGAGTTCGCGGCGCGATATGGCTTTGGTTGGGTGAGGAATGGCATTGCAAGCAAGGAGCAGGTTTGGGTCAGGGTATGCGCATCGAGCATTGGTGCATGAGCAAGTACATATGTAGAGAGAATACCCCCTCATTTTGTTTATCTGTCTACTTCTTGTTTCTGTTTTCGGCTGGGAAATCTTGGTGTTGGAGAACCGGAGCGGAAAGATTTGATTCGAGATTGCTGTCATTTAGCGTTGCGTTGTTCTTGCTTCTATTTATATGTCGGGATGAGTGGCCAGTCGCATATATATACACTTAATTCTCTATATGATGAAACGAGACTATGATAGAAGACTTCTTGGATTTGCTTTCTGGATCTATGGTGTGAATTTGCCCTTAGTTGACTATGTGCGGTGCGGATCAGGCTCATCGAGTTCATGCCTTGAAACAAGACGCCATTTACTACGATAAGTCCATCCAGTGTAACAATACAACCGGATTGGCTCTCTTCACCATAGAACGCCCGCTTTGCCCTCCTCACCTGTGGGGATAGTTATATCACGTGTCTCGTCTCGGCACGTGGTCTGACGCTAATTTTAACCTTCCATCATCTCACGTCGGAACGCGTGCAGGACCTCATTTATCTTCACAGCATCGTCAATACTCAGTATCGATTCTATATGCAGAGGATTGCACAGCGTTCTGCCAAGATGCCTGTGTCGAGACTGTCCATAATGAAGGGGACCGACAAGGAGCACTATGCTGCCACGATTAATTCGCAAGGCTGGCAGGCGGCAGTATCCCACAATCCTTTCATGGCACACCTCTCCCCCTTATCGTCGTTCTTTCTCTTGATACGCAAATAGAACAAATGGCGTGTGCCGCAATGGCTGCATCATGGTGTAATGGTGGCGCACCTGTTCCAAGGTCATGCCTCGCTGCACTTTCATTCCCAGCCCTGACTGGTCGGCGTTATCGACCAGTCACGATTGAGGCCAGCCTTGTCTGATTTCTTGCATTCTTATCTTCACTGGTAATTTTACTTCTATTCTGTCTTCTTCGTTGAATCAGCATTAATTCTTTTGATATCGTCGTTCGGGCAGTGTTGAATTCCTTTGCAAGTTCAGAAGAACTTGCTGCCAAACTAAAGCTTGAAGATACAGCTCAAAGCCATCAACCAACCTTTCCAGCCCTTCAATTGCGAGCTACAAGCTATGACGCGAAATGCCCCAGCCTCAAGTAGCAGCAGGACGACTGCAGATCAATCGCCCGAGTCTGTTCGTCTCATACGCAGCGACCATGATTGGGACATGTACAAGAACGACATTCAGATGCTTTATATATACCAAGATATGTCTCTCCAAGCAACCATGGAAGTCATAGAGTCAAAATATGGCTTCAAGAGGAGGTCTGTACATCCAGCCCCACTACCTCGCATTGTTACTGACAGGGCTTCTCAGTCTCCGCAAATGGAAGTCCAAGATGAAGGAATGGGACTTCATCAAGCACATTCCCCCCAACGAGATGGCATTTGTGGTCTTGAAATCAGAACAGAGGAAGGCGGATTCAACAAACCCCAAAGACACGATTTTCGTCCGAGGAGATATCACAATCACGCAGGAGAGAATTGCAAACTTTAAGAAATTGAAGAAAGCAGAGCTCTCAGAATTGCCGTTCAATGCAGGTGAGAATATCTGTTCTGGCTTGGTATTGATCCGAGAGTAACATGAGCGTTCAGTTACCCCTCCAAATATCAGATACTTCACCCCAGAACCAGACCCGGAAGAAGAAGATGCTGTAATGGAGAGCAATCGCCCGTCGGAAGAATCGTATAGAAGTCCGGAATCTACAATCAACAGCGACGAAGCAGTTCAGCCCGATGCACAAACAACCTCATCTATCCGTTCGCCGAACATGGACGAAGTTAAGCTCGGCGTCACTTCACCCAGCTTCCAGCATATTCCATCTACCGACACGCAGGTCAAAATGATGATAGCTCTAGCAGACAATCTCCAAGTCGACGGACATTTTGATGAGGCTGTATCTTTGTATCGCCGAATTATCGATGAGATGAAATCCGATCCGAGCGATACGAAGTGGAAGGTCCAGTGTTTACTCTGCAAGCTCCTATGTGGGAATCAGTCCCATCCAGTTGACCAACATGAGTTGGCTCAGCTCTTACTTGCGAACTGGGCCTGGACTTACAAGCACAGCTACTCTTGTGAGAATGGAAGTCAGCTATACCAAGTTGCGTTTCGACTCAGTCGCATCGACGACAACGACGACCGCAGCCTCCAGAAAATCCGAGTTCTAGCATGCGACCTGTTGGTACCATTTGGAAGCTTCGGGAAAACATGGAAATTCGGCTCCCGAGATCCCAATTCCGAGATCCTTTTCGGGGCCATTGAGCTCGCCAACGCCTGCTCGGAACTTGCCTGGTATGAGGCGGCAGAAACTCTGTTCTCGGTGTTGATGGGGGGAAGTCTCGCTGCTTTGGACCGTGTAGGGCGCAAGTTCGATAAATTACGTGCATATATATGGTTTGCGCATCATCAGCAGCGACAGGAGAGTTGGAAGGATGCCGTGAGCGCTCTTTGTGATGCCTATCGCATCATCACAAATACACTACTCTTCTCTGGAAACGCTGTGGAATATCACGCATTGTCGAATCAACTAAAGACGACCGTCAACGGTATTTCGCCATCTTGGCGGTACTCTACATCGTCAATACAGCTCAAAGAACTGATGGAGATGGCTGAGCAATTAGATTCCATCATTGCGGACGATGAAGATGCGAAGAACAGTATTCCCAGGCTCAACTGTGATTCTACTGCGCACAGTAGCTCGAATGCTGGGAAATATGGCATTACTTATTCTGAGAGTATGATGTCGGGCGTCAGTTTTAATTACGCTGCGCCTTCTCTTGAGGCGCTCATGAAATACAACTACGCAGTAAAGATTCGCATAATGCACTTCCATCCACCTGCTGTGCTGCATATACCAGTGCCCGCCACACGATACTTGAGCCAATCTAGGCTCGAGTTTCAAAATTGTTAGGCTTTGGATTGCAGGTGTGTTGCGCTTCCTTTTCCAGGATGCTGCATATTGCATATTGCACTTCCATCCTGACGCTTGACTGGTCAGCTTTCTCGGCCAGTCAGGATCAAGGCGAGCCTCATGCGACCACTCCATTCTCAAATATCTAACTTCAGATCGACTTGACTCCTCCGTCCTTTGTCAACCTTCTCTTTCTTTAGAGGTCAACTTTCGCAAACCGACAAAATCTCCTGCTAGATAAAGGCCAATTTTTCAAGATGCTCTCATCGTCGATCAACATGTCTCAGGCCACGGAGTTATCTGATCCTCTTTCCGGTCCCGAGAACCCAAATATGGGTTCAAGGCCGACCACGAAGTCAGGTCGGCGGGAAAAGAGTGATGCGAAATGGGAGTCGTACAAGGGAGAAATTCAACAACTTTACGTCGAACAGGGCAGACCGCTGAAAAGCGTGATGCAAGTATTGGAGACCAAGTACGGTTTCAAGTTCAGGTCGGTAAAAAGTGCCCTTCTTCGTCCATGGCTGGCCGCATAAGTAACAGGAAATTTGTAGCTTGCGATCGTGGAAAGCGAAGATGAAGAAGTGGAACTTCGAGAAGAACCTGCCCGCAAATGAGATGGCTTTCATCGCCGCGAAAGCTGATAAGCGGAAAGCTGATGAATGCAAGGATACTGTCTTCTTTCGCGGTGGTATTAAGATCGAATCCGAGAGAATTGATAATTTCAAGAAGAGAAAGTTGACTGCCACTGATATGGCTGACTTACCAATCATCGTGGGTATGCAGAGTCATGACACTCTTTCGCGCTCCCACAGGACTGATGGCAATAGACACACCTTGCAACATGACTTATCACACCCCAACGGCAGCCGGACTTGAGCTAGGCGAGACAGAAGCAATCATCACTCATGATTCTTCGATCGGTCAGTCGTTGCATGCCAACTTCGAACTCGGAGATGAGGAATATCATGGTTCAGCAATCAAGGATTTGGGTGCCAAGAATTACATTCCCAATGTCGTCAATCGTCCAGGAGAGACACTCGATGCAGAGCAACATTCAACAGGATGTATCGGTGACAAGACCTCAGGACGGTCAGATCCTGGCTCGCTCAATCCGGAAGGAGGTATCATAATGGAAAATAGAAATGGCAGTTATCCACAGGTCATTTTCAATGCTGAAACTATTCGCAACTTTTTGCATGGAATTCCGGCCAGGCCCATCGCTCTGGACATTTTCCTTGATCTTCTAACGCAGTTTCCGACGCGAACACACGATATCGATGACGCTGATTCGCAATCAACTATTTTCAATGATGACAGTGCTTTTTCGTTTGGAGATGAATTCTTCGATATGAATGCCAAGTTCATCATTGATAGTATCAGCTCTGACTCGAATTCTCCGGCGGACCTTTCAGTCGAGCTTACCACAGAATCTGGAGTAATGGTGGTCCCAACTGCCAGGCCTCACAGGTGGAGTTTGATTTACTCTCGTTGCTTCTGCATATTAGGAGATCCGATACATGCTATGCAAGAGGCCTATTGATTTCATCAGCAATCCAGCTCATCCACGCTGCCTTCGCGTATCTGGACTTGTGTTCTGATGAACCGACTTGTCGCACCTCTCTTGCCCCAGTCATCGCGGGATTGGTCAACTGCATTGCATCTCTCTGGTCCAAAGAGGTCATATGGAACGCCGAATGCCTCGCATCCGAGACTCTCCAGGAGACTTTGATAGGCCTAGAAAGAATAGCAGTTCATCTCTATGAAAAAGAGCTGCTCGAAAGTGCCGAGGCCATGTATCGCCAGTTAATCCGCCAAACAAGGCCAGAAGAGGAACATCGCTTGCTTCGACATCATCATTATCTTTTTAAAGTTTTGAACAAAGCTCAACAGCAATTGGAGAGAACTTCGGGGCCGGAAGAAAGTTTAGAGGAGCTCGCGCGTTTATCAGCTGCAAATCTGGCCTGGAGCTTTAGATATGGACTCGCTAAAGCTAACAAGACTTCCTTTCAGCAAGCAGCAGAGGATTTACATTCTATCTGGACTCGCTTTTGCTCACAGATCGATAAAGATAATTCACAGGCGGGCAAGAAAGAGTGCACGCTGCCACAACAGATCCGAACACTGTTGCTTGAACTGACGGAGAAATTTCGGGGTCAGTATTTCTATTGGAGCTCTGAGGAGCCAGAGCCACACCCGCATGTGTTTTGGAGCTCTTTGGAGTCGAAGCTGTTTCCCTACCTGACGAGGCTCGCGAGATTCGTCTCGTTGCTAGGTTGGCATGATATCTCGAATGGTCTGTTCTATTCCGCCCTTAGTTGGTTTCCTGAGTTAGACCGTATCGACGCAATCCGAGCTTTCGCATGGCAAACTGTGAATCTTCAGCAACAACAAAGATGGCCAGCTTCGGCTAGTGCTCTTGAGCAAGGGCTCACTATACTAACAAGATCGAAGTATCCGCCGATGACCTTCACAGACTTTAGAGATCTTGCACATCTTTTGAAGGCTGCCCTAAAAAGGATGCCTTTGGGTGTGCCGGGAAGGTCAACCCTAAAAGACTTGGAGACAAGAATCGACAGGCAGGCAGCAGGACCTTTCGAATGGGGAAAGAAATGTGTATTTTCAGTTGTCACATCGGCCTCACGCGAGGAGATGTCAATGTCGAGCACCGAGCGGTCCACTTCATCCACTTCATACACTTGGGAGTCCTCCTCTTCCAGGTATGGGGTCACTTATTCTGAAGGGGGGCTCTCAGACATCAACCATAACTACTCAGCACTATTTGAATGATTGTCGAAAGCGTGTAGTAGAGGCAAAGAGGTTGGTCCCTTGCCGGAGAAGAAATGGGGTCTCGAATGCTAGATGGCATGCACCTGGATCCAGGCCATATTCTCATTTCTTCTGCACATCGAGACCCGCGAGCTCACTCAGATGTAAGCAAACTCTCCCAATCCTTCCCCGCAATGTTCCCAATTCACATCACTGATTGTCTATCTGCCAGACTTCCAGGCACTGAGGATCAACCGCATTCAGTCGTCCGTAGCCGCGCCTGGGATCACGAGGTGTAGTTCCAAGATTGGGACTCACAGTGATTCATTGGACGACCTGAGACTGAAAATTAATGCCTAGGAGTAGTGGGTGCGATCTGGCCTTCACTCAAGAACCTCAGTATTACCCTCAGAACGACAAGTGCAAGATTTGGATAGACATTTCAGAGTTTGGTGGCTTGTATTAGAGCATTGTTTTCATTTCATTAGTCTAAGGATTCATTCTGCCTTCAACCATCCTTCTTCTCAATCACTCATCATTTGTTTCCAGCTTTCGAGTCCACAGCCCCTCAAATGAATACCCGCTTGACATCCACCTTCTGACAGCTTGGATTCTCTGGGGCACCCGTGCCAACGACCCAAGCCAAAGTCTGATAAACATATCCCGCATTCGTGATGCATGCATACCAGTGATAGTATGCCTGTGTCTTGTAGACTGGCGGCGAAACAGTATTGTCCAAGTATCCAAGAACATATAGCTTATCCTCCTTGTCGAAGCCAAAGCTAGAGAATCCCTGATCTCCAGGGAAGAACAGAGGCACGGCGACATTTGTGGTGGGTTGAGGATTAAGTTCCAGAGAAGAGGATGCGTTGAAGTTGCCGCCGTGCAAGACCCATGTGACAAGACCAGTGTAGCCTAGCTCCTCGTCGGGAGTCTGTTGATCGGTGTAGTTGAAATTGTAGGTATTTGAAAGAGTTGGTGGTCCGCTTGCTCCGACGCACAGTCCTTCAATTGCAGCTCCTTCGTGGCATGCATACAGGGCAGCTCCGTTCAGGGTGCTGTTCGTCGCGGATTGGAGGACGAGTTGGAATGGTTCGGACTGATTGACGTAGTATTGTGCAGAGATGCCAGTCGCAAATGCGAGGCCGCCGGCAAGGAAAGAGGTGCGCATTCTGATTTTGAGAAGGATGTTTTGATATGGATGTAGTGGTGTTATTAGGTGAAGGAATTAGTGTCAGTTGATCTTGATGAAAACTTGAGAGATGACTTGCTGTTGATGCTTCGTTTCTGATGGAACTGCCCTTACCTTTATACTTTGTATTTTTGAGTTGTCTTGCAATTATCCAGAAGTGGCAAGCTCGAAGCATGCTTGCTGCGGGGACCGAGATCGACATGACGTTGAAACTCGTATTCAACCCTCACTCCCACTCTGTTGCATGGAGTAACAGCGAACCACGAGCTTATTCTCTCGTTTACCAAGCTAGTTTCAGACAAGCGGCGAGGAGAGTTAAACTATTCCGACTGTGTTTTGTGATCAACTGATGAGTTACAAAGTTCACGATACTCGTAAAATCAATCAAAAGAGGCAATGACGTGCAGCAGTCGCAAGTTATTTTGAGTGGCTGAACAAGCATTTGTTTCGGGATTTCACTGCCGGGTTCATTTTGCCATCAAATGATCGTCCGACTTAGACCTGGCGGTGAGATCGAGAGTAATAGCCTTGCATAATGCGGACTGAACACCGCTGTAGGACAAGCATATTATCCGCAGAAGAAGGAAATGGTAGCATCGACCTTCGTATTTTCGTGTTGAGTTGCATACACGAAAGGACAACTGCATGCGAGGCAAATCCATAGATGATGTCAAAATTGCCAGTCCTCGATAGCTAGCCGGGAGTTAGGATCGTCCCGCAAGCACCACAAGTGGACTTTGCTCCACAAGTGGCGGAGACAGCTTGGGGAAAGTGGAGTGAAATGCTTGTCAGCAATATCAGCAAGTTCAATACGATCTCAGCAATATAGAGAGCGCTATGGAAGGGTGGCATGCTACGACCTTGATCACTACCCGACATGGGCGACTTGAGATGTTACCACCAGCGGGGTCCCCGACCTTGACTCAATATCTTCACCATTACGAACTTTGCCATCCATTCGGTCCTTTTCGATCTTTGCATATCAGTAATCGGATTTGCGGCCGTCGTCGATTGCACAAGACCAGCCTATTCGATTACTGCCACTCCAAGAAAAGGACCGTTGTCGTATGTACTGTTCGGGATGCATGCTCGGTCTTGCATGTCCCTGAATCTTCAAAATCCAAATTTGAAATATGGATACCATTAAGGCTCCAACTGGCCTTATGCTGAGGTTAGCATGACAAGTGTGGATTGAACAACGCCCCTCTTCGGTTGGCAACAAAGCAGCTTTTGGCATCATCCAGCTTCAAGCGATAGGAGCAGCTTCATGAGCTCGTATCCAGGCTCCTCGAAGTCTTCGGTATACCAAGACTTCCAAAACACATGTCAAACCTAGTAGTGGTCCTGTCTCAACTTCTGCCACCTCAATATCTGCACAGTTTGTCCTTGAAAACAACCGTTTGTTTATGACACAGGCTTCTTAACAGCGAAGAGGAATTTCCACGTACAATCGCAGAACAATACATCCTGCTGGCCTACACGTGGCCAGAGTTTTGACAAAATCTGAACAGGCGCGAGGCTCCGGAATACGAGATATTATCCTTCATTCAGCATGCACGTCTGTCATATAAAACGACATCCTTCGGCCAGCCCCAACCCAGACAAAATGTGGCTGCTCTGATCGACCTCGCTTTGTTTGCAAGATGAACAGGTAGTATGCCGTAGCTTTCATATTCCAATGGCTAGCCAGCACACCAGAACAAGGACTACAACATCCGAATTGAGACGATTCGCTGGGCCACCGAGGTTCAGCTCGTTGTTGGCGAATGCTACTTCCATGACCGAAGTACCCCGAGGCACTGCAAAAGATCAATGTCCAGTTTGTAGCGAACGTTGGAAGCTTGTAGAACTTGAAAAAGGATCCGCCGAAGGAGGAATCGAAGAGAGAGGAGGAGCTATTCGTCATTTCTGCCAGCGGGCCACTGAGGCTACGGAGGTCGAGATTGATGGGAATGACGAGCTGGCGAACCATTGCTACATTTATACATCAGTATCTTCCTTGCCATATATCATTGGTACCTACAGCAGCATGGTCCAAGTCCTGCCTGTCCACGCACCTGTTCAACCTCTTCTCACCATCCATGATCCAGTTGTTGTCCTTGCAGAGCTTCTCTCGCATGCTCGCGCAATGAGGATCACTGTATTTGCTCGGCAACCTTCCCCTGCAGAATTGAATCCTCATCAGAAGGTGTGATTGCTGCCATTTTCGGGTTATGGGGTCATGAAGGCCGCGTCTCGAGCTTGGATATCCCGCGACGAACGCTAGCGCACGTGATCTCTCGGCGGTGTTCCTCCCTCCCCTCCCGCCTGCTTCTCCTCGCTTGTTATGTTTTTCTGTTCATTGATAGTAGAGAAGAAGACGGAATTTACTCATGGAACATGTCGACATATTTTCGGCCAACAGGCAGCAAGATCTAATATTTTTCATGTCCAATCACTCTCAGTCCCAAACTAAGACAGCTTTGATGACCTTTCCACTTAGGACATCCTTCGCAGCATCATTCATATCCTTAGCTGGGTACTTTACAATCAAGTCGGTGAAGGGAAAGTATCCACTCTTCCAAGCTCCCACTAGCAACGGTATGAACTCTTGCGGATAACAGTTTCCCATAGCACATCCAAGATACACCCGACCAGTGTTGACGGTATCGAAAATACATGTCGATACTTCGGCAGTGAGCTGTAGCAAATGTCAATTAGGGCTACCGAGAAGAAGCAGAGCTCTAACTCACCTGGCCAACTCCAACTTGTACAACCATCCCCTTCTTCGCAGTAGCTTTTAGCAAGTTCCTCACAATCTCAGGCCTTCCAGTCGTATCGATCGTTCCATCGACTCCTTTGCCATCTGTAACTTCCAGTAAGGCAGTTTTCAGATCCTCGACATCCCGAGAATTGATCATATCCGTAGCACCATACTTCTTGGCAAGCTCCAATCTCTCGGGTACGATGTCTACAGCAATGACTCTGTTGGGAGGCGTCGGAGAAAGCCCCAGCGCCATCAATGCGGCTAAGCCAACAGCTCCCACTCCTACAACACAAACAATATCCTCCCCTTTTGGCTTCAGAACATTCATCATAGCTGCAATTTCGATTAGCCTAGGCCATTTGCATAGAATCAACAAACTCACCACCAGCACCAGTTATAATTCCACATCCTAAAGGCGCCAGATCATCTAGAGGCAGGCTCTTGTCAATCTTTACTACACTCGTTGCCATCACAACAGCATACTTCGAGAACGAGCTCTGCCCAAAGAAGTGCGACGTAATCGCGCCGTCGCCTTCCATACTATATGCCTTCGATCCATCACTTCTCCCAACGCCAAAATTGCCTTTCTCGAAATCGTAACAGAATGAGCTCTCGTGGGTCTTGCAGTACTTGCATTCTCCACAACAGGTGTAGGTGAGCAGCACATGGTCACCAGCAGAGGTGTTCCTGACTTCCCTGCCTGTTTTGACGACTACTCCGGCTCCTAAAAGTCATCAAGATCTGGTACACACAAGAGACAGATACTCAATGCGCTTGAGAAAGGGACTAGCAAGTTCACTTACCTTCATGGCCGAACACTCCCGGAAATAATCCAGGAATTGACTTCTCCTTCGCAAAATTTAAGTCTGTGTGACAGACTCCAGTTGCCTTGATTTCGACGAGCACTTCATCATCTCGGAGTTGATCTTCCACGGTGATTGCTTGGTAAATGAAGGGAGCTCCCGGCTCCTGCACCACCAACGCCTCGGTAATCATGGTGAAAATACCGTTTAACTGCTGGTCTACAAGGTTTCAATTGATCATTCGATACATCCAGGATCAAACTTAAAAAAAGCAGCGTTATTGTCTACTTCATATCCGAAGTCCGTCGTCGTTAGACGATGTCCATGTGCTGTGTCTGCGAGATCCCGTTGGCTAGGTTCAAAGCATTGCAATCGTACTACTCGACAAATGAGCTTGCTTGAGTTTGGGATCAAGATGCTACTTTGGGCATGAATTTGGGCGAGAAGAATTGAGTTATCAAGATCCTGTCATTACCCCGCCATCCGACTGCAATTGCGGGGGATTTCCGTGCGGGGCAGCATTCGTGCCCACATTCAGTCAAGCACCATTCATTGAGCAGCTTCCAATCAATTACCTCAAGTTTCGACCAATTCATGAAGTGGCAATCTGAATTGAATTCAAATCGCAATTCAAGTGGCATTCAAAACCCGTCTCAAAAACGAGTATACAAATTACAAATGCAGAACGTAATCGACATTCCGATTCGGTCATAGATTTTCCGAGAACCTCCAAAATATTACAAGGAGACCTCTGGCAATTCCTCAACTCAAAGTCGAGGCAGTATCCATTGTTATTAGATCCTACAATCGTCTATCCATCAGCCACATCTCCTACTCCAACTGTTCATCCTCCATCCAACACCTAATCTTGGCTCACTTAACCTCAACATTATTCGTTGAAGTCCCATCAAGATGATAGGTGATATCTGTGGCAACAGACATATCAGGATTAACCTCCACAATACGAAAGTCCTGTCCAGTGGAGTTTAGCTGTTCCTCTACAGAGGTGGGGCCAATCTGTGCCTGGCCTGCCAATTCTTCTCTACTGCCCTTGAGTCCGCGGCGACGAGGGTAGTAGTTTCCATCCTGGTAATAACCTCCTTCGACCTGGGTGTTTCCCCAGACCCAGTTACCTCCTGTAGGATGAATGAAGCCACCTGGTCCAGAAGCACACTGGTTGATGATCTCTTCAGAGGTATCCTGTAAGAAGTTAGGGGGTGTCGGGAAGTAGTGTGTAAATTAGGATATCACGTACCCAGCAAGTCTGTTGGTTTGCTGCATTGAGAGCTTGCTGCTTGAAGTCAGTACTGTGTCTTTCAGCTCTGAGGAGTAAATACTTACGAAATATCCACCCCAGCAGAACGAAGAGCCAGGACCTTTCCAATTGGTACCACAATCACCCCAATCAGCGCCGTGATAAGTCTGGATTCTGGTGTTCGAGTTCCAATTGTGTAGACAAAGAGTTGATCTCAGATTCCAGGCGAGCTGTACACCAACATCGCTGGTGTAGATGCCGTTGGTGACACTCGGCCAGCAGTTGGCGGCAGAGGCTGACGCAGACAGAGCTGCAACGATGAGAGCTTGAAAATGCATGATTCTACTTGGTAGGCTGTCCGAGGTCTGCAAGGTGTGTCACTACTGAGAAGTTTGGAGTTCTTTGAAGCTGAACGAATTTGAAGCTGGCAGTGCTGAATGGAGCGGAAGACCTTGGGCTTATATCTCAGCCAGAGCCAGCTCAGACCCACACGCCCACATCCAGTAGGTCTCAGTTTCTACTATGGAATATTCTGCAACTTGACGCTCCAATGATTCTGTAAATTTTCTCCCTTGATCGGGTCTCAGAAAATCAATCATCCTGAATCATCAATCATCTGCATGTATGTAAGCAAGTTACCCTCGTAATCTTGTTCTTCAGACCCTCATCCTTCTGTCAAAATAACTAATACCCACGTAAACACCACCTGCACAATATCAAAAATAGTCTGCTCGTGAGAACGAAACAATAAAGCGAAGGGTTCTCAAAACAAAAGTACCCCGAAGTTGACTTTTGAGAACCAGGCTGCACAGATACGAGACGATACATTTTCCACATCTGTCCCGGTCTCCGGGTTTGACAAGAAGCTTAAATTAATTATTATAGGTCGCATCCGCATGCGGGCCAGGCCGCGCTGCTTAAATTACGCAAGATATCCACCTCGACGGGCCGTTTGTCTTGAGTTGGGGGCAAGAATGTGAGACACTGACAGAAACCCACAATTGGTAATCGCCGTGCATGCACTTGGGGCGAAGGTATTGACCTATTCATTGTATTTTGTTTTTTTGGCGTGATGAATCAGCAGAGAAATCTGCCCATAGGTGGGAATGTTTAGGGAGATCTACATCTGGGCTTTTAGAACGAGTGATTGCAAGACACTGGCTTGGCAGTGACCGAAATTTTTGAAGATGACATTCATAAGATGGCATGGCCGGCGGTTGGAGAAGAGGCAAGCACTGAGAACAGTGAAGCTGAAACTAGCTTGATCTACGATTACCAACATGTTTGGCAAATTGGCATGCCATTTGTATGCGCTCATCTGGATTGTCTTTTTGGCTATCGAGGGCCTTTCCCTGACAAATTCGACGACATTACCTCTCCCAGAACCCTTGCAGTTACCCCAAAACACAACTTCTGATGTCCGTTATGCTCGACCCATCTTGGAGGCAAGATCGGTGTCGTGTAAAACTTGCGATGGAAAGTATGTAACCGTCGACGGAGACGACACAGGTTGTGGTTTGAGTAAGTACCCCCATGACAATCGAGCATCAATATCATTGACGCATACAGGCACTGATCCAGAGGCCAACTCGGCTTGTTTGGTTTGGCAAAACGGAAACCGCTATTGCATGCGCGAATCTTGGAGCCTTTGCTGCCACGAGTGGATGAAAGTGGGAATTCAGTGCCGTCCAGCAACGCACTGTGCGTACGATTGGGGCCCAAATGTCAACGATTATGGGGTGGTCTGTATGCCGAATGACCAATATGCATGCCCTCAAGCAAATGTTACTTGTCCGATTGGGAACTTCTGCTGGTAGGGACCTTCCGGCCGGATGTGGATGCTTGCTACAATGCTAATGGAATCACAGCGGAACTTCATGCGGAGATTCAAGCGCCGGAGACATCTGCTGCACAAATGATAGTAGTTCATCGAGTTATGTATGCAAAAGTGGCCAACAATGCTCTGCCAATGGCTGCATTCAAGCTCCTTCCGAGACCACGCAAATTGGAGACTGGAGGGCCCAAGGCTGCTATTCTGATACGGTGGATGTTCGAACCCTCCCTAACTACCATGCAACTACGACTGGATTGACGGTCCAAGAATGTGTTCAGGCTGCAGCTGGTTATAAGTATGCAGGCGTGGAGTATGGCTACGAATGCTGGTTCGGCAATGAATTATCTTCAATCACAACAAAGCAGTCTTCCGGATGCAATATGCCTTGCTCAGGAGATTCCTCCGAGCTATGCGGCGGCAATCTTCATATCAATATATATCTCAACGAGGCATATACGCTCAAGCCAACAGTGCTACCAAGTTCCGGCCCTTTCAAAAGCCAAGGGTGTTTTGCGGATGATTCGAATGCTCGTCTGTTGAATTCCGGTAGCTTCACGGACGCTACTGGCATGACCGTTGCACGATGCGTTAGCCTTGCAGGTTCTTCCAAATATGCAGCCGTCGAGTTCCATTCGGAGTGCTATTGGGGCAATAATTTACATCAAGGTCAAGTATCAGAGGATAAATGTGATGCCGCTTGCCCTGGTGACCCTGGGACACTTTGCGGTGGTACTGTAAGTGGCATTTCCTACAGCTTTCAGTCGAAATCGTCTTCCTTTCCACAGACGTGATACTCAAAACTTTCTAACTTCTTGGCTATAGTGGGCAGCGAATGTCTATCAAAACGAGAATTTTTCTCCTCCAAGCGTATTGCCCAGCTCTGGGAACTTCCACAGCCGAGGTTGCTATCGAGATAGCTCCAAGCCTCGCCTTGTCTCTTCAGGTCATACCACAGACTACGAGAGCATGACGGTAGAGAAATGTATAAGCCTTGCTGGCCCAACCTTCAAATACGTAGCGATCGAGTATCATGGAGAATGCTACTGGGGCAACACGTTGACGAATGCCAAGGTTGCCGAATCCCAATGCGATGCTGCCTGCGCTGGTGATAGCGCACATCTTTGCGGAGGCACATGGGTTGCAAACGTGTACGAGAATTCGGTGTACAAATCACCCGAAGAACTGTCCCGTGAGGCAGTACGGGTCTTGCTTGAGCAGTATCAAGCATTGATGACGAAGCTGAACAATGATGTTGCGGTGTGGCGGCAGGCAATCCAGGATGAACCTTCGACAAATGGAAAGAGGAACATGATAGAACGTCGATCTCTTACTGTAACACAGGCATACGCAATAGTGGAGGAAGATATTGCTGCGTTGGAAGCGTTTACTGGCTATGTAGGATGTAAGTTGTTAAGTGTCACTTTGAGCTTCCCGTACTGACATGATATTACTAGCAATCAGGCTTACAGGAGGAGAAACTGTTGCAATTGAAATGCAGCCATTATCATACGTGGAAGCAACAGTCGAAGGAAGCATTGTACGTTCTGTCACTTATGAACTAATCATTTCCTCTAATGTGTAACTCTTAGGCGAGCGTGGAGGAGTTGAGTCAATACGGAAGTGTTGGTGAGTTTGCTTCATTTTGTTTCTACATGATCATTCCATGTTGACGCCTTGATTTAGATAATCTGCTTGTTGCAGAGATTGCCCAAGTCGCCGCTGGCGCTGCCACAAATGCTGTTGCAGCAGGACAAGTGGTGAGGCTCTGTCCAAAGTTGCGCCAAAGAAATTTACTGACAAGAAGTGAAAGGCTGTTGCAATCGTTTCCGGCCTCGGTATCCTGGGTCTTCTTGCTGCTGCTTTTGCAGGTGCAGTGATACCTGGAGGAGGGAATTCCGGGGGAGGGCCAGGTTCACCAGGACAAACCACAACCTCTACCACGACAACATCTTCTCAAACATCTTCGACCACAACATCAGCATGTACCTACACTCCTACTGCCAGCATTCAAAGTCGGACTCTATTCTGTGATGACCGCTGCCTGGTCGGGACCAAATATGACGAGAGTACACTCGGTGATGGAGACGGAGCCGATGGGAACCTGGAGAAGCGTGGCGCCTTGGAAGAACGATTCGTCACCATCAAAAGTATACAGCCGTATTGCCCTTTCTCATGGACTGACCAATGGATTCCTTACCCATCAACAAATCCCGGGCTTGTACTTGACGGGAATGGAAACCCGACAGGAGCAGAAGCACTGCCGATTGTTCAGTTCTTGGACATGGATCTTGTTCCACTTAATATTGCTAATGGTTTCTGCAGCTGGGAGCTACAGCCACATGCTGTGAGGCAGTCGTATACAGGTGTCGGCCTGAACGAATATCATAGTAAGTCAATACCCTTACGTACCCTTTCCGAGAACTCAGCTGACATGAGCAGCCGAGCACGTTTTCGAAAAACACTTCGTGTCTAGCTTCCTCATGTGGGTTGTTGCAGAGAACATCGCCGATTGCGACCACCTTTCATTGGCCTTCTGGGAGCTGAGAAACGAACCAGATGCCGACAACTCAGTGCAAGACCTCGCTTCACAACTGACATGGTGGAGAGCCGCCGATAATGAACCTATCGACAATGGAATCGAAAGGTTTCATGAGTTCTTCATTCTAGAAAAGCATATCAATCTGGCCAAGACATGGGTACGTTCTGCTCTTACTATTCTGATCAGACTTCAAATTGTTGATCTCTGTTATAGGTCCTTCACGTAGGCGTCCCAACAGCTCCAAGTCCCCTTGGGATCCCAGCAGGAGACTATCAAGCCGTTTTTATCAAGTTGCGGACAGTCTCGCTTGTCTTCCAATACTTGAGCAGAGCCGATGTGATGGCCGCGTACACATCGACTTTCAACCGGTTTCAAGCATATCTGTAAGTCCTCGATCTGTACTCTCAAGACATTCGTTACTGATGCTGAAAATGACGTAGAACTGCCCACTCATTGAACGTTTGGGTCCCTGCTGATGGTTCATGGCAGGCAGTTTTCCTCCGCTGGAGAACAGACTTTTTTCATGAAAGACAGGCACAGGTGTTGGTGTATCGCGCAGCAGCTATTGCTTTTATTCAAGCTCAGCTGCCAGCGGGAACACCTCAGCGAACTTCTTTTGATATTCTTGTTGCCAATGGACCTCTGTCTGTAGCTGCCTTCACGTTCCCTGCTGCGTATATTGGATAGAGTGAGAGGAAGAGCTAGGACGTCAAGTTGAAAGAATATAACAGAATCTGCGACAGTCCAAAAGAACATGCCAATACTTGACACGGCAGTGAGGCTCGTCTTTTCCCATAAATAACGTCCGCCCTGTATTGTCTAGGTGGTGTATGTATGATTAAGATTATCACATTTCAAAATCACGAGCTACAGGTCTGATATCAGTAAGCCAGTCAAGTTCCACGACGGAATAGGGTATCATCCTAATCAGCGGGATCTGCAGACGGACTCCAAAACGTGGCTTGCGACGCCTTGGCACGATACTCGCGTTGCTACTCTATTTGCACCGGAAACTCCGTTAAGTGACACTTCCGTTCACCTACATAAAGTGTATCAGACACCATGGCCTCGTTCCGGAATTCTTTTATATCTAACATGAAAGGCCTTTTCATTATTGTAGTCGATCATCTGACTGCTTGCAATTAAACTAGCTGTCGCCCACTTTCACAACACTTCACATGAATGCCTCCATTCCCACATGGCCCTCGGCTCACTAAAATTACCCCACAGATCATCATCGCTCTCCACCTATCCCCGCCATTTCAAGCCCTGTTCCTGCGCTGGTCCATGAACGCCACAAACTTTAAAGTCTAAAGGACTTTATTCCGTACCAATCATCCCACTTCGTTCGTAGCGCTACGACAAGGGTCCATATGATCTTGGAAGGTCTACACGACGGAAGAAATATCATCAACAGGGTGAACGTTTGCATTTATCATATTGCGGGGAAAAGTTATCAGATGCGGCCGAGGTTCTAAGAATGAAGCAGGATTTGGAGAAGCTTATTTCAGAATTAGCCAGTGATCCGCGGCTGGCTAGAAGATGGCGCGAGGGAAGGGCCACTTGAGGCCATGTTACCACACCACCTTAGCTATCATATCCACCATGTATGGCATCATGAAAGCCACCTCGGCAGTGATATCAAGACTGAATGGCTCCACTCTGAGATTTGGCAGGCACTGGGCAGGAAGGTGGGAAGTCTATAAGAAAACTTTGTCCGCCGCCTTTCCCACAGGATACTGCACACATCACTTACACATCTCTGTCCGACTACAGCCGCAAACTACAATCAAAATGCGTCTCACTCAAATCCTCCTCCCAATCACTTTTTTGGTGTCCCACGTTGCTGCAGATGGAGCATCTATATCTGCAGCAATCGACAACATCGGTGCTGCGGCAGGAAAATTGAACGAGACGGTCGCGGACTTTCCAAACAATCCCATCTTGGGTCTCACTGATATCGGTGACCTGCTGGTAAACTCTGTTGGCGTCCTGAAGACCATAAATGAAGGAACTAAAGTCGCAGAGGCATCTGCGCAATTGACGACGTACGTCCAACCATATACAAATATATTAAGAGTCTTCGAATTCTAACAGACTTTTCAGTCTTGAAGCGTTTGGTCTCGCAGGAAAGATTCAATCTTTGTCTTCAAGTGTTACATCTACTCTTGACACGACCGTGGCTGCCAAGAAGAAGTTCGATAAGCTTCTCATCGTCTCGCCTATTGTCTTGCTCAACTTGAAGCAACAGAAGAGTGCTACTGTGGAGTTCGGGGATGTGGTCACGGCGAAGGTACCAGCGGAGCTACAAGAAATTGCAAAGAACTTGCAAGCTCCAATTTTGGCGGCGTTTGATAAGGCTATTGATGCGTACAACCCGTTCTAATGTTTGGGAGAATCATCATTTGCAACTATGTAATTAGCTGAAGATACCACGATACATGGAACATGTTCAAAGCAGAAAGTAGATGCTAATGTACGATTGGCACTTGGTTTTCAGATTATGACAAGTTATGTCTCCTCTCGTTCGATCGGCATTTGCTAAGGCCTTGCAACTCAACGGGCGCCAATGAGCTATGGCATTGAGACAGAGATAATGAATTGTTCAAAATGAGAAATCTGTGTGTTGAAACGGTTGGCAGACTAGATGAATAAGGTGCAAGTTGTATCGATGAATTGGCAGCGATATCATATACTACGATGGTATGGCGTCGCTAGGTCCTCTTGCCAGTGGAGAAAAACTTTCGGTTTCGGTTGTAAATCGGCCATGGGGCCTGGGCACTTCTGGGAGCAACCCCACTCGGGCTACAGGGTAGTTGGAGCCTAAATAGGGTTGGTGTTAGTGCTGACAGCCAGCTGAGCCTTCTGAAACCATCGAACCAATGCGCTATCCATGGCCATTTTAGCGAACGCACTCTGTAATCCTGGACCTGATACCCCACGCCGAGCATCAAAACAGCATTCTTGCAACAAATATGCCTCAAATCAATTCAGATGAAATCTTTTCTATCTGTAGGATTCATTCAAATTTCCTTAAGAGACCTGATTATCCTTGTTGATGTGAAATTCTAATAATTCCTCAAACCGCAAATGCCTCACCTTGTAACCAGGAGAACATCTGGACCCGCATATGTTGTTTGATATCAGTAAGCATGATCAGGCGTAAATCCAACGTCATCCCATCTCTTCCTGCCATCGTATCTTTGAAAAGCTTCTCAATCCTCTTGGCATCAAATTTCATTTGCTTGTTTTCACAGTGTTCGCATTCCAAAGTTCAGGTCAAACTTCGCCAACAGCTTTCTCCCCCACACCAAGAAACACCCTCACTCAGTACCATGATTCTCGAAATTTGTCAGCTCAAAGTCAAGTCCAGTCTCTCCACATCAGATCCTGGACTTCTCTCTGCTCTATCCAAAGCGCGGACAGAACTCAAAGAAAGAGTACACAACACCAACTCACGATTCTATCAATGTGCGGAAGACCCCACTCTCATCTATATCCTTGGCGTCTGGCCTTCATTAGCACGTCATGCAGAATTCCTCACAAGTCCAGAGAAATCAGAAATCTTAGATTCGCAAGAGGATCTATTCGACTTCGGATGGATTCTACATATGGAAGTCGGTGTCAGGGGAATGGATGAGCTGCCGCTTGATGCGCCAGTCATGGCGATCACGAGACTTTTAATGAAGGATGGAGATGTGCATGTCAAAGCATGCGAGGAGATTGAGTGCAAGTACAGAGAAGTGATTGCCGAGGGAAGGAGGCAGTGGAATGTGGTTGATGGGTGGAGAATTGATCGCGAGGACGGAAAGAATGAAGGTGTGATGATTACGGGTTGGGAAAGTGTGGATGCTCATAATGCTTTCACGAAGCGGATTAGGGAAGCACATCCGGAATATGCTTCGGTGACGCAACATTACGAGAAGATGGAAGTGAGGCATGCGAACAACATGGAAACTTGACATGGGGAGTAAATTGTGGATGTCCAGGGAAAAGAAAGAACAAATCGGGGACATGACGCAAGAAGTGGGCTCTGGCTCTTGCTTCAGCACTAGATACCAAAGAAACGGTAGAGCAGAGATTACCGAGAATTTTTAAGCTGGGTTATTGTTCTAGGTGAGTGTTGTAAATGGGATGTGATTTAGTTGGCCAACAATCCAGAAGCTTTTAGCATATGGAGCCGGCACAGACTCTCCCCTCGTATCAAACTAGAGACTTCATGTGCACCAACACCAGGTAGCGATATTGCATGAGAATCTGAACACTTATTGAAACAAAAAAGCCACGAAATAACCTATGGTACCCATGCAGTTATCAAAAAGCTTGATACGGGTGAAATTGCCTCTTTCCAAACCGTGCCAAGAGTAGTCTATTCGTTCAGCGAACCTGCTGCTCTTCAGTTAGAAGGGCTCACCAGAGCAGAATGATAGATACTAGCGTGATACCGTCCGAATCTAGCGCATAACACCGTCTGAAGAGTCCGTGAAATCTAGCACCGACCGAATGTCCGTCCAGAAATCGTAGCCTTGGGCCCAATCTCACGCTAGAATCTCGCTTAAGTCGGCTTCAAGACATCGACAAATTCAGCTCCTCAACATCGAGTGTGCGGCTCGGTCAGCACCCGCTTGGTGCCTCGCTTAGCAAGTCTAGGTCAATACAATAAACACGATATGCCATCACTTCACGACAAGTGTGTTCACCAATGAGCACCGGCCATGGATAGTATCATTCAATGATGGTCGTTACCAGAAATGCCCAGACTGCATAACGGCAAGCGTCATGGCAAGATGGAGAAGCAAAATTCGACCGGTTGATAGCTAGAGTTGCTGCAGTTCTTTAAAACTTGTGCGCTCAGTTTTTATTTTGTGCGTTCTTTCACCATCCGCACAATCCGACAAAGATACCCAGAGAAATTCGATTCACAGAAGGTACTCCAGACGAGTCATCGGATTGTCATAGAAGAATGAACTGACCAGAAGACTAGCAAACATGCGTGTCAGTATCCTTGCATCCGCTCTCGGCGTTGCCTCAGTTGCTGCCGGCGCTCCAGGTAGCAAAGCTCGTGAGCCAAAGATCGAGCTTCCAACAAACGGAAAGCCCTTCCAAGTTGTCTTCGATCATGGACCATCAATCGATTATGTCGAGCGTGCGGCTATCGCGCAAAACGATCGGAGCATGCTTTTCGTCGTTGGCAACAACCGCACTACCGACATGTGTCTTTTTGGTAGAGCCAAGGACCTCAACTCTGGAGAGAGCACCGAGTTCGGCAAGAAGAACAAGAAGGCATTCAAGCACGGCATCCGCATCCCTTCCAACTCTACCGCTGTCCTTGGAAACATGATCTTCCTCAGCCCTGAAGGACATTACAACGGCATGTTGTACAGCCGTGTCGGATGCAACAAGGATTGTGAGAAGTGTGATGGTGGAGAGTTGCCCATCTGGACCTTGTCTGAGTTCGCCTACAAGGAGACGAAGTTCTGGAACAACTTGTCCAATGGTATGACTAAAACTTTCTTGAGAATGATGGGTCTAACACATACATAGTCGATGGTGTGAGCGCCAACATGACCATGACCATCATGAACTCCACCTCGGAGTGCCACCGTCCAGTTCAGTGCAACTTCACTCTGGAGCAAGCCAAGAAGGTTTGCCCACCAGAGAACTTCTGGAAGGAGGGTGAGGCATTTGGGTGCATGTCTGATTGTAAGCTCAAGGGTGGAGAGAAGTACTGTGGGCGTAGTGGACCTCCCAGCGACTTCGCCAAGCATCTTTGCCCAAATGCTTACTTCTGGGCCTCGGATGATGTTGCCAGAGGAAACTCCCACGTCATGAATGACTGCCCGTTTGATCCAAGAAGCATGAAGATCTTGATTCAATAGAAAGTTTCGAGATTGTGGCGACACTGTCCATTTTGTATTTCAGCATAGAGTAGGAACCAAACAAATGTACTCATGCTTCTGAAGTTGCTGGCCACTGTCCCATCTTTAAGTATTGCAACTCCTACTTGTGGAAAACGTCACAGTAGCTTTGCGCCGACTAGTAACCATTTACGCCAGAAGCAATTGTTCATTGAGGGATGCCCATATACGATATTCTTGCTTGTAGAATTCTTGCATGCCCTACCCTTACTCTGCCAGCCAGATATTCCATCTCGATGAGCGCCATGCTGCAGTAGCCAGAATTTTGGTAGCCTCTCCTTCTCCCGTCATAACCCCTGTCCAAAACTTGTAAGCCACTGCTCACTGGCAGATCGATTTTGACATTGTAGATAATTGTAATATCATTCGAGGGCAGACCGGCCAACCCAGATATGGTAGTTCGAAACTCGGGACTGGGTGGATCATCATAAGCTCTCTCGAACCTGCATCCATCACACAGCTATCTCATTTCCCAAACATTTATGTCATGAATCTCGGGCTCAAGGATAATTCGCTCGTCTGTGTCTTTGGTGATTAGATATCGATTTGATCAGGTCTCGAGTTTTGCTGCGGAATCCATGAATATTCGTAGTTGTGCTGCTGGACCACCCTCCTTACTCCTCGGTTGTCACTGTCGAGTATCCCTGGGCAGACACGATTGGAAGTCGGGAACAGTTGGAGGTGCAGATTATCGTCGTCTGCGAACGACTGTTCGGAAAGTTCTCTAAGCGATGGACGATCATCAGAGGTCATCGTTGCCAAGCCCACTTCATGCCTGACTTGCGGCCTCAGGTTTATTTGTATCAGCTTGAACTCTCCTGACATGGTCCAACCACTTCATCAATTCACAATACTTGGCGACTTCAAATTTCACGACTTGGTCCAACTCTCAAACGGAAACGTTTTGATCTCCATTTGATAAACAAAATATTGACCCCAACCCTGATACGTTGACTTTGCTGACCAGGTACGTCAACGCGTGTCAATCTTCACGACGCGAGACTTTTTTTTTGGAAATAATTTCAGGTCAGTACTTCAATCTATTCCAATGACCGGACTGACTTTGTGTAGCAGTCGCTTCTTGTCCGAGTACGAACTTTCGATCGTTCTCAGAAAAGTAATGTAGCTCGGGCATAAGATCTCGTTGGTTATGAATCGTGAAGAGCTATCTCTATTTGCCTTAATCGATTGATCCTTCTCATGCTAGGAATGGACGCAAGAACAAGAGACCTTCTGAACTCCATCCGACTGCAGTCTTACGACCGAAGCATGACGGCACCTATAACACAGGTTGCGAATCTCTGACCCAAATGTGACCGCGATAAATTTTGCTTCTCATTTGAGCTCCTTCGTTCGGACAAGTTCAAGTACAGTGTGCTTGAACTTGTTATTGCACAGCCAATGAGAACTTGAGAGGCGGCTACTCAGAGAGGAATTGTATTGTTGTAGCACGACCGGCACGAAGAAAATGTATCTGCATGCATTCTGCATCAAGTCTCTTCGACAGAACGATCCGTACGGGAGCACATTCCATCCCTTTTATTCCTCAGCAGTGCAGTCAACAATCATGTCATCCCAGCGATGGTGGCTTATATAGCTCCTGGAAACTTCTCGAACGACAAATGACCTTCTGTATGTATCTTCTGCGAAGTTTCGTATGATGATGTTGGGTGTGGATCGTAGCATCGCATGCAGAAGCGTTTTGGTGAATCCCAAGTCAGGCATTCGGACGCCGGGACAGCCATGTAAAACTCATTCGATCTTTTAATTTCTCTTTGCTTGCTCTCATTACCACCGCTTGCCTCCGGCCTTTCAAGTTCAAGCAACGTGGCTCTGCAAGCGCTGGTTCCACGGCCATCTGAGCTGAACCCACATCATTTATTTAGTAGTTGCTAGTCCCACGATGCCATCAAGATCTACAAACGCTGCAATGTCAGCATTGAAATAATACATATCTGTCATCCCAAGAACCCTTTCAAGACCCTGGACAAGGTCACCATATCTCCATACTCTGGTCCAGACACTGTCAGAACAGGGGGAGTGCTTAGGCCTACAACCAAAATTGTATGAGGGAGGAGAACGCAGCAACAGCTCGGAAACATCAGAAAGGACGATGGGAGGAGCATCTAGGTAGATCATCTGGAACAGCGTATTCCAGGAAATCTTCAGAGAGGTTGTGAGTTCAAGATAGGAGAGATGGCACTTGGACTGGGGGGCGCTCAACCACGAAATGTTCCTGCGAGAGTGGATAAGTTCAAGAACGAATCCTCCTGGTGTTCATTAACCACAGATAGACACCATCGGCATAGCTTCGACTCCGACAATATGTCGCTGCCCAGTTTGCTCGGTATCATATTGGTCTATCACTGTTCGAGACTCCCACACTCTTCAAGAGAGCCCAACGGAGGGGGTATCAACAACAGTGCGGGGATATTGGTCATGCACGACGTCTACCTCGTCTCCGACAGTTGTCAAGGTGTTACGGATTAAGTCAGAGAGCAGGCAGAGCGCTTAGAGGAGAGGAGATATTATCACATCTTTGTGTGATTCACCTCGATGGCGTTTTCGATCCTGTGCGTCGTCTACCCTTCTTACAAACATGATGTCCGGGCGACGACATTGTCGACCACATCATCTCATGGCGAACTGGATCCAGTCGGGGAGACGACAATATCCTGCGCATCGTTTGCTCGATGTGCGGGTGTATTCGGATAGCAACTCGTAATCTCAAAAAGGAAGGAAACAATTGCCGATAAAGTTTCGAGATAGAATTGGCAAAGATGCACGTCGTCTGCTTCGTTTGTGAGGGAGATTCTATGAATACAATTTCAGAGGATATCCAGATGTGCCAGGAAATCATCCACAACGATGACCAGGAGACGAGCACGCCAGTGTATTCTTCCTAATGAGGAATCCGAAAACACCATCGATCATGCGGGAGTTTTATCTGATTTGCGGGTCTCTTTCTGTAAGGAAGCGAAGGAATCATTGGGTGTTTTGACGAGCCGAAGTCAAATCTACTTTGGGAGAACCGAGCTCTCTGCACATCGTTTGTCGGTTGTCTGGTAACGGACGTTTGTTCAATCAGTCTAGTATTCAACGAGTCCTTACATACTTCACCTTGTCGGATGAACAAGAGAGAATATATTGTGCCGAGTCTGTGCTCACAATCAACAAGTGGAAGCAAGGTCGAGTCATGCGGCCACGTTGTGTAACAAACAACGAGTTGAATAGCCTCAACAACATCCGAGAATGGCTCAAAGGTACTTAGTCAATTTGAACAATATCAATTGATGACAGCGTCTGTAGCCCAAGAGGACATCTGCACGTCGGACAAGTCGTGTGTGTCTTTGAGGAATTTTTGGCTCGTCTGTAATCTTCAGGAAGTCTTGGTCCGAGTCGTCTGTTCCATTCGGGTTAATGACGTTCGGCGAGCGGTCGGTCAAACTGCAAGGGACGCTCCACCAAATCAATCAAACGCGGATCCCTTCAGCCGGCTGATTCTAGTGGTCTGGGGATTCGGGCCACCCGTTACTTTTTTCATGGAGAAAGTGGAGAAATTATGGAAACCCCTTCGAAACTTCCCAGTACTCCGGCCGGCATGTCTAACAACAGAAGCATTGCCAACCCGTTAAACTATGAGCGAATAGAGCCAAGCTCATCTTTCCTTGCTTGGCACCCATGCATCTCGGTACGGTTGAGCGGATCTGGTACTCTGGACAATTCTCTGTACAGGCTAAATGAAAGTCCAGATTGTCAGCAGATGCGCGCTGCTAACCCACATTCAGATGCTAGAGCGGCTGGGAATATCGTTGAAACTCGGGGAGGACTTCATAACAAATGTTCAATATTCAGAATGCGAGTGTTCTCCGACCTTTAGCGGCTCTCGCGTGGCGAGCTGGATAAATGTACTCGCATTCATCCGGTTGGTGGCGCCGTGCACCCCGGGAGAGGCTCGATCGACAGCCCTTGGCAGCGAATGGGATTCCGAGCTGTAACGTCAAGCTCATCGTTGGGTCATCACTGAGAAATGGGGGTCGATCCGGATAAAGTCGATTTCCACGATCATGGATGCCATGAGGTGACAGGGGATATGGAGTGACTGTTGTTGAATGGTCTAGGAAGGGATGGCAAACTCTGCTGTCAAGAAATGTATAAGTTCTCGGAAAGTCCCAGCTTGAAGCCAGCTGTTTACCTTGGAGCACTCTTCATTCATTGAAGTATTACAATTCTCTTGAACGTCGACCAACATGCCTTTCTACACGGCCTCCAAAGCCACCTTCGAGGTGGGCGGCAGAGAGTTCCCTCGAATCACCTGGTACAAGGAACCTGGTATTCGAGGACTTTACGTTCTGTTGATGCTTGCTGTGCTCACATCTGCTACAAATGGTAAGCTTCTCAACACAGCACATGGCCGGTCTTCTTGAGAGAAGAGTTCCATAGAACCGACGAGAGCTGCATCTAATATCGGTTGCAGGTTATGATGGATCCATGATGAACGGTCTCCAGAGTCTTGACGAGTGGAAAAAATGTGAGCTGAGAAATTCTCTTGGTGCCCGTAACTATTCTAACAACCCGTAGCCTTCAATCATCCAGGTCCAGCTACCCGAGGACTTCTCAACGCCATCATGTCGGTCGGATCGATTGTGGCCCTTCCTATTACACCTTACATCGCAGATATCGCTGGACGGCGTGTTGGCGTTATGACTGGGTGTATTCTTATGATACTCGGAGTCGTGCTTCAGTCGATTGGAATCAACATTTCGATGTTCATTGCAGCTCGGTTTTTGATCGGATTTGGCGTCGCTATTGCACACGGAGCAGCTCCTCTGCTGATCGCCGAGTTGGTTCATCCACAACATCGGGCAATCTTCACAACCATTTACAATAGTACCTGGTACCTTGGAAGTATTGTAGCAGCAGTAAGCTACATTCTGTTTCCTCTCTTCTTCGTTTGCACGCCGATTGGTGGCTCTCGGCACACTTCTATGTTGAGAGCCTACGCTAATTCTGCGGTCATTTAGTGGCTCACATACGGTAATTATCGCCTGTATCACAGCTGTTTCAAAACTAATGATTGCTAGGAACGAACAAAATACCAAATGCATGGTCTTGGAGAGTGCCTTCAATGGTACAAGCAGCGCCGTCGGTTATCCAGCTGGTGAGTCAATTTGTCTACGGCGCGCGATACGATCTTGGGCCCCAAATGTGGCGCAAGTGTCAGTTACATTTAATCTAACGTCTTCTACAGATCGCCATTTGGATGGTTCCAGAGTCTCCTCGTTATCTCATTTCTCGAGGGAAGAACGAGAAAGCATTGAATGTTTTGGCCAAAGCTCACGCACACGGCAATGTCAATGACGAACTTGTCCAAATCGAATACCTTGAGATCCGCGAGACGATCACGCTCGAGAAAGAGTTCGAGGGTAACGGATGGCTGCAGCTTTTCAAGACCAAAGGCAATCGTCACCGCCTCGTCATCCTCATCTCCCTCGGATTCTTTTCCCAATGGTCTGGTAACGGTCTCGTGTCTTACTACATCACTGATGTCCTAAACGGAATCGGAATTACGAACTCCAAGAAACAACTCGAAATCAACGGCATTTTACAAATTGTGAACTTCGTTGTTGCGCTCGGAATGTGTTTCATGATCGATAAATTCGGCCGTAGACCTCTCTTTCTCTTCGCTACAGGAGGTATGCTGGGATCTTTCTGTGTCTGGACAGTCTGTGCCGCCCGAGTGAGTACCTCCTCCCATCCCTGGTTTCCCCAGGCCCTTGCAAGAAGTCGCGGAATCTATGCTGTTCATTTTATTCAATCCTTCTATCCTCCTACCTACTGGGGGCGGAATAAAAATGCTGACTCTTATCTTGCTAGTACGCTCAAACTAAAGTTGTGGCTGCTGCGCATGCCGAGATCGCCTTCATCTTCATCTACTACGTCTTTTACAACAGCGCTTGGTCCGGCCTACTTGTTGGATATGCTGTAGAAATTCTACCATACAAGCTTCGTGCCAAGGCAAGTTGATCGTGACTCTTCAAGCTGGAGTAATAACTGACTCAAAATTAGGGTCTCACCCTCATGTTCCTCGCCGTCGATTTGTCTCTGTTCTTCAACTCATACGTCAATCCTGTCGCTCTCAAAGCATTGGCGTGGAAGTATTACATCGTGTACGACGTTTGGCTCGCATTCGAACTGCTCATCGTCTATCTCTTCTACATCGAGACTCAAAACACGGCTCTTGAGGAAATCGTCAAATACTTCGACGGGGAGGAAGCACTTTTGGGTGGTACTCTCGCCACTGAGAAAGCCAAGACGCTGCTTGTGGAGAATGGACTTGATGCTAAGATCCCAGTGACCACTGAGCACCACGAAGTTGGTGAAATGGGAGAGAGGCGTAGTGAGCTTTAATCCTTCTTGGGAACACTGGTGGCGACGATGGAGGGAGTATGTGAAATTGTAATGGCAGAAATTCTTAGATCATTGGATAGATGAGATCATAGATACTTTGATTTTCAAATGTACTCTTGCTGAGGTGATTTGTGAAAATAAAGAACGTCATCATAATATTGTGTGTTTTGGTCACCAAGCGAAGCGAGCCCCTGTTTCCACACATGATGATGCGGGGTAAATTGCGGGGTCATGCCTTTTTCCCCTCCAAGTTTCGCCACAAAGAACCAAATGTTGTGTCTTTACGCTTTGCAATTGTACGGAAGATTTTGAATAAGTCATAATTCTCAAAGTGGAAGATGCAGCGAACTAGTCAAGAGAGGCGCGCTCCCAGTGGTCGAGATAATTGGATTTTGGAATAAGGAACTCTGTCTCGTTATTCGGTCATGGATACGTATTCTGTGCTTCCTTCGATCAATTGCTTCAACTCAGCATGAATAGAGAACAATTCCATTCAACTTCTCATGCCCTCTGCGCTCTCAGAACCCAACCAATTTCACTTGATACCCTACCATTATCATCCCGTCATTCATTCGGGCTTCCTGGCGTATATTGTGTAGCTATTTTCGTCAGCATATTTCATTGCAATGAGCAAGCTTTGTTACATAGGCCAATAAGAATGAATCTTAGTATCCTTCATCTCCTTTCTCACATCCACGAGGAAAACCTCAAGCTGTTCTGGCGTCCAGCCGAGCACTCTCGTATACAGCGCCAGGGAAAACCCAGAGACACCAGCAGTAAAGTTTTCGCAATTCCACGTCCCCAACTCTTTGTACTTCTCGTCCTTCGGCCAGCGGTTCATTGGCCAAATGAAATGCTTGACAGTCACGTCTGTGTATCCCACTCGTTGAAGTTCCGCTTGGTGGTTTTTGGCAGCATCAAGTGGACGGCCGATGATTTTACTGCCTTTAAGCTGCTGTTGTGCCCAAGACTGAAGGGCAGAGTCTTCTGGGAAGGAATTATCGTCAGTCAGTACTGGAAAGCAGATGTCTGAGACCTCGATGTAGCCTCCTGGCGTGGTATTCCTAGAGCTGTCAGCATTAAATTATCATTCAGAAAATGGAAGTACGAACTAAAAGGCTTGGTCGAAGAATTTTGGCCAATTTGCAAAACTTCCTGTCATCATTCGGCAATGGATGTAGTCGAACTTCTCTGAGAAATGCCACGGCTCTTCTAAGTCGTCGATCTCAAATGATGCATTGGGAGGAACACTAAATAAGTCAGCAAGGATCCCATGAATAATCAAAGTTGGGTACTTGCTAGGATGGTTGGTCAGGACTAATGTCAATACCTCGGACCTTGGCTTCAGGATGCTCATCGGCTGTATTGGAGTTAGCATTTCTCCCAAGACAATCTCTTATAGTCTACCGTAATCAATCGCCCAAATGCCAGTACCAGTTCCAACATCTAGCACATGCTGGGAATTATTTTCTTCTAAGTCTGGGATGATTGATAATTTGCCATCATAAGTCAATAGGTACAGGTGGTGTTGCAGGTCTGTATGGATTAGATAGTGAAGTGTGTGGATTGTAGTAGCTCATACCTGCCCGTTCTTGCTCTTGCTTCGAAGCTCATTAGCTATTGGAAATTGACCAAGGATTTCAGAACATACCTCATCGTTTGGTACTAGGTACTCTACATTTGTCAGCTATGGTCATTTGCTATTTAATCCTTCTTACCTACTTCCGTCTTTGTAGGAATGGTAAGTCCGTCCATTCTCATGTCGATGCCTCATGATACTTGTCTCGACCGAGGTAGTGGAGCTCCCAAAGCTATTCTGACTTGAGTGAGCTTGGAGTCTTTTAGCATTTCAGTCAAGGACTTACACCTCCAAGGGCAGAATCTCCGTCCGCGAAGTCATCGGCCTAGTTACTGTTAGACTTTGAATTTGGCAAGAAATTGGGGGTTCTTAATTCCTGGCTACCCACTTCAGCCTCTAGATTCGGAGCTACAACATCACTTGGTAGTGCAGCCATATTGTCTTGATATTACCGTAGGTCAACAGTCATAATACAAACTTCGAACTGGTGAGGTAGTTAGAAAATAAATAGTGATCACCTCAAAGGCAAGGGACGTGGTATACATACGACTGAGCCCCCACCAACACTTCGAGCCTCCACTAGGATCTGCTCCTGATATCAAACGTGGGGTGACATCTGATAACATTCTGGAAGAGTATTCAGGTGGAGATGTTGGCACATCTAGTTGTAGCACCTTGCGACACCCAATGCTTCCACATCCACATTCCACTGCCAAAAAAATCCAAGCAGTGATACTGCACTGTGAGTGCATCTCGCCGAATCGCGTGGCGTGCGGAAAATGTTGGATCGGGGAGCAGTGCATGCGAAATGTACACTGAGATGCGGCTAAGCGCCACGAAGCCGAATCGGGACAGGATGCCGGTGTCCCAAAACTGTGGTTCGCCAATTGAATCGGCTGCAGCCGAATTCTGTACGTATATCTGCTTGTGGACATACTGGAACATGCGAGTTGGAAGAAGTGTGCGGCCGCATCGAAAGATCTTACCATTGTTGGACACATCCATCAGTATTTCAAGCAGGCATCACTTTACATCTATGAGTTTTCAATGAACGAAAGTAGGGTCAGGAAGTAATGTTGCGATCGGGCTCGATTTAATTGATGCAGTGATATCCTATGAGACGCATGTACCGAATTATCTTGCAGGGCTCGCGTTTGTCTGTCAAGTGCTACTGAGGGAGCGGTGCTGAAGCAGAGTAAGGGTCTCCGGCTTATGAGAATCAGCTAGCGAAGTATTGTTGACAATTATCACCATGAGATAGCTGGACGCTTCATGGACAATCAATTGTGCAGTTCTGTCAGTACGTTGGTCACTAGTCAAATGGATGACTCGCTAAGGCCATCCTCAATGAATATCTTTCAAGCATACTTTGTAAGCCAAGGTCTGGTTCTGCAAGTGAACGAGCAGCAAATTGAATTTCATTCTACCGGAAGTCAACATACACAGAATGAATAAAAGTCATCATGTGCGCAGCCACAAGCGAGTTCAATGAAAGTATCTCCGCCAGCGTCAACCTGGCTGGCTCACTTCTTCCATCAACAAACACCTACCTCGAAAACAAACCACACCAACGAAAATTCAACAATTTCAACACATCCTACCACAAATAACCCAACGTACAAACATGAAGTCCTTCGACCTCCTCCTCACCATCCTCCTCCTCTCCCTCTGCCTCTCCTTCTCCGCCCTCACCTTCACCCTCGCCCAAACCATCTCCACACCCCTCCCAACCGCAATCAGCGCCTCCATCCTCAGCGACGCACTCCAACCCACCACCACTCTACTCGTCTACTACGCCAGCGATACCACTATGACAACAGCCCTCCATCCTAGCCTGTCAAACCCAAGTGGTGGTACCGTCGCAGCTCCCTCTCCCACCGACGTCTCCTTGATGGTCTCCCTCCTCACGGATACGATGCCGAGCCCTTCGATGTTGTCCTCCTCCACAATCACGATTGGAACCTCAACCTCCACTCCACCATCGTCAACAAATATGTTGTTGGACTCGTCGGGAATGATGGTGTCTCCCACGACTGTTTCGATAGTCTCTACCTCAACTACTGTTTTTGCTAGTCAGAGTTCGACCTCGACCTTGGCTTCAGCTTCAAATTCTACGAGTCCAACTCAGCGCTCAACTTCGACATCGACTTCGACTTCAAGCGCTGGTGCGGCTGCTACAGGTGATGGTTTTGGAGTTGGATTGGGTGGCGTGCTTGGTGCTGTCGTTGGTGTGATGGCAATTTTGTGATTTGAGCATGGGTGAGTGAATTCTACAAGTCTCATCATCCAGCGCGTACGTTCAGTAACTGACTGGCATATTTATTGTGTAGATAGCATACCATGCCTATCAACAGATGTTCCTCTTTTAATCGATCTTTCGCTAGAGTTAATACGCGAGTCAATCGCCCTTGAGTTATACACCAATGCTCTGTGTCTGGTTGGCATGAGGTTTCTTGGACTGGGCATGTTGGTGGATGCAATATTGGACGCCCGATCGTGGGCTAGGATTAAAAAGCTTCCAAATACACCCCTATACCTGCAATAGTCTCCTGGCATGTATCTCCCGCACTCGTCAGGTCCAAGTTAATCGAACTTCACATTGGGATGGGCTGTCCTTCACTTTTCGCTCTTCCCACTCATACTTGATAATTGTGACGTCATGAGTACTTGGACTTTCGTCTAATTGAGCCAGGTTGACTTCTCTGGTGCATGCATTCAGGAAGTGCAATGACCAGTATGTAGTTATTGTTCCTACCTTACATAAAAGATTTCTACCGAATCTTCTCTTCATCCCTCGCAGCCAACATTCTAGAGATAGATAAACCGTATACTCTTCCTTTCTGATGATATTTTCTCCAATTAGAGCGCATGGTATCACCAACTCTTCATTTATCACGCCTTCGATAATTATTAAACATATCTTCCCTTTGTATTTACAGAAAAGTCTCGCCAAGCCTTTAGCCGAAGAACACCCTCCTCTCACTCCATTCCAATCCAGTTTATCTCTCTGTTAATTTACTTACTCCTGGAGTAAGCGCTCAATGAGAAAGGACAAGGGATCTGTCTTCCACATGAGGAAATTTTACCACTAGTCATGTCAGCGAGCAAGAGCCTCGGCCACTAGTAGGTTACAGGCGGAAAAGCAAGTTGCAAATGTTTGATATATAGGAAACAAAGGACGATTTCTTTCGGTCTATAGTGGGGAGAATCTACTTAAAGCGCAATTAGGTACGCGAAAGCAAAGAAAACGGACAAAATAAAGCCCAACGATGTCGTGGACGCTCTGGTTCATACCGCGCCACACCACACCACAACACGCCCCTCCCTAAACATCAAACTCATCCTTCCTCTCAACCCCACTCCCTATACCTCCCTCTCCATGCAGACGCCCATCCTCTAGCTCAACCTCCCCACCTACGCCCATACCCTCATCCCCCAACCCTGGCAACCTAACCGCCCTATCCAGCGCCACGGGCAGTCCCCTATGCCTACCCCTAACCATAACCACACACAGCAGCACTTTACTACTCGGCTTCCAGGCCCCACTAAAACTATAATCCTGGCCCTTCATCCCCGTACTAATGCCCACACATCCGTATCCCGACACGACTTCAAAGATGATGTTGAAGACGGAGAAGGTGACGGGGTCGTTCTCAAAGGAGGACGCTTCGATGCAGGTTATGAGAAGGACGGCGAGAACGAGGAGCCATATGTCGTGTGCGAGTTGGCCGCGGATTTGTTGGTGGATGAATTGGGTACGGGTTGGGGTGGGGAGGTGGGTGTGGTGGTGACGGTGAGGAGAGGAGGAGGATGGCGTGAAAGGGTGGGCTAGGGAGGAGAGGGTGCTGAGGATGGTTTGTAGAGCGCTGGAGGGTTTGGCTCGTCTATCTCCGGCGCCGTAGATCTCCTCCTTCTCTTCCTCATCCTCTCCAGCATAGATCCCCAAGCTCCTCTCCTCATAAACATTCGAGCCTCTCATAGTGATGACTACCGGGTATACGCTGACATACATCATGATGACGTACAACACCTGTAGCCCAATCCTCAACTCACTTATCCCAATTATGTAGAACCCGCCGCTGCGTACAGCCAGCGCTTGGAACAGACCGTCCAGGACACGGAAATTGTGCGGGATGGCTTCAACGGCGGCATTACCTATGTTGAGAAGCTCGAAGGCAATCCAGTCGATGCCGTTGAGGGTTATAACCATGAAGAGAAGCCAGAGGGTTGGGGCAGAGGGGAACAAGTGCGTGTAAACACGTCGTGGGTAGGCGAGGATGAAGCGGAGGGTGGCTTTGTGGGTCGAATGAGTGGTGGGAGAGGGGTAGATGGTGTTGAGGGTTTTGAGCATGAGGGAGAGGATCAAGCGGAGGATAATAGGGTATCTGGTGGCAGTCAGTAAGAGTTTTCTGCAATTGGGTATGTAGAGAAAGTACGCCGTGTTTCCCGCCAGGATCATCATTCCCATGGTCACGAGTGTGTAGATGGAAGTTTGGAAGGGGATCTAGGAGATGTTCAAGTCAGTTTTCATCCGTGGGTGGTATCAATCCTGTTTTGAACTTACCAAATTCGCGTCCAGTAAACTCATACCCGAGTTATTGAAAGCAGAGACACCATTGAAAATTCCCAGCCACCTAACACACAGCATTAGCAGTTTTCCACACTCTCCTCGTACACACTCTCAACCCATTGACATTCCATTCTCCTCCAGTATCCAGCTCGCATCATAACAAAGAAGTGAAGAGAAACGGACTCACCAAGAATTAATCCCATTCGCCCTAATAACTTCCTCCTTGTTAATCTTCATATATGCACCCAAACCAACACAACCAAGTACTTGCCAAAGCACGAAATACAACGGCACGACCCATCCCAGCAGTGTGATAGCCCTATACTCCACACCACCAAGATGCTCCCTCTCCTCTCTACTTAAGCCATAGACCTGAGCATTCCGACCTGTTGTATGGCGTGTGAGGTAGTGCGGATATGTGGCCTGGTCTAGCTCTAGTTGCTCTCCCTTCAAGTCGAGATCAGGGTGCATTCCCCGAGAGGTCCTTCCATCTGGCGCTGTAGCTTTTCTTTCGAGGCGATGATGTAAAGTCATGGGAAGTGCGGGACCATGAGTGGCGCTGTAGATCGATGCTGTTGCTGAGGTCGTCATGCCAGGATAATGACGTGCTCCAACGCCTGCGAAATTCAAGATCCGATGGTGTGGTGCTCCAGTACCTAAGTCCCCGTTTGTGTCTCCCTGAGCAGAGGATGTATGCCGCGTGAAAGAGATACGATCTGGATCACCTTGGCCTCCTTTCCCACGACTTCTTGTTCCGGTTCGAGAATGGAGACTACGGGAAGCAAGACCATGAATCTCGATCTCATATCGCTCCCCCCTTCCCATTCCCTCCCCTCCTCCACCCGACCCAAGATCTAAATTCGAATTCAACAGCTCATCACGAGCCACCGATTCCGAACCCAGATCCGGGCCATGTGGAGAAAGGTGTGAAGTCGGATCCCTTGGCCCCGAGTGCCTACTTTCAAACACCCTTTCATCACCACCATCTCCTTCCTTCCTCTGTTCCTCAAGTCGTTCACCTACACTAACTTCTCCATTCCCATTTCCCAAATTGCCCATCCCTCCGTACCCAGCATCATCCCGTCCTAGAATACCGCCACGAAACCGTCCCCTTCTAACACCCTTGACGACGCCCCGGAAGCGTTTCTCGAAAACACGTTTGCGTGTCCACACTGTGGAGATGCTGACGAAGATGCTGGAGCCGATGACTATTAGGATGAAGAGGATGATTTGCTGGGCGAGGGCGAGCTGGCTTAGGTTGACGGTGTTGAGACCAGATTCGGTCATGGCTGTGGAAAGGGGGTGTTAGTAAAGGGTTCTAGGAATAACAAAGGAGAGATATAGGAAGATGTACAGTGATCTGAAGATGCTGGACATGCAGGATGTAGTAGCTTGATATGTAGATGTGTGGGAGCATCTCAGTCCTTGCTGCTAAGAAACCATATAATAGAAGAAAAAAAGGTAATGTTGGAACCCCAATACTGGTATAAAACCAAGCAGCGTAATAGGAAATGAGGGGCAAATTGAAGGCAACACAAGGTATAAGAGATAACAGAACGAAAAAGAATACCTCCCCCCCTCCTTCCTCGTCCTACAAACCTCAACCCACCCCCACTGCCAAAATCTTGAAATTAAAATAAAGAAATGAACTCACCAGAAACAACCAAAAACAACGCATCCACAAACTCCACCCTCCCATTCCCCCTCACATTCCCCTTCTCCTCCTCTCCAACCCCAACCCCAGCCCTCCCAATCCCCCAAAACACAACCGAAGAAATCAAACACGTACTGATGAAATACGCGTAGTGGATCGTGATGAAGTTCAGCGGTGGGAGGAACGCCTTTAGGGAGGTGAGGGTTTGGGCGGCGGCGGCGTTTTGCTGCTCTGTTTGAGAGAATAGGTTGTTGTTGTTGTTGTTGTTGTTGTTGTTGTTGTTGTTGTTGTTGTTGTTGTTGTTGTTGTTGTTGTTGTTGTTGTTGTTGTTGTTGTTGTTGCTGCTGCGGTGGGGGTGAGAGCGCGTCATTGTGGTTGTGTGGTTGATTGATTGATTGATTGATTGATTGATTGGGGTGTTGTTGAGCTGGTTTGGTGTTGATGGAGGAGGTACAGATCTCGCGTCTGTGTATGTTTGGCGTCGTAAGTACCTAGGACCTCCCGTAAGCTCCTACCTATCCTGTAGAAAAAACCTTTCCTTGCCAAATAAACTCAAACAATCACTCACTCTAAAGAGAACAGAACACCAACGACACTTCACTTCCAGTATCTCAAGTACACGTATCGCCGAATTTGCAAGTTCGAAATCCTGCCCGTGTGTACTGTACTTTTTTTGCTTTCTTGTTTCTTTTCACCGCATCGAAATCGAAATCGTTAAAGTCCTCCCTCTCCTAGTCTCGCCGAGCCGAGCCAGTCCGGGGCAGGTAAGCTAGAGCCCTTAGCCGAGAGACTCTTTTCCTTCCTTGGAGAAGCTTAGGATTTTAGTTGAGTGGGCATGGTGGGGCAGAAGCAGGGGCAGGAGCAGGAGCAGGGGCAGGAGCAGGAGCAGGGGCAGGAGGTGGTGGGCAGGTAAGTGCCGGGGATTTAGTATTTACCCGCATACCTTGCGAGCTTGCCACCATCTCAGGTGCCGACTCGCTTTTGAGAGGTGCTTGTGAACTTGGCTGTATGTGCGGATGTGACGGGATATATCCATCTACTTCCCAAAGAGGACCTGGTGTTTTGAAAGAGTTGTTTTAGTTGTGATCTACATAGAGTTCACTTCACTGTGAAATGCCGGAACAAGAGAGTGGTTTTGAAAGCAGCCAACTTGCTCTGTTCATTTTATTCTTTCTTTCTTTCTTTCTCATATCTATCGTCAGATCAGACTAGAAAATGACTTTTCTCTCCTTCCTCGTCCGAGCTATCTGTATCGTTCATTTCCCTCTCATCTGGATATCATCTGATCTCATATCCTCTCATGTCTGCATGTGAGAGAATCACATCACTCATCCCGAGTTCCTGCCTCCCAATCCTCTTCCCTTCCATGCATCTCCCCCCTCGATAATATGATATGATATGATAACAGAAGAAAAGAGACCATCGGCTTCGATCCGAACAGGGTCATATGAACCCTCCCAATCCAAAACAACGCCGCTGTTTACCAGCTTCGGACACCGCCTCAGCACAGCTAGACCCAGATTTCAAATCAAACAATACCAAAAACAACCTCGACCTCAACCACGAGACGAGCACTCATGCTCTCCCTTAAATGACAAAATGAATTACGATCATGGATTGATGTTGATGTCGGTAATGATAGTATCAACCGCCGGTACGCCAGTGTAGACACAGTAAATAGTAGTCCCTCCAAATTCCCCCGGATGGAAATGCAGCCGCACATGTATAAGCGTACAAGCCTGTTTATGGACAGGCTGATGATGGTATTGATTTTGTAAGATGGTGTAAAATATGTGTCCTTGTCGAAGTAATGCTGATGTGATGTATCAACATGTGAAGATTAAATAGAAGGCAGCGGCATGCCGTGCGGACGGATGTCCACGATGGTATCAACTCGAGACGCTGGCGTGCTCATCATGGTCGCTCAATTGCGCTCTGTGATCGATAGCTAGCCGACATGCCTTCAACTTCCGTTGATGTGGGTGGTGGTGTGAACAAGACTTTCATCGAGTCTTTCAGAAGCCGCGTTGTGAAGGATCTCTGGGTGGTTGGTGGTGTCGCTGACTATTGTCTCTGGCATTGGCCCATTCCTGAGCACCATTTTGTCGAGTGGCAGGCTGCTCAGCAGGCAGCTTTTGATCTTCAGGTGTATGTGGACGTCCATTCATCATGGATGGTTCGCCAGGTCGAAGGTTGGAGACGACGGATTGAGCGATCGAAGCAACAACGTAACCTCGGAGTTCTCTGTCCTCTCTGCTGTCCTCCTTCTCAAGTCTGAATCGTTCATCCTTGGGCATGTTGGATCGTCGAAGATTACGAATCTCGTTCTGGATGTACAGCATCACTTCCTCTGGACAACGGTTCCGCTCAAGAGCTTGCTCAGGTTTTCGAACGTATCGTCGAGTAACATCTGTGGCTCCATCCATGGAAAAGGCGACGCAATACGACATCTTCTTTCCCCATCCGTCAGCGTACAGCCGTGGATTGTCCCAAGCTTCTTCACAAGCGTCAACATGGATCCATCGTTTTTGCATCTCCGAATACACCTCCGTCCATACGTGGTCCTCGGCATTCCATACCCATCTCACACGTCCTCCTACTGCTCTGCATAGCATGCTGAATACGTTGACCCACTCGCCACTTCGTCCTTTCCTGGTCTGTAGTAACCGCCAAACGTCGCCGTATCTTGGGAATCGCTCGTAGGCACCGCAATCACCAGCGGAACATCTGTACAATTCTACTCGGAGGGCACCGTATGCTGACTCCTCTGGTGTTGGTGGTGTCATGCCTTGCGCAATTGTTGGTGATAAACAGACTGAACATGGCGGGTTGTTGACCCAGGAGAAGAATGACCGCTTGAACCATCTAACAATGTCAGTATGAATCAATCAACAGATGATACGATACATACCTCAATAATGCGCGAATGACACAGTCTTGATATCCCCATTCCGGCTTTCGTCCATCACCCATACTCTCAGCCTGTGCCTGGAGCACTTGGCTCTCCTCCTCCGCCTCGCCATATATCCGATCCAGTGGGATAACCTGTAACGCCTCATCCAACAGTCCAGGGTTCTCGTACTTCGTGGGTGTAAGTGATAGAGATATGAGGAGGTTCCTGAACTTTTGCGACTGCGCATCCGCAGGTGGCGACGGGACCTTGGGTAGGCTTCTCAGCGACGCATACGATGGAGGGGTAGCGCCGTATTGCGAGCCACTTGATGTCGATGGTCTGTACCCTGATGAATGTGATTGTTGTGAATGAGTAGAGGCGGCTCGTAGGTTGCTCGAAGACGCTCGCTCTCTTGGTGATGGTGAAGATGTCCTTGATCGGTCCAGCTCGTTCAGTCGTTTCGTCCGTAATAAACCTTCGAATTGTGCCGTCAATCCCCTCGCCCATTGATCATCGTAATCCCCATTCCCGTTCTGTTGCGAGCCGAAGCCCGATGAGTCGGCCATCTCTTCCTCTGCCGGTTCGTACTCGAGGCCGATGTGAAGGGTGTCGAGGTCGAGGCAGAAGCAATCGTCGTCCACCGCCCAATATTCGCACCTCTTTTCTGCTTGTGTCTGTCCTATGATTCCGGTTGTTGTCGTCGATACTCCAGCACGGAGTTCCTGAATTGAAGGAAGGAAGGAAGTCGAGGTGGAGGTTGAGGTGGTGGTGTTGAGCGAGCGTGATGAGGGACCCTCCCTGGCACAGCCCAGTTCAGTTGTCGCAATGCCACTTCGCTTAGTGTTTTAGGCTAGGTCCGCTGCAAGAATAGATGCCTGTCTTCTGTCTTCGGTGGCTGATGCGGGCAGAGCGAAAAGAACTGGTAATGATGATGATGATGATGATGATGATGATGATGAAGGGGGCAGCAGTTGAAGTTATTCTTCATCGGTTGTAAATAATTAGGTGAGTGACTGTTGGTGATGAGGAAGAAGAGTATGCGGCGACGACGAGGTGTGTCTTGGTAAGGTTCGGGTTACAGGTACGGAGAGGGAGAGTACGAAGTTTGCAGTCAGTTAGGTTGGGGGTTGCGTGTGCACCCAGAGATTAGGGATGGCGTGGCCGTCCGCCTTCAGTCTTGGGGGTGGAGGAAGAAGGAGGACGAAGGAGACTTGGTTCCCGGGCGATGGCGATGGCAAAGGCAAAGGCAAGGCAAAGGTACGCGTGTGGACTGTGGAGTCCAGAGGGGAGTACTAAGTGAGGAGAGTTGAGGAGCGTCCACAGAACCAGAGAGCATGCAGGCAGACGGCGGCGGGCGGGCATCAGCGTCTGCCTTGATTGGCCGCGTTTCTGGATCCTCAGATTTCTTGCATCGCAGGACACGCGTCGCCGTCACTAACGAAACCCCTGCCAGGTATCCGTCGTTGCCTCAGGTCAGAAGGGAGTATAATTGGGTCCAGCTGCGTCGTCGTCCACTTCAGCCAGTTAGAGACACCGGAGGACGATCTAACTGTGGTGATCCACCACTCAAAGTTCGTTCTCCAGGATATCGGATTTCGATTCAAGCCAGTAAGAACTCGTTCTTCGTTCTGACTAAGTGTGAATTTACTTGTATATCCGACAGCATTGGCGATGGGGAGAGAGCGAGAATAAGAGACGTGTCTTCCCTTCGAACCTCAGGCTTTGGACTTTTCTTTCCTGTCTGATCTTCAGATCTTCTTTCTTGGTACGTACTCTACTTTAGGAGCACGTCTCCGGAGTGAAAAGTTGCCAGCCAGCTCGTGACCAACAACGTCGGCGCTGTGGATATTCCTTCTCTTGGCACAATTAACATTGAATGGACCCTTGCCGTCAGTCTACAGTACGATTCTACCAGTTTCCCACGAGAACTTGCTTCAAGAGCATGAGCTCAAATCATGTCAAGGACATCCAGTCCAATCTACAACAGAAAATCCAAATGTCAAAACTCTATGTTAACCCAGGAGTACCGGATTGTGTATGGTTTCCCACTAATTAGACATCAGCCTGCTCCTCCACTTTCTTCTTTACTTGCCAAAATGTTTCCATACAAGGATCGCAAGGACCCCATCAGACCCTGATCTCGGCGTTTGAAAATTTGAGTTTTCTGAGTTTCTGGTAGTCATGTGATCAGATAGCATTTTCCCTCGATGTCAATGCGTCGGATCTCTCCACCGCGGTGGCAAATACTTTGGTCTGGGGAAGCCCAGCAGAATAGCCTGCAACCGGACATGTTTGAGGCGCAGGACTGATCAACATGAACATGAGGCTCTTGCCACGAATACAAGCGGAGGTGAAGTTTGAGTTGGGAGATCAAATTCGGATCTCTTGGAGCCGTGAATCGTTGAAATAATGCGTGGCACCCCCAGCACGGTGAGAGTTTCGTTGCATCTTCATCTGTTCTGTCTTCCCTCCCGTCAAACTTCTGAACGATACAGACGGAGTGAGAAATTGCCATCAGGTAAGACTTGCCTACGCAGGCCTATCAACTAAAGTACAGTACGAATTACATTACTCGCGACTCGTTGTCATTTACACCGTACCACGCAAGTGTATTCGAGTACGATTGGCCACCGACTTACTTATTCAACCCTCTCCAATTCGTCCCATCGCTTTCCCTCCCAGGTACGAATATGTTTACGTGAAGTTTCGCCTTCCATCACCCCAAGCCCATCACAATCTCACCAAGTCCTCACCAAGCAAACCCGCAAAGCTTCCAATTGCTTCCCTCCCCTCAAACCCTCCACGCAAAGAAATCCTCCCTGCTGGCAATCACCACTACTACTCCCAGTCCCAAACTCCTCAGAAAGGGTGAGTGACGCGCGGCAGGCTCTTGGCATAGATCTCGCTTAAGTAGTGGATTGCGTGGCCTGGAGATCAAACAACTGAGCCGAGCTTGACTGCTTTGAAGGTTTATTAAGCGAGGAAAGCAAGCTGAATGAAACGATCACGAGGGAAATAAACAAAACAGTCGTTTCTTTGGCTTGAGTTAAGATATGGGAAATTTTGTGACGTTTTAGAGTTTTAACCTTTTTTATCTGTGGGATTAAGCATCGCTTGTTCAGCTAGGAGGATGCGGTATCAATGAATGAGTGCGTGCTTACCTAAATATTAACGGCAACATCATTTTCAAGGACAGTACCTAAATAACTCAGCTGTATAGCGCTCCTGAAAACCGTAATCGTGTAAATTGAAAATGGGTTATTTAAATCAAGACGATGTGAAATTCAATGCCATGAGTAAATCTCAATCTTTCAAGCCCTCTCTTCCCACTTACCTTCTCTCATACCCTCCACATTCCGAAGTCATCACATCAACAATACTCGTCAAACATACACCAAACGTAATACATCAATCCAGTGACATAATAATCTAATACACGCACCGACCGCGCCTGTTGATCCATTAGCGACCGTCCCTCTCCTCAATTTGCCAATTTCCCAATCTTATGTCCCACTTGCGCCAATTCACTATTACAGGCTCCTTCTGGCCCCATCCCCCATTTTAGATTCACTCCCAATGCCAGCCTTGAAAAGTTTCTCCGTGGCCAAGATGATCATTGGCTAGGCAGAACTTTCGCCGAATAAAGTATTGTGTGAGCAGTTTGTTTGAAGGTTCGTTGCCGTCTGCTGACTTTCGTCAACCTCCCATCAACACTTGACCACAGCTTGGCCTCCACTCAATTGAATGCGCTGAGATACATACCACAGAACATGTTTGTAGTCCAGTACTCCCGCCTGCCATTAACATTCTACTAATCTTTCCTATGGCCACTGGTACTATCTCCTACCTAAGCTTCATCCTCGCAACATAAAACCCAACTTTCCCCTCCCACCAACCTTTCCTCCCCATGCCGCAATCTTTTCGCCAAAACAAGCACAACACAGTACCAAGCCATCCCATCCCTCCTCCCGACGCGCGTTCTCCCCCTTCCCCTCCAGCTCACCGACTTTCCTCTACCACCAACCTATCAGAACCTCCTTCCACAGTTCCAAAGTTCCACATTTCCACCTCAACCCACCACCATCCCACCCAATCTGCCATCATATCCCCCGACCCAGCACTCTACCTGAGCTGCCAATGACACAACCAAATTCCGTATAAAGTTTTGTTGCATATCACAAAGTATGTTTGTCAATCGGTCGGCAAGTGAAGTGAAGTGAAGTGAAGATATACTTCATGTGCTGCAGTTCATGTAAGAGTGTAGCTAAGAGAGCAAGGTAAAACCAAGGAGACAAGAAAGTCCCCTGCTAGTGATAACGATCTTTTGTGTTGCTAGTCACAGTAATTCTTGTTCCAGTGCGATGCTAGCATGGGCACTGGTGAGAAGCGGGTAAACCCCAAGGAAGGAGATTGATTGACGCGCGTCTATTTCAATAGATTGGAAAGAGAAAGGGAAAAGGGCTTGGGATGACACAGCATCTTGGTATGATATAACGTAATCGTGTACTCTGTGGGCTTGCAATCATGGGAGTAGATAAACTTGATAATCGTGGATGGTTGCCTGATACGGATGATGGAAGAAAGAATCAAGCGAAGATGTGTTGATGATGGACTGACTGAACAAAGGAAAAGAGGAGACCATGTATAGATTACAAAGTCCAATGGAAGTCTCGAGCATCTCGCGTGCTAATAGGAATATAGTTTCAGGATCCTTAAATCAGGAGTGGCCCAAAAGAAACGAAGTACCGGCGGGATCAACTTTGTAACTAGGTACCTACCTAGGTAGCAGCAGAGCCATCCATGGTCACGTGCTAGCGATGAGAGTGTGCCTCCAAAAACACTTTCACTTCATCAACTCCATCACCTCAGTCATGAAAATCTTTCCAACGACTCTAATCTACAGAATTCTTATCCCTCCACTCCTTCTCCCCGTAAAACCTCGGCGGCAAATCGGCCTCCCAAATCGGCCGCTCCACCACTGCGACCTCAGGACCAAAGTCCTCCTCACCCTCACCAACAACCACCACACCCAGAATAGGCCGATACTTAAACGTATGCCAGTGATTCGGGCTCTCGTCAATATCCTTATTATCTTCTTTGTCAAGAACAGGCACTAAGTCCATTTCCTCTTCCACGGTTCTATCCTCGTCTTGGTGAATGACCTTTCGTATTTTGCGAGACATGCCCGTGCCTAAAACCTCGTCTGAGATCAAACCACCTGCACCAGAAGGGTTCTCCTTGCCGTGTCTTCTGCGACGCTTTTTACTTCCTGTAGGCTGCTCCAGTTCATCCTCGTCATCTGACGCTTCTGCCCCGGTCGGAGTAAAATCTCTGGCCAAGTCAAACATCCACAGCCATCCGACACCGTACAACCATACCCGCTCTTTGCCCTCGGAGACATCCCATACGCAACCCTTCGCCTGATCGAGCGTCTTGCGGTAATTCGCTGGGAATGTATGCGGTGGGTTACGTCTTGACCAGGGACTTAACCCACCTTTCAGGACGTCCAACTCGTAGATATCAGATGTAGCCGTCACGACTAGTAGGCGTGCTTCACCGCTCGGTAAGTCGTGGGAGACGGGGTGAGGATTATTCCTCGTAGGACGCGGTGCGACGCCATTCGTTAGCTGCTTCTGGGTCGCAGGACGGAAAGAGAGAACGACTGGCGCAGTTGGGAGTTTAGGTAGGAGAGAGGCAGCCGGATTGCGTGTCCAGTGCTGACCGAAGATGAGTTTAGGGGTGGAGGGCGAGTCTTCGTCTTCTGAATCCGAGTCGCTGTCTGATTCGCATGAGGATGACGCGGCGGAGGAAAAGGCGGCGGGAGGCGCTTGAGTCGTGTCTTCGACGCCTGAAAGGACGAAGCTGTCTATGTAGCCAGAGAGGTCGCTCACGGCGAGTATCTTGCTGTCTGATGACCAGGCGATTTGAGTTATTGTTCTGTCGTAAGTGCCAAGGCCGCCTAGAAGAGTGAATTTGTCGACTTGACGGTCGAGACGGGAGACTTTAGAAATGGGGGCGTGAAATATGGTTGATGATGTGGACGAATCTAGTGTTATGCGGGAGAGGAGGATGTGGCTGTCTGGACGGATTATGGAAAGCCATTTTCCATCGGGTGAGAATTGAATGAGTCGTGCACCTGATGAGAAAGACTCTGGTAGAGCGACTTTTGAAACTTTGAGACCATCCTCCTCTGTTCTGGGACGTAATTGGAAGACTTTGATCTCTTCTGTGGTTGATACTGCCAGAAGACTGCCATCTGTACTGAGAGTGGCGGATGTGATGTATGCTTCTCCTTTGATCAGAATTTTGGCGACCAGTTTTCGTCCCTTAACAGCTGGCTTCTCGTCATCATCGTCGCTTGTAGGTGCCGCAGTTTTGTTGACTCTCCAGATGTGTACTTCTCGATCCCACCAACTCAGAATCAGTCTCCTCCTTGGTGAGCTACCAAGTGTTAATTCTTGTGGAAGGAAGGGTAATGATCGTTGGTTTTCGAATCCGAACTGTCCAAGAGGTGTAACGATTGGGGATGCATCAGGACCTATTTATGTTAATAATAATTAAGGTCACCACTCGGATGACATACCTCCGGACACAACAACACTCATTCCACAACCCTCGAAGCTTGCCATTGCCTTTACATCGTGGTTATGGAATCTTCGATGCGTAACCTCTGCCCATCTTGGTTTTGCTTTCCCATCCGGCTTATATGTGACTGTCCTTCTGTCCATTCCGCCACTGAAAATTGCGCTTCCATCTGTGCTGGTCGCAAGACTGAGCACATCCTGTTCATGCGACTTTATCCTCTGTCTCAGAGTGTATGTCTTCCCATCCCAGATCTTCAATTCTCCAGTTGAATCCCCCGAAACAATAGTTCCGTCTTTCAGCACTTTGACAGACCATACAATGATCTCTTTGGGCCCTCCTTTCGGCCCAGCCCCAAGTGTCATGCTTCGTAATAATGTTCCAGTCCGAATGTCATAGATACGGATTACACTATCGGTACATCCTGCGACGACAACATTGCGGTTTTGAAACGTAACGCTGATAATTTTGGCTTTTTTCGCAGAAGGCCGAACCAGAATTCGTTGTAATTGAAGGTCCTCATCCTTCGTCGAGTACAAGACCAAAGCTCCATCCGTGCAGCCTGCGATCAAATTCTGCCCTTCCCATGCACCGCTGGCCGCGCCTATGGCAGATGGCTGTGCAGCTATACACCAAATCTCTCCATGGTTTCCACTGGCGTTGCGCAAAGGTCTACCAGTCCGCAAATCCCATTCCGTGACTGTGGTGGTATATCCGACACTGAAAAGTCTGGATTTCCCAATGATCAACTTCCCGTTGACCTCCTCGTTCGGATCTTGAGTCCATACCAGACCATCAATGCTCCGATCCTTCCCTCCGTGTATTATTGTCTCCTGCAGCCACGATCCTCTCAGCGGGTTCCATATTTCAATGTCACCATTTGCTCTGCCAACCGCTAATCTTGGAGGGGCGGTTTTCTGGTCTTTCGAGATGTGCGAGTGGGAAAATGCGAGCGCATTGATCGTGGAAGGCGGAAAAGGCACGAATCGACAACGGTGGATATCCATGGCGCTGGTGGTGAGCTAGGGGAATCGCTGAACTCTCACAAAAATTGTCTTGACTTTTCTTGAAAAGTTCGAGGTTGCTCAGCAGATCTGCCATACGCTAAGCCCCTCCCGCTCACCGCTCGGATATATGAGGACTAGCCCATTGAGCTCTTATGCCTCACTTTCACCCCTCTTCGCTTCACTTTATTCAATCAACTTTTGATGTCTCTCATTTGACAATATGTTGGGTGAGAAAATCTCAGTATCAAATCATTGCTGTCTGCATATCTTATGCTTCCATCATATACATTACTTGCTATTCAGGAATCTCTTTGCCTCACCAAGTCTGTCTCAAAGTCGAGTCCAGCATCCCTCCGAATGACACCATACATAGACGAAGAGTCCATTGCCCTTCCACCCTGACTCTCTGCATAACCTTTCGCTTCATTCAGATGCCCGAGTACGATTTCTCCAATCTTGAGTCTTGCGCCTGCTTTTTCTGCAGAATTGACACCATGTCCAACATCTTTAATAGCAAGATTGATATCAGACCACGGTTTCTCATCTATTTCTATTAGCAGGGCCATGGTTTTGTCGATGCTGTGACCTACTTTTTGCCGGAAAATAGACACCCGTTGTCAATCTTCTGGATATTGTGTATGCCAGAGGACCGTAGTTCTCCTTGATCAGCAGTTCCATTGCCTCACTGCCCAAGCCAGTCTTCTCAGCAAAGACATGGGCTTCTGCCACAATTTCCATCATTCCTGCTGTGATGAAGTTTCTTCGTTGTTCAAAGTCAGTCCAGAACTTCATATCCAAGCATGGCTTACCCTGATGTCTTCATCAAGCTCGCTTTCGACACATCCTCCCCGAGGCTTATAACCTCTCGTCCCATCACACCTTTCAGGTATGGAGCAATAGCTTCGGTCGCTACTCTAGGTCCAGCGACAACAAAAAGTAGTTGTCCAGCTTCTGCTACTGGGGATGCGCCAAACACGGGAGCTATGTCTGTTAATTATGTTTTGTGAAAAGGCAAGTGCATTTACCAGCAACAAATACCGCCCCAGCTTCAGTCAACTTCTTAGAGGCTCTGACTGAACTGTCTGGATGTACTGTTGAAGTGTCGACGATGATCTTTCCTACCAGGCTGCTGCATGCTAGCATTTTGGAGACGATATTGTCAAGGACGGAATCATCGCTTATCTGGTTTGTTTTCAGCTTTTGCTTTCTACTGTGACTTTGTTCATACAGATGAGAAAATAATATCTGCTTTTGAGACAAGTTCTGCAATCGTTGCGCATGGGATTCCGCCAAGTTCTACAAGGGATACCCCACGTGATAAGGTTCGGTTGGTGAAGTTCAATGGCGGAGCCACTGATGCTGTGAGGTGTTTCTGAAGGTTCTTCGCCATGTTTAGACCCATGGAACCGAGACCTAATCCAGTCAGATGTATTTCCTGACGGTCATTCTCCCGATTTAACGGGGGCCATCTTACCAATCCAACCCAGCACTGGCTGTGTTCCAGTAGCCATATTTGCGTGTCAAGAAGATCGGGATGCTGAGGGATGCTATGTTGCAGTGTAGTAAAGACGGCCGAAGGGACGTCTATCCAGACCTCTTTTACCATACTTGCAATTGTATCCCACTTTTGCTGCTGACTCATCAGCGGATTTCTCAGGTGGACTTGATGAAGTGAGTTCCTACATTTACGTATCCAGTTCTCCGATTTCGCGACGATTACTTTCATATTATCCTCGCTGCAAATACTTGTATTTTCCATTAAAATTCTTACCCCATCATGCCTTGGCACCTCTTTGGTCACCACAGCAATGGAGACTTGCCATTGCTCTGTGTACTGCGTATTTTCTAACGGAAAGGTCTTAGCCAGTGGATATACTAGATACTAGAGTAAGGTGAAAGCGTACAAGCCAATTTATGCAAAACTGGGGTTTGGGCCGTTGTGGAAATACATTTCTGAATTTGGGAGAGACTAGAAGTCCTGCTAATTCTGCCGATAGCTGGAGTCTTGCCAATTAAATCGATTCTCTAACATTTTCGTTTACACACTTCTAGCTGCTTCAGCATAAGTCAACTGGATTTGAAATGACAGTTCCAAAAATGTACAAGAGGTTGCGCCGACGCCTTGCAGACAAGCGAGTAATAGGACCGAACATGAACCGGGAATGTCCAATCACAAGCCCTCGGTTCAGCAATTGATTGGCTTGAACTTCCATAAGTTCAAGCCACCCGACGACAGAAATCGTATCTTCTGCTCAGGCTATGAAGCTGAGCACCTTCTCGAAAACGTGTCACTTGGCGGCGAGGCAGCACTGCACACGACGAAATATACCAGGCTCTGTGTTGAGACGGCATGGTTCCTAATTACTCTCAACCGTTTGACTAAACATCCTAAACACTCCGTAGCAGATCACTTCGATTCTAAGTCGTCAATATGGCCTCACCAGCCACCGAAAATGACTCCATTCCATCCACTCACCCACAAAAGATGAAAGCATGGGTCCATACCTCAACCGGATTACCAGAGAAAGTCCTCGCATGTTCAAACGACATCCCATTTCCACATTCCCCTGTCGGAGAAGAAGTGCTGGTCAAGATCAGCCATGCAGCTCTCAACCCAGGAGGTTCAATCATGATGCAAATCTGTCCCATGCTCTTTCGAGCCAAACCTGCAATTCCCGAAATGGACTTCGCGGGTACAATTGTCCAAGTCGGTCCAATTGTCCCAGAATCACAGGGTCTGAGGGCGGGGACTGAGGTGTTTGGATCGGTCCTAGTGAGCTCGCATATTCGAGCTGGAAAGGGATCATTGGCGGAATTTGTGTTGGTGTCTGCTGAGAATGTGTGTCTGAAACCAGAAAATATGTCGCTAAAAGAAGCAGCAGGACTACCAGTTGCAGGGTGCACAGCTTTGGCATTGTTTGACTCTGCGAAGTTGGAGGAGGGAATGAAGATTTTGATCAATGGTGCAAGTGGTGGTATTGGGTCAATGGCCTTGCAGATTGCAAGGTCGGCTGTGGGCAATAGCGGAAAGATCGTTGCAATTTGCTCAAAGGCCAACATTGAGATGGTCAAAGGACTCGGAGCTGATGAGGTGCGTTTGGATGCAAAGCCAGAATAATCTAGAGCTGATACAATGTAGGTCATCGACTACCAAGAGCACGCACCGGTACACAAATTCCTGACCACTGAGTTCGCAAACGACAAGTTCGATGTAGTCATGGACGCATTTGGTATCCAAGAGATATTCCACAACTGTGAAGGCTATCTCAAACCCGGGAAAGCATTTGTCAACGTAGGCCCTGCGATGCCTACCTACTCTATGAGAGCTATTCTGTACAGCATTGGCCAGATGGCGAGCAATTTCCTCTGGCCGCGATTTCTTGGTGGGCCGAACAGGCCATACATCCAGTTTGCAGCTACTGCGACACAAGATGAGATGCAACGATTGGCAGCTATGGTTCGAGAAGGAAAGCTCAAGGTGCCGATCGATTCATGCTGGGATATGGAGGATGTGTTGAAGGTGTGTTTTGAATTTGAGGTTGAGGCGAATGCTAATGTGTGCGCAGGCGTATGAAAGGATGTTGAGCAGACACGCAAGAGGGAAGGTCATTGTCAAGATATGAACCATTCGTTACTCGCGTATGGGATCTGGATTTCGTTATGGTGTGAAGAATGCGGTGTTTAGGTAATTCCTCGCTAGTGCTCAGGTTACAAACTCGCCTACAAGGCGAGAATCCAAATAATGTATCATTTACCAGCAGAAGAAGCAGAAATAACGACGAAATGAAGAGACGGAACTCCAATATTGGTGCATACCCAAGATGATTGTATGAGCAATCCCTCCGTGTTTACTCAATTTCCACGAATGCCAACTGGGCCGGAACAACATCCCGAGACTTTGGGCATGATGAGCATCGGCCATTTCATTTGCGTTGGATCGATCTAGGAGTTCGTAGGTCAGCTGGCCAATCTGCTTTCATGAACTTCGTGTTTCGCTTCGTGTTGCATACCATTGAGTCTTGTTGAGGCTGGCCATTCCGCGGTCGCATGTCAACTGCGCCTCTTCAGATTGTTCGCGAACTTCCTTTTTGGGAAGTATAACGCGATGGGACTCTATTGAACACCCCTGCCTTCGCCCAGCAGCGCCAAGTAAACGCCGAAGCTTATTTACCGCTGGGGACCCCTCGCGGCTACCCCAGCCAAAGTGTCAATCAGATAGGGCTTATGCATCATTGCCAGTGGTCTAGACCGTATCTCACAAATTGCATTTGTTGGTAAATCCAATATCTAGTTAGCTTGGTAAGGATTGACAACCTTGTCGTGCGATTTCCTCTCGCTTCGAATGAATTGTTGAAGAAAGCGAAACGGTCATGTGGACATCCCATGACCAATTAATTCACCGCTGGTAAATTTTCCTGGCAGAGGTAAAAGGATTGGGATCGAAACCAAGAATCTCAATCATTATGGCTGACCAAATCTCGCAAGTCATGGCCGGCGTCAAGCGACCACAGTCGGATGCACGGGTTTGTTCCCTATTCAACCTCTGCTGCATGCATGACCGTGATATCAAACGATCATTGCATTGCATTGATATTAAATATTGATATCCAACAATCGTAATCCACAAGTTCAGTACTTTGCGAGCCAGGTGCAGAGCCGTAATCGGATCCCAGACTCTGGAAGTACGAAAACATGAAGTCATGGTATGCTTGTCGTCTCCCAAGCCTATCAGAAACCGCTATCTAGAGAGCAGGAGTGTGCTTGGTGAAGTCGAGTTTGATAAGCAAGATCAACGAGTAAATCTAGCTCGCAGATAGGGAAAACTCATGTGTTGTATTCGGTTTCGAGATAAGCGAGCTGGGCAACTGGTGCCTGCTCATGAGAGCCTTCGGCATAATAGACGAATCAATCGCTAGTGCAACCAATCATGAATTAAGAGACAACCGTCAACACCACAAAGCCGAATTGGAGTTGAGAGCAAGCATTGAAGCCTGAAATCGTAAAGAGTCTAAAGTCCGTGGTATCACCAAAGCCCTAACAAGCTTAGCGGAGAGTAATTTCAGCACTATTGTAGCCTGAAGGAGCCCGGCGAAATTGCATCCTAAAGAGATACTGGTTCTGGAATTTGGTCTCATGAGCAACCGCCGAAGAGAGGGGCAAATAAAACAAAAACAGCGTATGGTTTGATACAAATTTCAGCTAATGAAACATCATCTACTCGGTTGATCCTCAAAGTATACCGTAGCCCGCACGAACCCCCTACAGCTGAATGTGACCCCTCCGCTACCCACAGCACTCGACACCTTTTCCTAGCTCAGAAATCTTGTTTTTTAACAGTGGGTTGAACTTGATCCCCAAGCAGCCTCACAAAAGTCCAGTCCGGGGAAATGCTTCATATATCCCAAGTACCACCCACCGAAGTCGTTTGCTGGGCTGAATGTTCCTGCGACATATGACCCACAGAGCGCGGTGATTGCAATGGTGGATGCTGCAAAATCAGACTGTCTGAAATTCCGACCGCTTGAACCGCAACAGATGAAAGAAACCTGGAGAACATTAACTTAGATCGTCCACGGATGCGTGATGTGGAGAACTCACCACGTTACTTCTGATAGAGTACCACGCTGAATGTGGATTGATCCAAGGATTGCCATTCCCAAGCTGTGGACATAGTTAGTCAGATGATCCAGATCAATCACGATCTCTGTTCCAGTAGCTGGGTTAGGGAATATTGGCCAAAGAACCATTTCTCTAATCGCCGCTGGTGTTGCCGAATAATCCATTAAATGAACATTGGCAGATGGAAATGTCGGGAGAAGCTGCCGGTTGCTAGCATGAAGGAGAAAGAGGAGAACGCAACGTCGTCTCATTGCACCCTGGGCCAGAAGGCACTATACAGAACAGACTACTCTGCTGAACCAAATCTTCAATGATGTATTGCTCACTTTCGCGGGCGAAAATGAGAACAATGTGTTGGGAAAATTAACGAGAGCAGCACTTTTGGAAGTATCAGGCTAAAATTGAACAGTGGCCGAGGCGCCACTCACAAGGAAAGAAAGCGTAGAGGTATAAAAAAAAGTATCAACGACTGAGAGCGACAGTTATTTCACGCGATCAAAACTCGTGAAGTAAACATACCTATGTAAGTTACCAATAAACGTTGCAGAAGGATGTGGCCATCGCAGAGCGCTCCTTTGTCATTGATGAGAAGAATACCGCAATCAACTCGTAGAGGAAGAGACATATGATGCTCAAAATTACTAGGTACCTAGGTAGGTAGGTGTGGACCATCCCACTCGGCACAGACCATCATCAGATTCGCTAGCTCATATGTTTAGTCGTTGATCCACCTGCTGGAGACAGCTTTTTCTCGACTTGTCAGTACTACTCTCACTGTGAATGTAGACGACTTTCCGTATATTGAAGAATTTCTATACACTTTGTCCTCCTAGTCCTCTGCTTTGTTCTTCGTGTTCCTGATTTGCTGGAAAATGCTCATCAAAATGCCAAGTCCAGTCAGCCGTGGTTAAAGTGCGTCCACGACAGACTGCACGTTGACCATCCCCATTGAAAATCAGGCAACGAAAATGCGATGCAACGCAGTCATTGATAGTGAATAGTCTACGCACGAGGAGTGGATTTGGGAGGGAAATGAGGTTTCAAGAAAAGCCCCACAGCTGTTGGCACCAGGCAACGAGAAAACGTACCACGGACAAGATTTGCACCGAGCTTATAATTAGATGAGAAAACGAATGATGTTTATTATAATGTCCATATACGACGGGTATTCTACTCAAACATTTCGGTCATCTTTCATTAATTTTCTGCCATCCTTCTGATGTCCTTCCACCTCCTGACAGCACACATCCATCAACCTCTTCGCTTAGCCACAGTATTCGCCGCCAGGGCAAGCGACTGGCGAACCATACTTGTCACCAGAGATCCCAATGACTTGGAAAAGAGCATTGATGACACCTCCAATTCCTTCTCCAGCGCAAGCACCGGCGGCAATGGAGTATGCAAACTCGTTCCAAGTACGTGGGCTTCGCTTGAGCCAGATCTTGGACAGAATGGCTCCAGTGGCCATGGCAGTGGCGTATTGTGTCTGGGGTAGGGTGAATGCAAGACCAACAGCGTTCATGTTAGGGACATAACGGTGGAACTTGGTTGGAACTACAGAAGCTTGGTTAACATTTTGGTCAAATTGGAGGATTCGAAGATAATCTTACTCCAAAGGTACTTTGCAACAACGATGATGACGGACAATATACCCAGACAGAGAGCTGTGATCGCCGCGTTGGGAGGAACGGGAAAGTCTGCCCCTGTAACCGCTTTGGAAACAGCGACCCAAGCCGCAACAGAAGGAATACCGAATCTGATTGATTGAGTTAGCCCAATGGGTCTCTCCCACATGATTTACGTCCAGGCTCAACAACAAAATAATACGAGAATCCAGGAGCTCTTGGAGCAGCAAAGGGTTTCAAAGGAAGTGATACGTACTGGCATTTACCCTGGACCGTTTCATCCCAATCTGCATCGATGATGCATGGATAGGCATTGGAGAAGAGAACGAAAAACCCAGTACAGAGGAAGATACTGAAGAAGGAGCCAAATGCCTGAGCAATGAATTGCGCATATGGAGAGGCGGAGAGGAGGTAGCCGGTTCTCAGATCGCCCAACATATCGACGGACTGGGCTGCCGCTCCACCAGCAACTATACCTGCGGTCATGTTTGTGGTCAATGCTTTATCGCCATGAATGCCCTGTCCTTGAGTAACACCACCGAAAACAAGCTGAGATGCTTTGGCACAAGTTGACACTGGGTTGATATCTGTGGCACCTGCTGACTGAGCAGCAATGAAGGAGAAAATGAAGGCAAGAATGACGGCGAGAATCGTGAGTCCAGGGCTGACATTGTACTGGAGGGCAAGCACAATCATTGAAACTGCAATCGCACAGACGAGACCAACGGACCAAGCCCAAACTGGAACTTGCTCCTCTTTGGGAGACGGATCTAGAGAGTCCTCTTCTTCTCCATGCAGATGCTTTTCGGCAAAAGCTCTGGACTTGGGGAACTTCTCGGCAGTTTCGAAGAAGGCCCTCTTCATCCCACGGTACATCATTGGAGAATTCATGGCCACCTCGGCAAACGAGGCGCAGAGCATGACCATGACTCCAATCCACAAATTCCAGTATCGGGGCGACGGATGGTGCTTTTGCGATGTGAAACCTTTTGGTATACCCAAGCTGTTGTAGTTCATCCAGCCTGGATAAGTCTCTTTGTCAATTGCGGCACCGAAAGTTTCGCCATATTTCACAGTCAGCGGACCAACCAAGCCCCACGCGAGAACGTCACCCAAGAAGAAAGACAACGAGGCGTTCATTCCAGAGAGGATACCGGCTCCAAGGAAAGCCGGCGTGTACTCGAAAAGCCAGCCCCAGGAATGGATGCTGATCGCACTCGTCCATCCCCAAGTGTAGACCCACCAAAAGATGTTGTGGTCCCAGAGGATTCCAGGTGCGTACATCGAGGCAACTCGTAAAGCAACAGCGGCGGCAAATGAGATCCCAAGTACTTTGGCTTTCCTGGCGGCGGCCTTCTCGCCTTCTGCCCCACCTGCATGAAGTGCACGAATGGTGTAGGCAACGGCCGTGGGCGATGGGAAGATGAGCTTCAACTTCAGGATGTAAAACTTCCTCAATGCGATGGCAAAGAATAGGCCGTAATAAGCGGTGCAGAGTGAAAAGGTGATCAGTTTGCCCATATCCTGTTGGGGCTTGTCGGAGAGCAGTTTCAAATGATACACTACAAGGTTTGAGCGTCAGTTCTAAGCCCAAATATACCAAGGATATCCTCGTTGTACGTACTGGCTGGGACAGCACCGACGAAAATTATACCCAAGCCTCCAGCGGCGGTTGCTGCTGATTGAACAGTCACATTTTCCTGCACGATTTAAGTAAGCATACAAACTAAATTCCACAGGGAGTCTGCGAGTATCCATACTTTTGGACCGAAATGTCCTCCACCCAGATATCTGGGAGCAACTTTCGATATGGGCTTGAGAATGGCAAAACCGAGAATAGAACCGAAAAGAGAAGCACCGAACGTCCACCCAGTCTTGAGACCAAGGTAGATGTTCGAAGCAGACACGACAGCACCCAGGCAGGCTCCGAGTACAAGTGCACGGATAGTGATCTGTCGCTCCTCCTCTGGAATTCCATGGAGCGGTGGGAAGGGAAATTTGTTGTCGAGGACAAGGTCAGGATCCTCATAGTGCGGGTCATGTTCGTTGTCGTTAACATCTACCGAGTAGGTCTTCTTGTCGACATCCCGATCCTGAGAATCAGGCTGAGACGAAGCATAGGCTACCTTTTCGGACTCCATGGTGATCGTCTATGGTGGTCGTCAAGTCGAATCGTGAAGGGGAGTGGACAACAGTTCTCTTCGCGGGGTCGCAGTCGTCCCTTATAGCCTCGTGCTTCAAACGCATATTTCTTGTCTTCAGGGATCAGATAGATTGTTGCATCCTTCCTTGGCGCCAGTGGTCCTCTATCGCCTTATCACGACTATTCCACCTGCCTGAATGGAACTGCCAAGCAGAATCCCTACCGTCACACGAGAGTTCAGGACAGCGATCTTTGCGCTATCTGCACTCGAGCACTCGCCTTCTTCTGCCCTGTAGTGCTTGACCAGCCACTTGCATCCCTCATCCCAGCGCCGACCTGCCTCGTTCAACTGGAACCAACTGCCAAGAACTCGCCACAATCGCGATGAGTGGCTACAAAAGAGCGATTGGGCTTCTCGACGTTCTTTCGAACATTCGTTTCCCTCCTCGACCAACAAAACTACCTTCCGAGTTTGGCCGCCAAGGTAATTAAGCTCTCACAACGTTGTGGAAGGCGTTGTGGCACTTCTTGTTACTGGACCAGCCGTTTTTCACCCCCGCTTCAGCTCCAGTGCAAGGGTGTTTCACCGTCGGCAGCACACATTGATTCGTTCAGCCCATCATCACGATCGAGTACCCTGCAATATTCCACATATTAAAAGAAACAGAGCTACAATCTTGATGCTTGCTTGTCTGCTTCCAAGACTGGCTGGAGATCGGAGCGTATGCCAAAAGTAGCGGGCTATATCCTAGTCGCCGAGGCAAGAGAAGCTCTGACTGGTGTCGCGAAATGGCAGATAAGACTTCTCCATGACCCGCCTTTGCACATGACAGATTTTGCTTAATATTCCGCGCTCTATATCTGCTTGCCACAATCTTTGCCACGCCTCGGGACATTATTGTTGTGAACTTTGCTGTGCCTCAGATAACGATGATACGACATCGAACCAGTAGGTGTCGCAGTTCAGTGCAACTTCAGCAACTCCGATGCCAGCCATGCGATTTGCCGAGTAGAGCTGACTGCTTGGAAGCGAGCAAGCATTCTTCGAGATCCTTGGGCCCTGTTCTCAGCAGGGTGGAAGGATCGTATCCTGGAAATGAGCCTATCCAGACAAGGATCAGAACACCGAGTATATATTGGCTGGTGCTTGGTTCTCGAACAGTCGGGGCCAGGTTGTGGATATTCTTGGAGAACCATGTTCTTGGGTAAGATGGGGCGCCGGAAGAACTGCCCATGCAGGTGAGCATGTATCTAGGGTGTTCCTTGCGAAAGGTTCAGAGCGGTTCCTCCGAAATACTGATGTTCTACAAAAAGAAAAGGAACGTCGCAAAATGTGAGTAAGCCCCGACAAAATAAGATATCGCGCCTCGCGTTACGTTTGTTGACATTCGGCGAAGACGACAAACCATGGGCAGAATGAAAACAAGTGGTTGGGGAAGTGTCTGCCTCTGCCCCCTTCTATCGCCGCTTCCTCGGGTAGTGACTAATAAGCGAGCGAGAAACACGGTGAGGTTACCTCCTTCCAATTGCAGCCCCCTGGCAAATGAAGCCTTCATGGAAAGCCTCGTGGCAAGCTTTGCTAATGTCGGAGCAAAGAAAATATAGCTTCTTTTACTTGCACTAGGCCCGTCGATATTGGGATCAAGGTTACGAAAGATTCCAACGACTTGTTGACTGTCGGGATGTTAGCCGAGGCCGCTATCCGCCAGATTGGGTAGGCTTTCCTGTTGCGGCACTGTCCTCTGAGTTCTCATCACCTCACTCTTTCATCTCATGAGTCTAAGGTGATATTGCGTCTCAGCACGATGTCGTACCAACCTTCCGTCTGCGGAGAGGCTGGCCATATTCTCATGTTCCCACAGCCAATGAAGGTTATGCTGTATCACGACACGCGCAGTTGACTTGCGCATCCAAGGTAGATCCATTACGAGCAGACTTGAAGCAGTCTGCAGTGTCGCTTCTCCCTGATCAATCGTCCAGCGATCCGCTCCCTGAGTGGCTGAGATTCGCGACGGATGCAAGCCACTCGATCTGAACATGGCTTTCCCAGAATCAGATATGTATCCGGATCGACTGACGAGGCGGGTGACTGCTCACCTCCTTCCAGAAAAGACCGAGATCCTCGAGGAAAACCAGAGATTGATCCCATTTGCCGCCACAATCATACAAACCACACGCGATCAACATCCAACTGCCAAGTCGGAAGCCCACGACCACGCCTTCCAATCGACTTTGGTCCGCAGATAGCTTCCACTGCATCCACTGCACAAAGCGGCACGGTAGACGCACATGACATTAAATGGTTCCATACCAAGAATCTAAACGTGTCTTACATACCGGGCTTCCATTTTCGGGAATTGACTTTGCTCTCTCCAAAGTCGTGCTGATATAACAATTCTCCTTCCTGACTCGGATAACTTCAACTTCGCCGCTCTTGGCATGGTGAGGAGGCGGAAACAAAAGTACCCCGTCACGCGAAATAGCCTCTGAGACCACAACTCCCTCAAATCCTCTCATTGTTGTCATGGCTGTAGGAAATGAGCCCGAGCCGAGAATGGCTACCAGATTCTGTACTCTTTATCATTAATTCAGCCCCTCGCTTTTCTGAGCGCTGTACATTTCCTCAACATGCCTTCACTTGTCATCTCGCGGGCGTACAGCTTCGGTCGGACTCGAGCTAAACCCCTCCTGGTAAGGAACTCTATTATCTTACACCTGCATTCGATTCTCGGCGATCACAGAGTACTCCCAGACAGTTCGTTGGAGTAAAAGTAGCGACAGCCAGTAAGGTGATCATTCTAGCAGCCAAATCTAATAGAGCTTTGCAAAATGGAACATTTTCCGCGGGTTGCGAATAGCGAGTAAGACCGAAGCTGCAATCCTTCGGCACGACCGTTGGGCACACAAAACCCAAAATACGACTGTCGGCAGAAGTCAAATCCAGCTATTATCAATAGCCAGTTCACTTCGGGTAGCACCATTTCAATCCAAATTTCTCTGCCTTCTTCCACGCAGAGCTCAAGCAATGCTTGTGACATTGGAGATACTGTTTTGACCACCAACATGACAGACCATTGATTCCTCGAGACTCGCGAATCAATCATTGCAAGTTTAGTCAAACAATCCAAATGCAGCGTCCCAAAATTCTATGCATTTCTCTTCCGAACAACTACCACCAGCTTTCGATCGTGCATATCACCCAATATCAATTACCGGCCAAACTAAAACTCACGGCCAACAATGTCTCATCCATCACCACTCAACAGCTTCCTTGCGAACCCCCCGCCACGTAAATGACAGGAACGTTCTGTGTCTCGATCGAATTATAGCACGATATCGGAATTCAACAGCTAGCGATCGTAGTACCCAGCCTCAACAATGTCCATAACCTCGTGGATATCTCCTCCAAAAGCTAGTCCCAGCTATGCCGGCACTGTTAACAACACTCTGTTCCATGCCACAACTCCAACCTTTTTCTTCGAACAGACCAATTAAGCAAAGCCGCAAGCACAACAACTTGCACACGCAAACCATCCTCATCAAAGACCTGGATTCTCCCCTGACAGTAACATCGCAGCGACACACATCACCCAAACACAAATTCGATCTACAGCTCCGAACAAAGCAACCCCGAAATCATAGGTTCCGCTGTCCGCAGTCAAGTTATCTATCACCACTTAAATCTTCTCCCTAAAAGAAAGTTTAACATGCTTGTCACCCCCCAAACAGAAAGATCCATGATCTCGCAGACATCCCCTCAGCAATTGTAACGTCCCCAGCAACTTTGCCAGCATCACCCCATCGATACATTCTGAGCAGAACCGTCTTCGTTAAAAGTCCTTGAGCACCCTTATAAAAGGTTTCCACCGAATACACTGCACGACTTGCCACTTCTACAGTGAAGCTCTCCATGCCACCATCATCCCGTCCTCAACCCCTCCCCCGATCCGATGTTCTCCGCAGTTCTTCTCCAGACAATTACCCACAATCCACGACGCTCTCCTGTGGGTACCCAAGCCAACGACACTCCGTCCTATAGCAGGATCCGATAACCATTCAGACTCCGACTGACTCACCAAGTAGGCAATTTCAAAAGCGTCCCCTAAACTTATAACAGCAAAACCTTGCAGGTCCTACCTTAGCCATCCATCTCCATACTTCGTCCCTCACTCCCCGCAGCATACTACCTTTCCCAATAACCAGCACATGCTACACGAACAAATGAACACCTTGAAAAAGCGGCGGATAGATACTTGGTATAGAAATACTGCGATTAGGTAGGTGGAAGGTACATACGTAGGTAGGCAGCAAGTATTTTGAGCAGATAGCACAAGTAGATGGAAAGAAGGGCAGGAATTACTCTGCCAGAAGACGAGATAGATACAGAGACACAATTTTGGTAGATGGGTAATGAAACAAATGATCAGAGCAAGATGGTCAATGAAAATGTTCGATTCCAGAGCGTTACTGTTGTTGGCGCTTGCCACTTCAAATCCGACTTCTCTCCCGTTACGCTTCAGTGCATCCATCCAGAAGCAAAGCACACTATCGATACCTGTCCCAAAGTCAAACAAAATAGGCAGCAATGAACTCGCAAACTGCCACTCAGATGTCACTTACTGCCTCCTCTGCACAACCTCAACAATTACCTGACAACTTTCATAACTGTAAATAAGAACAAGAACAAGCTCAACGCGCGAACATCAAGCAGGTAAATCACAACTGGAATCAACAAACAAAACATGCAGAATAAAGTTACATGTCTATTTTTGTATCTCATACAAAGTCCAGCCGCCGCAGTGAGCAGCTATCTAGACTGATTGTCTTACTTCTCACTCCCCACGTCTCTGTTCAATTCACTTCCCCGTTCATGCATGTACAAAGGAAAGGAAAGGTATTGCGCTTCTATTCGACTCTCAAACTTTGCAGACGGGCTTCGGTGGCAATCACCTGTGCATAGTTAGCATAATGTTTCAACAATGAAGTGGCAAGCCGTTAGCGGAAGAGGGAGGAGAGAACCAAATTTGCGAATATAAACTTACATCCAAAGCCTGCTGCACCTCCAACACCTTCCTAACCTCACCCAACCAATCTCTACTCAAAGTCTTCGCCCACCCCTGCAGACCATTCATCTCTCTAGCAGCAGCATCCAGATCACCCTCCTCAAGGAAAGTCTCTGTTCGGGTCAAGATGCTCTCCACATCGTCACCAGTAGCAAGACCCTTCTTCTTGAACAGAAGCTTGCTCAGGACGTAGCTAGAGGCGTGACTGGCAACACCGGCGTCTTCAGGGAGAAGAGCAGCCTTGCGAACCTCACCAGCTACACGGCGGAAACGGTCGATGAGCTGTGCAGAGGATGGGATGCCCTTTTGGTAGGCGGTGGGGTTGATGGATGCAATGGCGGCGTTGACTACAGCATCATCTGAAGCAATTTCCTTCAAAGCAGCGAGTTCTTTGATGAAAGGTCGGGGAATTTGGCTCTTCTCAAGATTGGCACGGACGGCCTCAACTGCGACATGGAGGTGCTGGGTTTTCAAGTTTGCATCCACGACAGAGTTCCAGTCGGTGGTCAGCTTCTCAAGTTCGTTAACAGTGTTAGTGAGATCGGAAAGCTTGCCAAGGCGGCCGTTGCGTTCCTCCTCGACTCTCTGTTCGAGCTCCTCCATGAATTTGCGCTTCATCTCCACAGCTTGCTCGAGCAGGCCATTGCGGAGACGCTGCTCATTGACCTCATTTGCGGATTCCACCTCGGCCTTCAGCTTTTGCTCGTAGTTTTGCTGGATTTTCTCCCGCTCAGTCTGGTATTCTTCTTGCCACTGTGATTGTTGAGCCTGCATCTCAGCTTCGACTCTTCGGATGAGCTCCTTTGCAGCTCGATCAAAGTCTTCCTTTTCAGACTTGATCTTAGCCTCGGCCTCCTTCTCAGCAGCATCCTTCAATGCTTTAATCTTTGATCCAACTTTATTGATTTCCTGCTTGGCTTTTCCAATAGCCCCCGAGAATTTTGAATCGGCGCTATCGGCATTCACAACCGTGATAATATCGTTGATGATCTTAACTAGGTCCTGGACGAGAGGTTCCTTTGCATCCTGCACATTGATTGGATCAATTCGAGTGATCTCAGGAGGGAACTTCGATGGTTGATCGACTTCAGGGGGAGTGAATGGAACTCCATTTGCTGATTTAGTTGGTTCTGCAATAATCGGTTGTTCAGGCTTGGTTGCAGCTTGTGGCTCTGGCACCTTTGTTGGCAAAACAGCTTTGGGAGCTGGTGGATCAGCTTCCTTCTTTACAGCCTCGACAGCCTTGACCTTCTCCGCCGACTTTGCCTCTTGAGGAGTCTTCAAAGCTTCCTTCGGCTTTGGTACATCAGGCTTCGTAGCATTGGCATGTCTCCCAGCAGGGGCCTTTGAATCTTCAGCAACCCTCCAGGAAACCCCGCTTTGACTTGGGATTTTGATTGACTCTCCAGTATCCCTAGGAGGGGATCCAGCACGGCCTGCGATCTTTGGGAATCGCTTGCGGAACTCCCTCTCCTCAAAATACAGAACTGCCTCTTCTCCAAATGGCACGAACTCGGTGAAGAAGTCGTGGAAATTGTCATTTACTCTGCTATAGTATACACCACCAGCAAATCCAAGGGACGAGAGAAGGAAGATAGTTGTGAAGAACTTCCGGAAGAATTTGCGTTTCGGTTTGGGTGGTGGAGGAGGCGGGGGAGGAGTAGTAGCTGCCGGCGTTATCTTGCTTACAGGCGCATTTGGAGGAATAATGGTAGATCCAACTGGTGTATCCGTCTTCGCAGAAGGTGGTGTGTATAGTGTTGATGGAACAGCCGCAGGGGGAAGTGGTTCGGAAGTGCTGTCGCTGCGAGATCCAGGAAGGACTTTGGGCTTGGAATCTGCGATGCTAGACTTATTCACGTCCGCATATCCTCTCTGCGTATAGAACACTTCGTCAGTACTCTTGTCCATGTTCAATTGATCTCTTTTGGGGAGTGGGAGCTCTCACAACACTTCCCGAAGACACCCGAGTTGACTGTATCGCCTGCCATTGACGTCCGGCGCTGGCTACATTGGACTTGTAACCAAAGGCCCTCGACGACCGAAGTGAAGCGCGCAGCATGACGGGCTGCGTTGAGCGACAGAGAGTTGTTGTGGTTGTGATGTTGACAGCGCGTGGTTGTTGGCAGGATTCTTTTGGAGCGAGCTCACAAGCTCGTGCCAAGCCGATGATGCAGCCGCCTTCCCAGCAAGGCTGTGGGTGAAGCTCCAAGACAATCTTCATTGATTTATCGACTCAAAAGCCGCTCAGCAGCATTCATACAATTACAAGTTATTTAGCGAGCTTTGATTTCTTTCCAAGAATTCGGTCCTTGTTATTGAATCATCGGACTCTCAAGATGCTAATAAGTATCCGCTTTCCATAATGTCATTGAATGTGTTCTATTGCATATCTTACACCCAAAATGCTGCAGAACGATTCAACTGAGAAAACCATCACGCCTTGCAGGAAAATCCTGCCGAACCAACCCTGCTACGAAAAACTAAAACACATGAAGGTATTAAAGACTGCTGTCGCAAATGGTTCCAGTAACCTCATCTATGGACCTCAATCGCACCCTGACAATTTCGTGGGAAGGACGATGAGAAGGCGGTAGACTGTGGTAACCGTCGAAACCTGAATGGTGGAAATCCCCCTTGGCCATGGCCGTATGCTTCCTTCGCCACAACTCGACTGTGATTCTCTAACATGCACAAGGGCCTTGTCCTTGTGTAGATGGGTTCTCTGGTTTCAACTCTACTCCTCGTCCTCCAGATCTTGGATTCCTTGGGCCAGCCTGGTCTAATGGAAGCTTCTTTGCGATCGATGTGAATAGTTCCCTGACATTCTCTGATGTCTTTGCCGAAGTCTCGAAGAATAGAAGTCCGGCCTCTTTTGCATATGCCTCGGCATCTGCTGTGCTGATGGCACGCTTGTCGGGTTGACTAGTAACCAAATCGAGCTTGTTTCCAGCGAGAGCAATGATGATGTTTTCATTTGCCTGTCTTTGAAGTTCCTTCACCCATTGCTTCGCCTTATCCAATGATGCCTGTGCCAACTACGTCAGCAAGAGCTCCAGATAGTCCCACCATCCGCACGAATACTTACGGCTTGTGTAATATCGTAAACCACAACAGCGCAGTTTGCATTTCTGTAGTACATCGGTGCAAGCGACTTATATCTCTCTTGTCCGGCGGTGTCCCATATCTCGAATTTCACAGTGGTATTATCGTCGAGGGAAATCGTCTGGGTAAGGAAGGCCGCGCCGATTGTTGACTCTCTGAAATCATCGAATTGATCCTAAACAAATCGTTAGTTGTTGGTCAAAGATCAGTGATATGCATCTCGACTAACCTTTACGAACCGGAGTACCAGCGAACTCTGTACACTTGTTAGCTTTAAAGCCGGGCTGGTAGTATATACCAACGTACCTTTCCGACCGCAGACTCTCCTACAGATCATGTTAGCAGATGTCCATAAGGTGCAGGAACAGAACACGTACCCAGTAACACCAGCTTGAATTGCGCAAATCGGTTGTTCCCACCGCGGGTGCCTGTTGGGCCTCGAGTAGCCATGTCGAAACGAGGGTGAGGCTATTCGGAAGATGAAAGGAGTTTCGGGAATCGCGTGAAGAAGCTGGCGGACGAGCTCGAAGTGGTGAGATAAGCCGGCGAGTTTCGAGGGGTTGGAGGTGAAGTTGTGCTGTTTGGAAGGTGCTCAAGTTCCGTGTAACAATGTTTGGATGGGTGGGAAGGAAGGCTCGCCGCAATGGGGAAGCTTGGGTAAATCCACGTGATGGGGGTCAAGCCACACTGCGTAATCAGATAGAGCCACAACTGATATCAATATATGGTGCCTTTTCATTCACAACCGTAGAGCTTCTGAGTGGATGGAAGTCAACATGAACGGGAATTCAATGATTGGGATTCGATATGGGTCTAGATGCCTCCGAATATATTGTCAGGCACTTTAGTGAAGTTCAAGGACTTATTTAAGCCAACAAGATGCAGGGTTAGTCGATATTAGACAACATCAGCATGTCTGATGTTCTGATAGCAAAGAAAAAGACATCTGGAGCATTGTTACCTATATATCTGGAGAGACTCTGCATTTGGCTCAATCTGTGAATGTATAACAAAGGCGTTTTGACGAAGGATCTGACCCTTTCATTGACTTATTGAGAGGGGTGCGGATAAGAATCACTTACCCTCAAGCTATCCCCACCCCTTGTTGATAGCCGCCTGTTCAAGTTGGACAAGGCTTCGAGCTTGAAGACAACAAACCAGTAATTCGAAGCTCCCCCTCCAACAACCAACATCCAATGATTGCATGAAGGGATTTGCAGATTATACAACCCAGCTCTAGCTGCCACTCTTCTGCAACTTTCACAATCATGGCTTCCCTACCTTTCCGGGACATCAATGTCCATGCTTCTGCGTCGCATTACGCCTTCACATCACCTTCAACACCTTCTGCGCCAACACTGGTAGTGGACCGTCCGACTGGTGACCTACGTCTGAATGATGGGGCTTTATTGGGAGGAAAGAGAGTGTCAAGTATTGCTGGCATACTGGGAATGATTAAGTTGCGATTGGGTACGTTTCCCCGAGGCTGAAAGAAGGGAAACGTCGCTGATAACTTCTAGACAAATATATCATTGTCATTACAAAGGCACAACCGATGGGTAGATTGAAAGGGCATATGGTGTACAAAGTCATTGCAACGGAATTCCTTCCTCTCCGTGAACGACCCCTCCACGATCCAGAGGAAGACAACTACCTCTCCCTCCTCAAGACCTTTATTAAGTCTGGGCCAATGTACTTTTCGTACTCTTTCGATATCACAAACACCTTCCAGCGTCAATCGCAAATCGATCAATCTGCTCCTTTCTGGAAGAGAGCTGACGACCGCTTTTTCTGGAACAAGTTCATTCAGTCCGATCTGATTGATTTCAGATCCTCAGGAACCCGAAATCAACATGGGCAGCAACCAGCAGTCGACCCATATATTCTACCTGTCATGTTTGGAATGATGGAGATAGCTTCAACGCGCATAAGATCAACACCGTTGACCATGGTTCTGATTACTCGGCGATCACGTCACCGTGCAGGCACAAGATACTTCTCGAGAGGAATTGACGAGCAAGGACATGTCTCGAACTTCAATGAGACGGAGCAGATCATTATCTTGAATGACAGCACAAGTGGACTTGGTGGTTTTGCCGGTGGTAATGGAATGCAGAATGGAAAGGTTGGAGGATCGGGTGGGAAGGAAGTGCAGATTATGTCCTATGTTCAGACCAGAGGAAGTGTTCCAGTGTATTGGGCCGAGGTCAATACTCTGCACTATACCCCCAAACTTCAAATTCGAGGTGTTGAGACAGCAGTGAAGTCTGCCAGACTTCATTTCGAAGAGCAGATCCGCCTGTACGGAGACAATTTCTTGGTCAACCTGGTAAACCAGAAGGGTAGAGAAGTGAGAGTTAAGGAGGCTTATGAGCAGATGGTTAAACTACTGGTTTCAGCACCAGCAGAAGGAACTCAGCAAGACGAACGATCAGATGAGAAATTCCATGTTGTCGAGCCGTCCGGTCGAAGATCAGAGATGGATCGATTACACTACGTATACTTCGACTTCCATAACGAGACGAAGGGCCTCCAGTGGCACCGAGCCCAGCTCCTGCTCGACCGTCTCCACGATTCCCTAGAACAGCAACAATATTTCCGTGGTGTAGACATGCCAGCTGATCTGGAAGGCCGCCTCGATGTGCGAAACCACCAAACAAGTGTCGTCCGAACCAATTGCATGGACTGCCTTGACCGAACCAACGTCGTTCAGAGCATGCTTGCACGATTTACATTGAACAGACAACTCGCAGATCTCGGCGTCTTATCTCGTGGCGAGACCTTCACAACCGCCGATCCTGCTTTCGAGGTTCTCTTCCGCAAGCTTTGGGCAGACAACGCCGACGTCGTCTCGAAATCCTACTCTGGAACTGGAGCTCTCAAGACAGATTTCACACGCACAGGCCAAAGAACTAAGGCTGGTGCGCTTCAGGATCTCCAGAACTCCATCACGAGATACGCGAAGAACAACTTCGCTGATGGTCCAAAGCAAGATGCATTCGACCTCTTCCTCGGAAACTTCCTCCCAAATTCCGCCACCAACCGCGTTTTCGTGGATAGGAGACCATTACTCATCCAATCCATTCCATATATTCTGGCCTTCGCCCTTTTCTTTGTTTTCGTTGGGATCTTCACTCGTCGACTCCCCGACGCTGCCGTTCTACCCGTACGAATCTTCATAATCTTCTGGTTTGTGGTTGCTGGGTGGTGTTTGAACTTCATATACAGTAATGGGATGCTCTACGTAAGTTGCTACTTTGCCCTTCACCTTGTTAGCATGCTACGTTGGAAGAAAAGAGGCTAACAAGCACAGGTCAACTGGCCGAAACTCAACCCCAGACCCTGGGCAACAGAAGGCTACAACGACGCTTTCAACAACGTCCGCAAAGACAAAGTTATCGGTGGTCTTGTCGCCAGACACGAGAGAGGACTCAGTACAGCACGCTATACGAATGCTGAGGAGGGGAAGAAGAGGATCGAATAATTCTGTCGGTCACAATCCAGTAGCGACTCTATCTTCTACTTTGTTCCCTTTACTTTTGCAATTGTCTTTTTCTGTCTACTCAGCACACTACAGCACAGCACAGTACGCATTCTGCAGCGGCAATGCACGGCATGACAGGAACTCGGAACGTGTCTAGATCATCGGGTTGGTGAAATCGACAGTTTGTTAGTGGAAGAAATAGCAGATATACTATAGACCATAGCTTTCACCGTATGACAGATACAGGATTGTTTGTATGATAAATCGACAATTGTTAAGTTCAAATATCAATCGCCTGAGTGTTCTGTTATCTTTCGCTCTGCTCCTCTGCTATTTTGCCCGAGAGGTGTATTTCTCACCTCGCCCATTGAGCTCAGCATGACAGTTTCAAAGCGAGCACGAGTCAGGTATAGAGAAAAGTGAGTTTGTGAACACAAATATTACTAGTATGCTTGACGAGACATCGGGCAGGAACTCAGCAACTGGGACTCGGGTGCTGTTGGACTTATATCAGTGGGTGTACCCCTGTTGTTCATCATTCGTAATCTTATATATGTATAGTATCGCCTTTGTATTCACACAATTTTCCCACTCCCCCCAAATTTAGCTCCCTCAAATCTCTTCCTTTCCTTTCCCTTCCCCCTCCTAGCATCACAACTCCCCCTCCCAATCCTCCTCGTCCTCCTCCTCCCGAAACACCCTCCCTTCCTGTGGCCCCTCACTCCCCACAATATACCCCAACTCACAGGCACTAAACGCCACCCTTTCCCTCTCATTATCCTTACCCCACACCCTCCCATAAAACCGATCAAACCTCTCATCCAACGCATCAGCTAGCGTCTTGACGTTTCCAGCAGGGTGGATCACGCTCCAGGGTGAGATGCAGGTGGGCCCAGCGCAGGACTTGAGGACCATTAGGAGGGCGTCGAGGCGGGGGATGAGGGTTGTGATGGGGACTGGGAGGGGGAGGTGAAGGATTGGTGGGGAGTTGGGGGAGAGGGTGGAGGAGTGGGTAGTGGGGTAGAGGTTGTTGATTTGAGAGGGGTCGGTCTGTGTTTTGCGTCAGTACTAAGTTAAAAATGGATGGAGGTGGATATGAGATAGGAGGAAAGCAGTGGAATGGGGAGGAGGTAGTTGACGCCTGGGAGCCGGAAGGGTAGAAGGAGAAAACGTGACTTACGCTCAAATCATACAACTCATGCTCATTCGTACACCAAACCGCATAATACAAATTATACCCCTTTCCAATAACTCTCAACGCTTTATACGTATTATTCAACCCATAGGCCACCACTTTCCCATCATCCAGCGAAAACTGATATATCCCCTCAGGAATACTTCTCCCCCAAAACTCCACGTTAACATGCTCGCCCCTCTCCTCCACCGCATCCTCAACCTCCTCCTTACGCAACGGAATCGGTTGCCCGTCTAACCCATCCCATCCCGTCTTCGCTTCAGCAAGTTTGAGAATCGTAGGTGCAAGATCCGTATGTGCGGTCACGAGGTCAGATACCCCTCCGGATTCTATCCCAGGCCCGCGGATGATGAGCGGGACTTTGATATCTTCTTCGAACCCGCACTCCTTGCCGGGATTTAGACGATGCTGGGAGATGTGATAGCCGTTGTCGGCGGAGTAGATGATATACGTGTTATCCAACACTCCAAAGTCCGCAAGTCTCTGCACGAGGCCTTCGACCATCTCATCGACTGCTTGTAAGGCCTGTAATCTAGCGCGGTAGAACTCGTCATTGTAGGCGATGACTTCTTGTGTTAGTTTTGCGAGTTTCGAGATCCAAGAGGCGCCGCTGGGGGTATCGGGGTTGAAGTTCGCTGTTCGGGGGACTTTGGCGTCGGGGAAGAGATGCTTGTGGCGTTCAGCTGGAATTGGTGCTGTCATGTGGACTTCGTGGTCTTTTCCTGGGATTGTAGAGAACGGCTTTACGTCCGAGTGAGGAGCTATGGGGGCAATGGTGAGGAAGAAAGGTTTGTTGGAGTGGACGCCTTCGGAGAGAAGTCCATAGGCTTTGGAGGCGAGGACGTCGGTGCTATATTCTCCTGGGTGACTAACGGGTGGGTGGGAGTTGCGCTGGAAGGTTGCGTTGAGGTATTGGTAGGTGTGGGGATCGAGGAGGAAATCTGAGGATGTCCAGCCCGCTGGACGAGGGCTGTTCCAATTTTCGACGGTGTGGGCGTTAAATAGTTTACCGGTGTAGTAAGTACTGTATCCAGCTTCTTGGAGCCAGACTGGAAGCCAGTTCTCATTGAATCCTTGAGCGACGAATTTGGGGTAGCCACCTGGTTACCAGTTAGCCTTGCACAGAAGTGTATACACATGTCAAGATTTGAAATGAGGAAATACCATAAGGAGGAAACACATCCGTCACATTGGTATTATGTGCATTTCTCCCAGTCCATAACGTGACTCTCGACGGACAGCAAATAGCCGTTGTGCAATAATGCCGTTTGAATGAGGTCCCTTCGTCGGAGATGTATTTCTTCAGCAGAGGCATGTAATCTAAAGAATGAAGATGCACATCTTGGTCATCGGTCAGAATAACCACGATATTTGGTCTGTCATCCTTCTTTCCATTTAACGGTGCCTGTTCCAGAGCGTACAGCGCTGTTGATATGGCTAAAATGAGACCGAGATGTATCTTCATATTGCCTTAATGTCCAATACTCTCGTCGTCTTGCTCAGCTTTAAGCGTCGATTCGCAAAAGTATTGAGGCGGAACCAGAACAACATCAGGTTGGAAATGTATAGACGAAGAGGTAGGGATCTTGATATATCGGTCCCATCACGACATCAAGCCCGCTCTGGCTCCACCTTTCAAGAAGTCCCGTCCCTGTCCTTGTCCGCCTTGACCATCCAATCCAAACTCGCCTGTACCTGCAAGATCCAGCCCAGCAAAAGTGGGCAAGGCATGGAATGGCTGAAAACATCCAGGGGAAACATCGAAAAACATTGCCCGCCCGCATTTGACGTCGAAACACCGTCAAAGTGATTCGCCGGTTTGGTAGTGGGGTTGAAAGGACCCCTCAATCAGCTTTGAGCAAGCATCCCATCCGCCACGGCAGGGTTCGCCCAAAGCGAAACGAGACCCGCCGGCAATTGCGTGCTGACCCATCCATTTTCCGCCATCTACACCACCGATTCCGAATAGGTAGCATCTTACAACATCCATCACCGGGAGTCATATGTTACCATTCATGACTGTACCCTTGCGCAGGCGAGCTCTTTTATAAGGTCAAGCCCTTGCTGCAGCTGCAGCATGTGAGGGAACAACTTTTCGGTACCGTGGGGTACAAAAAGGTACAAGCTTTTTCACTCGAGACGGTATTTGTTTGGTAGCATCTTCAATTATTATCGTACTCTGGGCCTGTCTGTTCAACCTTGAACTACTATTCGGGGCTTCATAGCGGCCAGTCCTTTATCTTTGCAGTATTCGTGCTACGTGCGTCAGATGCTGTAGCTCCTAGTTGATCACTTGGCCGGAACCTGCGCTGGATTCTCTTGTGACCTTCCTCAAAACTTCTTCTGGATTCTTGGATCTTTTCAGGATTCTGAGTTTGAATTCTGAGTTCTGGATTTTATTTTGGATAATTTCATTCGGTCTTCCTTTCGCCTTTCAGGAGATAGATGGCAATGGCAGACTATTCCCCAGATCCGGAACGAGATGCCAAGCCACGTCAAGAATCGAGCAGCAGCACGCGATCACATTTCGACTCTTCATCGGACTCTTCGGAATCAATTGAAACATATTCAGAGCGTACATCACTACTGTATGCACACGGTCCGGATTATAAGAGCACAGAAACGAACTCTGGTGAAGGAGAGTCGAGGTATCGAGATGATGATGACGATGGAGGAGAAGTGGGTGACCAGCCGAAGGGAAAGAGTGTGTTCGCTATCATTGCATTATTGATGATTGGTAATTCCTCATTTGATTCCATCCTCTCATTTGTTCTGGCTCTCCAAAGTGCACGATCTGACAGCTCCCAGGTGTGTTCATGTCCAACGCAGACGGCAGTCTTGTCATGGCAACTTACGGCACCATCTCCTCCGAATTTGGAGCATTAGCAGAAGCTAGTTGGTTGACGACCAGTTATTCGCTAGCTAGTTGTGCCGTCCAGCCCATCACGGGCAAATTGTGTGATATTTATGGAAGGAAAAGTGTGTTGTTGGTTAGTTATGTGCTGTTTGCCGTGGGGAGTGTGGTCTGGTGTGTCCTTGTCTCTCTAGCCCTATTCTCGCTTGTCCTAGGAGGATAGAGAGGAGAACGCAGCACTGCTGTGGAAAATGTAGAGAAGCTTGCTAACCAAAACAGCGGAATCGGACAATCAATGTCGCAAGTCATTTCCGGGAGAGTAATAGCTGGTCTCGGAGCAGCAGGCATGACGGTCATCGTCTCCATCTTGATTACTGGTACGTAATCCGGCTCTACCCATTTCACCCATTCTCGCCTAACACAATCTAACAAAATAAATAGACCTCGTCCCCTTAATCCAGGTCGCCTCGTGGCGAAGCTATGTCAATGTCGTCGCCACAATCGGCCGAAGCATAGGCGGTCCTCTGGGCGGTTTCCTAGCAGACACTGTCGGATGGCGCTGGTCCTTCATCGGACAAGGTCCAATCATCACCTTTGCTATCATTCTGATCACTCTACGTCTCCCATCTCACACCTCGCCAGCTGTTCGGCCTCCCGCACAATCCAAAGCCAACACCCAAGGGCAACGCCAGCCTTCTAAACTCCACCGCGTAGATTTTGTAGGAGCGCTTCTCCTCGCTTCAACGATCGTGTCTCTGCTTGGGGCATTATCTCTTGGTGGTGAAGAACTACCATGGAGTCATCCCATCGTGGTAGGGCTCGGAGCCGCTTCTGCTGTTTTGGGGGTACTGTTTGTGGTGTTCGAGGTGTATGGTGCGCTGGAGCCAGTTTTTCCACCAAGTTTGATCGTAAAGAGGGATGTGGCGACGGCGTATGGGATTATTCTTTTACAGGCAGCTGCGCAACTAGCTGTAAGTTCCCAACTCTTGTTCTTGACGTTGATCCCCTATCCCCTCCCTCAGATTCGAGAGAAACGAATAACTAACACTCTAACCTCTCTAGATGATGTTCTCCATCCCCCTCTACTTTCGCACCACCCAAAACAGCAGCAACACCACCGCCGGCTCGCACCTCTTCCCAGCAGTCCTCGGCAACACCGCCGGCGGGCTCCTCTCCGGCCTCTACATCTCCCGCACAGGACACTACAAATCCCTCTCCCTACTCGCCGCGCTCTCCTCCTCGCTTTGCTACCTCATTCTCATCATCCGCTGGAAGGGCGAGACGGGTTGGTGGGAGAGTTTAGAGATTATCCCTGGTGGATTTGGAACGGGGATTGCGTTTAGTGCGACGTTTATTGGCTTGACGGCCGGGGTGGAGAAGAGTGAGATGGCGGTTGCGACGAGTGGGTTGTATTTGTGTAGTGGGTTGGGGATGGTGGTTGGTGTGGCGGGGGCGAGTGCGGTGCAGGTTGCGAGTTTGAGGGCGTTGTTGGTGGAGGCGTTGAGGGGGGTGGAGGGGAAGGCTTCGGTTAGTACTCCTATCTTCTCTCATTTGCCCTTGTTCTTACCCATTCCCTTAAATTTCCTTCCGAGTATCTTTCTTTCCTTCGCTGCAGGTGGTTTGCGCCCCGTCTTGAAATTATGTTGCTGAGCCCAGGGGGTGATATCAAAAAGCACTCGTCAATCCATACCTTACTCCCCTCACTTGCTTACCCGTCAACACAACCGACTAAAATCCCCTCTTCAATTCCAGATAATCGAACAAGTAATATCAAACGTCTCCTCGATCGCCTCGCTCTCCCCACCAATCCGCAAGATCGTAATCGCCAGTTACGTGAAGAGCATTGAGAACAGCCATAGTACGTTTCCCTCCTGTACCCCTGCTCCTGGCTCTTCTTTCTCTCTTATAACGTCGCATACTCTCCGTGCGAGCCTCATGGAGGAAGAAGGGAGATAGATAGAATGGAAACATGAGATAGTTGCATGTCCATCTTGAACTCAGACTGACGTAAATTGGATAGTTCTTTCCCTCGGTTGCTCACTAGCAGCATTCGTACTGGCTTGTACGATTCGCGAGCATAAATTACGATGAGATGGCATAAACTTTGTGGCTCTCAGCGTTCAGGGATCAGCTCAGCAACCGAACGCTGAACCTGACACTCTCCAAAAAGTCAACGATATTAGATACGGAATCTTGGTTTTTAAAAACAGGTTCGGATAGATGAATGGATAGATTGGTAGATAATTAGAAAGAGAAAGAGAATTGTGGTTCATAAGACAAAATTGCGTGCAAGATGAGAAGATCATACAATGCGGAGAGCAGTTTGAGTGAAAGGGAAGTGAGAAATGAGAAGTGTGAAGCATCAAATCTGAAAATTGTTGAGGCCAATTTGAAGTCTAGATAGAAATAATGCACAGTGAGTTGTATTCCCTTGGCAGGGAGTGGCCCAGTAAGGGAACATGATTGAAAGAAAAGAAGATATGACACCTCAGATTGATGGGGTCACGACTCATGAGCAAGGCCACATGTTGAGCATTTACTCGTGTCTGCTTGGCACAGATAATCCGCTCAGATCCAGACTAAGACCGATAGTGGTCCACTAAAATGCTTGAGTGGTTCGTTTGCAGCATGTGTCGTCAAATGGAGTCTGCCATGAAAATCAAATGAGGGTGAGACACTCTGGAAAGACATGCATATAATACGAACACCGACCACCCCAGTTTGATTGTTGCTGCTGATAGCGGGTTCTCTGCCCGCTGCTGGAGGAAATTGACAATTTATGACTGAGCTGGACTTTTATTTGGCAAGATTGGCTGGCCTCTGCATTGTTTCGTTCGATCAAATTAGTGGCGGGGTGTAAGATACGGAAGTGGAGTCCACAATAAGCGAGCGGACGATTATCTTCCTCTTTATGATCTATCGCCTGCCACTCTGGGATTCTGTATTTGTTTCTGGCCGTGTGGCCCGCAATGGTGTGTTGCACGAGGCGGGTGGGAGGGAGAGAATCCGCATGGTTTGGTACGAGTTGATGATTGATGATCGTCCGAACAACCGTCAGAAACCCAGTGTTCCTCTCATCAAGTATTGAATAGTGGACGTTCTCCGTCCGAGGCTCGAGAGCAGGCAAGATCCCAATACGAATCATATGCAAAAGTACAGAGTAAGCACTCGTATCATGAAAAGTAAGAATGTCATCCTGCGGCCCAATCAGGCTAGCTTATGCTCGTATCTGGCGAAAAAGTTACTGAGGATGGGTCTTGGCCCAGGTGGCCTGGTTCGTCTTTCGGAATGCTTAGACGAAGATGCAAGCCTATCAGGTCTGGTCTCCGACAGCAGAGCGGCACGTACTTCAAAGTCTAGTCACAACCTCCCCAATCACACCTGCGGGTTTGCCATTCTCCCCTTTCCCCTGACTAAGTCGGACCGTCGGACACTTACAAAAGGTAAAAGTCATCAGAAAGCCTATGCCAATGCAGGTCGGATTTTCGAAGCAGGGCTTGCGGTCCGCTTTTTAGTTCATGACTTCTGAGCTTTTAATAAACACATGGCGTCCTCATTTTGCATATCTGTCTGATATTTTTGGACCTTCTTACACTCTTTCTTGGGCTCTTTCGATTCGGATGTATTGATGTTTGTACTCATGATTGATTTTCAATGTTGAAGATCGCGACGCGGCCGTCTGGTCGCTCCTTGGCTTTCCGAGTTGTGATTGCAATTGCCATCACATATCTGGCGATCATCCAGCTCCGGGTGACATTTTCGGAATCCTCGGTTCACCGATGGGAAAATGTAAAGGATACTTTGGAGGCAGGGTCGAACCATGGAGCTGAGGAAGATGGCGGCTGTGGAGGATTGATGGATTTTGGACATCGTTTGGTGGTGACTGTCAAGACTGGAGCTACGGAGGCAGCTGAGAAGATTCCTGTTCAGCTGAAAACAATGCTGAGATGTGTTCCGCTGGAGAATGTTTTGTGGTATTCAGATATGGCGCAGAAGGTTGGAGATCATCAGTTGAACGACGCGCTGGATCAAATCCCACCTAGTGTCAAGGATGGGAACCGGGACTTCGACATCTACCGCAAGCAACAGGAGTTGCAGGACCCTGTCAAAGTTGTCAGCTTGCTCAAGGATATGAAGCACCCCGAACACGACGATCAACTAGCAGCTTGGTCTCTAGACAAGTACAAGAATGTCCACATCGTGGAGAAGAGCTGGAATGCTCGACCTGGCGCAGACTGGTACATCCATATCGATGCAGATAGCTATATTTTGTGGCCCAGCTTCATGGCCTGGATCCGGAAGCTTGACCCTTCCAAGAAGTCGTTGCTAGGATCATTGGCCTGCCTGGGGGAGTTGCAATTTGTTCATGGTGGGAGTGGGATTCTGATCTCGAGAGCTGCGACAGAGAGCCTGGTCGTCGCAAATAATGGCACGGCGGCTCGTTGGGATTCCCGAATCGCTGGAAACTGCTGTGGTGATGGCATCTTGGCCGAGGCGTTCAAAGACATTGGCATACCTGTGATGAACGCATGGCCGAGTATAAATGGGGAGTCTCCATCAACGATCCGGTTCGGATCTACCGACTGGTGCGAGCCAATCGTGACTCTCCATCATGTTTCAGCTGCTGATGCACATGGACTGCGAGGCTTCGAGGATAGGAGGCGTGATAAGAGCGTAAGTTTCGATCTGGAATCTGTTCTTCCAACAACTAACAAAGCTTTCAGGCGCCAGTGCTGTATTCGGAACTGTTCGCCGATCTAGTCTGGGATATGATACCAGGAAGTCTTGAAAACTGGGACAATATGTCAGATGGTAAGACTGTGCCAAACATCAAAACTGCATTGGAGTGTACTCGAGCATGTGAGAGGGACCGCCATTGTTTGCAATCCCTCTTCAACGGCGAGGAGTGCAAGCTCGGGACGAAGACAATAACATTTGGAGAGAAACACGATCTTGAAGATAATGGGACGACGTGGCAAAGTACTTGGAATAAGACAAGGATAGCCGCTTGGGTTGCGAAGCAGTCGCGCTGCGGTAAGCCCAAGTTCCCGTTCGAGGATGGAAAGACCTCCAAAAACTCGGACATGTTCTGCCCGCCATGAACAGCCGGGCCAGGTGAAGATCCAGCTGGACTAAGAAAAGATAGCTCGCTTGAGTATTATAGAATAGAAGTTCGTGGAACTGCTGCATAGAGACAACAAAGCGAAAATTGTACAGCATATAGAGGACTTGTACATATGTAAAAGACCGCAATGCACAATACTTGGCCAAGGACATAACACGGACAGCACTACATGTAAATGATCGCGGATGAGAAACAGGCGATATTTCTGATGTCGTAAGTCGTTCCGCGTAGGTTTGATGACTTTATTGGTTTTGGGATGGTGAGTAATTTTCCGAGTTGGTTTTACTGTAGGAGGCACAGCTTCCTGGAACTCTAGCGAGCGTGTCGCTTGTTGCTTGTGACCTGGCCGCTGATTCAGCACTAACGAACCATCTTCTTGCTGCCTTTATCAGATGCATCTATTATAACGACGGCCATTCTTCGGATCACATCCTTCGATATATAATTGATTTTCACACAATAGCAATGTCGTCACAAGAAAGAACTCTCTCGACCTCCCAATGCGCCCTCCTGCCCAGGTCCAAGATAGACACCGACGCCGTAGAGCAGATCGCTGGCCTTGACGCGATTACCCTTGAACCGCTTGTTCCGGATCTTCTGCGATGGATTCAAGACGCAAATTGGCCCATAGCCTGGCCAATTATAGAACTGCTCCGAAAGCATCCATTGCTTTTGGTGGAACCAATTCGCAAAATCCTGCGAGATGAAGCTGGTGAGAAGGATGACGGGGAGTGGAAGTACAACTGTTTGGCTTCTCTCGTGGCGGAGATGGATACGGAACACAGGATTCTGTTCAAAGAAGAACTGGCGAGAATGGCTAAGTCTCCAACGCTCGATGAGAAGGAGTGGGAGACCGCTGCTACAGCGAAGGCCATTCTAGAGGAGTTTGGGGTCACGTTTAAAGCAGACGACAAGTCGCCAAACAATAATGAATCGTTTGAAAGCTAATATCCGGCTCAAACAAGCGAAGTTGAGGAACGGTCTACTAATGGTAAAACATCTCCTAGGAAATCAGGACCACTATTCCAAGGACCTGGTAACAACGGCATCCCTGGCAAAGCGGGCTTCACAGTATTTCGCAGCCAGAGGGTTAGCAGTCCTAGGAGGGGACGTACAATGATGATCTCTCGAGCCATCACCTCCGATTGTTCCTGATCTCGACTTGAAAGGATATCGATCGAACAAGGTGGATTTTACTCGGCTGACTGCTCGCCGGTTGACTCGTTGTCAGAGTCGAGAACTTATATCAGGGTCGGCTCCACCGCTCACTCTGCGACATTTTCGAACAACCTCACCTCCTCAGGCATTCAATCCCTCGCGCCACGCATTAAAAACAGGCAAACTATTGACATTCTTGCACCATTGTCTTTGCATTCGGTGGAAAGTCTGACACTAGGTACGCAACATTGGCGTCCTTGTTATCACAAAGGCATGTGATGAATGCCACGAGTGGTCTCCAATTGCTCTTTCGACTTCCTGGTCTCGCATCTTCTCTTTACTTATAGATCGCAAAAGCCAGAATTTTGTTATCTTCGAGGATCTATTTTCAGGAGTTGTTCCCGATCTACTGTCAACGACGGCCCTTCTATTGTGCTTAAGAAAGGAGCAACCTTCCGCTTTCGCTTAGCAAGCACGTCTTGATGAGGGGCAATGACAACATCCCTTTTAGCAAAGTCAATTATGCATCTTGCCCGCAAATTCGCCCATCTCGCATTTCAGATTCATGCTTATCGCGGAGCAGTGGAGCGGACCGATAAGATGCTTCAATTGCATTTTCCACCGTAATGTACAGTGGGGCAAGCACATCGCGCAACGACTTCTCCGTATTGCCTCATAATGAAGCTGGATTTGGGGTTATGAGATGCTGATCTAAGTTTGCGGGCACCAATGGAGTGGATCGCCTTTGAGATTGAAGGCGAAGATTGGAGGGTCTTTTCATCGGAACCGAAATGGAGCTGATAAGAAAGCACGATGCGCATGCGTGTTATTGCGAATATGCATTCCGTTGGAAATTTTGATGCACCGAGTCGTCAAACTTTGATCTTGGCAGCGAACTGGGGAAAGAGACTTTTGGGATCCTTGTTACTTTGACAAGCACTGGCTGGCCGATTCCTGTCACTGAGAAGCTTTTACCAGCACACTGGTAAACGTCAACACGCCTTCTACCTGCGACGGGATGCTTCAGAAGGACAACTGTGGACTAGAATGTCCAAATGTCACGGATTTAGACTGTTGGACCTGCTTTGCACCATTCAAAGCTACTAAGATATCATGCCACAACGAGAAATCTCCCCCCACCAGTGTATGTAAGTCAGGACGAAGTTCCTAATGTGTGGGTAGACCTGGACAAATCTCTCCGCGCCAACATACCGGCGTGGGTACTTGCTCCCGTCACCAAGGGTGGCCCCATGTAGACAATACAAATCACGACATAACAGCATTCTTGTTCGGAGATCCAAGAAGACTACATAAGCTCTTGGGTCCTGCCAAATTTGCTGGGCAGTTTCTTGGATTCTCTTGACCATCCAGTGACATCGTCTCAACAATGCCAACGATGTCGGACTTCAAGGACACCGCCGTCGCTCAGACTACAACCAGTCAAGCCAATAGCCAGAAGGGTACGCAGCCTGACAAAGCTCACTACGACGCCACCCATCCAACGAAAGACGACGTCTACATCGGATCTGGCTCAGCCTCTACTACCACCGATGAAGATGGCGCTGATTTCAAGAAGAACCCATTCTTGGATCCGGATGTAGCTGAGCATTGGGCCACTGTCTATGAGAAGTCTCAATATGAGTGTCGAGGGGCATTTGATCCTACATTTACGTGGACGGATGAGGAGGAACGAAAGCTTGTTCGTCGCTTGGACTGGAGAGTCTGTCTCTGGGCAGTAAGCAAGCCTCAAAGCTTGTCTGTATGCCAAGTCAAAAGCTAACATGGGACTAGTGCGTGATGTTCTTTGGTCTGCAAGTTGATCGTGGGAACCTTGTTCAGGCTGTCTCGGATAACATGCTCAATGACTTGAACTTGACCACGAATGGTAAGAGACTCCCCTACGATGTGGTGTTTGGTCGAGACATCTAACATACCGTCAGACTACAATTTTGGCAATGTCATTTTCCTGTTCTCGTTCCTGCTTGCAGAGCTACCGTCACAACTGGTTTCGAAGAAGATAGGTCCCGATCGATGGATTCCGATGCAAATCACGCTTTGGTCTATTGTTGCCATGTCTCAAAGTGCTCTTTCTGGAAAAAGGAGTTTCTATGCCACACGTAGTATCTTGGGTCTCTTAGAGGTATGCTGAACATTCCCACGAAGTCTGGAACGATCGCTGACAAAATTAGGGTGGGTTTATTCCGGATATCGTGCTCTGGCTGTCATACTTCTACACCTCAAGAGAATTGCCGACCCGTCTCAGGTATGATACCATGCCCATGTCAAAGGCACCAGTACTAATTTATCGATGTGCAGTTTCTTTTGGACAACCCTTTCCACGACCACAATCATTACCTCCATTTTGGCATTTGCTTTGCTCCATATGCGTGGTGTAGCTGGCTGGGCGGGATGGAGATGGCTTTTCCTCATCGAAGGAGGAATCACTTTACTCGTTGGCTTGTCCTCCTTCTTCATGATGCCAGCATCTGCCGTCCAAACCAAAGCATGGTACAGACCAAAGGGATGGTTCACAGATCGTGAGGTCAAGATCGTCGTCAATCGTATTCTTCGCGACGACCCCTCCAAAGGCGACATGCACAACCGTCAAGCCATTACGCCACGCAGACTCTGGAACGCAGCTCGTGATTACGATCTCTGGCCGTTGTATGCCATTGGACTTATCGCATACATTCCTCAAGCACCAACAGCTACGTACATCACCTTGACGCTGAAGTCCCTTGGTTTCTCCACCTTCAATACCAATCTCTTGACGATCCCATACTCCGTCTTCCACATCATAACTCTCCTTTTGATCACACAGCTCTCGGAGCGCACAAATGAGCGTACTCTAGTCGCCATGCTCCAACCAATCTGGACACTACCCTGTATTATCGCTCTTCGTTTCTGGCCCGGAGCACTGAAAGAAGCCTGGGGAACTTACGCGCTCGTCACCGTCCTCCTCTCATACCCCTACTGCCACGCCATCCTCGTCGGCTGGACATCCAAGAACTCCAATAACGTCGGTACGCGCTCCGTCTCAGCAGCGTTCTACAACATGGCCGTTCAGCTCGGCAACATCTGCTCCAATTTCATCTATCGCCAAGACGACAAGCCTTTGTACCATCGTGGAAACACGAACTTGTTGATCATCAACTTTTTGAGTATTGGGATCTTCTTGGCTACGAAGGTGTATTATGTGTATAGAAATAAGCAGAGGGATCGTGTGTGGAATGCGATGAGCGCGGATGAACAGAGGGATTACAAGCGCAATACGACTCTTTCAGGGTCGAGGAGGTTGGATTTCAGATTTGCTCATTGATGACCTAATGGATATCATCAGGTGTAATAATTGTTGATTCGAAATCACATGCAAAAGAAGGAGAATATCGGAGAAAAATGAGAAATGAAGTCAATGTCAACAAACTTTTGTCTTACGTGATATCTTTCATCCTTTCACCAGCTCAAGGTAAGATCTTAGGTACCACTACCACTTTTCATCTCCTGCGATGGTTTACTCTTCGCGGCGAAGAAAAGTCTTGGATTTTTCGAGAGTTTGATCTAGCTAGAATAGTACGAGCGATGTGGATTAAAAGTCGAATATCTCTCTTTGTGGTTCTATTTAAGTCATAAATCTTGTTCATGACGATGGTGTCTGTTTGGAAAAGGAAATATGGACGGACTCAGTATCCTATAATCATGGTGTAAGATCTCGCAGATGTGATAACATGAAAACGTGATGGTAATGAGTTGAAGAGCTCATTACAGTGATATTGGTGTCGTGAACTTGTCGCAGCATAGGTTATACCCTTTCCCCCGCCCATTGGAGGTCCACCACGATGTTCTCTACATGACGAGTGACCCTTTCCAATTGCCGCTAAGCTGCTTATTCTGAAAACCAGAAGTCAGCAGACCGCTTCAAAGACATGTCGTGGAAAGTTACATACCAAAGACGAGTTGTCCGTTTTGGTTGGAGATTCGCTCGGAGATGTTGATATCGCCGGGAATACCCTCACCCTCGATGTTTCGGAGCTCACCACGGAGAATGGGAAGACCATCATCTCCCTCGAACTCAAAACTGAAGTTCTCACCGGAGTCGGCATATCCTGCAAAGCGGCATTATCAGGCCTTGTGATGCATGAGAGGTGGGAATGTGTTGTTACCTTGACCCTCCCAAGCGAAGCTACCTGTGAGAATGTCAGTGTTGCTTCGTTGACAGGGGACGGTGGAAAGGTGAGGGAAAGCCGGGGGGGTTTGATCTATCATACCGTCGTTGTTGCCAAGGCATGAGTTCAGATCAAGTTCTGCCTCTACTAGCTCGCCGTCAACGTTTGGAATGCTGGCCTTCAGGATGTGGTTGTCCTCGACACGGACATCTTGGGCAGAGATATGAAAAGACATCTTGATGATATAGGAGTGACTGAAGTTCGAAAGTTTTGTTGTTGTTATTGAAATTTTCTGAAGAAATTTTCTGAAGAAGTGTTGTGTTGTTTGTTGTGGAATAGTCAAATCTGGAGGCCGACGAAGCTCCTTAAATACTGCTGCTTCGCGGCACCTCTCGTCACTTACTCATATGTGCCATCCCCAAAGATATTCACTCAATGGGTACTGCAGAATTTGGCAACAGCTCCCGTGCTTAGGCTTCGCACAATCACTAGAGTAAACAACGAATAGAAAGGCATGATTCACACATGTTCCACCACTTCTCGGAATAACGTCAGTTTTTGCGAGTTACAAAGACACAGCCCCTCCTTCTATTCAGCTGGACAGGGCACATATAAGCACCTAATTGCTTAGGTGTATACTCACAAGACCCTCATCTTTCAAGGTCACAAATGAGCATCTACCACTCTGTGGGGAAGTGTGTCGATATACATCTTGCCAAGCCAAGTCGAATTACCGCGAGGCTCATAAGTGGTCAGCCACAGCTTGTCCGGCAACAACGGCACTGAGCTGTCTCCGCCAATTGACAGTTGTCAAAGCCAAGTGGCTTGCGTCTGTATCATAACCTTGGCGTAACCTGCCGTACATCATCTTGTGTTGTTGGTTGAGGATCCGCAGGGCTAAACGGCGCGAATCGGCTCGCGCCGGCCCATTGTTGTGTGGATGACGAGGAACACTCGCATTAGTGCACCCCGTTTATGATGGAGAATAACGGCTGGAATTGATGCACATGTCTTATGTGAGGGAGAACAAAAGATCATGTGGTCTCTGCTTCTAGTGGAGGAGAATCACCTCAAAGCATTTGCTGGAAACATCTGGAAGCACTGAGACATTGTTGCAGGTCAAGGCCAACACTGAGAGACCAATGAACTGAACTGAATTGGGAGATAAATTTCTGAGAAAACGGAGGTCGACCTGTTGAGTGTTGAGAAACGTTGAAATGACAGAGGAGGCATTCAATTCAATAGTCCAAGATGGTGAGAGCAGCACCACCTAAGTTTTCTTCCTGCAACATATACGTTTAAGCCAAGACACGTATTGTCTTCGACTGTCTATTTTCTCTTCCATTACACTCGACGAGTTTGAGGTAAGCTTCTTAGGCGCTGTCAAACTGTCACATTTTACTCCCTGGTCGACGAACTTGGCGGCAAATCCTCCGCCTTGGTGCCCCAAGCACTTTCATTCTTCCCCAGAGTAAGCTCCAGAATACCTCCGTCAAGCCAGAAGCTATGTTTTATCCAGTTCTTGGTATATGGTTCCCCATTAAGAGTTGCACTTTGAATGTAGATATTCTCATATTCCGCATCGAAATTAACATTCTTGATCGTAGCCGTCTTCCCACTTTGCTTATTTGTCACGCTGACAGATGGGAAATAGGGTGGAGTGATGAGATAAACATCTTGTCCTGGGACAGGCCAGAGGCCCATCATCGAAAGCGTTGTGAAAGACCCCATTGCACCGGAGTCATCATTCCCTGCGATGCCGGACAACGTATCGTTGAATTGAGATGGGATGTAGAAATGTGAGAAGTATGCTGACAGTCCTGGACGACCGGCGTAGTGAAATTGGAAGACTGGAAGGAAAGCTTGTTCATCGCCAATATAGAGAAGGCCTGAGGTATGGAGGTAAGAGAGACGCCTGGAGAATTCATCTGGACCGCCGAGAGTTGTGATGAGAGTTGCCATATCTTGTGGAACAAAGAATGTATACATCCAGGAACTCCCTTCGTATGTCTCGTGTCCATCAGGATTGAGGTAGCATGATGTGAAGTTGTAAAGGGGAGAGCAGAGTGAGGGGTCCTGGAATCCGAAAGTTCCATTCAGGTAGCGGGGCTGAAGGAAGCCGACAAAACCACTGTCGATGGTGCTGTTAGGGAAACCGGTTGTGTTGGACACGAATGAAGTTTGGTCAGCTTTGTAAATATTCTTCCCTAGGAAAGACAAGATAAAGTCAGCTCTGGCGAAGAATCCAGTTATGTATTGACAAAACTTAAATTGAGATTTGAATGAGACTAGTTCCTGAACACCTACAATTATTTGAGCGAGTAATATACTTTTCAGCATCTGCAATGTTACCAAGTCCCTGAGCCATTTCAGAGATACAGAAATCATTATAAGCATATTCTACGGTGCGAGATATCGATCGAGTGAAAGGTCCAACGCCATGAGAATCAAAATCATCAGTTGGGATGTAGCCGAGAGATTTCCAAGATGTAAGGCCGCCACGACCTTCCACAGCCCAATTTTCCGGTTCGTCTGTCATACGTGATTAGTAAATTGTTTCAAGTATTTGAATGAATTTACCTTCGGCATCCGAAACCATGGCTTCATAGCCTGTTTTCCAGTCTACGCCATCGGTGATGTTCTTCAAGTAGGAATCGGCTAGCACAACGTCTGCATTCGATCCACCCTGCGTGAATCCTTTACACAAAGACATCCTACAATCCGGAAGTTTTCCTATCATACATTAGTCTTATTCATGCTTGCCACCAGAGAATTATAGGATGGGGCACCTTCATGTCGATAAATGTCAATCAAGCTCCTTACCATCAATGTCTGGCTTTGGGGATCCAGCAAGGTGAGCAAAGGATGGATGCTTCGGAACGAGTCCCAAATACAATAATACGAATCGTAGTATGGTTCTGTACTATTCCAGAGGGGGTTCTCTCCTGTGTAGTCTTGCGGTGATATCATTGATCTATACGTTCCAGACCAAAACACCGTCTGCAACTCTTCACTGACACCTGTAGCATCCAGCTCAATTACTGACAACTTCTCTCGCCACGCCTCTTCTGCTACATTGCGAATCTTGTCAAATCCAAAGTCCGTTATCTCAGTTTCCGCATTCTGGCAGGCTTTTTCGACGCTGATGAAAGATACGCCAACTCGTGCGAGAATCTGGTTGTTTGGTGGAGGGTGGAATTGGGTCCAGGCGCCCGCGGGCAGGGGAGGAGAATTGATACCATCTGCCATGCGCTTCAACATCTTTGGCTCTGAACCAGCTCGATTGTTGATCCATACTCCGGTGTCTCTAAGTGATGCTCCTGAAAAGTCTGCACAGAATGAGAGGTTGTAACTCCCAATGCCGAACGAGGGACTAAATGTCCCACTTCCTGTGAGTCTGCCAGTAGTTTCATTGACCTGAACGACTCCATTGGTAATTGAGTCTGGAAGGTCTGATAAGTCCACGAGAATGAGAGGACTGTAAGGAAGTTCAGATTGATTTTGATACGTGGAAAATGGCGAGTTTGATGGAAAGTTGAATCGGTAGAGAGCTGTGTGATTTGTGACTGTCATTTCGGTATGGATTGAAGTGTTCAAGCTGACAGCAAAATACCCTGGTTTCGCTACGACAGTTCCATTGATCCTACGTGAAGCTCGCTCGTCTTTGGTGAAAAAGCAATTATTGATGATATCTCCGGGACACCCCGTCTGAGGGAAGATCGGAAAATTTCCGAGCGAAGGGGACTTGATTTAATTTGTCAGTTAAAACCCGGGAAATTCTGGCTGAACAGATAACCTACACCTCCAGTGCCAGAATCATGCATATGAGAGAATCCTGTAATGTCTGAATTGTCCGATGCGAAGCCTCCTTGTTTCTCATCTGGATTGTTGACATCCGCGACTGCCTTGGCCATTCCTTGTCTGTCAGTCTCGACCGAAAGGTTTACTAGCTCCACTCACCAAAGGGCAGAGTCGCGCCAGGAAAAACATGGCCTATGGTTGTTAGATTTAAAATCTCCTTCAATTTAGAAACGCGGAGAGTTACCTCCATTGATGGTTCCAATCAAGGGATCTACGAAATCAAAAACATCAAACTCCTGGCTCCTCTGGCCTGGGCCTGCTTCTGCGAGGACGGACGAGGCAATCAACCCAACAATCGATTGAAAACCGAACAAAATCATTTTATACTGATGGACCAAAAGACAGCCGAATTTTTATGTTCCAAGACATCCAAGGGAATTTGGTATTTCATCATTCTTGGATCCCCCACTTCCCCAACCTTTCTACCCCGCTGTCGTCACCTACATCTGTAAGTCAAGTGCCGGCCACATCAGGTACCACGTTACGTACCCCTCATTTATTTCAACAATCAGTTAAGCTTCCCAAAGTAACCAGTAGCTAAGAAACGATGATGAGAAATTGACGTTGATCTAAGCCAGCTCGGGGATCGGTCCGCGAGGCTTGCGGGTCGTCGGAACATTTGGGTTTTGGGGTGGACTTGAGAACGCCACATGCGCCCATGCAGGCGGGAGACCTACTTAAGGATAATCGAGACACTCTCGGTAGTCATCCTGAAAGAAGCGAGGTTTGTTCTGGCGAGAGCAGATGAAAAGGATGCTTTACTGCGGCTTCATCAACGACGAACGGAAATGCTGGATATCCTCGCTTAATTGGGGAGTTCAGGAAAGGGGTTTGTCAACACGGAGCTTTGTGAACTGAGATCTTGAAATTTACTGCGCAGGAGTTCCTATATCATTCTAATCTGGAGTGCAAAGGAGCTTCTAGCGCACGAGTGCATTATTTCGGAGCATTCTTCCACTCTAGTGGGTTGGGTACAAGTCCTGCAGCACCATCCGAGGGAAACCCCATACGATATCCCTATGATGGTTTTCAGCCAAATTGCCATTAATTTATTGTATTGATTTTCTTCATTATGGTTCCAAAAGCCCCAAAGTAGATACATTGGTCGAGGGACGAGAGCTTGGTAGCCAACTGCGGCCATGTTCTGACGTACGCATGATCACCAAAGCTGGAAGACAAGCTTCTGGGGTCGCACCAGTGATTGAAAGACTCTCGTGTCATGTAGCGAAAACCCAGCCAGAATCTTATCTTCGACTACCACAAGTTCAACGATACCGACTCAGCTCCGACACCTACTGGAAACACAAGTCACCTGACCTTCCTCTTTTGACCCGGCGCAACCAGTTGGAACTCTTCCAGATTCGTCTTGTAAAGAACATACACTCTGCCTGAACCCAACTGCGTGATTTCCAACCAACAAATACGACCTCACGATGCATTGTACAACCACGCAAATTACCTAATCGATACCTTGATAGATGCCTGCCCTCGCATCGTTGCATGCATGTCTGGCCTGGTTTCTTCAAGCGAGCCCTCTTGTTCCTTAGTCTGAACCCCAACTCAGAAACCCAAAATTAAAACGTGCACTTTGGCGTTTCCTCTCATTTATTTTCACGTCGCTGCGAAACATCAGATCCAAGGGACAAGATGCAAACGTAATGTATATGCAAGGCTTGATTTGTTGGACATAAAGTCTGGGGCAAATCGCTTCTGTCCTTCTTTTCTTCTCTGCCGTGCTATTTTCTCACTCTTGATTTTCTTCTTCGTGTATTATTTCTTGCTATTACTATTACATTGGAATTTTGACACTTTTTCACAGGAAATGCTTCGCTGCTCCCTTGCATACTTGTTCATTCTGTCTCTCTTGCAATGCGAAGCATTGATTTTGTCTCGTCTCCTCCATCGTACCTCCAACGAATCGATCATTTGATTTCCTGGACCCAGGAAATATCTTAAAGCTGCGGCTGAAGTTTATTGTCAGAACTAAGGATCGCACCTTCCTTCTGCAGACAGCTTACGGCCCAGCCAAGGAATGCTGACGACGTGAGGCACGCTCATCAAGATGAAGTGCTCTTATTATGGCATTGACAGCCGTTGATACGCGGCATATACTTTTTCTGGCGTCAAATTTACGATTTGGAGGCTGGCTGATAGACTGCACGCGCAAGTTCCTTGACCCGTCGACGTATCGACGCTTGAGACAGGGAAGCGTCGCCAAGGCAGATTGTTGGGATAAGTAGTCCTTCCTCCCGTGCATCATTCTGTTCACGGTTCCTCAAACCAGATTTCTCGAAGATCTCGCTGTGTTGCCTTCACGATGTCTGCAGTCCAAGGCTTCATATCCCGAATTTTAACGAGGTGAGAATGTTGGCAATAGGGTTGGCACTCTGTCCGGCTTTTAGCCGTTTGAGATGGGTCCTTTGATATCGCCAAGACAGTCGCCATCACAACAACTCCCTCAGCCCCAAATGGCTGTGCTGGTACTTATATGCTGATCCGCGAGAGGGCATCCCGACGAAAATAATTCCTCTCAACAACTCGTCAACTCGTCAACTCGCGAAAGATGTTTGGATGGGCGAAACAACGAGAGAAGCGGGCTTGAGCAACATTGTGGATGAGATCTCCCAGCATGTCCGTATCGCAGAAACGAGATCCCTCGAAACGCTACCGTCGATTGATGCAAGGCGGACGAGAAAGATGACTGGATTGATTGGAAACCAGAGGATACCATGATTCCATTCTCGTCATGGGCTCAACTTACCAGCGGTGCAGTACTTCGGCACCAGAAACAAGACAAAACTCGACGCCGTTCTTCGCACACCAGCCATCACAAGCACCTCATGATGTTTACCTCGGCTAGATCGGCTAGACTCGAACCACTTTGGGTCCTGTAGCATTGTCCAGCCGTTTCTTGAAAGGAATGCTTGCTCTGAAATCTGAACTCGGCATTACGTAGTGGCGACAACCGAAGAACACGAGATTATCCACCCTGCCTTAACGGTCTGCACTGGAGTCATTCGATGCTGGGTAAATTGCAATGCCAGACTTGGTTATTGGGTGTACCCAAGCCCACGACCGATTGGACAAATGAAAGCAGCGGTGCGGCACAACCCCCTGCCGCAAGATAAGAACTAGAGGTATCCCATTGGCCGCCGCTCCATACGCAGGTCACACAAACAGTAAGCATCTCACCCTCGAGCACAAACTTTGTGCTTGATCGAGGTCCTCTACGATCGATTCGATCATGGACAAGGAAGCCACGAACAAATTGGGTTTGCGCTGCAGGGGACGAAAACGCATCATCTCCAGCAGGAGAGCGAGTCGGCCACTACGATGTCCTTTTTGGGAGACGAACTCAGATCTCTCACCTTGCGAAGTCACAGGAGGCTTTCAGTTCTAAGAACGAAGAAACATATAGCCATAATCTAGGCTGGTGTGTGTCTTCAGATAATCAGTCCATCTCTGGCAGGCCGACACACCTGAATGAGCGTCGCTTACTTTGCGGAACCGAAGAACCAGTGGAATAATCATGACAGTAGTCAGACATGATGAGTTTTGGATTGGAAATCAGGTGAGGTTCTTGGTGAGACGCAGACTAGGCTTTGGGTAGCACAGGACGATTTGGCGATTTGCTGGCATTGCAGTTCGTTCCGGCTGCCAACCCAGGGGCCATGCCATGTACCCCACACGGAGATACGCCCCTGCAGCAAGCCGTCAAATGCTATTTCGACTGGCGGTGAAAGGCAAGCGCTCCGATTGATCACAGCAGGAGAGGATACATCAAAACTCTCTGCAGTCGGGAAATAAGATTCTCGTCAGCATCCGGTGCCAGTCGATGATGAGCCAAAGGCTCGGACATCGTTCAAGGTGTCATTGATCTTTCGGAGGAATGCCACCAAAAAGATCTATTATCAAGCGTAAGAAGCCGAAGAAAGTTCACTGGCCGTGGCAACCTCGGAAACAGGAAATCATCTTCCTCAGGGAGCACGTTTTTCACAGAGTGTGCTTCTGAGCCCCCCGGCATAGTATGCCAATTGGCTTCATGGATGCTCAACCTTGGTAAGGACGGTTTGTCTAAAACTGATCGGTGGATTTGCCAAGTGGACGAAATCTGCTGGCAGAGAATCAGGCCACTTCGAAAAGCGTTCCTATTCAGTCACAATATGGTTCGCTCAATCTCACTTGTCAGTTCTGTCTTCTCCTTATATCTGCAAACTAGCGCCAGAGAAACGGCATCCAAGCTCAGACTAACATAGCAGCAGGGTGAGGGTGCTGTTTCGAAACAATAGTGAAGGCCGTCTTCCACCCATCGTTATATACTGTTGAGATATTCCCCCGCCGCCAGGTAGTAGAATTTTGACATCATGTCTAGCCCCAATATCCTACATCGACATCCCGTCCAACTCTATCTCTGGACGACTTCTCTTTTCACACAACTCTCATTCAACTTTGGCTGTGAATGGTGCTGCTTCATCTGACGCATCTGTTGAGAAGTTTTGGACCTCATAACCGCTGAGTGACAGCAGCAAAGTGCTTTGTCCTTCATCATCGATTCTGCTATCTTCAGAAGATCAGATATTGAAAGAGGGTCCGATAATGCGCTTAAAATTCCTCCTCCCACAAGACAAGCATTTTGCTTAGGACGAATAAGGAGCCTTCTCCGGCGCCTATCAGGTCGGGCGGCGTTCAATGGGCATGTGTGTCCCCTGGTGGTCGTGCCGTTGCCCACTGGCCCTGCACTGGAGGGGCTGGGCGTGGGGCAGATGCAGCACACATTCTGGCACAGGCGTGCACGTACCTACGGCGCGCTGTAGCTTAGCGAAGAATTTAAGGCACGGCACCTCGACTAACCTACGGATAGCAGACATCCTCAACAGGCGAAAGTCAAGTCATATCAGACATCATACCAGTGCTTCCGATAAAGCCTCCCAGGACTGATTCGTGTGCACAACCACGCACATGAGCGTTGCTGCTATCCAGGCTGCTCGTCTACGATGGATCAGCTGTCGCAGTACACTCGAGAGGTTGCACGAGACGAGTCTCGGCGCCGCAGCATCGGGGAGCTTCAGGGCGATTTGCTATGGCGGCCAAATCTGCCCAAGACGTGCACAGTCGCAGATGCTCACAAAGCTTGCCTGGAATTACTAGAACGGCAATTAGCCGTTGTCATTGAGTGTGCTAAAGAGGGAAATTCTGGCGTGAAGTCGCTGCTGAATCCGATTGCCCGGAGACTGGATGATCAGATAGTGCGGTTTGAGATATGGTCCTCAGATGTCGATGCCAAAACTGGGACGCTGGGAGAAGAACCTGTGACGGGAGCATTCTCGGGGGAAATGAACAATCTGTTCGGACTTGTGAAGGATAGACTGTTGAAGATTCTGGAACTTGCTGGGATCGTGTCAGATGACTTGGGCACCGTTTTTGGAGTCCTTGGTTCTATCGATAACGGTTCTGACAGGTACGAAAACTTCTTTTGGTTCTCTTACAATCAGGTTGCTGATTTGGTTTGGTTAGGAGTACGGCTTCCCAGCGATTACAGGATTCTTGTGATCACGTTTCTACCACCATTAGCGAGATCGATCCTGTCCTCAAGAATCTGGGGACACTGGTGCGTCCGGTCCGCGCGGCTCAAGCTGCTTTTCGTCAGGAGGGCTCGTACTGGGAGCATCGCCAGAAGATCCTGCAAGTTAAGAACGCGGGGAGGTCGGCTGGTCCATCTGGTCTACCGTCGCCGAGCCCGTCAAGAGCCTCTGACGAAAGTCCAAGTTCTGCAAGCTACCCAGATCGGAATGCACGCGTAGAATTCTTTTCTGAAGGATCCGATAAGGGGAAGGGCCCAGAGGTCACTACGAGAAGTATCGCTATTGTACAAGACAACTCAACACATCCAACGCTGACTGGCAGGGCGATGGGGAAAACGCGACTAGCTACAAGATCACAACAAAGTCGATCACCGCCGGACGGGGGACAGATCTCAATTGCCTGCCCAACAGACCGACTGAAGGCTAGACTGGATATGGTTGTGGAGAATCATTTTCACGACGAGGACTGGATGCATACCGTGGACGACAGGATCCAGTCTGTCCTCGATGAGGACTCTTTGAAAGCCCTCTTCACTTGCGTCTGTACGAAGTGCCGCTTGTCTCGTCGCCTTGCCATCGCATCATCAAGTTCGAACGGAGAAGGTCTACAGCTGGAAGGAGTTCCGGACGCACTTCGTCTGCTGTCGATGTGTATCCTCGCCGAGAAACCATTCTTGATAAGCCTACTGCTTTCCCGAGATATCGACGATGAAGTTTTTGAAGACTGTAAATCCGAAACACAACTAGTGGATGCAACAGGCATTGCCCTTGACGATGCGAGGACGTTATTGAAACTCAAAGGCTTATTTTTCGGGGTTAGCATGATGCGGTACTTGCGGTCGCCCAAACAAGATGACAAGCCGCAAGACGGAGAGAGAACATGGCTACTGAACGAGATCTTGGAGCTAACAAGAAAACTGTCAACACCAAATGATACATCGGAGTTGGACCTGCAGTCGATGATGATCTCACAGCTTACGTTCACCAAGACGAAAAGAATGGACACGGATCGTCTCAATGACGTCTTTCCCGAGCTGTGGGACGACGATGTCTCGATTCAATCACTAGGGTTTCTAGTGATGGATATGATTTGGTTCCTCGTCGGCGGAAGCTCCATGGTGATGTACATGGATGCTCTCCGCTCCAAGCCGACATCCCGACCAGCAGGACCATTCGATTGGATAAAAGCTATTTCCAGAGAGGCCTTCGCCCAGTTGGAAGCAGAGCCTGAACTTGCTCAGGCCTTTGAAGTCGCGTATATTCTTATCCAACCTAACGGTCGATTTGGCCTGGATGGCACGCCCGAGGAAAATTATGCTTATGCGGATATGCATCTGCGGAAGTTGTGGCCGGTGTCGTTTCTGGATGACCCGTTTAGAGTTGGGGGGCATAGGTCAAATAGGAGCTTGGATGCCTGGAGCGTTTCGACAAAGGCCAGTACGGAGGCTGATTCAAATTATATTGAGATGGAGGGGAGCGTGTTTAAATGGCTGTAAGTCACAGCTTCGTGCTGACTACTAGAACTTACTGATAGCCATGACAGCATACTAAGGTATAGGAAGGACGGTGAGGGAGATGTCGATTCAGGGTGTCGGATACGCATTTATAAATCGCCGAATGGGCAGCGACTGAGGTTTGTGGTGTGTGATTTTGATAAAGATCCAAACAAGCACACCTCATTTCAAGGTATACAACCTCTAAATATCGGAACCGAAGCACGATACTGACTTGCACTGATAGTATTGACCGAGGGGCTATGTTTTGTTCCTTTATATTCTTACGATGAACGGCCGACGGAGTTCAGCGCGAAGTTGCAACCAAAATCTGGCTCTACCAGAGATATTAATATTCAATATATTTTCACATTTCAGACTCGGGAAGGTAGGCTTTCTCGTTCTTTCTGTTCACCACGCTGCTAACTTCCACAGATGTTCAGTTACTACAAGAATGCTTGACTGGTCGTACGATTGAAAGCCAGTATGCCTCCATGCCAAATCCCTTCACCCCCTCATGTATATGTGGGCTAATTATATTTAGCGCAATTCTCAATAGCTTCTCTCTGCTTGTCAAGAAACACCGTGGATTTGAGATCCGAGGTGTTGAAATTGGGTTCTGGGATAGCAAGAGACAGGAGATTCAAGCAACTAATTTTGGAGCTATGCAGATTTGGAGAGTGCTGGAAAAAGATAAACTGGTTGGTGGCGTTCTATTGAATCTTTGGCCACTCATACTGATCTACTCAATAGGACTCCGTCCACAAAGGAGACCAACAGCAAAAGAGAGGGGTCAAAGAGCATCCATTGAGATTTGAAATTGCGGTAACATCTGATAAGATGCTTCTGGTCATCGGAGGTTAGTCTCGCATGCACTCAGACTGTATCATTACTGACCGTGCAGTTCGTTCGCTCCTCCGAGTCCGAGACGTTGACTCTCTGGGTCTTTCCATCACCAGTCGGGACGATGCACGAGCGTCATCATTGATAGGTCGACTTTACCAGGCTCAAAAGCTAGACGACGAGACCATCTTTCCCGGAATCCCGGTCTTCCAAAAACCACCATTCGAGTCGCCACAAGATGGGGAGATGATATTATGCAGTGCCCTGCGTCTGGGTTTCTCTAGCAAGCTCGCCAGAGGTATTTATAGCCCCCCTTTTGGTTTTCTAACAAGCCAGTTGTTTCCGGTCGAATTGCTGATGCCATAAACAGACAGCATAAGGAGATTCCTGGTCAAAAGCTATAATGCGAAGCCATGCTAATACCGCGTACCGATGGATGATGTTTAGTGGGAAACACCTTGTCAATTGCAAAGTCTGGTACCGAGGAACGGGCCACCAGCGTGTTGTTTCATGCAACCATTCACGATCTGGTACAAGATGCTGGATTTGGCCTCGGATTGGCGAGGCGGTCCTTTTGTACCACCAACCCCTCCATCACCCATGACAGGAGACGGGGTGTTCGCAACCCCACCAATTTCCACGAGCCAGTCGGCCTGGCATCTGGCATGTGCGCCTAAGTCCGCTTCCCACCATACTGTGGTCACCCAGATAGTTGTGTGGTTACCAATTACCAGCATGGGCAATAGGCAGGTCCAAAAGATCAGATATTGATCGCTGACTGGTCAGTATACGCCAAGTCGCCGGATCATGATTGGCAGCTCGAAGCGATTCCACCTGCTGGGCTTCTCAACTGAGTCAACTCAGATTGTGTGTGGTCTGGGTTTTCTGGGGTTGCACGGCTTCTGGGGATCTCAGACAGTGTTTGACAGGGGACTCGTCTCCAAACTTGCAGTGGACGGACCCGGGGTTCAGCGGCCTCTCCGGGCCCTGAATTCACCAACAATACAGTAAATTACAGCATCCAGTTCCGTCACCCAAATCCCTGAAGGGTCCTGTACTCTACTGTATCACCGACCGCACTACAAATTGCACTGTGCCATAGGGAGTAAAGCCTGGCCGCCTGGCCGCCTGCCCGGGCCAGACTCTCTGGCTGCCGCACCGGCGTTGTCCCTACCCGTACCCTAGCTTTACTGTACTTAGTGTAGTGGCATGCAGGTGGCTGGCCCCTCATCGCAGCGTCTTATTGGATGTGTTTTAAACAATTCTCATCCCACCTCCCCCATGCATCCACAGACGTCTATCTATCTCGAACGCCCCAACCAGATCATATCCATCCAGCCCACGCTCCCACGGTATCATCCCATCCCGACCTCCTAATCAATTCAGAACCACAACGCCCTTTTTCGTGCACGCGCCAGATGCAGGCCATGCATGGCCCACCATCCAGAGCATCAGAAGAGGCAAGCGTGTCGGTGAGTCGGGATCGAGCCCAGCAGGAGCCTCATGCAGGCCCAGGCTTTCCGGGGACCAGTCGTCAGTCGTGGAGACCTGTTCGTCCGGTCCACCAGGTCCATCGTTCCCCATTTTACCTCCAGCGCGTCTACCCACCTGTTCAAGCTTTCCCAGTCCGTCTTCTGTCCCTGCGTGTTGGTGTGTATGACGACCTGCGATATCAGCCAACAGACTTCAGACGAAGTTTTGTTTAACTCCAGCAAACAGCCTTTCACGTTGCGATTCTAGAATACAAGACTTGTCGTATGATATGACCATAGACCCGAACGAGGCGGTAGGCCCGGAATTGTGATTCAGAAATGGATGTATGTACCTCCCACCCGGCGATAAGAACAACAACATACAATTCTGGCATGTCTGGTTGGGGACTGATCAATCTCTGTGATAGACTACCGGTGACTATGCCTGGATAATGGCTTCCACGGCCTTGGTGTTCATGATGGTGCCCGGAATTGCGCTCTTCTACTCCGGACTGCGAAGTCAAACCACAGCCCTGTCTTTGATATGGCTGAGCATGATGGCCGTCTCAGTCGTGAGCATACAAGTCAGCAACCCCGAAGACTCGTGGAAACATAATTGGGGAATACTAAGTGGCATACAGTGGTTCCTTTTTGGATATTCGCTGGTGTTCAGCCAGACATCGACAAGCGGATTTATCGGTAACTTCGAGTATGCTCTGTTCTTGAATATGGACAAGGACGATGCCTTTGCCGGCACACGAGGACATGACACGCCGGCGATGGTATTTGGATTGTTCCAAGGGATGTTCGCAGCATTTACGTTCGTACCCCTCTGTCAAGCTGCCCCTTCCCCCTTGGACATTTACTAACAGACCTAGCATCGCCCTCGTCACAGGCGTGGTTGCAGAAAAAGGCCGACTCTTCCCCTTCCTCATCTTCTCCTTCTTTTGGACCTCCCTCGTCTACGATCCGATCGCATACTGGCTCTGGAACTCACAAGGCTGGGGAAATTCCATGGGCGGGCTTGACTGGGCAGGAGGAACTCCCGTGCATATATGCTCAGGCGCTGCGACTCTGGCATACACCGTCGTGTTGAAATACATCCGAGTCACTACCGACGACACGCACAGTATAACCAGCATCTCGCGCGACGTAGGTAGCTGGAAGAAATACCTATTTTCGCGGGCACAGCGCAGAGAGCGGTTGCCCTCGGGACCGACTGCGCTGGAAGCCGGACTTGAGAGCCATAACATGACGAATGCGATGCTGGGAATGCTGCTGGTGTGGTTCGGGTGGTTTGGGTTCAATGCTGGGTCGGAGTTGAAGGCTAATATGCGTGCGGTGTCGACGTTCATCGCGACAAATCTTGCGGCTTGTAGTGGAGGTGTTGCGTATACCCTGCTCGAGCGTATGGCGGGGCAGAAGTGGTCTGGTCTAGGCTTTTGTACCGGGGCTTTTGCTGGGCTAGTGGCTATCACTCCTGGAGCAGGATATGTGCGTACATCCTCTCTCCAGCGCTTCATTGCGTTGTGTTTGTAATGGGCTCGGCTAACAAGGCGATCCTAGGTCCCGCCATGGGCAGCACTCATCTTTGGCTCTACAGCCGCAGCAGTTGTCTTCGGCTTCGAAGCCATTAAGTGGCTGGAGGATTTCCTGGAGGAGCCACTACATATCACGATCATTCATGGCGTGGGTGGACTGTGGGGCATGTTTCTCACAGGCATATTTGCAGAGTATGTGCCTCAGTCTCTCTACTTATTATGCTTAAACTTTCCTCTTACATTGACTTCTCTGCCACTACAAGCTGACTGCGAATAGTTCACATTTGGGGGATCTTGATAACTCCCATTTTCCTGGTGGTGCAATCTCAGGGAAGGGGAAGCAGATTCGGTACGTCTTTCTATTCCCAGCTACCACAATCGGAAACCAATCCCAGTTCTTGAAAGAGCTCTGTGGAAGGCTTAAGCGAATAGCTGAGAGCATACGATGAAATGGCTCGCTGACTTTCTGAATGTAGAATCCAGCTAGCCGGCGGATTCGGAGGCTTTTTCTACTCCTTCTTCGCAACGCTGGGTCTCCTTATTATCATGCAGTTTCTATCTATATACTTCCCTAGCCTAGAGCTGAGGGCTAGATCAAGGAGGGGTGCGCTGGTAAATCTAGACGAGGAAGAGTTGGAGGATACCGGTGCTGTAAGTTTGCTTTTTCGGTTCACGAACACTCATCTCTGGCCGTCACCAATGCTCTTCCGGGACATTTTGTCCTGCTTCGCCTACCATATCATATCCACAGGATACAATAGACTGACATCTTCCAGTATCGCCTAACATGCCACCACCACCCTTTAACTGCCGACCCCTACGCCTCCCGCCCCGGCTCCGCTATCTACACCGGCCGCCCCTCACTCTCCCCTTCCCTCCAAAACCAGCCACAGTCGCATCGTCATCACTTGCAACACCAGCAGTATATAGAGATGGACGGCCATTCGCCGACATCGTTCTCGCACTCGCAGTATCATGGGATGAGTCCTCAGAATACGAGGACGAGGAGTGATGTGGGGATGCCAGCGAGGATAGGGCAGGTTGCGTATGATAGTGGAGGCAGCAGAGGGAGTAGGGGAAGTGGAAGTCGGTAGCACAGGGAGGGTGTTAAAGCACCGGTCCCTCGAAAACGATGTTTAGATAGTTATGTTTTCATCTTACGTCTTTCTTTTTGTCTGAGAATCTCCGGATTTTCTCCCTAGGCGTAGAGCACTGAATTGGGATTTACTGGATTGGGATGGGATACCTTAGCGTTGGGGTTTAGGGGTATTATTTGCTTTTGGAATTTTCGCGGTCTTCGCCTGATTGAATCCTTTTGGATCAGGATGAAGATGTGCATGATGGGGCTTTGTATCTTGGATATCGCTAATAGATGAGATGAAAAAGTTGTCGAAAACTATGGAACAAAATAATCAGATCAGACTGAGTCTGACTCAAAATCAGAAAACACTACATTGCAGTTGAAGATCACGATATTGTATTTCCAGTTATCACATGCCCATATTCTTATGGGGAACTCGGTATTCCGGGGAAAGAAAGGGCCGATTCTTGACATCACATACATCCCCTAAGGGGTTCTTCTCATCAAACACTTCTACGAATCATGTTCCTGCGTCCAAGTATTTCATAAACGCACTCCAACTGGTCGCACAAGGTCGCTTCGTATTCGACCTGCTTCTTTCGTACAGCAGTGTTGTCGATCATATCATGCAGTCCAACTCCTGACTCCTGGCCTTTGATCATCACACCGCACGACATAAGGGCAGGCAATCGTCATTGCAATTACGGCTTTATTTTTGCCATTGCTGTGCCTACGGAACATACTGTGCTTTGTGAATGGAATGGGAAAAGCGGTGTAAACTTACACACCTCGTAGTCTGTACTTGTACTTGCAAAGTACAGCCGTACAGAAGGACAAACTTTCGGTCAAGAGAGGTGATGGAAGTCGGTGTCGGTTCGGTTCGGGGCCTTTACCTACAGTAGCGGGGTGTGGGGAAAGGAGGGGTCTGGGGATCAAACCCCTGAAAAATCTCTCTCCCATGCTCCATCCCTCCAACTCCAATATCAACCCATGACCAGACCAACTGCTCAGCCAGACTGACCACATATACCCTCGAGATCTCAAGGACGGAATGAGAGAGGATATATATCATTTATTTCTCACGTCAGTGGCTGCGGGTATGGCTGAGTGAAGCTTCCCACATGAGCAGAGGCCAAGAGCATGTCTTGCATCTAGTTTCCAAAACCATGTCCTTGTACAACGGGTAACTTCAACGTGCTTGCTGTACCTCTGCACGGCATGGTAGGGCGCCGCATGGCTACTACCTACCTACGGTTCCCCGCGTTGACCACGATTCAGTCACGATCTCTCCACAGCAGCCACACCCGTTGTTCTCTCTAACTGTCCCGTCTCCACTCGTACTTTGCGTAAAGATAAACTCAAGCTATTATTGGTAGGTAGGCAGGCAAGTCATCCCACCTTTAAGCTTAAAAGGCCCTTAACGGCGCCTTGACACCACCCATCCACACTTAAGTACCATCTATGAACCCCTGAGTCTCCTTAGCTATCGTGACTTTGCTAGAAATGACCTAGCTGGATCTCCTTAAGCATGGCGATCTCTCTACTCTCAGATATCCTCGGCGGTAAACCTACCGACGAGTCAGACACGAGACCTCACACGACCTCTCGCTCTGGCTCTGGCTCTCGTTCACTTCTTTCCCCCATATCTCCAGCTCTGAAATCTCAAGATGACAAGACATGAGAAGATCTGATCGGACGGAAAGGACAGCGGTGTTCTTCACCTTCCAGAAGCAAACAACTCGCCTCGGAAAGCCACGTTGACAATGTACCAACATCCTGACGTACCGCAACCATATCACAAGCTACATCATGGATGTTGCTCTTAGAAGTCCAACGGACCTATGATGCAGTCGTCTGATGTCTAGGCCGTGCCACGACTTGCTTAGCCCTGCCCTGCCCAGCATGTAAATCTATCTACCTGGCAGGTGCAGGCCAGCTAGCTAGCTTCTATCAGTATCCGTACCGCATCTGCTCAGATCCACTAGGTAGGTACAGCTGCCACCTGTCAGCAGTATGAAAAAGGGGGCCCTGTCCTGTCCGAGAAGTGCCGCTCGGTGCACCTACGTATGGATGGGTGTCTGTCATCTGATTTGATCGTATGGCCGAGTAGGTTGTTGTTAGCTCATTGTAATCTTAAGGACTGAGTCGGGAGACATATATGTGTGGCTTGCTTGAGGTGGTCTTGGATTTTGTTTCTCGTCTTGTCTGTCTTGCCTTTTCGTCAGGCGCGCTTTGCTTGATTGTTGATTATTAGACTTTGACGTTTTGGCTCGGTATGTTATAGTGGGAGCGAAAATAAGGTATGTTGTCATTTGTCTTGATGAGCTGGGCTTGTTGGCTAGATGAACGATGAAACTCTCTACGAGGAGTTATTTCTTGCACTCAAGTACTAACAGGTGGTTAGTAGCAGCCATGATGATCTCTCTCACTCTCCTCATCACCTTTGCAGCTATCTTCTCTCATCAGAGGTCGACAGTAGAGGCTGCTGGGTGCTGGAGGAACACAGCATGTACCGGTCCCAAGACAGCCGCCTTCCCAGGCGACTGGGACAAATACAATTATGCACCAACTAGCCGAACCGTATCCCCAATCAGCTACTTTGCACCCGGAGGTGGAGCATCAAGCAATTTTCCTGCTTCATCAGCAGTCACCCTGAAAGGCAACAACAATCAACTAGTTTTCGACTTCGGCAAACTAGTCGGCGGCATCGTGACCGTGTCGTACAGCGCAACCGGCGGAGGAAATCTCGGTATGGCATTCACAGAAGCTCGGAACTGGACGGGTGAGAACTCAGATAGTTCCAACGGGTCGTTCAATCCAGATGGTGCTGTCGTCACGGTAGTGACGACAACAGCCGAAGCGAACTTCACAATGCCAGATGCAAAACTCCGAGGCGGATTTCGATACCTCACGCTCTTCACACAGACCTCCAACCAAATCAACGTCAACATCCACGACATAACTGTCGAGATCGCATTCCAGCCCACGTGGCCCAACCTTCGAGCCTACCAAGGCTATTTCTCATGCAGTGATCCGCTGCTCAACAAGATCTGGTATGCGGGTGCGTATACGCTGCAGACGAACGCCATTCCGCCGAAGACGGGGAGGCAGTTTCCGATTTTGGGGAGTAGCTGGAGTAATGATTATGACTTGTCGTTGGGCACGGGTGTAGATTCTGTGTATGTCGATGGGAGTAAGCGGGATAGGACGGTTTGGCCGGGGGATCTGGCGATTGCGGTGCCGAGTATTTTGGTCAGCACGGGGGATTGGGATGGGGTGAGGAATACGTTGGCGGTGCTGTGGAATGATCAGGTGAGTTTATTTCGATCCTGACATATATGCTGCTCGAGCTTTGGAGACCTGATGGAAGTAATGCTCATGTGAAACCAACTAGACGAGTGCGGGTGAACTCCCTTTCGCAGGACCTGGGATCAATATCTACGGCTCGGATACCTATCATATGGCCACTCTCATCGGGACATACGATTACTATCTCTGGACCGCCGATCAAGGATGGCTAAACACTATCTATCCCAAGTATCAGAAGGCGATGGCCTTCATCACTGGCAAGATTGATGGCACAGGTCTATTGAAAGTGACAGGAACGAATGATTGGGGTCGTGTAAACCAGGGTGGGTATAATACTGAGGCGAATATGCTGATGTATAAAGTCCTCACGTCAGGAAGTCAGCTAGCTGGGTGGGCGGGCGATTCGGCGTCGTCGACGAAGTGGCAGGGGATGGCGGATACGTTGAAGATTGCAGTGAACAAGATGAATTTTGATTTTGCTGCTGGGTTAGTACCTCCTCATCTTTACTTAACCCCATCTCGCCAATCCCTCCCAAACACAAACAACAACTCTCACTAATTCTCTCTCCTCCCTACTGTAGCGCATACAAAGACAGCTCCACAGACAACTCCATCCACCCCCAAGACGGCAACTCCCTCGCCCTCCTCTACTCCATCCCACCTCCCAACCTCACCCTCTCCGTCTCCACAGCCCTCACCAAGAACTGGCTTTCAATCGGCTCACTCGCCCCGGAACTCCCCAATAACCTCGTCGGCTTCGGCCAATCCTTCGAAATAAAAGGCCACTTCTCCGCCAACCAACCCCTCCGCGCACTCGACCTGATCCGCCGCGCCTGGGGCTGGTACCTCTCCTCACCTTCCGGAACGGGGAGTACGTGCATTGAAGGGTACCTCTCGGATGGGAGCTTTGGGTATAGATCCCAGTATGGGTATGCGAATGATTATAGCTATACGAGTCATGCGCATGGGTGGTCTACTGGGCCGACGGATGCGTTGACGACGTTTGTGGTTGGACTTAAGGTTAAGGGGCCGGGGGGGAGGGAGTGGGAGGTTAGTCCGCTGATGGGGGATTTGAAGAGTGCGGAGGGGGGGTTCACCACGCCGTTGGGGAGGTTTAGTGCGAGGTGGGGGGTGGTGGAGGGGGGGTATACGTTGGCTTGGGGGGCGCCGGCGGGGACGAAGGGGAGTGTGGTTTTGCCTGGGAGGCAGGGTGGTGCTGGTGGGGTGAGGACGGTGAGTGTGGATGGGAAGGAGAGGGCTGTGAGTGCGCAGGAGGTGGGTGCGGATGGGAGGGTGAGGTTTGAGGTTGAGGGGGGTGAGCATAGTTTGGTGGTTGGGTTTTGATTTGAGAGGAGGGGTTGAAATTGCATTTTGCGGACAGGAGTTGGATAGCTATGTACTATGTATTACGAATTATGACTGATTTTAAAAACTCGCTTTTGTGTGGCAGGGGCTGTTGTTGATGCTTGCTTCGGTTGTGGCTCGCTTAGTTCACAAGCTGCACTAACCATGTTTCCAAGGGTCATATGGATGGGTGCAGCCGGCTCCTGAAATGTAGCTTGAAAGCAAAAGCATATACAGAGACAGTTTTTGAATTATGATAAGAACCATTTCTTTGTGACATGTTTATTTGGGGGACCAGGTGCTGGATTTTGACACACTAGAGGCAGCGTCAGGGTGAGGAAGACCTCAGTGGAGGGAAACTTAAGGCAGGGCTGTCAGCGTTTGGACAGAGATCAGTAAGAGAGACACTTTGGAGAAAAGCTGGCTGCTGATTTGTTTTTATTTCGGAGCTCCTGGTGGTGGGATCTGGTAATGATTGAAATTCGATTCATTCATCGAGCGTAGAAGAGCAGGAATCGTTCGTTCGAGACATGTCTCAAATGGCTTTTTCGGAAATCGACGAGCTGTTACTCTTTGATTTCTTCATTTGATCGCCCAATGTATGTCGGGGAACGCGTATCTACCTTTCTTTACCCCCTTGGGAGTGAGGCACTTCCCGTTGACCTGTCCTCATCGAAAGGTTCTGTGAAATCAGCTCACACAGGCAATATTTCAAGCAGGGAGATCCTGAAGCACGAAGTCTTTAATTTTTCGTTTAGTCTTGAGACGTGTTATTTAATATGAGTATAAGATCTCCCTCAAGGGCAGACTCTGTCTCCTGGGGTCAAGGGGGAACACTGACCGTGCTACAAGCATTTCAAGCCCAAGTGATTCAACGTAGATAAACTTGTCCAAAAATGTCTCGTCAGACGAACTGGGTTTGTACGGAAATCATGTTCGACTACTCGTAGCTGGATTACATTCGAGTTGATCTCATAGGAGTGTAGCCAAATTCGACAGACCTCATGGGAACAATGACATCGTTGTCGCCAAGAAAATAAACATCCTATTACTCGACTAAATATCACTCTAATCTTGACTGACAACACAAGGAGAGAACCTCCACACGAAGCAACCACTCAGGATCTGCCTAAGGTCTCAAAGCTGTACTAGCTACGTCGTGATCTGCGTCCGGATCTGCGTCGCCCAGACTTTTGGGACTGCGCCGCAACCGAGCTTCCCTTAGGATGGTATTTGTGACTGGAAGCGCGCTTTGTTGCTTGACATAAATTTCCCATGAATTTCCACGTAGCGCATCGTATTGAGGATAGGGTAGTATTTGCAAGTGCTTGATGACGTCCTGAAGCCTCACAGGACATGTAGTTCTCAAATATCGGAGATTTAAAATGTGACCCGCCCCCAGATTTCCAGAATTCCTCCACAAAATCTCCGGTCAATCAAAATGGGGTTCCAAAAATACCTTCCAGCTTTCGTCGCACTCCTTGCATTTGCAAACGCAAGCTGCAAGAACTTCACTCAGTCAAGTACCCGGTTTGGGAGCGGTTACTACACGTCAACTGCGAGCGAAACCCAGATTATCTCCAGAGGTTATGTCTGCGATACTCCAAACTCAAACTACGAATTCAATTCTACGGGCCAGCAACGCTGCAACAGCTCACAATGTCCCGCGGTAGCATACGGAATCGTCAATGTAGTCGGCACGACCAACCTCTCCCTGTCCGAAAAAGATACCGAACGTCTCTTCGACCTGGTCCCCAAGTTCACTACCGACAAACCGTTTTTCCCGTATGAGTTCTCCGGGAATGCGACTCGTGTTTCGACATGCTTTCGTGCGGGGGCGAACGAGTCGTCGGGCTATTTCTCTTTCACGCCATTCTTGCTTTGTGCCGAGGGAACACTGTCGAGTTGTAGTGGAGGGCCGGTGGAGGATGGGACCGCGATTAAGATTTGTGCGCCACATACTTATGGCGGAGAGAGTAATCGGCAGCCGGATGGGGCTCAAGGATTCGTTACTACCGGTATGTGATTTTGTTCAATTCTGAGGACTGGGGAATAGTTTTCCGCGATTTGTGTCTGAGAAGGACGTGATGGTCGGACTGTTATGAATGCTGTATTGACATTTGTGTAGATCGCGAGACTGCAGCAAACATCACTACAAACCCAGCGGCCACGAGAACGCCAATCGTTAGTGCCGCTGGAAGAAACATCGCGCTTAATGGAGGGATGCAGGCTCTCGGAGTGGCTTTCTGGTTGGTAGTCTGTCTGGGGCTCAGTGGCATGTCCAGTCTGTGAGGATGTTATGACTTTGATGTATCCCAGGACCAATACGAGCATACAATGTAGCCATTGTTCATGTCGTGGTCAGCTTCGGAGCAGGGAATCTGTCCGATCCTTCGACTGCTTGGTCAACTTTTGCCTCCCAAAGTGACCTAGATGGATAATTGGATGTGGAAAGCTTGAAGTGTAGGTCTTCAAGGCTCGCATGGCACACGCAGATATGAGGAAGTCCTTACATGGTACAATGATCCACTATAGTGTTCCCTACTCTAGCTTTCAAAATCAAAGATTCCAGAATGTACAAGGATCCCTTACGGAAAGGGCTGCTTTCATACCATTCGAGGACCAAGTCCATCTTGATTGCCTTTGTCGTGGCTTTCCATAACTCCTTAGTGGTCGAGATTGAAAATCGACCGGTTTGTAGCTCGTACGCCGTCAAAATATCCAAGGGCCTGAAATGTATGCTTCCAGATTCTCTAGTCGACGTATCCATTTTCCATGTCTCAACGACCGTAGCTGTATCTTTGACGTCTCGAGCGCTTCTGTTCTCCCGTACCATGATTCTTGTATGATTCATCATTTTGGATCAAGGTCATATCTCTTATTACGCCAATCCCTAGATCCTGGCATTCTAGCTTTCCAATCGGGAGGCGTCGATTTGGGTTATACGACTAGCAGGCAGAGACGGAGCTGGGGCGGTATGAGAGTAGGTCGGGGCGGTTTGTGTAGGGAGATCTGAATTCACTGTGATTTGCTGGAAGCTCCCGAATCGAGATGGAGGAGGTTCTGAAGTAGACATTGCCTGCTGCAAACTTTCCCGGAAAGAAGGATACTGCTCGGGTAATGCAGGCAACGGCAGCCTGTCTGGGTTTGTCGGTAACGCGGACGGAGCTTTAGGCGCCTTAGGAGCCCGTTTTTGTGCCCGTTTTGGTTCTTGTTTCGGTGGTTGGTAGTCTATCTCGTACTTCTTCATAATTCGTGAGATCCAAGTTGAGCTAACAGCGACTTTGAACTCCTGAGATACAAGCTCCGCAACCTTATGAAGACTGATTCGCTCATTGGCGAGTTGCGCTTCCGTCATAAAAATCCGTATATATTCAGCGGCTTTGTCTTTGTCCATTGCCACAGGGCGGCCACCTGGCTTCCTATCGTCGCATCCAGCCTTGACTTTGTTATACCGCTTCATGTTCCAGACCACAGCTTGGGGAGAGGTCTTGTAGATTTTTGCAAGAGAATGGATGAAGGCGGATTCGAGAACACCGTTGTTGACTTCAACCACAGTCTCGGTCGCAGCGACCACTTCCTTGGGTAGGTTTCGCATGACGTAGGTGGGTATGCACAATCCGTTTGAAGTGGTTGCATTCGTCGCGTTTAGAGTGCTGTGTTGTTGTCCAAGTCGCGGTCCTTGATTGAACGCGAAGCCACATTCAGGGTCCACCAGGTCACATGATTGATCGTCCAAACCTTCGAAATATGTCCTACAGACCATTTACCTACTTCGAGTACAAAGTTTAATACTGGAAAATTGAGATCAGTTACATGGTTCTACGTTCAGCTCCAGTAATCCGCGGTTTCTATCCAACCGATGGGTCAAGATGTTTGGGAGTGATGCTGATACTGGTTTTGGACGCAATCCCCACACCTCGAGGTCCCTTTCGCTCTTTCCATGCCCATGGGAGTAGTTCAACTGTGATGCCTCATATCCCTTTTTCGGGTCACATCGTTTGAGGTTACCATAAAACGTCGCACCACACATATTGTTTCTCACAATCAAGTTTCAAGAATTATCACGGAACAGCGATGCCCCGTTTCGCAATTTCCAAGCATCCTTTCTGGGTACTACGAGACATATTTGACCTTCGAGGGGACACTTCTCAAGATGCTGTTTGGTATGACTCGATCTGGATGTGAACAAAGACTGCCCCCAGCGGAATACATGGGATGAGATATCGCAAAATGGTATGTGTCTCTTGGATACGTGATATCTGGCACGACCATATCCAGCAATTTCCCAGTTTGAAACGTGTCATTTGATAGTCGAGGGGCATAAATGACTCGCCCATTTCCGAATCAAATTCCATTTCCGTGGTTCGGAACATATCATCAGCCAAGAAGAAGACAATGAAGCCATGAGAAGTCTTCTACATTTTCCAGACGAGAAATCCCCGGGGAAATATCGCCACATCATCCTTCTTGGTCATGGCATTACCATCGATCTCGCTGTTTGCAGGAAGTGAAGTGCTTTACTTCAAGATTTAGCCACCATGGTGGGTTTATTGGACACAACGTACCTCGCCAGGGAGGTCCTGGGAACGACTTTCACGCTCGTGTCTTTGCTTAAAAATCTAGGTGTTCCATTCAATGACCTCCACAATGCAGGGAACTATGCAAGCTATAACTCAAGAGCGCTGCTTGTGTTGTCTCATTACGGCCTGAAGGCATTATCAAGTACAAGCATCCACGCTTTGGAATCCTTGAAGGCTTCGGGATTCAGCCCGCTGCCGGACACCACTGAGAGGAATGCACACTTACGATCTCTCAAGCTGCGTTACACAGACTATACAGTACATTGTCTCGAAACAGGAAGCCTCGCATTCTTCGAAGGACCCTGAAGGTTCTCCAGAACTAGTTCAACAGCATGGTGGCATAATCAAAAGGTCTTAGAGATGCTTGTCTCCGTTCGCCACGTCACTTCAATAGTCCAAAGGATCTATTCACCTTCTCTCAAATCCCATCACGAGATTATGTCTCTCAATCTGACAGCCTCAACTCCAATTCATCCCCAGACCGGGGCTTCAAAAGCTTGTTGCGCCGCCTCTCCCACGCGCACGCCACCGCCCCCTTGTTATTCTCGCTTAAATATGCTTCGCAGCCTCAGACGCACAGGCTGCGAAGAACACACAATCACCGTAACAAATTCCGTGCTTAACAAAAGCTTACGTATTTTGTATGCGAGCGTTACTTCTGTTGCGTTTCGCAGTTTGCACCCCCACGATGATCAGAAATATGCGCGGGGTGGGAATGAAGAATGAAATTTTGGGGAGCATGGTTTTGTTGCACGTCGTAAATTGGAGATGCACTTTGGTTGTTGGCTCGGTTGGGAGATGTGAGGGAGGGGTTCAGGCTGAGTGGATTTGACGGGTACTAGGCATAGGTAGATCTAAAGGATAAAAGGGCATTGTTGGTACTTACATAGTGATAGGATGCGAATGGACGTTTGTTGCATGTCGCACGCTGGAAATGGTGAGGTAACGTTACCCCAAACTCAAGGCGGCGATTATCTAACGACTGATCCGACAACTATTCAGGCACGAACACACTATTCATTCTAGCTTGGAGTTAGGTCCTGTATAACGAGATAGTATCTACATTCTTTGCCACGTAGAAGATCCCTGGAGAAAAATGCTGAGTCGCTGTATCCGAATAAAAACTCAACGCGGGACAAACGGAAAATGACGCCCAAATCTTGATTTTATGATCCTCAAATCCCTTCACCTGGTTTCCGGGGCCCGTCATATTCATTCTGGCGCTGCTTAGGAGCCTCTGGTCGTGTTCGAGTTCTGGGTGACATACGTGGTCAAAGTGCTTGGTTGCAGCGTCGAAAATATCCAAAGTCAATGACGATACAGGCGTCATCGCACTTACCGTCCTCAACGGAGCCGTAAAACTCCTGACGTCGATCCCACTCCCAGTCTAACATAAAAATGCCAGTGCCGCTTTGATATCCATTCAATATCTTCTTCGTAGTACTGCAGTGTACACTCCGGGAGTGTTCTTTGAGGATGAATTAAGGCCAGACATGAAGGAATTCAGAAACGGGAACAAACCCAATACAAAGCGAGATTGGATTTGAGATTCAATTAGCAAACGGAATGAGTAGACTCAAAGTAATCAGCAAGATAAGTAACAGTTATCAAAAATCGTGCAGATGACATCCTGGGAAGTGCAAAGTGACAGACTTGAATCTGTAAATCTACCCCAAATAAGTCCAGATCGTAGCCTATTATGCGACCTTTGGTCAATGAGATCTAACAATAAAAGACTATTTTCTGGAGAGCTCAAAATATTCTGCTATGATTCAGCAAGCTCAGAAAAATGGCCCTTCGACGTTGAAGAAATATTTGATAGCCAAGGTCCTTGAAGAATCGAAACTATAACTGCAACAGCAATGCAAGCAACAAAACAAGGCTTGCTTTGGATGGAGGGGTGGCCATAATATCTTCATTGAGTGTTATATAACGCAGAAAAGGACAGCACACGAAACGATGACCCAATATGGACGATCTAAAGCCAGAAACTAGCAAGAACGACGACCTACCACTTCGCAGAATATCCGCTTCGTTCGATCAACTCTTCATGTTCCCACTCCCATATGATAATCATTAAAGAAAGTTGTGCATGAAATTCGTGATTAAATCTTGTGTGTATTCACAGGATGTTGAGCGTCTCTTTGAGCGTCTCTGAGCGTAAGGAGGTATTGCGGAGGGAATGGCTCGATGCGACGAGACTTTGATCTTGAGGCTCCTCATGATCGGAAATGAACCTTTTCAACAGCCAGAAGAGTTGGGCTCATTATAAAGGCTTGAATTATCTCGGCCTCTGACCCTGTACCTAGTGATTAACCGTGGTCCTTGCTCATTCTCCGCCCAGGAAGAACGGAAGGAAGGGGTTTCCAGCGTTCGCTGTGTTCACGTAGAGGGTCAACTTCTCCTTCACGAGCTTCGGTTGTATTTGGCGATAGCCTGGACTAATAAACAGACGCCGTGTATGCAATCAAGATGCAGTGCGGATCAGCGGTATTGTTGTTCGCAACGCAGACGAGGATGGCCTGAGACGTCTCAGGGGGCTGAATGGCATGATGAAATGGTCCACAACACCAAGCCACCACGCCACCTATTTCCAGGGTTTTGGTCTTCAGTAGATTAATAATGTTACTCCTTGGTGTGTAGCTACATCAGGAGATTTCGAGCGACAATGAGAGTTACGGGAAGTAGGTAGGGACGAAATCTTGGTATTTTAAATTGGCAAGTTCCAATTGAGTGCACGTGACCATGTCTGATCCAAGCAATGGAAGCAGGGATCCTTATCGGCGTCCCAAAGTTTCGGTATCGTCATCGTCATTATCAACGTCAACATCAACACCAACTTCTCTTTGATGTGCCTCGATGGCCATTTCGAAGTTCAAGTCTGCGTACAGGATCCGGAACACTTCAATTGCAGATGCATAAGCGGGAAGAATCTCATATCACCCAATTATCGCGGGCGTCAAGCAAGGTCTCTGATGAATGGCAAGGTCGATTCCTCAACCTCTCCCTCAACAGCCCCGAAGTCAGTTTAGCTGCATGGACACTTCCGGCCAACATATCACTATCTAGGAGTCTTAAAATAGACTGATAAGAGCCTCACCGATAGGTCGCGCGCACAGGTATGATTTGTATCGCAGTCATACGTGGTGTGGATCGTTACCTCTAAAGTCTCCTGTTCGAGATATGAGGACCAACTCTTTTCTTTGATGAATAGTCATATATCGGTGGACGAATTCTTTAATACGAATCCAACTGTTCTGGTATCCCGTTTTTATCTCTATCCTTATCTCCTTGTTTCTTATTAATCATTCCTGGATCAAAAATTAATGACAAGATGGTGGGATATCCCACTGCGGTTGGCACCTTGCCAAATGAAGTGAGTCTTCATACTTGTCACAACCGCATACCATGCTGACACGAATTCAAGATCCTTATGAATATCTTCTGCCTCTTCCCCACCACTTCCCTCCTCCCTCTCACCCTTACCTCTCATCGCATCCACGATGTGATTCTCCGCATTGTCCACAATCGAATGCTTGCAGCCGCGAGCATTCCGGGTCATCAAGTCATTCTTGAGTGCTATCATCCGTCCACAAAACATATTACACCTTACTACATCTGCGAATATCTCTGAACCGATGATCTCTGTAGTGTAGTGGGCTTGCAAGAACGCTGCACCTTGGGACAATTGCGCGGTTTATACTCCCATTTCCGTCCTATTCAACCTGAAGGCGATCGAAAAGTGTGGGCTGTACATCCCATAAACGGCTGGAGAGCTACAACCCTTGATACATTCAGAGAGAATACTGGAGGTTTGGTTGCACAAAACGTTGATCTCGAATCATACGAGCAATTTTCGCAGCTCCAATCAGCGGTCAACGTGGTGAAGATCGGACCTCGAAAAGGAATATTCCAAAGCTGCATTACAGTTGGCGAAGGCTTGACAAGATTTTGGAGGAACTGGTTGGGGGAACAGGCGAAGAAGAATTGGTCTGCGAGTTTCGCCCAGGCAGAGTCACAAGATGAGCGTCTGCTCTGGTCTTCTATGAATCAGCATACTGGACTTCGCCTCCGTGTCATTGAAAGACTAGGCTCTGCAAGTTCTTCCACGAGGATTCACGTAGACGATGACAACGTGTCGTACACTCTGCAGTACGAAGGTATGCCGCTAAAATTTTCAACAACTATTCACATGACTAACAATGCCCAGAACTTGTGGTACGAACAAGCCGACTTCTCCTACAAGTCGAGAAAACTCTTTCTGAGGAAGTGAACCACGAAGGTAAAGCCATGATGGCCATAGCCTAAATCTTTCAATTTTTCATCTCGATCAAATGCATCCAGGGACTACGCCCAACAGCCGAGCTTTCAAGCGACCGACGTCGTGATGATCCAAAACAATCCGCAAATGGACCCCTTCGTAGCCGAGCTCTGAAATTGGGAGGATATCGGATGAAATCTTTTGATTTAATTACTTACATGCATGCTTTTAATTATGAATGGTATGTGAATTGGATGGAGTATATCTGTCAGGCGTGTATAGAGTGGCTGTGGTTGGGGAGTCGAACGTCGTGTGGCAGCCTCAGATTGAGGCGTGAGTGTGGTCTGTCGAGAAATCTGCTTGATTTTGCTAATCCGAGTGCAGCTTCTAATCCTTGCGATGAACTTGTTTGTTTATCGTACATTTATTGTATGCTCTGCTGAACTCAGCTGTTTGAATTTAGTCTCAAAGCACTTGTTCGCAGCATGTATTTCCGATTCTACTTTGTTAAGCTTAGAATTAGAAGAGCAATCTACAATACCAGCCAAGCTTCTCTTAACTTGCTTAGTAGACTACGATATATTATCCGCTTTATTATGGCGGCATGGAAAGCACCAAATCCCCCTTACACGAACGCGACACTGGAAATTCGTTCTTCCATCACATGTGCGTCACGTGTCTGGCAACCTTCCAACATCCCGAGGGCCCTTTGGGTACCTAGAATGCATGGCATCAAATCCAGGTCGGAAGATGATCCCTTGCTCGGGCAGAGATCAACATCCTCACATTTGATGAACATAGGCCGACCGAAAACTTGTTGGTTTCGACCTGAAAAGTAACAGGCTGCGCCACAAACCTCAGCCTCAGAACAAGCTGTAGAATCCTTCGAACTTGAACAAAACATTGGCCGCCTGCCCTACTTGATGAAAACTATCTATACATTACCAAGAGTTCCAAACCTCAAGCAAGTCTCATGATGGAGAACAAACAGACCGCCGCCGACGCAAAAGCAGAAGTCTCGATGTCAGCTCGTGACTTGAAGCCTCTCCCACCAGTCCCAAACTCCAATCCAAGTCAGCGCCCGCCTCTTGAGTCCTGGCCAGTTCAGAACTATCCTAATACTTCCTGAATCTAGGTATTCGTCCCAGTTCACTCTTTTCAATCTTGCCTCCAGCTATCGGAGTCCTCGGAATGACACCCGAGCTCAAGCGACAACAAACATTCCCGTACTCGATGTCCGCTACAGACGGCACCAAAGTGTACCTCAGCACAGTCGCTCTGGCATCACTGTTCTTCCACATTCAATCCCAGATCTTAGAATCTGGAATCCCATACTCACTGCGCGACTCACTGACTGCATTCTTCGTCTGGTGGGTATACTTCCTGCAATTCCGGATCGGGATTTACTCTTGCGTCTACCCATTCGTATATGCGTGTCTTTTGCGAGCCAGAGATGGGGAATGGCCAAGTAGGATTCAGGTTTTGGGGAGTTCTAGAGCGAAGGAGATGGAATTGGAGAGAGGTGGTGAGATGAGGAGGGGTGGTGTGTTTCCGTTGTTGGGCCTTTGGGTGAGTTATACGTGGGCAGGGTGTGTGGTGATGGAGGCTTGGGGAGCTTGGAAGGAAGGGCTAGGTCAGGAGGAGTTTGTTAGAGAGAAGAGGATGAGGGAGTTGGAGGAGGCGAGGGCGAAGGTTGTTGAGGAGGAAAAGAAAATTGGTGACAGAGATGACGAGAAGGACACAGGTGATGATAATGAGACCAAGGATGAGAGAGCTTAAGATACTGCTTTCTGACTCTGCGAAGTAATTGTTCTTTGGACAGAATTTGAAGTTACTTCGCATCTTCATACCAATATTTTTTGGGTATCAACAAATCCGGAAGCGTTGTCGTGTTCGATTTCTTCGGTCCTAAGCTCCGATACACGGCATCGCACGCATCACATCAAGCCTTCGAGCCTACTTGCATCGGAACTGTATTCACGCAAATATCGTGTCCTCTATCTACTTGCATGATCGAGCATGCACACGACCAGATGGAGAATAGGCGGGGTAATGCGGAGCTTTTGGGGTGACAATTGGGGAAGGAAAGAGCGAAAAAGCGAGTGCCACATATGTTCTCCTGTCTGCATCCACAGTGTCCGTTATCAGCCTGCACAAACACGAGGCCGTTCGAATATATGCACCTTCTTAGTGGCATCCACCAACTAAATTTCAGTTCAGTCTATCATTTACGCGAGCAGGAATGAGGTTCACTCGAGTGTTTGCCAAGGCTTTTGTGACTTTTCGTCAATTCTGGTCACATCGACTGCCTGAATTGCCCTTCATCGTATCGGTTTTGTCTCTATCAGGATTCAAGAGAATATGAGGCAGGCCAACGTTTCAGTCCAAAATAAGAAGAGAAAATCTTCCAATCTGAACTAATCGTGAAAGCAGTCGCTCTTGAATCCTTCGCGTACCGGGAGTCCAAACTACATAGACTCCATTTACGATGGTGACGACTCAGCATCAGCTAGAGCGTTCCCCCTGGCTCCGCCTCAACGTCCATTTTTGACCGCATGCTAGCAGCAATGGAGTATCTACACCTTACCGAGGACGCTGCCGACAAGATAGATAAATCTCGCTTCGCTCAGGATATTGGAACTGTCATGTGATGAAGTCAACAAATGTCTGACGCTCCGGCGGTTGCCGTGGAGGGCGCCCTTTTCGCTTCAGGTCTATGGTCGAAGCTAAATAGAAAGGTTGCCTTATTCCCATATATCAAGTATCATTATTGATATGGACTAGCCTGGCAATTCCAAGAAGTGCCTGTGGGCATCGCTTTGGTGTACCAAGAGGAGGATTCCCTGTCCCAGTCTATGGCCATTGATCCGTCCTGATATCAATCAATGACTCACGAGTATTCTACTTGTGCACCGATCATCACATTCACAAAGCTGCCAGCTTCTACCGAGGAGAAGTCTATCGGATGAATACCTCCCGGAAGCCACAAACATCCAAAACGCCATCCAAGCCACTCGAGATTTATCAATAACCTTATCTAACATCTCAAGATCTCTGAAGGCTTATCATATCAATAATAAAGCTATCAGATCTGCGATCACACTACTCTACACATCCACGTGGATACAGTATGCATACCATGCGGGGTAATACAATGTGGGGTTTCTGCTCCCCGACAGCCAAGCCCCACGTTGCCTGCTCCAGGGACTTCAGGCGCCTCGAGGCGTTGAACCCGATAGGTCGCTGTACAGCTGCAATACGCTGCAAGTATCGGAATTATAGGCACCGAGTTGGATGCTGGGGGCGAATAGCGGGCGTTGGCTAGCTAGCCAGAAGAGTATTGGAGTTTGTGCTCTTAAGATCTTCTGGGATTTGTTTTCTGGTGTGACCAAAATCTTTTTGGGATCTTGGGTTAAGACCTGAAGTTAGTTTGATTACAGTTTTGTTAAAATTTGTTGTGAGATCACACACAAAAACTAGGATATTTGCTGAAAATGGCTGTTACACTCACGAATGAAGACCAGCCGGCCCCGGCAACAGGAATAAATGTCGTTGTCGTTGGAGCTGGTAAGTAACCCCTTCTCGTTCTCAACTTTCAATTCACAATGCTAACATAATTCCCTAGGATTTGGCGGCCTCGTCGCAGCAATCGAATGTCACCGACAAGGCCACAGCGTCTCCATCTACGAGTCTTTCCCTGCGCTCAAAGTCCTCGGCGACATCATCTCCTTCGGCCCCAACGCCGGGCGAATCTTCCACCGCTGGGAAAATGGAAAAATCGCAGCTAAGATGCGAGCCCTTTCTATCGATCTGAGAGCCTACGGATTTAAGATTCACAAGTATGATACTGGTGAGGTGGTCTCACATCAGAAGACTCCAGAGGGCGATCCTGCTGCGCCGAATTTCAATGGGCATAGAGGGGAGTTGCACCAGGTTGTTTTTGAGTATGCGGAGAGTTTGGGTATTCCTATTCATTTGGGGAGTAGGGTGGTGCAGTATTTTGAAGACGGGGAGAAAGCGGGGATTGAGTTGGAGAGTGGGGAGAAGGTATGCTCGTTTAGCTTGTTTACTGTGTGAGGTCTTGAGGCTGACTATTGAAGATTACTGGCGATGTCGTTATTGGCTCAGATGGTGTGAGGTCGAAAGCTAGAACACTCGTACTGGGATATGAAGATAAGCCTAAGAGCAGCGGATATGCAGTTTTCAGAGCTTGGTAAGAACAATCCATTTTCTCAAACCAGACTGGAGCTGATTCCATGCAGGTTCTCAAACAAAGACATGATCGCCGATCCACGTACAGCACAGTTCTGCAATAACGGCGATACCTTCAACGGTTGGATTGGCCCAGACGTACATTTCCTCTTCAGCACAATCAAAAATGGCTCGGACTGCTGCTGGGTACTCACTCACCGTGACGAAGCCGATATTGACGAGTCTTGGTCACTTCCTGGGAAGCTCGAGGATGTATACAAAGTTCTTGAGGGCTGGGATCCGATGTGCAAAGCTATTGTTGAGAAAACACCTAGTCTTGTGGACTGGAAGCTCGTGTACAGAGATCCGCTACCGACTTGGGTGTCCAAAGGCGGACGAATCGCTTTGCTTGGAGATTCGGCACATCCTTTCCTACCAACCAGCGCGCAAGGGGCAACGCAAGCACTCGAGGACGGCGTCACGTTAGCGATCACTTTGAGGAGAGCGGGGAAGGGAGATATCCCCACGGCGGTACGTGCATACCAAGCGATTCGGTACGATAGAGTGAAAGCTGTGCAGAAGACGGGCGAGACGACGAGGGATATGTGGCACAAGGCGGATTGGGAGAAGGTCAAGAAAGATCCGAAGTTAGTGGAGTTCCCTAGAGAAGATTGGATATTCTTGCATGATGCGCAGCAACATGCTGAGGAGGTTTATGATGAGGTTGTTAAAGCTTTGTAGATCTATTTTAGACGGTCTGGATTTGTAATTGATAGAATTTGCTATTGTCTTTGATCTCATAGGACTTGTGTGTAGGAACGAGTGCTGTGTCTCTGCTTCATCGATAGGCAGATCTACAACACCGGGGACGCAACCGAACACGATGTGAGAATCTAGAACTCAATATGTTTGCAGGGTGGAGCCTGCAGGTCATGGTGCTGCTACAGTGATTGGAGGTAATCCGACAGCGCTCTATTGTTCTAGACCAATCTTGCCATGTTAGAATATGAGACTACTGTACAGGATGAAGCCGGTGTTCTGGTCTTTCTTGCAGGTATTTACGGGAGAAATGCAACTGGGCGGCGCGATATATGAGCCTAGGAGAAGCTCTTAGACCGAAAAACACATGGGTAATGTCGTGAATATTAAAGCAGCAAAACTCGTCACTGTGGACAAGATACTATCTGTCACTACGTCTCTTCACTCGTTCGCCCTGACAGTTACTCCGGTCTTTATTACTCCAACCCTGATTTCTCGTGGCAAAATCCCCATCACTCATTCCACATGCACGGCAGCTTCAGTGGCGGCCTTTGGATTCGTCCAAACAACCTCCTCAACACTGACACGCGGGACCTTCTCATCGACAGCAAGAGCTGCCGCACCGATACATTTGTAACCGCGGAACTTGCGTGCTGGTATACGTGCCAGAAACTGTGGACTGTTTAGCTCATGCAAAATGAAAGTCTGATTCGACATGCTTACCATTTCGTCAATTTCCTCGAAAGTACGGTTCTTGACCTCAGGTAGATAGAACCACACCCAAGCAGCGCCAATGAAGCAGCTGGGAGTCCAGATGTATCCATACTTTGGTCCCCAATTGAGTGCTGACGGGTTGATAAAGTAAGGCGCAGTAAAGGTGGTGAGCCATGCCCCAAGGAAGCCGATAGCTGAAGCGAGACCGAAAGTATAGGATCGAAGTCGTTGGGAAGGAAACTCTCCTCCACAAAGCCAGGCATAAGTCGCAACCATTCCGTTGTACCCCATGATATATAGAACGGATATGCCAACGATGACCTATCACATATTAGTTTCTTGCTGTGCATTCTGACAAAAGACTTGTTTACCTTTCCAGTGGACTGTTTCCCAGGGTTGACCGTGTAGACTGCCGCGATAATAAGTTGACATATACCGCAAATGATCAATCCTGTTGTCAGGAACACTCTGCGACGGCCATATCTAGTGATGATAGCAGAGTTGACCAAAATGATAAAGACACCAACACCGGTCAAGATGCAGGAGTTCTCGAACGCATTGCCCACACCAGCCATCTCGAAGAAGTATGTGCCGTAAGCTGCGACTTGTCAGTAATTGATACAGAAGCTCAGTGGAAAGACTCACAGATCATATACATAGCACCAGATGCTGCTTGGAGAGTGACGGCGCCGACGGCGAGGAGAGTTCGGCGGCGATCAACTGGATTGCGGAAGAGGTCAACAATTTCTGAGTTCTGTGCAAGACTTTTCTCGGCATCGATTGCGGTCTTCATTTCGTAGAGTTCGGCTTCCACTGTCTCAGGGAAGGGTCGCAGCCAAAGCAAGGACTTCCGCGCTGCCTCTTCTTTGTCCATCTGGAGGAGCCATCGTGGTGACTCTGGGATGAAGAAAAGGGCAAGAGATAGCAACCCAGGAACGACATAGACGATGCCCAGAGGCACAATATAGGCTTGTCTTCCACCCAGCTTCACCGTGAAGTTATCAATAATGGTACCGATGAGAGTACCTAGTGCCAAAGTTAGCCTGCCATCTCTTCATGGATCAAATCATTTACCGATCGAAGTCCAACTCTGGAAAGCACCCACAGTGAGACCGCGATACCGTGCTGGAGCACACTCCTTCAGAAAAGGTAAGCCATATCCTATCCCGAGAATTCGAAGCACCTACTTGAAGGTATAATTGGGAGAAGGTCATGTACATCCCATTGGCGAGGCCAATTACTAGTCTTCCGGCATACAAACCACCGATCGATGTAGTTGTCATCATCACAACATTTGAAACGATGCAGAGGATACACGCAACCCAGATACTGGCCTTTCGGCCAATGAATTTCGCGATGGGACCTAAGCAACATTAGTCGGATCAGACAGAAAGTTCCACTTTCCATACCGGCAGCAGAGGAAGAGAGGAAAGCACCCAAGATCATCAAGGACGAGATGAGTTGCTGACGCCCAGGCGAAATGTTGTACCCCAGAGGCGTCGAAGGGTCTACGTTTCCGAAAACCTTTGATAAGTTAAAACCTCAACAATCTAGAAAGTCTAGTTGACTTACCTGAAGGAAGCCAGGCATTGCTTGCAAACCTCTATCTCAATTCTTAGCCTCATGGGAAACAGCAGAATCGCATCCCTCGCTCGAGGTGAAGCACCTACCCGATGATACCAAAGTCAATACCATACTGAAATGGGCACATCGACATTAGGGTGCAAGCGAGAAGACATTTCCAGTGGGACGTCACGCTCTCCTTGGGTTGGTCCGCCATGGTGAAGTCGAATTGTGGTATGGAATGAGATACAGAAAACGTATCAAGGTTGATTTGATCGTTCAAGGTAACTGACAACTCTGAAGAAAACAACCCATGAACTCAACAGTTGCAACTCCTGGAGATATAGCTAATTTCATTTCAGCCAATTCGCCCATGTTCGCCTGAAAACATCTGCCGATCTCAATGTGCATACTGGCAGCGGGGTAAGTTGGGGATTAGTGGGTCCAACCCCAAACTTTGTCCCTGTCAGGTGGCTAGATGTTACACTAGACCTTATCTGATGTGTTTTTGGTCTTGTCTAGACGCTTTGCGATTGTGATTCCAAGAGTGCCGTGTGGTCGGAAGCATTGAAGCGAGGTTTATTTTGAGGCGCACGCCACCAAAGTGAAACAGCACGTTAAGCAAACGCACACCGCAATGAGGCGTTCTTGTACAAACAAAGGGGCACTCATGCTGTCGAATCGAGGAAGCTTGAGTCTTCTCTCCCACATGCCATTTTGGTTGCTTAACTCAGATGGTTGCGTCTCGTCTGTCCAACTTGCATGAGGATATTGCTCGAGGTTGTGCTCGCTGTACGAGGTTAAATCCACTCGGAATTCCCCCAGCCCTCGTCCTCCCTACACACCAGCCCCACATACATCTAAGGTTATGTAACCTTGGCTCGCGAAAGTTTTCTGGGAAAAGTCTGGGGAAGTGGGTCATTTGTCTCAACTTGGGTTCATGTGAATAGCTTCGAATTCACCATTGATACGTCGGAACCAAGCTCTCCCAGACAATCGGGTTCATCGATTTGAAGCTGGGCCAATTTCATATTGGCTTCCAGCTTTGGTCCGGAGGGATAATACCTCATCTTGAGGCGCACTGTGAAGAAAACTGCTTAGATGTTTGAACCTTAGATTAAGCCACTCGACTCAGTGCTCAGCAGGTTCGTTCTTTGTAATCCCTCGAAGGATTGCTGGCCTCCAAGGAACAGCACACCAACAGAAATGGCGGGCTAGTTTGGTACAAGGAGCCATTGTTCAAGCCCACATAGATCCAAGTTTATCATTTGGAGAGCCGAAAGAAAGATATTGGCAGTGATACGTGCTAATTCCTTTCGAGATCGTGTAGAACTGTATGCAATAGAAATGCAAGCGATAGCAGAGCGTACGGCCTTAGTGAAACACAATAACCAAAAGAGAGCTTATGAGCTCCTAGGGTAGGCGGCCCACCGGACATCGCTCTCCAAGCTAGCACTTGCAAACTCAGTATAATTGCGATTTCTAGATGCAAATGCGTTCGGGGCACTTTCCAACGACTTGCCATCTTTGAATTGGAGTTTCGCATGGCAGTGGATACCGCTTGACGACAGCAAGATTCTCCAAATGACTTTTCTCTTCTGTTTGTGTCAGCTCTGGTCTGATAGGCAACGCCTATCATTAGATTGGCTACAACTGTTTATTCTGCAATGGTAGGTACGCCACTTCCTCTCACCCGTTCGTGAAAGTGATGTATTTTCCATAGCTTAACGACAGCAGTCTGATTACCGCCATCGAATGCCCCCTCCAACAGCATATACTCACTGTGTATCGAGAACAGCATCGCAACTAGAGGCGGTACACCAACTGCAAACAACACTCTCGTACCTTTCAGTCAACCTCCCAAACTATCGCCTCGATCGAACTTTTACAAGATCCTAGATCCCCATCATTACAGTCCACTCTACAAAGCCATCGTAGAACTCCTCGTATTCCTTCATCATCATATCATATATAAAGAGATATCTTGGTGGACCTTTCAAGCCCGCATCTTTGGAACGAGCATCCGCGTAATTGTTTATTTGCAGCTTCCACAGCGCCTTGAACGCCAGCGCATACCATTCGTCACCCAACCCAAAAGGATTTGGCAGCGACTTAATGACCATGGAAAGTTTCGGCTTCTGCGGCAATGAAAGCCCGCCCCAGTCCTGGTACCGATCGTTCAGCTCAACCTCCTTCTTACTGTGTGCATTGCCGTAAGCTTGGCGGGAGAGAAATGCCGGCCATTTCTTCAAAGGGTAGACAAACCGGGAATCGAATCGGTGTCTGCGGTAGGCTGGTCCCAGGAAAACTCCAATGTGGTGCTGTAAAGCATATTCCCATCTGTGACCTTTTGTGTCAATGAGAGGAGGACCAACATCCCATGCGATGGGTCCGGAGTGAACCATCTTGTAGGCTTGGTACATCTTGGAGCAGGTCAAAGCGAGGCAGGCCTTGGTATACAGTCCGTCTGAATCATCTCCGACGAAGCTAATGATGTGCAGAAGTACTTCGAGAGGTACGCTGGAGAAACTTGGAGGATCGTGATGGAGAGAGTCCTGATCTTCTGTAAAATGTCAGATTGTTTCGCATAGTGGGAGGAATCACGTACGTGACTGAGCTTGCAGAAAAGCGCCCCTAGCAAGTGCTATAATTATGGCACGCAGAAGCTGCTCAGATGAAGAAAGCTCTGCTACCTTCACTACCGCGAGGCTGCCACCTACCTCTGCTGGCGACGTGCAATGTTCGATCTGCATGTTCGAGTCGGACATCGGCACCGTAGCGAAAGAGGAGAGCTCTGCGACGTTCATCGTATCTGACATCACACAGATTTTGTAGGCTAAGACCGCCAACCTGTCGCGAATGTTTCGGTGCGTCGTGTCGCGATGCTTGCGTCAGGTAACCACTTCAGGATGATGTTGATATCGACGACGGTTGAAGTGGGCCAAACAAACAGAAATTAAGCGAGGCTGAGCTAACAACAGCGGGTTCGGATATGGTATGGAATACGCAAAGTTAAGACCGAATTATTGGATAGTATCGGTGATGGGGAATAAAAGGAGTGATAAGCATACGGGCTGTTGCTGTGCTTTAGATAGTCTAGTGACTCTACTGTAAGAATTTAATTCCTAGTACAGAATCGTCCATCACTACAAAAGAGCATATGACAGCAGAACTGCTCATTCACTGCACGTTAGTCAGACATATTATTCTACCGCGGGCTTGCACTCTCGTAGGCTGGGAAGATGCCTAGGAGCCGCTCTCAGTGGCCACCTCCTAAGCGAAAGTCAATAAGACTAAAAACTAAATATCTCGCGCAACAAGGCAATTGCTTGATACTACCTAAGAACTTTAGAGCGCAAACCAAAAGTTTATAGGACTGTCTCGGGGGCATGATGACAGCTTTTGATGGGTAAATGGTAGCTGATTGTTTCCAACTTTGATATTTTTCAACATTGTTGCCTGGCCCTGGGGTCCTTGACCCCGCATTGCCATCATAGGACACATGAGGTAATATGTAATTTGAGCAAACCAAAGTTTTGCGTGGATTGCTATAGGAACTCCTGTAGTTTGAGATATCTACCTAGAGCTAAGGACCAAGCGTCGTTTGATTTTCTTGGTCCCAGCTGAATCGTAGGCAAGGCCTGCTTTCACAAACAACTAGGAAGAGCCAAGGTGAATCCTCGAGTTTCAAACCAAGCTTCAGAAGGAAAGAGACCCTATCTAGATCATCTTTCCGTCCTCACATTATTTCCTTGACAACTATCTGGAGAAACTTCCGTTGATGATCTGTTTACGCCCATTTTTGTCACCTGACACCCCCAGATTCCAGCTCACTATGCCACGTAGGCATTGTTGGATATGTCCTTGCTTTGCCACAAGGGTCTCGTGCAATGATTAGAACTCTATATAGCGATAACATAAGCTATGTCTTACATGCTACAGAAAGACGTTACCGAAGATCAATGATCGGCTTGTAGTCTCGGCCCAATTTTTTTGCTTTCCAAAACTTTGCTTTGGAACGCCACATCAGCCCGCTGACCGTTTCTCATAGAAGTATTGGCCCAGTAGGCCAGTTGTTTGTTCGATAACTGGTCGGTGGATCATAAAAGCTTGCATATTCTGGCAGCAGCAAGCAACAAGCAGGTTTGCCTCGGCAACAAAAGGATTGAAGTCAAGCATACCCCAAGCTATCTTTTGAGCATCTTAGTTATTAGTGTTCTCCTTGTAACAGTTTTGTGGCATCTCGCTACTTTTCTGCAGTGGCTTGCTAAAGTCTTGACACAGACACTAATCTAGAGCGCTCGAAAACAATTCGTTGCACTTTCAACAGTCCAATGTAGGAGACGATCACACTCACAACCTCTCAGGTTCTTCGATGATTCAAGGAATCTTCAAGGGCCTCGGAAGTTTCAGAGCCGTCCTAGCTCTCGCCATGACCTATATCGTCATCCCGCTATGAATGAGGGGTAGTTTGAGACGAAAGTCGCGACTGCCAAGTTTGAAGGGGATAAAAAGCAAGAAGCAGGATCGGAGCAGAGGGCCAATGCCAACTTGAGCATCATAATTGGGTACTGAGGGCAGAGCGTGCCGTGGAATGTGGTTATGACATTCAAGTGAGGGATGGATGAAGGAGGGATCTCTGCCATATTCATTTACCCAGGTCACAAACACATTCAAGTCATCAAGGATCAGATTCTATGTACACGAATTTGCAAGTCTTATCCACCAAAAATTCGTTTGTTAAAATTTAAACTCCTCTGATAATCATCTTCTTATAATGTACATTCCCAAATTTGTGTTCCCATCGAAACCGCGTCTGCTGGCTCCAAGTCCGCGCCCAGATCCCATTACTCCGACCCATTTCGAGCTAGATAGCAATTGCGGAAAAGTAAAATCATGTATGCGTTCGTCACATTTATGTGTGGCCAACGAGACCGGCTTGAGGAGCGTTGTCTGGGTTGGTGTTGGTACCGGCGAATCCGAGAGCGGTGTTCCATGCATCGGCGGTGGATTGATCGCGGGTGCCGAGAGCGAGAATGTCAGCCTTTGCGGCCAAGCATGCTGCCTTTCCGGCCTCGCTGGCTCCACAGACGTTGCCAAGTTGATCGCAGATGCGGTTGGTGATGATGTTGGGGTTCAAGGCCTCTTGTTGACCCTTGTTGACGACTGGGTCGATGGCTTGGAAGGTGAACTCAGTCTCCTTGCGGCCGTTGAGTCCGGCCTCAAACTTGATGGTTGGTACGCATGTTCCGAAGTCGTTGCCGGCAATGGATGAGGCGACGAATCCATCGAATGTTCCAGTTACTGGGTCACTGACAGCTCCGACTCCATTTCCGGCGGCTGGGGCTGCGGTAGCTGGGGCATCAGCGGCACCAGTCTCAACGGCGGCAGCACCAGTGGCGGCAGATCCGGCTTCGTGAATGTTAGCTTGTGGTAAGGTTGGGGAATGTGGTAGTGGACTCACCAGCCTTGGTTGCGGTGATGAAAGTTGTGGATGGAACACAGGCATCGGCGACTGCGCTAGCAGGATTTGATGCCGCTGGTGCAGCTACTTGAAGTCAGTAATTGTCATGGTTTCGAGACCGGTTTGATGTTCTCGAGTGTATTGCAACAGGGAGGAGGACTAAAACTTACCGACTGGGGCTGCGTCAGCTCCTCCAGCTCCTCCAGCGCCTGCATTTCCTCCAGCGCCTCCGGCTGGTGCGGCTCCAGCGGTTCCATCAGCTGCCTTGGTTGTGAAGTTTGAGAAGCCCTGAGCAGCCATAACCTCGGCGACACTCAGTCCCGTAGCATCGAAGGGGGTGGTAAGAGAGGTAGCGGAGTTGGCATTCTCGACATCAGACCCGGTAACGGCAGGATCGACGAGAGGAACAACACCTCTAAGCTCCTCAGTTGCGGGAAGGGAAGCATCGCTGCAGATAGAAGGGACGGAAACGACAAAGGGGTTGAAGTTTTGCTCGGCGGCGACAAGACCACGGGCAGCTGCAATAACTTCTGGATCCGTTCCGAGGGTGGCGACAATCTTGTCTGCTTGGGAAAGCTGGAAGAGTTAGAAAGAGTTTGAAGTCGGAAAGTAGTGGATGTGTTTACCTTTCCGCAAGGGTTAGCGGCTGCGAGCAAGAATGAGATGGATTGACCAGCGAGCGTTGCAGCCTCGCCAGAATTTCCAAAGGCACCAAGATCCGAGATAGCTTGGATGGGGATCTGTTCCTGAGCGAATCTATATCTTGTCAGTTGTTGATCGTACTTACTGAGCTTCGATGCTTACCGGGCTTCAGTGATGGCCACAAGGGCTGAAATAAGAAGTGCTTGGGTATACATTGTGAGGTTTGGAAGAACGACGCTCAAATGTAATATATGAAGATCAGAGAAGTGAAGTTGGGCCGGCCTAAGTGGTAAAAGTTATGAACTTGTGTAAGGACTGTTAAAGAATGTATAGTTCGCAGAACTAGAAACGAATGTGCAAAGGCGGAAGAGAAGTTGAAGATGATGGTTAGAGTAAGACTACTTTGGGAGGAAACTACTGTATGTTATATACAGCAGGTCAGCTGGAAGCGCCGATATCATTTCGGTTGACGGCGGAACGACGAGCATGGATGTCCCATCCTGTCATCCTAACCGGTTCATGGTCTGGCGCTCAGACAATCCACAATCCAATGTTCTCACATTCTCTGGGATGAACACGAGTTGCAGTAGGGGCTGAACAGGTTGAGAGCCTGGGTTATTGCTGGGACTCAGATCCTCATGCGCTAGCGGCGGTAAAGCCAATCTTGCTTAGGTCTGTCGTCCGATGCCCTCTAACCACATGTGATCCTTTGGAGGGCTTTTGCCATGGGCTGTCGGATCAACAACCGGGCTTTGCAAGGAGGAGGCTGAAAAAGAGACTGGAAGACCGGACGAAAGTGGACAAGCGACTGCCAAGGTGCGTCAAGTCGATATCAGATGAAAACTCAGTCTCGGATTGGAAACTCGCAACGCCTGAGATCCGGGCGGGGGTCAATGCGAAACGAGCCCGTTTGAGTGGCCAATTGCAGCGCTTACTGTAAGGTTCGAAATAAATTAAACAGCGGTGATGAGTGGTCAGAGAATGCTTGAGTCGACGATGCAGCAAAACTTTAAACCTATGGTTATTCGGACGACAAACAATGCTCACGTCGTAGCCAGTGGTGAAGCCAGAAGTTGTCCCGAGAGACATTCAGGTGACATTTAGGGGCCACTTCGGGATACGCATCGTATCGCTTAGGCAAGCCAGGATGTTGAGACGAAGAACTGCATCTCGAGACAGGGGCTGTTTGATCGTTGGCCCAGCCGCGGCCGAGGGTCAAGAAACCAGAGCTGGCCAAGATTGCACATACGACGACATGATTCATTGCGAAATGAAAAGATGGGGAGAACTTCGTCATCCAAGACGGACTCGTCCCTCGCCGTCACTTGAGGACATAATTAGAAAGTCTGGACTGCAATTGAAGCCTGGAGTTTCGAGACCACCAAGAGTTCCCAAAGCATTGAATCCAACGTATTGTTCTTGGAGGCTGCGCGTTATTAGAACTATATCATTTCTCTGGTACGCATGAACTTGCTCTGCGTCAGTAGCCTTGGGTCATGCCCGGAGGACTTTATGGCGACGTGAAATTCGGCAGACGAACCGAAGAACCTTTCATTCCAGTCAGCACGGAAACAGTACGAGTCAAGGTACTTCATGGATGACGTGGCATTGAGATTCACGAAGACTCTCCAACATGTCTTCAAGATATCTAGGTAGTACTGTGAAAACTGCAAAGCAAACTCCCCATCGTTGCCAACAGGGAGAGACGGCTTCAGCTATGCGAAGGCGGCCATCATAAGTTGTACAATAATACCGTGCTTGTGTGCTCGAGGTTTGAGCCACCACTGATCTTATGCCCCAGACAACCAAGTCTCTGGCATAAAATGCATTGGAATGCATGCGTCCCGGCATCGTGGCGTTGGCACAGTTAATGCATAGAGATTCTTGACGATCCTCTGGCAAAGGATAGCCTTCGTGGTGACGAATCTCGTGAACCACACAACGGAGCTGCCGGGACGAGCTGTCCAACTTTCAGACGAATGCAAATGTCAGGAGAGGAGGGATGTGGTGACTTTTGATGTATGTGAGGTCCGTGCAGGAGAGTTTCTGTTGATATATCTCAGAGTTTCTTGGAATTGCTTGCCACAACTCCCGTGAACATATCCAGTAGCAAGGAAGAGCCAAACTCTATTGCTTGAACAAATGGGGAAATGTCTGTTTTTCTTGAACCTCAAGTCAAGCTGCAGACTCGATGTTGCGAGATTGAAGCCATGATGCCGATTGGCTCCCCGGCGCACAGAAGGATTGATTTGAATCTTCAGGAAGAAAGTAGAAATCCTCGTCGCCACGGAGCACTCAGCAGTAGACTCAAATTAACCAGATAAGCATAAGGCACTGTCCAATGCATGACCTACATTGCATTCGCAATGCTGCTGATGATTGAAACCCATCGAAGCTACATTTGCCAAAATGGACATCCATTGTTACCACTGTGCCTTGAATCTGCCACTCGACTTTTCAAAAATGGGCAATTTCTGGGTCAAACATATTAGTCAGATAGTAAACCTGTATAATCGTGCTCTGAAAGCACATGTGGCTGAGTGATTCAGCCTACTAAAATATCATCCTGTTTGACGACGGAGGAGGCGGGATGATGTTACCATCTCGGACCATGAAGCAAAATCTTCATTACGCAGTGAAACAAATTGAATCGACGGAGGCTGATGAGTTTTGCGAAGAACTTTGCACCAGTGAACGTAGGCTTGGACTTGGTCCAGAGGAGGCAACGACACCTTGGTCATGTTGAGAGCGATAGCAGAAAGAGTCATCGTAAAACGTAAAGAATTGCAACGTAAAAGGGGGAGATTCTCAGCAACGATACTATTAGACAGTGCCAAAGATACGTTTCTTTGAAGGACTTGCGCTGTGCAGATGACCTGTTGATAGTAGGATGGTGCTGAGGAAGGCTGCCGGGTTGGAGAAGGCTGACGGTCAAGGCGAGTCTTGGCGCGTTTTCGCGACTTCAATTTCTGGACCCTGACCAATATTCTCAACGGACAACGACACCACAGCAGTTCCAAGCCCACAATCTTCTGAATTTCGGTTCAGGGCGGTAATGACTGTTCGTCTCCAATAAATGGCCCGGTAGTATTCAACCTGCCTACGGGCTTCAGCATTCAACAATGTCAGCCTCATCCTCCGCAGCCTCGAGCACCCTCACCAGATCCAGACTCGCGGTCATCGGATTTGCTTCTGTAGCAACAGCTTTCACGGCATACTGGTTTTATCGGAGTCTGGTAGAAGAAGAAGAGAAGGGACATGGCTCAACGTTACATCGAAGCAATGCAGTCCACAGAAGACGAAGGCGAGCCGCCACTGCGAACGACATTACGCCGACCCTCATAGATGGCAGCGGAATCTTCGTCGACGACGCTGTTGAGAATGATGGAGAAGGGCATATTGTTGCTAGAACGTTGACGGATGGAGAGACTGTGGTAGATGATCAGGCTTTTGCGGAGGAGTATGGTTGGACCAACATGCCACAGTCCTATCAACGCAACGGCCAGAATATCGTCCAACTCTTATTTCGAGTCTCGGAGGATGCTACAAGACGAAATGCGTATGTTCATAGAGGATGTGCTTGTAATAGCTGCAATATGCTCCCCATTAGAGGAGTTCGATACCGATGTGCGAATTGCGCCGACTACGACCTCTGCGAGAACTGCGAATCTCAAGGCTTACACACCAAGACACATATATTTTACAAGATTAAGGTTCCGGCAATATCATTTGGTCCAAGGCACATACAGCCGGTCTGGTATTCGGGGGATCCAGAGTCTGTGATGAGAGTGTTGCCAAAGGAGATCACTACGAAGCTTTCGAGGGAAACAGGGTTCGAGAGACCTGAGTTGGACGCATACTGGGAGCAATGGACATTCATGGCAAACACGGATTGGAGGGACGATCCGGATGATATCAATCTTGCTATGGATCGGAGGACCTTTGAGCGATGTCTCGTACCTCTCGGAGGCTACAGACATTCGGCACCCAGCCTGATATTTGACCGCATGTTTGCTTTCTACGATACCAACAAGGACGATTTAATAGGCTTCCCAGAGTTTCTTCACGGTGTGGCATATCGAAAGAAAAAGGATAAATGGAGGAAGATATTTGACGGGTATGACATTGACGCAGATGGGTACGTGGATAGGAAAGACTTTCTTCGGATGTTCCGTTCATACTACGTTCTCCATCGGCAGATACACCGGGATATGATTGAAGGTGCAGAAGAACAGCAGATGAGCAGTACAGAAGCTCATCGGCTGATAAGTGGACGACAGCCCCTCAGCAGTGCTTTTGGTCAAGATGGAAGATACCCCAGAGCTCCCGATCCTCGTACGGGCGAGGGCAAGAGTGCTCGAGTCAATGGAGATCTGCAAATCATAGATGGCAAGGGCATCATGAATGAAAGCAGCAATGACACGGGAAACAGAGAGGACGTATTCAAAAGGGATGTGCCTCGATCTTATCGCAGTCATTGGCATGGAGATGGGGACAGAACCGGCGCTGGGTACTGGGAAACCATTATCAATCCTCCACAGACGGTTGAGCAAATGCCAGCCGTCCTCCGACATCTGCAACGAATTCGTGGTCAAGTAGCAGAGGCTTTGGGCGACGAGCCAGACTTGGAGTCCGAGAACTTTCCCCTGGACCCGCTTCGGGAGCAGCCCAGCGGAGATGACGACGAGGGCAACAATTCCGATAGTAGTCTTTCAAATCCAGAAGCTGACCGGAATTGGCCTCCGTCTTTTGTCAGAGTCACGGATGAGGATGCAGAGGCAATTGATGGACCCGGTACTACGGTTGAGAACGTAAGGAAAGAGAGTAGACGGGCAGTCATCCAGCAGGCGATGTTCCGGAAACAGACTCAGGAAGACGTGCATGACCGGTGGCAAAGAAGGCAGTTCTACACCGACGAGGAAGAAGGCGCAATCCCCCCAGCTAACTGGAAAGATGAGGACGACATCCTGGCTCAGTCTGGCATGGCTGGAGAGAGTTCCAAAGCTCCTTCCAGACCGACTATTCACTCAAGATCTTCATCAAGAGTACGATTCGCTGAAGATATGGACGACTTCGATACACAATCGAACATATCAAATTCCTCTAGAAGCGTGCCTGAGCGATGGGGAGGCATGGAAATCCCAGATGCAGAGAGGGATGCCGGAAAAGAGATCCTTTACCAAGTCACCCAGCAGGCTTTCAATGAACTGCTCGACCCATTGTTTAAGGACAAAGAAGACATGGCTATAGAGGCGGCTTCGACAAAAGCAGAAAGAGAGAAGTGGGGGTATTTATACATGACTCCAGAGTTTGAGAAATGGGCTCAGGAAAAGGAAGCTCAGGATGCAAAACCAAGACAATCAAAGACAATAACACTTCCTAATCCTCTCGCCAGGCCACCTCCACCATCATCAAACCGGGAATGGCCACAATTCCGTGAAGTGGAAATTGAGCAAGTACGGGAACGACCTTTAGAAGAATTGTTAGCTGCAACTGGCTACGAAGTTGACGAGTCACTTGCACGTCAAGATGATGATGATCATGGAAGCGTGTCTGACTTCGCAAGTATACCAGACACAACTCCTCCGAACACACAGCGATCAAACTTAGAAGCACCCGCATCGGACTCCGCATCGGTTTCCAATCCGAGACCACAACAAGCCCAGTCTTCACCTACATCAACCGAGCTCCTTTCCGTGGTAGCAGAATACGGTGACGGTCAGGATACCCACACGTCACCATCCACACCTCCCCGCTCTACACCCCCCGAGTCCGAGACATCCTCTCTCTCCTACCGCGACCCAACACTTCCTCAATTTCGACCCGACGCTGAGATTCCCTATGATCCAACTTCCGCCCGCCGCCCGACAACGGACTTCATCCCTCTCCTGAAAGAAGAACACGAAGCACGACAGCAGCGCAGTCAGGAGGACAATGCCGCAGACGCCGATATCCTCGACATGGACCTCTCACCTCCGGCGGCGCTCAACGGCTCGGCCTCAGCTCCAACCTCAGCTCAAGAGTTCATGAAGACGGGCAAGAAGCCGAGAAAGGAGACGCTCTTCCAGTTATGGAAGATTGAGAGGGCGGTCAAGGAGGCAGAGGAGAATGGTGGGTGGGGGAGGTTGGGGTTTGCGGACTTTGAGAGGAGGGTTAAGAGGGCTGTGGGGGAGGGGAAGGGGAGCCAGATGGATTATTTGGGGAGTTGGATTGATTTCTGTATTCCCTGATTCGGTTGGGGTTTGTTTGAAGAGTGATGGGTATGATTGGTCTGGTGTTGAAAGGAAGAGATGGAAGGGAGGAGGGACGTGTACAGTATTATCTGTTATGTGTTAGTGTAGCATAGAGTCGGGTTCTTAGTAGAAAAGTGTTACTGCATATCCAAATCCTTTTGATGAGACTTGCATGCGGTTGTGTGGTGTGGTGTTGTGTTGTGTTGGTGCTGTGCTGTGCTGTGATGCAAAACAGTGGCAAAACAGCTTACGCGTGGTGCTGACGAGTACAGTAACACGATACATACAAACCTTTCCATACAATGGTCTCAAGACCAATACTAATCGTTCACCGCATGAATATATATCATCACGATATTGAATCCCCGAGTGATATATATCCGTGGGTGGAAACAGAGAGGTTCGCCGACTGAGGTTGAGCAGCCAAGGGAGCTGCTAGCTACCTAACGAGTGGAGGTTTAAGTAGGGAATTGAAAAGGGCTGTTTCTTGACAGACATTAATTAATACCTTCCCCTCATCTTATTAACTCGAGACTTCCATACAAATAAATACAAGCAAGCAAGGAATTACCTTTCGCTGTACTTGTGACATGAATGAAATGTGGAAATAGCTCAGCTTGCGCACCTGGTCTGATGGCTCGGTACTTAGTGGAAATGCACCGCCACTCTCTCGCAGCTGAGCTGGAATGGAATGGGCTGGCTTCGGTTCGGCGACTAGGTACAGTACCTACCTAGACTGCAGTCTTCCTACAGTACAGTAGGTAGCAGAGGTGGGAGTTTGGAATCTGCAAACTCCGGCATTGTGGGAGTACGAATATTATGTGTTTTCGATATCGACATACAAAGCATGTATTTATTCTTGTACCCGGGAAAATGATAGGGCTGATGCAATGGTAAGGTTTGCAGATGGGTGGTGTTCTTGGCCCGGCTTGCTCACTCAAGCTTTTCTGATGGGGCTTGGCGGGTGAAACGGGGCTTACGTGAGTGCGTGACAGATTTGGGATATGGAGTTTTTTTTCTTTTTCTTTTTGGTGGATGGCAGGGATGCTGTATAATTACTTGAGCGTTTATGAAGCTTTGCGAATATTTCCATATTGGCAGGCAGGTGTGTTTGCACGACTTTGGCGTTGACTCTGACTCTTCTCTGTTGGTTGGTATTGGATTTGTTAGGTAGGTCTGGATCAGTGAGGAGTCATTCTCTTTTGGAGATAGGGATTCGATTTAAGTCCAGGCCCCATTTGTTGGAGTGAAGCCTGGAAACATAGCACGGCACAGCGCTTCCTGAGATTTGGTGGAACATGGATGTTGGAGGTGGCGACGTACAGGTACAGGACAGGATACCTTTGGTAAGAAATTAAGTTAGCCTGTGCCAATTAACTTATGGGGCCCAGAGGCTTGTCTGGGATAAGAGTCGGATGCTGCGGGCGGTGACTTGGATGAAGCTTTTCTTGGGCCCTTTATTGTTGTCGAAGTTAGGAGTGGACGATGGACTTCTCTGCGTTGATTATCTAGACAAAGATAAGATAAATCAACGTCAAATAACTCTATTATTTCATCATCAATTGCACACCTCAGCAGCCTTAGCTAGGTAGATCGGCTCTGCATACCCGTGGCTGACTGGCCTGGATGTGGATGTGGATGTGGATAGGGATAGGGATAGTGGTGCACAGCAATCTTGGCTTCTGATTTGCCCGCCGACCCCGGAAATCCAGGCCTAGACTAGACAGAGACAGGAGGTCGGCGTCATCGAAGCGCAGCGCAGCACAGCGCAGCAAAGCACACTACGACCGAGCCAACCTGAACCTGAACCTGAACCGCAATCAAGCTCTCAATGCATCCAAACCTGCTGCGCTAATGTGCTAGGTAGGTTACTTCAACGACCTCACCTCTTCTTCCTCCTCCTCCTCCTCCTCCTCTTCCTCGTCTCCACCTTTCGCCTCCTACTTCTTTCGTTTTTCTTTGTTGTGTTCTCTCTCATTCAAAAAGATTGATCTCCTACTCTGCCTAAATACCAATTTGCTTCAATCCACCACCTCACCACTCTTCACCTTTTACTCTCTCTCGAGGTTGACTAGGTAGATACACTCTGCCTACCTCCCCCCTCGATCTCTCCTTCCTCAGCCTCTCACCCAATACCACCAAATTGCAAGCCAGCAAGCACCTCCTACCTACTCACCATGGCACTCCTCAACCTCCACACCCTCACCCTCCTCACCCTCCTCCCCCTAATCTCCGCCGACACCATCCAATTCGACATCGCCCGCTCGCCCAGCGCGCAGATCGCCCAGCTCCAAGCACGAGAAGCCTCCCTTCGCGGCCGCGCCCTCAACAAGCGTGGACTCTTCGAGCGCGCCGACTCAGTCACTGCCGATCTGACGAACGCCCGTACGCAGGGTCTCTACTTCGCGAACGTTACGGTGGGGACACCGGGTCAGGCGCTGGCGTTGCAGATTGATACGGGGAGTTCGGATGTGTGGGTTCCTGCGGCGGAGGCGGCGCTGTGCTCGAATGCTAGGGAGGGGGGCTGTCCGAATGGTCAATGTGAGTCTTTTCCCTGGGTTGATTCTAAATCTTGTTCTGGGGGGAGGTCGATCTCTAGATCGAAAGCATTTTCGTTGTCGAGGGCTTTCCTCCCAGTTTAGAGAAGGGAAAATTAAGCTAACCCAGCATAGTCGATTACCAACAGTCCACCACCTTCCTCGATGTCGGCGAGAACGAATTCAATATCTCCTACGTAGATGGCAGTGGTGCTGCGGGTGATTATTTTCAGGATACATTCTCCATTGGCGGAGGCACTCTTCAACAGTTCCAGATGGGTATTGCGTTGGATACGACTATTGGGACTGGAATTATGGGCATTGGATACAATACTTCTGAGGCAAATATTGAAACTGGCAATGGTACCATTTACCCTAACCTGCCTTTGGCAATGGTCAATCAGGGTTTGATCAAATCTGCTGCTTATAGCTTGTGGTTGAATGATCTGCGTAAGTGCTTTCGATTATGGAAAGTTGGGACTTGGGCTAATATTTGGCAGAATCAAGCACTGGATCTATTCTTTTTGGTGGTGTTGATACCGCAAAGTATACTGGCGATTTGATCTCGATCGATGTTTATCCCACGTCCCGACGTGGTCGTGTCACATCCTTCACTGTAGCCTTTACTTCGCTTTCAGCAACCAGCCCTTCAGGAACCGACCAGTTAACACCAGAAGGCTATGCCGAAGCAGCTATTCTTGATTCTGGAACCACAATCACTCTCCTTCCAGACGATGTAGCTGCTATGGTTTTCGAGGAGCTTGGAGCTACTGTTTCCAACCAACTCGGCGCAATTGTTGTTCCCTGTGATCTTGCCAAGGTAGATGGAACTCTCAACTACGGATTTGGTGGCAAAGGAGGACCAACTATCAAAGTCCAAGTCTCAGATCTCGTCCTCCCATTGACTCTTACCAATGGCCGCACACCAAAATACACTAATGGTCAAGAAGCCTGTCAACTCGGTATCCAACCAGCTGGTGATCTCCCCGTTCTATTTGGTGACACCTTCCTCCGATCCGCCTACGCCGTTTACGATCTCGAGAATAATCAGATTGCCCTAGCCCAGACCGATTTCAACTCAACTGACTCGAATGTTGTACCATTTCCTAGTTCCGGAGCAGCTATTCCTAGCGCATCTGTAGCGTCCCAAATCGCAGCAGTTACTCAAACCGCCACAGGTGTACCACGGGTTTCTGGTGTTGCAACAGGCACAGGAGCTGCTCCAACCTACAACCCTACAGCTACTGGCTTGAACGCCGCCAGTGGATTTGCTGCTACAGGCACGGGATCCAGTGGTGCGAGTGGCTCTACCAAGAAGAGTGCTGCAGGGAATGGACCGGAGCCTTTTGCTTGGTCGAGAGTTGTGGTTGGATTTGTTTCATTGGTAATGGTTGGTTTGGGATCGGGAGTCTTTGCGCTTTTGTAATTGGATTGGGAATGGAATTGGGCTTAAGACTGGGGATTTTGTAGATGAGATGCGGTGCGGGAAAACGGGCCGCAGCATATTATGGTAATGAACAAATGAGATGACTTGACATGACTTTGACCTGGAATTGAGAAACCGAAAGGGACGGTGGGATGGTATGGTATATAAAAGGTAAGTGTATACCAGCTTGGGTTGGGTCTCGAGATTCAATCAGAAATACGTGAGAGAAGGTTTTATAATTTGTTTTCACTTTCTGAGAGGTACGTAGGTAGGTTCTTTCAGTTATCCGGTATAGTGCTGGTCCTTGCGGAAAAGAGATAGCTGCGATTTCCATTTCGTATAGGTACTCTTACCTTTATGCCTCTGCTAGAACTTAGAAGAGAATGAGGCTGATTGTTTGTACAGTTAAGGAAGTCAGCATACGTCTGGCGTGCATAGATAGGTAGGTAAGCGAGGAAGTGTTTATTTACATCTACGTCTTTGTCCTTCTTTTGTCTGGGTCTTCTTCCGAAAGTATCACAACCACCCCTCCCTCCCACTCCTCTCCTCAAACCACCCCTCCTCTCACCCCCCTCCCACCCCCTCAAAACCCACCACCAACCACCTTCCCCCCATCAAGCACCAATATCCTATCAAACCCCACCAGTGTCTCCAACCGGTGCGCAACCACGATCAGGGTGCAGCAGTCCTCCTGGTCCTGGTTCTGGAAGTTCTGCCGTAGGCTGCGCTGGATCAAAGTGTCTGTCGTTTGGTCGACGGCGCTGGTCGCTTCGTCGAGGATGAGGATTTGGGGACGGGGACGGGTGAGGAGGGCGCGGACTGTGGTGGGGGGAAGGGGAGGGAGGTGTTAGTTTGGGGTTTGTGCAGGGGAGAAGAGGGGAGGAGGGAGAGGAGGGAGGGGAATGAGGGGAAGGGGGTGAGGAGAGGGGGAGGGAGGGGAAGGAGGAGTGAAGGGGAAGGATGAAGACTTACCCAAGCAAACGAGCTGTCTCTGCCCCGAAGAGAGATTCAATCCACCTCTCGAGATCCGAAATTCAAAATCCGCAAAGATATCCAATGTTGAAGCTTCCATCCCGGAGTCTACCCCTCCCACCGCCAACCCTGGATCCTGGTCCAAGCCATTCTCATTTCCAAGATGCAGCTTGGCCATGGCACCTCGCAGCGCTTGATCGCTGTACTTATTGAACGGATCGAGATTCGACCGTAGCGTACCCGAAAACAATACTGGATCCTGCGGTATAATGGACAGATTGCGGCGAAGCTCACTCAGCGAAAGGGTAGAGATGTCAACCCCGTCTATGAGAATCGATCCTTTCCTCGCCTCTAAGAACCGGAACAATGCGAGTGTCAATGTCGATTTCCCACTGCCTGTCCTACCTACCACCCCAATCCGCTGGTGAGATTGGAACGTGACGTTGAGATTCTTCAAGACTGATGGGAGGCCAGGTCCGTACCCAGTTTCGAAATCCCGGAACTCGATTTCACCTTTACTCGGCCAGTTCGCTGGAGCTGGTGTACCGGATAGGTTTTCAACTGGTGCGGTAGTGATATATTCTAAAACACGTTCCGTGGAGTTCATATCCAACTCCCACGCCGCATACTGCGCAACAGTAATAACCACCAACCTCGAGAACTCCACCCCAAAACTCAACGCAAACCCTGCAAGCGCAATACTTATTCCTGGAAGCAGCACGATCGAGGCTGCTAGGCATAAAGCGAATAATACGCCGATCAGGCCCTGCCGAGCTGCTACCCAGCGGTTGGCGAGGATGATATACCATGATGCTCGGGTGTGGTCGTTGATGCGTTGGTCCATGAGAGAGAGGTACTCCTCTCCCTTGGCAAAACTGCGAATCGTGCTTAGTCCCGAGATCGCCGAGTCGAAAAGATCGAAGACTGGAGATCGAGCGTTGGATTCTAAGCGCCGAATCGAGCGCGCGAGAGGTAGGTACAGCGACGTGTAGTATATACACGCCAATGTGAAGAGCAAGACCGGGAAGAGCATATACCGAGACAGAAGCAAGGCGGCACTGGCGATGGTTCCCATGGCCAGTAGCCGGTTCAGGAACAGCACGAAATCCATACCGAGCTGGGAGTCGATGAGAGCGAAGTCGCTGGTGAAGCGGTTGAGGATGCGGCCTGTGGGGACGGTGTCCAGCCATCGCAGCTGCGTGCGGATGATGCGCGAGGTGAAGGTTTCGAAGAGGGATTTGGAGGCGCGGAGGGAGAGGAAAAGTAGGGCGGCGATTTTGAGGCCGATGAAGAGGACGGAGATGAAGGATAGAGAGAGGTAAATTGTCAAGTAGTAGATCAAATGCTCTGTGGCTTTGCTGTTTTGGATGGCCTGGTTGTTGTCGTTTGCTGGGACGGGTCCGGAGATTGGTGGTCGCTCGGAGGCTTCGCTCCAGATCTTGATCCAGTAGGAGCGTGCGAAGAGGAGGAAGGTGGAGAATAGGAAGATGAAGAAGCCGAGGAACCAGGAGGTCCAGCCACCTGAGAAGTGAACGTAGGCGTTGTAGACTCTCCATTTCACGCGGCCTTGCTCGAGGAATTCGGTATCCGGTGATGCTTGAGGTGCCTGAGAAATTCTCGGGAAGCTCAATTCCTCCAGTGGCATGTCCACGAAAGAATCATCATCGTCTGAAAGAGGTAGTGGGTTTTCGGAAGCGATATTGTTAATTGGCTCCGGGTCTTCAAGGATCTCTTCAGGCTGTTTTATCATTCCCAAAGCGGTGCCCTCTCCACAGTCAACAACATAGCTCGCTAAAGGCAGAACCATGTCAACATGATGCGTCGCGATAATAACAGTCCGACCCATCCTAAGCGAAGCCTTAATCCCATGCTCGAGAATATGCCGACCGACATGAACATCAACCGCACTGAAAATGTCATCTAGAACAAGGATACCTGCACGGGAGTATAGTGCACGCGCGAAAGTCAAGCGTTGTCTTTGGCCTCCGCTTAGTGTTACTCCTACGGCACCGACTTGAGTCTGGTCGCCATCGGGCATCACTTCTAGGTCTGGAGAGAGCGCTGAGGCGTGGATGACTGAGTCGTAGCGGGTGGAGTCGAGAGGGAGGCCGAATAGGATGTTGCTTTGGATGGTGCCGTTTTCAATCCACTGAGATCGGCTTGTCAGTCATCTATTTATCGGGAACTCAACTGTGAAATCGCTCAAAGGAGAAAGCTTACCGGTATTTGTGCAACGTAGGCAATGCTGGTGGGAATGATCCAACCTTCTGCTGTTATTGGGTAGTCCGCCGCATCCTTACTTGCGGGCGATTGGGGCGAATCGATACTCCCTTCTACAATGTCTGCCTCTCCGATGATAGCTGCTAGTAACAGACTCTTACCAACTCCTGTCTTTCCATGCACGAGACTATTGAATATTCAGCTCAGGCCAGGAGGAAAAGACAGAACAAATCATACCTCAATGCTCTCGATGGGAAGCTTAGATCCATCGGCCCGAGAGAAAATGCTTCCACTTTCCTCCCATAACTGGGCCAGTGTACTTCAGCATCTTTGAAAACGATATTCTCACCATCACCAGACCCTGTACTCCCTCCTTTATCAAGAAGTTCCAAATGCTGCTGAATCCTATCACAACTGATCCTTGCATCCAAAAACTTGGCAATATTAATAGGAATAGCACTCATCGTAAACTCCAACGTCGAAAACACCGAAAGCGCCGTAAACGCCACAGAAGCAAGCATAGACCTACTAATCCAAACATACAAACTAAGTCCCACAGCACCAAGCAGAATCGGCATCGACAGCCACGTCATGAGCAGGAATATCATCCAGGAATACACTCTCGTCTGCGCTCTCAGCTCTTTCTCCCGCGACTGCATGATTAGAGCTTGCCATTTGTCTTCTAGAGCCGAGAACTTGATCTGGCGGATCCCGTGCAGCACTTCGGTGATGATGTGGGTTTTCTCGTCGCGCGCGGACATCACGGATGCTTGTGCCTTGCCGTAGTTCCTGGATACGAAGATGCTGATCGGTTGCATTAGGAAGGGCATGGCTAGACCTGCGAAGGTACTGGTTGTTATGTATCAATCAGCTGTGTTCTTTGAATTGAGAAAGTTGAGAAAGTTATGGATGGGCGGGGGTTACCTGATCCAGCCGATGAGGTAGATGAGGAACCAGATGCCGAGGATCATTTTCACGATGCCTCCTAATAAGAGAGCGTTTTCTCCGCAGAACATGGATACGCGTTGGACGTCTACGCCTACGAGTGTTGCGTGGGATGTTATTGCTGTGTTGGTGGGCTGGGACTTTTCTGAATGATCTTTGATCTCGAGAAGTGCGATGTTCTCTTCTTCGTCGCTATCTCTATTCTCCGAGAATGAGGACTTTGCAGAGTATGAGGACTTTGAGTTGTTCTCCTCTGCTTCTGCTAGATTCTCTTCTGCAATTGTCTTCCGCTGATCTTGGCCAGCATCTTTGACATTTTTCATGCGGAGAGATTTGGCGAATATCAGTGCTGTCAGTTGTGACCTAACGGGTGTAGCCAGCAGACCAAATTTGATCCACTCTAGCCTATATTAAGTCAGTAATCATGTTTATAAAATTGCGAGTATCACCCACCATGTTTCCAGTAACAGGTGAACAAATTTCGAGACTCCCAAAGCTAGAATCCACAGCCACAGCTCTTTCTTCCCCTCAGCAGAATGTGACCGGTGCTCCAAGATGGTGAGAATCCGGAAGAGACAGATCTGAGGGAACATCAAAGCAAATGGCTCTACAATTGCCAGGGTCCATTCGTGAAGAAATAGATCTTTGTGATCCTTCAAGATGATGCGCCACAGTTTTCGTTTCACGGTGCCGCGCTCTCGTTTGGTTACCTCAAAGCTGCTTCGGAGGGTCTGAGCACGTGCATCGTTGTGCATCCCGGGCAGATCTGACATTTGTAATGAGTCGACAATCTGTGCTTTGTCCAGAAGCGGCGCGATCCAGCTGAACGAATATCTAGAGAGCCTCAGCCGACTCGTTCTACTTGCAGCGCTAAAGTGGATTTAAACCTTGTGAAGAATGACGAAGTGTACTGGGAATCGATAATCCGCCCTTCATGATACACCTCAGGTCGTCTTTTTAAGGTGCCACAGGCCCAGAATGTCTTCAAACCAACCATAAACTGTCCCATGAACAGATTGAACTCCTGATCTGGGATCTTCACATTCGAGCGTGTCCACAGGTAAGCAAAGAATAGAGAAGCTGAGAGTGAAAAGCATGAGATGGCCACACATGATCCCATGTCAAAGCGTTTCACTGTACTGCGCTCTCGAACCATAAAAATGACCTGTACTGAGATCGAGAACTATAGTGACATCAGCTTCTATGTTTGTCTGCAGTCAAGTGCGACACATCATACCCAAGCAGCGACGCAGATCCATTTGAGTAGCTGGAGACTACCACTTCCTTCCATCTCATGGCCAGGCAGCAAATCATATGTGGCGAGGAATATGGAGATCGGAAGTCCGGTGATTGCGCCTGTCGTAATGAAAAATCTCGGGATTCCATTGCCGAAGGACGAAATTGATTCGCTTGTCGCGGCACCATCTTCATCTTCATACTGGAGTTTACCGAGCTCGGAACGAGGTGGGAGGTGATGTTTGGCATTTTGATTCGGAGCTGCTGGGTGGTGTCTGAAAGCCCGTATGGCGCTTGTGAGGGAACACAAATGGACGAAGAGGGAAGTTGATGCTACGAGTGTGACTTGAAGGGGCATCTTGAACGTGCAAACAATGTTGCATCTCAGTCCATGGAGTTACGGCTCGTCAAATGATGGGTAATTGTCACAGGATGAAGTTGTCGGTAGCACGTGTCACTCCCACATCGCAGGTATCTAAAGCAGCAATGACATTGAATAGAGAATTCATGATACAAACTTTCCACTCATGTCGATGTAGTTGACCTTTCGGCATGCTCTGAACCTACCCTGTTTTCACAAAATGCTTTACCATAGCTAGTAAAGCAGGGACTGATGGCTTAGAATTTCCTAATGTAGTCGGCATGGATAGCGCAACCCTGCTTACCGGGACCCCACGTCCCCAGGTCGTTCTCACCTTCCATTTGGAGGTAATTCCTGAGCGGGGTTAGAGTCAAGCTACTGCAAGAGTCGAATCACTCCCAAGGTAAGAATGTGAACATGCAAATACCGGATAGTCCGAAACTCTACCTTAACTCCCTGAAACAATCAAAACAATGCTAAGCGAGCCAAACTCTCCAAAACGGGCCGATCCGCGGTTCACACCAATCAGATCCACTACTCCATGATAATAGTTTTAACTTTATGCAGAGGAATAATGATGCAGCTGTTTAATTACGACTCGCGTCGAAATCAACTTAAACCAAGAGAAGAGTGATCGCGCTTGCATCTTTGTTTCCCACCAAAGTTCATGATCAGAGAGACTTTGTGACCAACAACTGGTTGCTGCCTTGCTGCTCGTCAAAGTTTACGATTGAAAGACAGTCGTTCCTACATCATGAATTTAAAGTTATCATGTACCTTGATTAGCTGAGTGGAGTCTCGGAGATACAGTTTAACGACAGTTCCTTGTATCAGACTGATATCCTTTACTAGAGTAGTTACCTCTGCTTAACACATAAGGTCAATTTTGGTGGCAAACACTGCGCGCAGATTATCAGTGTGGATCAGAAGAGGTGCAACTCCAAAATTTGTCCTTTATGCATTTTGTTTGCACTATTCTATCCACACACATAGATGTCACCCTCCAAGTTACCTTCCATGGCTTCAGAACCCATCTCTGTGTCGGTGGAATACCTTCAGTGGCAGGCTTTGTACGAAACCGAAATGCCTTTTCTTCGGTTATTCAAACCACGCCCAGGAACGAAAGATGACCGAGCTACTAACTTGGTCTTCGAGACTAAGTCAGTCAACCTTCAAGATATTCGTGAGCTCAAGACAGCTCCAACACTTGACAGCCATGGCTTTCAGATTGTGGATTCCGGCACCCAAATCACCGATTTTCACAACCCAGTGATTGTGAACGAGGAGTATCTGGTAGAATGCGAGAAATTGCTAAGGGCAACTGTGGCAGATGCTGATGAGGTTTTCTGCTTTGATTGGAGAGTAAGTCACTCGCCACATTCGGCCTATATGTAAATTTGGACTAAGAGTGGCCAGGTTCGGGACTCTGCCTCACAAAACAAGACCAAGAGTCCAGAAACACCGAGGCAGCAGACAGCTGCTGGGTACATGAAAAGCGAAGATGTGGAGAGAGCGCGAGCTTACGATCCAGAGAACTGTGCAGCCATGCTGTCACCCGCTTTATTGGTTCACATCGGTGGGCGCTGAATCAGTTACATCACATCGCAAGAACTAACTCGCTTAAGACTATGCTGTTTCCTCAGTGGTGTCCAGAATCAAGCTTTATTTTCCAGAGAATGCTGATAGGCTGCTTCGTGGGAGGTTTCGCGTTGTGAAGTATGTGTTCAGCAAGGTACTTGTCATTGACCAGCTTACTGATCGGGTCACAGCGTCTGGAGACCGCTTTACAATGACGTTGAAGAGTAATTACTAGATTTTTTGACATTCTCTTCAACACACTTTGGAACGCATACTGATCTTGTAAGTTGGCCATTGGCTGTCTGCGACGGCTCCACACTTGCAGAAAGCGATGTCGTCGAAGCGGACCACAGGCGTGAGACTTTCTCTGAAGCTTCACTTTATTGTCTATCACGCGAATCCCATCGCTGGTTTTATCAGAGCCATCACCAGCCAGATGAAGCACTATTGGTCAAAATTTACGATTCAGACACAAATGTCAAAGCAAAATGTGAAGACTCGTAGGATACATATTCCGACGAGGCAGTTGCTGATATTACGTAGATTGTCCGCATACTTCTGTCAAGCTGCCAAAGGTGCCTCGAGATGTTCCGTCGAGAAAGAGCATAGAAGTAAGGACATTAGTGTTATCGTATCCAAAGGAGGAGCATTAGACAAAAATCTGATCTCCGAGTTTGTTTATTTAATGATGTACTGGGCTAGCACCGCATCAAATCTTAACATAAGATCATTACAAATTTCCCACAAACTTGACTTAACAGCGGTTCTTAGCAAATCTAGAATAGAGTATAAATACCTTGAATTTGATATATCCAATATCTCCTGGAAGTGAGCCCAGCGACTTTCCCTGTCGATATAAGATTTGTTTCACCACAAGTTCCTCAAAAGATTAGGCAAAGGCTCAAAGACGTCACAAACCAGATGCATGAAGTTTTTACACATGGAAAGAAACACAAAATAAACATCCACAATGAGTTTAGAACTGAATCGTGTTACCAATAAGAAAATCTTGTCTTGGTCGGTGCTGCAAGTGTTCGGGCTTCCGACCTCCAACTGCAAAAAGCATATCAACAATCTAAGTTCGTTAATGCTCCGAGAAGCCTCAAACTTTGTAGCTGACTTTATCTCAGCTTTCCTTGGAACAGCCCATGTCGAGAGAGAGAATCCGTCAACCTTCATGTAGAGTTTGATTCAGCGGGTTACTTGAGGGAATAAATTGACTTCTGGCACGTGCATCTTGGACTTGATCGAACTTCCGATCTAAGTGGATGTTGTCTACACACAGTGAATAGTTAATTGATCTCTGTTTATCATACCCTTGTTCATTCTGCCCGGAGCAGAGAGACTGTCCCCTTGATATGCACCTCCTTAAGTGGTATCTTCGATCCGGCGCTAATGAAATACCCAGATTGTATACTGTTAGGCTTATTGCCAAGAGAGTCAATATATCCTGCGGGTTTCAAAGGCTTAGTTGATTGGCTCCTAATGCTTGATGGACAAGTATCCTGCTGATTTGTGAGGATGGTAGTTGGTGGATGGACGAGATCTACCAGATTGTGTGCTATTGGAGATTCGGCAAAGAAGACATGAGAATAAGTTGCGCCCGCAGTTTGAATATCATCGCACGAACTTTATCTCTCGATTGTGTCGCAACCTGGACTTAATAATACGCTCCAATTCCCAAGCGGTTAGAGTGAAAGGTCAACGGAGTCAAAACGCCGCTGTCGCCAAACGAGGCACACCTCAATTCCCTCCGAGATCACCGAGAATCCAGAATCTCTCTCTACTATGACGGAAATTTGGAAGTATTCCATCGCTGTGGATGAAATTATTGCCAGACGGACTGGGTGTTTCACAACGCTTCCCATCCGAATTCATTGTCGAGATGATATTGCCAACCAAGCAACACTCAAGTCGGTGAAGGACTGGGGCCAGAGTATGAAAGACGGCTGGGACAAGAAGTCTGGCTCGGCACTTTGCTCAGTGGGCAACTGGTGCTCATTCATTTTCCCTGAATCGCTCCCAGAGCGATTGGATGTGATTACATACCTCACCAATTTGGGAAATATCCATGATGGTAAGAAACGACTCTTGCCTCAAGTATTGGAAAACGTATCATCGGGGATATTTTTCTGACTTAAAATAGACGCCTGTGAGGAGATGAGTTCAGAAAAGGCTGTGGAAGCCCATAGTGAACTCAGCCAGGCTTTGGATATCCACAGCAAGGTGAACGTCAACAGTGGCTCCAAGACCTCTAAATTGAAAGCCATGGTTTCACAGTGTCTTCTCGATTGCATCAATCATGACCGCAATCTAGGGATGAAAATGCTGGAGTCATACCGAACCAAATGGCTTGACGTGATGGTATGTCAATCTTGGCTGTTTATCCCTTTGGTTGTTTAAGCCCCCCATCATCGATGAGCACTCCAGATTCCCTAACGAAGTCAAGTCTTGAATTAGAACTGATGAAACTCCGTCTTCTATAGGAGCACCCTGATATTCATCAGGTGCAAACAATTGAGGAGTATCTTATCTTCAGAAACCTGAATGGAGGCATGGAGTAAGTAATACATGCTCCTTATCAGGCAGTCATAGCTAAGCGAGATTCCAGGCCCTTCTGGCTCATGTGTCAATTCGGCATGGCAATCGACTTGACAGACAAGGAATTGCAAAGCGTTCGACATATCTTCGTTCCAGCTGAGAGCGCACTTGTGATGACGAATGATTACTGGAGTTGGGATCGAGAATATTTCATGTCGAAGAGAGCCAATGCCGCCAAGATGGTCAACTCGATTGACCTATTTATACGAACCCAGGGATTGACCGTTGAAGAGGCAAGAGAGAAAGTTAGAAACAGCATCATAATTCACGAAAAGGAGTACTTGGCCCTGAAGGCTGATTTCTATGAGAGCCATCCTCAGGTATCTCTAGCTTTGAAACGCTACATTGAAGTTTGTGGAGTGATCGTAGCTGGAAATCATTACTGGTAGGTGATCATCACCCAACAAATTATACTGTTTCTATGCTTACCCTGCCTGCACAGGTGCGCCAATTGCCCCCGACATAACGATTGGCAAAAGAACTTCGACGAAGGTTATGCTCAAACACATATCATTAACGAGATGTCCATCACGACAAACCCTAAGAAGAGGAAAACTCCCGATGCCGATTCGAATTCGAGCGGCTCTAATTTCGATTCAGGGTTCTCCTCTGAGCGATCTCTGGGGATGAAAACACCCAGAACCTCCATTTCAGAATCGAGTTTATCCCATCTGGACGAAGCAATCTGGAGGAAGCCAGCCGACACTGCCATAATGGAACCTATCAATTACATCAACTCCCTGCCGTCCAAAGGGGTCCGAACCATGCTCATAGAAGCAATTGACCAGTGGTTAGGGGTTCCTCCTCAGTCCCTCAAAATCATCAAAGAAATTGTTGACCAGCTACATAATGCATCGCTGATTCTTGACGACATCGAGGACGACTCCCCTCTAAGGAGGATGAACCCTGCAGCTCACACAGTGTTCGGTCAATCACAATCCATCAACAGTGCAAACTTTATGTTTGTCTGTGCTGTGAAGAAGAGTCGACAGCTCGAGAATTCAACTGCAGTTGACATTGTTCTTGAGGAACTGGAGTGTTTGTACCTGGGGCAAAGTTGGGACCTCTTCTACAAGGAAAATCTTCGCTGCCCAAGTGAGAGTGAATACCTCACTATGGTAGACAACAAGACCGGGGTGATGTTTCGCATGCTGACACGCCTCATGCAAGGTGAGAATACAAAAGAATATATCGACTTCAGTCACTTGACATTGCTCTTCGGCCGATATTTCCAGATCCGAGACGATTACATGAACATTTCCTCCTCGGAATACTCTGAACAGAAAGGCTTCTGTGAAGATCTCGATGAAGGGAAGTTTTCCTACCCGCTGGTACACTGTCTCCAAGACAACCCTGTGCTTCGAGTACGCATCTTGGGCATTTTTCGAGAAAAGGCTGCCTCGAGCAATCAGGGAGTAGCATCGCTTCCAATTCAGACAAAATTGTACATTTTGAAAGAGATGAAGGCCTCTGGAGCGATGGACAAAACTCTTAGTTCTCTCAAGAAATTGGAAGAAGAACTGGTAGCTGAGTTTGGACGTCTAGAAGCGAGCATTGGAATGGAGAACCCCATGCTGCGTTTGTTGTTGAGCGTTCTGGCCGTACCTTAGAGGGAATGTTGCCATTGTGGAGAGACTCAAAGCATGCGTTTGGGGTTGTTTTTATTCTGACGTCAGCTCTGTGTCAGTCTTTGACATTTTATATAGAGTTCTTTTAAAAAATTTGTTCAAATTGATAGATGGCCCTTGCCAATTGTGATCAGTCCTGCCGTATGCGAAGCACAGGGGTGTTGCCGGCAATCTCAAGCACGCAAGAGCTGGTGGTCTCGTTGTTTCACTGTCAGGCCTACTTTTCCCTTTCTGACACATTTGTCTCTACATGATGCAATTTAAATCTCGGAAACTGGGTCATCAAATATTCAGGAATCATTCTCTATGCATTTTTCCTCTGGCAATCTTATGATGTTACAATCAATTTGTGCTCTACCATACCGAGACAGTCGAGACTAGACAGTCTCAAGTCATATGAACAGCTTCTTTGTGGTTGAATGAGCCACGCTCATAAATCCTCGAAGCTGCTTTCCCTGAAACCCCACAATCATATACCATGAAATTTTGCGAAAATCTCAAAACGAATCCACAAGTAAGTAGACTCTACTTCCTTTTCCCAAGTCAAATCTTTCTTGCTAGCCGACACCAAGTCGAAAGAGAAAATCAGTTTAGCAACAATAAGTCTGATGGACTGCATTGCGACCTCTTTTCCCAAGCAGACCCGAGGGCCAAGTAGAAATGGCCGGTGGCACGATCTGACGTCGTGCTCAAAAACTGACCCCGGGCCATGATCAAACCAGCGCTCGGGACGAAACTCTTCTGGCTCAGCCCAATACTGTGGAGATCTCTGAATTGTGTACATATCAGCTGACACATTGATACCTGCAGGCACATATACGCCGTCAATCATAGCACCAGGCGATGTCCTGTTTGTTCCCTTGCCGTTGGCAGGAGGCAGGAGTCGAAGACTTTCCTGGATGCATCCATTGAGAAAACGGAGAGGCAAAAGTCGGTTTCCGGTGATTTCGTCTTCATGTGAGAAGCTACTTCTGAGTTCAGTTTTCAACATTTGCATTCGCATAGGGTCTCTGAGAAGGAAGTAGAATATCGCAGACAAGGTCGTCGCCGTGGTGTCGTATCCAACCATTCTATCAGGTGATCAGATCCAATTCGTACCAATTTGTAGGCTTCGAAGTCATATACTCACACAAGTAGGGAAGAATTGCTCTTCATCTCGGCATCTGTCAACAAAACACCATTGTCTTTAGAGTTCATGATTGCGGTAAGGAAATCCGCACGGTTGTCATGTCGATCCATACACCTAAAGTCATACTGTCAGGCAAATCGCTCGCAATATGTGGAGTCCACTTACTTCCTGAGCGCCGTAGAAGGCAAAATGTCCCTTGGCATCTGGAATACATGAGGAATCAGTGCAACTGCGAAGCGAACGAATACCCCAACACAAGGAACTCTTGTAAGATATTGAAGCGCCTCAAACAGCGGGGAAAGCTGGCAAAACATGATCTTTAAGGAATCGAAGCGTTCTTGTAACATTAGTAAGGCTCTCATACATGAGTTTCTTCGCACCTTTTTGGTTTTCAACTAGAGGTTCTCCAAAAGAGAGGTCCCCGATGATGTCCCAGATCAGCTTTGATAAGCACTCTGTAAGGTTCACAGGCTGCTTGGACGTGGTATCACGGAGACTTGAAATCAGCTCTTGCAAATGTCTCTGCTGTATGCCTTCCTGTTCGAAAAGTGCTTTAGACGTAAAAGCTGGTAGCAGAGCATTCCGTAATCTCTTGTGCGCGGTCTTATCCGTTGTGGTAAGCACGTTATGTGTGCCAGACCAAACGACACTGCCTAGCATGGACTCCAAGGTTCCGGACTTAGAAAAATGACCTTTAACTCCTGGACCTGGATCATGGATCGTGTTCTGTGCTTCAATGGTGGCAAAAGATATCTCGTTTGGTGATATTCTCACATATGGGCCTTGATATGTAATTTAGACACGAACGCGACGATGAAATGAATCATATGCAGCATACCATATTGTGAATGAAGCTTTTGGATATCCAGATTCAAGTGCTTACGGTATACAGCCCTCATCAACCAGAGCTATGTAATATAATCATCAGCTTGTTTTATTTATGATCGCCTGTCACACTTACAGGGGAGATGGCAGCAATGAATGGTCCAGGTACATGTGATGCCGGGTGGAAGTAGTAGTTGAAAATGCAAAGAACTAGAGTTGCAGCACCAAGCTTAAATATATTAGTCTTCAGAAATTGTGGTGGGGAATTCATCTCACAAATTTGACGGGTAGCCAAGCAGATTCAATGAGATCTGAAGCCAAATGATTTGACAGATACAGATCCATCATGTCGACGTCTATCCTTAAAGACTGATTTGCGATTGAAACGACCAATCTATTGGATTGTTGGACCGCGTCTATAAATGGGACCCCCAGTGACCTCAAGACTCAACGTACACCTTAGTAAGCGTGAGGAACGAGGATGTCCTTGTTTGTCGGAATCAAATGGTTGAGCTGAACACAACAATTCTCTCCCAAGAAAGATTCAAGAGGTATGTTGACAGACTTGACAAGCAATACAATAATTGGTAAATTTGACAAAATTAGGCACATCTCTTTCTGAGTGTTATGTTTCAACTGAAGATATTGTGCGCTGGAGAAAGACCATTGATGACGTACAAACATTACAAGGAATAGAGTCTTGCTTATCGACGTGAAACGTAATTTAGGATATGACAATAGTCATGGTATGTTATTTCGTATCGTGAGCGAATGCAAACCATGATCATGTCTGTCTTAGCATGGATCAGAAAATCGAGCATTCACAGTTCAACCACATGTCAATCAAGGCATACATGCACCTTCGATATGGCAGCCCTGTGCCTGTGTGTTGTCTCGTAGAGAGTATTATACGTAGGAAAGTCAAAAACAAGTTCCGGAGTCAATATATGATATGGTTTAGAATTAGCTTTGCTGACTCGAGTTTGCTTTCCTGTTGTCTGCGATCCCGTCCCGGGAATATCAACAACAAAATCGGTCATTCGCTTATCTGTGAATTCTTTCGTCTATAGGGTTTCTACCTTAAACTACTCAGTCTAAGCAGTAGGATTTGACCAAAGTTTGCTGAAACAAAACCCAACGCTGTGCAGAAAAACGGTGTATGTAAGTAACCCCTTGTAGAGGGTGCTGCATGCACCGGGAAACAATCCTTGCGAGCAGTTCCGCCATTTTTGCCCAGAATTTCTTCCACATCTCAGTCTCCGCAACTTTCCGGCACCCTCGTATCCGTGTAGGTACTCTTGTTCTCAGCTTGTGGCAATTAGCCCCTACGCAAAGCAACGTGAGAGTATATGCAAGCAAGTGTGCCCTTGGCAGCTACAGGGTCGTCATATCCGAACTCTAATTCAAAGCAAGGACGACACTGACGAGGTGCGTGAAAGAGAAACTTCCCTTCTGGACGAGGACGGATGACCGATATCTCCATTTGCACCAACTAGACTTGTCTTTGGGAGTTGACGTTTCCAAGACCCTATGCCTTTTCTACCTGCTAAAATCACGAACTGTCTGTTGTTGATATCGAAGATTGACCCAAACAGTTTTCTCTGCAAAATTGGATCACAGAATGTTTGGCTCTTACAAAGACAATCTTACTTCGCCCACAGCAGGCAGAAACTCGGACAGCTCAGAAGCTGAGCCATTTATTCTTCCAGGCTATATTGCACCAAAACAAAGAAAGGAGTGGCAATCCTATTTTACAGCCTTGCATAGGATCACTACTGTAGTCCTAGCATTTATTTGCATCGGTCTGCTCATCCACGAGCATGGCACAGATATGGGTTCATTTGAACGAGGGTTTAAAACCGAACTGAGTAATAGCATCGTTCCCTTACTTAAGCAGCACTGAATTGTTTTCAGGTCATATGTTCCCAGCGCTTGAGCTCGAAGTGAAAACGTTCCACTTCCTGATGAGCGGCGAGGAAGATACGCACCGGGAATTCGTTGGGACGCGGACACCCGAGATTGACCAAGCATGGAACAGACTTCTACATTGTAATTCAACTAGCTTGATTGAACTCACGAAGAATGAGAAAAGAATTTGACACAGAGTTAGCTGCGAATTTGGATTTCACTGACGATGAGGCGGGCGCGGAGCTGAGAAATACGACTTGGAAGTGGGAAGATACAGGATACTGGTTCTCTGGGTGAGCCTCCCTATCTCACTCATCTCCCGTCTCACTTACTAAATCCATACAGGGTCTCAATGTGGCATCAGTTGCATTGTCTTAACTTCTTGCGTGAAGCTGTGCACTGGGACACGTATGATGGGCCTCCTGATCCACCGATTCAATATCATCTTGGTATGTCAAGTCAACTCTCGGCAAGGAAGCTGATCATCTCTGGCTTCCGAAGTTTACTAATGACATATTAGATCATTGTGTGAACTATCTCCGTCAAGTCGTGATGTGTTATGCGGATTTAACACCCATGAGATACGGCTGGGACGAAGGAGCAGGCAAGCTCGTGCTTCAGGATGAACCACACACTTGTCGCAACTATGAAAAGATTGATGAATTAGCAAGACCGTTGGCTAGCTGTCACACTCTTGATTTCTCAGGCGGGCCGGACCAGACAACATCCCCTCGGGGAACATGCGTCCGGGGGCCTTATTTCAACGATGGCTAAAGTGGAGAACCGAGAAGAATTCGCGACCAAATACTGATGAAGAGACAATTTTGGGGTTGTGGACTCAAGTTTAGATCTTAGGTAGCAACATAGCGTCCATAGCTTTGAATTAAATACTTCCAACGTTTTGTGAGTCTTCAAACCAGAACACACTGTGGGAAATACAAAGCGAAGAAGTAGTCTTTCCTTGATTTGCAGCATATCAAAATAGAATCCATAAACTAGACATACACCCCCCTCAATGATACATCTACTATGCTAAACATCTATAATCATCGTCAACTGTGAGCCTCATAAGTATGCCAGAGTAGCTCCACGTACAAGGGGAATAGCCAACAGGAAATCGGTTCCATACTAACGGGTGGCTATGGGAAGTCTCATCCCATGGTCTCAAGTACATAGTTTCTCGGCTCAAGAGAATATTTTCAAACCAAATCAGATTTTATTGTCATAAAGGGCTAACTGAATGAGCGAAGTTGTAAAGTAACTACTGCCAGGTGAGAATGCCCAAACCCGAGACAACCAGGAAACCAAAACCATATCTTACTGCCACATCTTTCGCTCAGAAACAAGCCGTCATTTGGCGGGAGCTCTCTCTTTAACTTAAGCCTCACCGAATGTCTCGTTCGCCTTTTCAAGAGTCTCAACGACAACCTCTGGTGAAGGAGCAAACGGCCCATTCGCCGGCTTCACAATATCAAACTCAGTAATATTCGACAGGGACAGCATCCTATACTGCTCCATGACAGACTCAAAATCCCAACACTGATTCCAAATATTCGTATCAGGAACTGGAACGTCAAACTCCTCCATCCATCGGTACATATACACAGACGGATTTGGTCTACACATCAGATTCTCCAGAAGGACTTGAATGCAGTGGGAGGTATGGAGCTGGTACAAAGCGTCGGGATCACCGTCTGGGAAGTAGTAGTCCTTGTGGATGGCTTTGCGGAGACTGTTGAGGCAGTGGATGTTATGGAATACGGCAGCCTTAGCCACATAGGCATCATCACCGTACTCGGCTGGTAGCTTGGCTATGACTGTATGGTCTTTCCACATCTTCTCGATGTCTTTTAGTGTGACTGGCCAGAGATCTTCGATGACCATTTCGTCCCAGGCTTCGTCGACCTCTGGGCTCGGTGGGGCTCGCCAGATGGTTGGACCGCCATCGCCGTATTGAGCGAAGCTCATTTTTCTTGTCATTGGGAACTCCATGGCGTCCAAGAGAGGAGCTTCGATGACACTTAGCTTTTGCTCAAAAGTGAAGAATTATGAAACTTACAATAAGCAGAGATCTTCCTCAGGTCTGCGTTCATATGTGTTTTCTCATCACGCTGGTAAGCGTGCAATAGTGCGGTTCCAGAGAAAGCGAAGAGAAGAACATTTGCAGTTATGAGAATCCATGTGGCAAAAGAAATGCCCTTCGACTTGAATTGATCCGGATTCCATAATAGTGTTTCTTCGGTCATGCCGTTCGATTCGGTATCACTGTTCACACATGCTTCGTACTTGTGTTTCTGGAGCGCTGGAGTTTTCGAAAAGAATCCCTTGTTGGAGAGAAGAGGTGACATGATGGCTTAGTCGCTTTAGTTGAAGCTTGAAGGAGTACGATATTCGGTGAAAAATTGTGATGCTCAAAATGATATCGCTGGGGAACTGGCGAGGTCAACTCAAGCGAATCTCTTCGGGTAGAGAGTGTTTGTTTGTGTCTGTGCCATCATTGTATCATGTGCCATCCGAAGACACCTGGGAGCACCAATGTGGCTGACGTAGCTTGGAAAGTCAGAAGTGGCGGTGAATCAATCTGCAAGTAGAGTTACAATATTTCCCTTTTCTCATGTTGGTTGAAAAAGGTAATTTACGTTGCCTTGAGCGAGACTTCGCACAGAGTTTCGTTGGTAGCGAGAATCGTCGGAATTTCCTACTGTTTCCTTTCGCCAGGAAGCGGAAGTCGATACTTTTACAGGGACCTGATTTATCTGCACCAAGGCGGATCCCCCAGGAATTTAGCTAAATTTCGCCATATGCAGGTATCCTGGTGTTACTTTGAGTATAAGCAGAAGCCAGGAAGACTGCCCGTCATCCATGAAACAGTTGCATTTCGATCTGCCTGATCTCGATCGACAATATATTATATGTGAAACTCATTCTCTTGAGAAATAAAGTTGAGGGAAAACCTGGATAACATACAAATTCTGACTCATGCAGATGTTTAACTCTGTTGCTGCTTTATCGACCGCAAGGACTCGGTAGTTGTGAGCTGTGAGTGAGGTTTCGATGCCGTCTAGACAAGATGGGGAAACTTGCCATATGAGGAGACGGCACATCTCAACGCAGTGTCTCGAGAGTTACAAGCCACGTTGGTTCACTCCTCACTTCTCACTTCGACCAATTTGCCATACCAGTAGTTAGTCCAGAGTTTCAACATCAGTGATTCCAGAGCCTTCGCAGCCACCTGTTCATCAAGCAAAATGATTCCAATTCTAGCAATGCTTCCATGGTGGGCATGGCCAACTTCTCTGATATGCTTGGTATGAATCTGTTCAATGAAGTCCATTCGAGAGCCAAGCATACGAAAGAACTATACTCATGCGTGACTAGTCGATCACATATGTACTATCTGTTGTCATCTACAGACTATACTTGCATCCACTTTCCAAATTTCCAGGCCCCAAATCAGCAGCTATCTCAGACTTCTGGCTGTGCTCAAGATGGTATGTATCGCCCTGGAATGGATGTCAATTCCGTTGGATTGAAACCCGGGGGTATTGTGCAAGCCGAACCAAATTAATGGTAGCATAGGATAAGTGGTTTTTGGCCACAGGAAATCGAACAAGCACACGCCAAATATGGTACGTGAATGAATGACCATGGGTCTCGGAGTACTAAGAAATCATGACAGGCAACGTCATACGCATTGCTCCAAATGATCTGAGCTTCTCTGGAGTCAGATCACTCAGAGGTAAGAATTAAATCTCAAAGTCTTCCAGTACCCAGTCTGATTCTTGTTTGTGAAGACATATATTCCAACTTCGATATCAACTCAAACCATCAATTCATCAAATACGCGACTTTCTATCGCCAAAGTGACATAGGGCCATCGATCGGCATGGAATGCGACCCCATCAAACACTATGAAGACCGCAAGGTTCTCTCCACTGGATTCAGCGCTCCAGCACTGAAATCTCAAATGCCGCTGGTCATCAAGTACGTCGACCAGCTTATTACCCAAGTTCGAAGGCACGGATCGTCTCCTGAAGGGATGATCGTACCAAAGTGGTTCCTCTGGACTACCTTTGATATCATCATGGAGCTCGCGTTCGGACAGTCGCTGAGAGTCGTTGAACAAGGTATGTGTTGCCAATATATTTCTCTGCGCAGACAAGCAATCTGATGATTCTAGGCAACAGTCACGTCTGGGTAGACGTCCTGTCGAACTCAGGATTCCAAGTCGCCTTGGGATACACCATGAGGCGACAGCACCCTTCGGTTGTCTGGAGCCTCAAAAAGCTGCTCGTCAACGAGAAGAGTAGACGGTCGAGAGAGCAATACATCGCAATGGCCAGAGCGATGGCCACCAAGCGACTGAACGACAAGACTTTGGGCCGAGTGGATCTCTTCGCGCATTTGCTAGGCGAGAAAGGTCACAACACCACTGTTGACTTTCTGGCTGCTCAGGGCTCGACTCTTGTAGCTGCTGGCTCCGAGACTGCCGCTACGTTCCTGTCTGCTACGAGTTATTACCTGCTCTCGAACAGCGAGAAGCTAAATATCATGACGACAGAGGTTCGTCAGGCGTACAGTAGTGATGATGAGATTGATGGAGAGAATGTGAAAAAGCTCGTGTACATGAATGCAGTCATAGAAGAAGGACTGAGGATCTTTCCACCGGCTCCGTTTGGGCTTCCTAGGGTGTGCCCAGGAGCTGAGATTGATGGTCACTGGGTGCCCAAAGGGGTGAGTTCGCTAATTTCCCCCATGTTTGTAAAGTCCTGGCTGACATCTTCTCGTAGACAGTCATCTCAACAGCAGCACATGCTACAGCAAAAGATCCGACCTACTTTTACTTGCCAGATGAGTTTCACCCTGAACGGTGGCTAAACTCCGATCATCCATTGTATGATGCTCGATTTGCTCGAGATGTCCATGAAGCATCTAAGCCATTCTCACTTGGACCCAGGTGGTGTATCGGCTCACATCTTGCGTATCAAGAGATCCGGTAAGTCTTTTGCTCTCCACCTATCTTCCCTGACTATCAGAGCTTGTGAACCGGTTTAGAGAGCTGGACTGATGTCTTTCTTGAAGCTTGATATTGGCCAAACTGGCGTGGAACTTTGACTGGAAGTTCGGATCTGCGAATGATATAGATTTCAAACGAGATGCACGATTGCTTGGCTTGTGGAGACCGCCACCTCTCCGGGTCTGCTACACTCCTGTGGTGCGGGAGAACTGAGGGAATTGTCGTCAGCAGTGCAACAAACTTGCATCGAATGTCTTTCTTACTTGTACTGCGTACTGTGCATGAGCTGAAATCCTTAACAGTAGAGGTCTTCTGTCCGGAACACAGTACTTCATTCTCATTCTTGTAGCTCAACATGAACATGTAAAGACAGTGCCAAACGGCAATGGATATGAATTATTCTCGCGAACAAGAGTAACTCGTTTTCCAACTGTGATCATCTGCTCACTTTATGTCCCCGTCATAAGACTCGTGGATGCGTTGCAAATAGTCTGTTATCCGAGAGAAGCGGAGACAAGAAAGTGCCTGTTTGAGTGATGTATGCTTGAAGATGAGAAATGTGAAGTGTTAGACGTAGAACCAAAATATTTCTAAGTCAGCTCCTCTCCACATCTGCTAGATTTTCTCTGCTCCCTCTCTGTACAATGCGTCTCAGCATACCCATCCTCCTATCGAAGGCTTCCAGCAAGATCTGCATTTCTTCATCACCCACTGCACTCGCAGTCCCGCTCTGATTTTCACCACCGCCCTCCCGCTCTCTATCCTTCTCTTTCCCTTTGCCTTTACTCCCACCACTAGGCGCTCCCAGGCCAATCCCTCCTCCGCCGCCGCTGTTACTGGGAGGTTCACCAAAATCCAAGCCCACACCCTCAATCTTCAGCATCAAGCCACCAACGAGCTCCCCCCTCCCACCTTCATTCTCCGCTCCATCCTTATCCCAGGTTGGCGCCTTCCCAATCTCCGCATTCAGAACCTGCCACGAAGGAGACAGACTGCTAACACCAGTGATAACATCCCCAGATTCATTAACATCAACGATGATAACCCTTTCTTCCCGTCCAGTATTCCTGTCTTTCAGCCTGCCTTTCGCAACTTGATCCTTCTTCTTCTGTTTGGCCTTAGATCGCTCACTTTGTATCCTAGTCCCGTCACGCCGGAATGTGGCACTGCTGCTACTGCTCGTGGCGTCTTCGCCATCGTCCTGCTCGTCTTCTTCCTCATCTGCGAGATCTTGATCCGCCCCTTGGTCCATGCAGCGAAGTAAGGCTCCTGTCAGGACTTCGCTAACATCGTCATCTGCAAATAGGTAGTGCACTTGTGAAGGATGATATGTGTTCTGCTCTCCGCCACTAAGATCGTTGACTAGTGTGAAGAAGGGTGTGAACGGTGGACGTTCTCGCTCTCTATCTTTATCCTGTTCTTGTCCTGCTTCTTGGGATTGTGAATTCGAGGTATGAGATTGGTCTTGTAGCGCGGTATTTTGGCTCGTGGACTGTGTGAGAAAGGGTGAGAAGGGGATATTGGAAGAGGAGGGATGTTGTGTTGTTATTAAAGGTCGGGGTTTCGTGGAGGGAACGGGGGGTGGTGGCATAGCTTTCGAGTCTACGTCCACATTTGCGGATGTAGAGGATTTACGGCCAGCTGAAGGGGATTTGTTTTCTTTTTCGCTAGCTGCTTTCGCATCTGGGTTTGTAGATGATGAGGTAGCCGGCGGGTCTTTGCCTGGTGGTGGAGACATTGGTATTGATGCGGACATTGTGTGTTGTATTATCGTGGCCCGTTGGCAGAGTATAAGAGCTTGTATTCAAAGTAAAGATGTAATTCTATGTAATTTTTGATGGGCAGGTCAACAGGTATGAGTGGTTGAAGATTGGATGGAGGTGAAGTCCAGTTGATGGAGTGAGTGTTGAGGACCTGACGGCAAGGCTGGCCTGGACCTTTTCGAGGTTGGCTCACGGCCCGGCTCTCGATAAGAGATGTCTGGGGTCTTATCTTAGCGCTTCATGCTTAGTCACCCCTTGCGACCGCCTAGTGTGTGATTGAGAACATTCTCAGACATCCATATGAACGAAGATTAATCTCGACTATTCGTAGTATTCATTCTTATGACCTACTGCCCGAAGACCTTAGATGCCATACAGCTCTTAAGAAAAGGCGGGGCTGTTTGGTAGCCAGTAGCTAGCTACCTCACAAGCTCAGTGAAGGTATAAACCTTGACATATGAGGATCAAGTTCAAGAAGATTTGATGTTCCCTGTTTGTTTTCTTGTCTTCGCTGGATGGGTTGGTTAAGTTTCTGGAGAATCCCAGTTGGTTCTACTCACTGGATCCAATATATATACTTAAACCAGTGATGCTGAAGGCACTGTCAAAGGGGAGAGAGAGCACTATTCAAACAAGAAACGAACATCGGATTAAACGTGCCTATCTAATATCTAACAATTTCTCTCATGCTTTCTCTTTCTCCTTGCGTCTGTGATTCCCAGCTTTCCACTATTCTTCTCATCATCTCAGAAACGAATCACCAATCACTAGCTAAGCATGCACCTATCATTGCCCCTCCTCGTTCCTCCACTTCTCTCTCAAAATCTCAAAGCTCCCAAGACTCCATCATAGGCTTCTCTCTTCTCATTCGGAAAAACACAAAAGCAAAGAAAGCGAGCGGCTCGATGGTATATACTCATACAGGAATTTCTGATTCCGAAAACAAAGGAAAAATCCTGGACTTGTCCTCAGAAGGCGGCCTGAACAGCAGCAGGCCACTTGATCCGAAAAGAGGACCAAGACCAGGATTCAAACGACAGCAGCAATGAACGCCATGCAAATGCTCGCAGATGAGCCAATTTCATCCTTCCATCGGATGTGATGTGATGATCTTCGAGATACAGGAAAGCGATTTTTCGGACAACGCACTTGAAACGAGACGAGACGAGACGAGACGAGACGGAAAAGCAAGTATTTATATGTATTCATGTGCCCAGCACCCACTTCGGAACTCGTCACTGGTTATATATTAAGCGATCATGCAGCGAATCGGCGGAATTTCTTCAGGTTTGTGACGACGTCGTCGGAAGGAGTGAAAGGCTTTCCTGCTACAACTGCACCATTTGCCCAGGGCTGGCCTGAGATGACTCGGTGTACACTGGTGAGTTTCTCGAAGGGGATGCTGTCGGAAAGGGTGAATCGCTTTGTGGTTGTGTTGTTGTTGGTAGTGGTACCGGGGTTTTGGATGACGAACTTGTAGATGAGGATCACGACGACGATGATTATGATGATAAGGACTATTTAATTAGGTCAGCAATGTTTCGAAACGGGGAATTTCAGAATGTAGTGAAGCAAGAGGGTACATACCACAGATACCCAAGCACCACCACTTCCACTTCCTTGTGTTCCTGGCACTTTGAATGGCAGTTCCGATTTGCTCGTTTCCTTTGTCCATGTTATCAACAACCTCCTCTCCTTTCATCTCGATGTTGACGACTGCTGCCTCTTGTTGAACGACCAAGTTGTCCATATCCTGGAACATCTCCGCGAGTTCAATCATTTGGCTCTCGATCTTCTTGATGGCAGCATTTCGGTCCTGAACGGCAGAAAGAACAGCTCTGGATTGACCTCTGCGATCGCTCTGCATGAGTGCTTGTGAGAACATCTGTTGGTTTGGATCCTCAACAGCTTGTCGAACTTCTTGCTCAGTGGCATCTGGTCGGACGATTCTGTATTGGCGTGCTGCTTGGTCTTTCACTTTTCTGTTGAACTCAGCGTCCATCTGAAGGTAATCTTCTCTCGTCCTCTTGAGATCGCGATCGACTTTCCCAACCTGGGGAGCGTTTCTAGGAGATCCTGATTCCGGCTTTTGCTTAATGTCCTTTACTTTGCCTGTCATGTTACGAAACATGGCCATAATCTCAGACGTTGCATAGTCCAGCTCCTTGCTCGAATTCGCACCTGGCTCGTCCAAAGCTCGTTGCTGTGGGCCGCGAAGGGCGTTGATGGCAGACTTGACTTCTTGGATGCCTCTATCAATGTCGCGGCAGGAGTTGAGAATTGCATTAGGGTCTGCTTGTCGCCCAAACTGAGAGCCATTCTGTGCGAGAGGCTCCATTTCAACATTTTGGCCTATTCAGCTGGCAATTAGTCGCATGCTCACCCTTTCATAATCTGTAGAGAGCCGTCGACTAACCAGCATATTCGTCTCTTCCCATTGCTGGTGCAGCGTACTGTTGGCTTCCATATTGTGGCGATGGTGCAGCACCATATGCAGGTTGTTGGTATTGTGGTGATTGACCCCCTCTCTGGTCATATGGGTTCGCACCGCCTCGTCCGTATCTATTTCACTCAATGTTAGTACCATCGTTCGAGACAATGTTGTGTTTTACGTATGGCACGACTCGTCGGAATCGTCGTGCGACCGTGTCGGAAGCGCTCGAGGTTGGAAGAAGGACTGACCCGTTCTGTGACATGATTATTAGTATGAAGTTTCTACCAGAGGAACTTGAATTGTGTCGGGAGTATCTTCGAATTTGCTTTTGCGCGAATGAAGACTGTCGGTCATGGAAAGGAAGAGAGAAGCAGGTGAAGCACGGCCGATGCAAAACACGAGGAGAAGAGGTTGAAACATACATTCATCCTGACAAGGTTGGCCCCCTTAACGGTCTTGTTTTATGATCCGCGGCAGAAGCAATCTTATTGCCCTGTTCTTGCAAGTGCGGAATCGATGTCGGCGACGGATAGATGAATGGTTGCTTGCGGATTGCAGAAAGTATATCAGAATTGCGAGTATTCTATGGGAAACTATGGTTGTTGAAGGGGGAGGAGTGGTATTTGTCTGGTCAGGAGAAACTGGTGTTCCAGCAGTGTCCCTGTCTTGAAAAGGACCGGACCAGACAGTTTGTGTCTGGGCTAAGGGGCTCGGCGCCAGGAACGCCCGATGCAACTCGGCTTAGCCACAGATTGAGTGCAATCCAGTAGATCGGCAGCAATTTGTGTGGCAGAGAGTCAGCGCCTTGAACGTCGTGTGGTGGCGGCAGACGTGAAGAGAGAGGCAAATAAATGTATTTTTGGATCTGACCGAGCTCCCCACACCACTGTTTACTTCAGCAAAAGCTCGTACAGCACGCAAAGTCTCGATACGAAAGCTAAGTGATGCAGTTCGCTACGTTGCATTTGAAATCTTGCGGAAAGAGCCTCAAGGAGGACTGAGAGTGTCGATATTTTGACTGATACATGGCGTTTGCTGTTCAACCATTTCTGCAGTCCCCGGTCCTTGATGTCTGTCACCTTTATATGTCCAAACTTCTCACACGTTTTTACATGTCCTTTCACATGGCACCGATATGCCGACAACAGTTACGTTATACGATCAAGAGCCGCTCGGTTGGAGAGAGTGACAGACTTCAGCCCGCCAGGCAACGCAATTGCCATCCATTCGTGTGCGTTTGGAGGCGCAGTTCAACCTCAGGCGGGAAAAGCTGTTGCCGGGAATTACTATCGATTGCAAAGAGGGGCATTGCAAAGCATGCTTCGTGGAAGCCTGACTCAATCTTTGTTCATGTGTGGGATGCTCATTGGGAGGTCCAGGCATGATCCGAAGAGAGATGGATGATTGAAATTGTGACTAATCATGTGATACTTCACCTGATCTTGGTGCCTCCCGCTGCCCTTTCGCATCGAATTGCAGATGCAAGGTCATACAGGATAAACCTTCAAGCTCTGCACCAGTACATCTCATCAAAGTCCCAATAGTTCTTATGCTTGAATCTCATCCCGGCTCAGTCTGTCTAGTCCACTACCTTGTGCATCACAACGGAAGTCAACAAAGTCATGTGACAATCTCAACCCAGGCCCAAATGGAAGCTACTTTACTTTTCTCCTCTGGGGTGTATGCCACAGAGTTGAAGGACTGATACTGAGAATCAATGAAGACAATTAGTCTCAAACATGTTTCCACATCCTCACTTATATCTAGGTAGCGTCTATGATTCGGCACTTGGATCTACGACTTTACTAGCTCAAGTTGCTGATCCGTTCTCGCCTTCTCGGCCTTTAGTTTCCTACCCTTTACAACCAGAAGCCTCGTGATAGCTACATCACCTGCTGCACTTTTCATTGCTTCTTCAAATATCTCCCCTGCAGCATCAGACACTGCGCCTCTGTCCAACAGCAGCTCCACGATATCTTTTTCCCGATGGCGGATAGCAGCATCTAGCGCAGTCTCAGTCCCAGACCATCCGCTCTTCATTTTGACATCAGCTCCGTGGTCAAGCAGTAACTCCACGATATTGGCGTGTCCCTTGGTCACTGCGAGATACAGCGCAGTTGTGCCACGGTCTCCTTTCACCTCATTTGGGTTTGCTCCTCTCCGTAACAGTTCCTTGACGATAGGCACTCTTCTCCAAGTGATTGCCGCTCGCAAGGCACTACCATACTCCCCTCCTTGAACTGTTATACTCGCACCTTTGTCTAACAAATACCGGATGCATCTCTCACTGCATAGTGGAACAGCAGCCTGGAGGACGTGGCCATATACCCCGCCCTCTTCATGAATATTTGCGCCAAGTTTCAAGAACAGCCTCACAAGCTCTTCATTCCCGCTGAATGCTGCCGCCTGAAGAACGTTCCCGTATCTCCCTCTTAGGTCGATCTTACCTCCCTTTTCCAAGATCATTCTGACTTTCTCCTGATTTGGCGGTGCTGCATGCAGTGCAGTTCCGAAGTCCCCTCCTTGAATATTAGTATCAGCTCCGTTATTCAGCAATAGTTGCACATTATCTTCGCTCCCCATGGCAGCCGCACCTTGCAAAGCAGTCCAATATTTGCCGCCTTTGGCATTTATGTTTGCACCTTCTGAGAGGAGGAGCTGGACTACGCTCTGGTTGTGCGTGGTCGCTGCTGCCTGCAAAGCATTACCGAATTCGCCACACTGGTCATTGACATCGGCTCCTTCATCCAACAATAACTTGACAATACGTTCGCAATTGTCACCTGAACCCGATGCTTGTGTTGCTGCCTGCAGTGCAGATCCGTAGGTGCCGGCGTGGATATCGATTTCTGCACCATTGTCGATCAAAAGCCTCGCAACTTCTTCATGGCCCCAATAAACCGCCTCATGAAGAGCAGTTCCAATACGACTTCCTTGAGCGTTGATTTCTGCTCCATTGCTGAGTAGGAAGGCTACTAGCCGCAGATTTCCTTTCGCCGCCGCTGCATGCAGGGCTGTCCCGGTTGAGCCAGTCGACGTATTGATGTCCGCTCCTTCTTCCAAAAGGAATCTGACGACCTGCTCATGTCCATTTGCAGCGGCTACCTCTAACGGGGTGCTCAATCTAATGCTCTTCGCCTCAATATTTGCATGCAAGTCGACTAGCATCCACACCATTTGCTCGTGGCCTTCTCGGGCAGCATAGTGAAGCGGCGTATCGCCGGTCTCATCTGTCAATGTGGCTAGGCTGGCATCACTTTTCAGGAGCAGATAAACAACTGTTTGGAGATTGAAGCTCGCTGCAAAAAATAACAAGTCAGCATCTCGATACGGTCTCTTTCTCCTCCAATCTTTCTGGCCAATGGTGTGGTAGAGGTGTTTCCAGGTGTCGAATATAATTGGATGTGACTCGAATCTTTCAACGATGTATTCTTGCTTTTGTCCATGTCTTTCTGCCTTTTCCGAGTGTAAAATCCAATATTCGGTAGCATATTGAAGAAATGTAAACTCCTTTTCAATGCCTTCGGTGGCTTCTGCCGCCCTTTCAATGACATCTTCAAACCCCAGATACGCAAGACATGATCTGGACAGGTTGTCTTCACAGACACCAATGATCTGTACATCGGAAAGATCATTGCTTGCTGGTGTCAAAAGGTTTCTCAACCCTTTGCTGCGCATAAACTCTTTAACTGTTTGATGGAAGAGTTGAACAGTATTACCCCTCACCTCAGCCAATCCTCCGGACAGACTCTTTGCTAATCTTATCATCCTGTCATCCGAGTCCACAAAATCCGGAGTGTTCTCAAGTGCCTTTTGAGAAGATACTAGACTCTTCTCATTACAAGCCAAAGCAACACGCAATTCTGCAATGGTCAGTGGCCGCTCGGCTAAGCATAGCCATTGCATTAACTGGGACGCTTTCGCCCTGAGAGGCTCTGGGATATCGTTTGATAAAATCTGTTCGTACTGCGCAAAGAGTTCGTTTGATTCATCCTCCAGCAGTCTAGGCGCACTCGCCAATGAACACATGCCATCATTGAGACTTTTCACAATCTTCGGCACCCGCAGACTTGCCCAAAGAAAAACTCCCTCGGCTTTCTTGACGATTGCTCTTTCTAGGGCTAGCCTCTCACCTTCATCTTCCAAATGCCAACCCTCAATGGCCACTTTCAACTGGTAAGCAACATATCTGGCCAGACCCCTCTCATTCCACTCTTCGACATTGATCACCAGTCCTTGGTTCACAGCAACGGTAGGATAGTGTCGACATGAGATGCATATTTTGGTCGTGCCTCCCGCAGCTACAATGCTGTCGTTCAACTCATGGAAGAAGCCTACCAGCTCGCCCGCTACCAGCGGGTCGCCTTGATCAGCAACCTCATCCAACGCATCAACAAAAATGACCATCTCCTCCCCTCTCAAAGGTCTCAAGCACAAGACTGCGGATAGCAGTTGCCGCAGCTCGGCCACTTGCCATTCCCAATTCCGTCCGTATTCGCCAAACTCTTTTACCTTCTCGTCATACGCGCTGAATATCACACTGCGAGCGGCCGGTGACCATTTGTAGAGCTGATGTAGCAAGGATCGCAGCATACCCAGCTGGGACTTCTGAAGAAATGTTCCATTGCCGTGAAGGAAGAAAGAGAGACGGATATCTCGAGGATAGCAAGCACCAATGTGGTTGTAGAGGAAGGCCATTAAAGTTGACTTTCCGGTTCCGGGATGGCCTTTGATCCAAAGGAGTCTCGTAGTAACGGCGGAATTGCCGGATGTCGGAGATTTAGACCAGGCTTGGAACGAGGGGTGTGAAAGAAGCCAGGTACAGGTCAAGGGCTGCGCAGCTGATGTCGCATGCAGGCGATCGTGCATTGATGGGAAAGCGAGGGAATGTAGGCAAGCTTCTCAAGTCAGTCTTTTCTGTTCTACAATCGTATTAAAAGTAAGAAACTCTTACGGATATCTTCAAGTTGGATCTCGTTTTCAAGTTCTGTCACCAAAATTTGTCAGATGCGGACCAGTTGGGCAAGGAAGGCGACAAAGAATGGCATTTTATGCTGTAAAACTGACTTGTGGTAGCTTCCTCTACAACCTCCCGTAACTTGCTGGACACCTTCTGGTATCCTTGGCTCTTTTCACTTTCGAAACGGCAAACAGTTCGGTGGTCGCACCCTGGCATAAATACGACGTTTTCCGTATCAACCAGCATGGTTCCACGAATTTCATCCACTATCTACAATTTTCAAGTCAGTCTTGTCGCTCGACAACATGACTTGCGTAAGCTTTGCTCTCAGATGCAATGGCGTTTCGCACCTAAGGGTTCTACGTACCAATTCACGTAATGGCGGAGTGCTGGTCTGCTCAATGAACGAAAATATTTTCAAACATTTCGCATGATGTCGGAACTCCTTGGAGATTGAATACAAGTCTTTTGAGTTCCTCCCAAGCGCTGATATTAGCTCGTGTCGTGTCCTTCCCATCCAGCGAGATGCGAGGGGAATAGTTGCAACTTGTGCTATGACAGCTAGCAAGTCGGCCGGGTTGGATCCCCCGTGCGGCGTGGAGAGGAAGAGGATGGAGGGTACAGCGAGAAGAATGTGTTTGTATCGACGTTCGATTTGACAGACGTTGAGAGCCTAGGATAGGAACTTGGTAAGTGATATGTTTCACAGAAGAAGTTGAAATTTTTAGAAAATGGATGCGTGACTGACTTTCTTCACAACGATTCCACCCATGCTATGACAGATAAAAATGAGTGGGCGTCGTTGCTCCTGGTCTTCCTGTCAGTATTACGTCATAAACGCGGCAGAATATGCCGTTGTTTATAGATCTTGGGTGTGACTTACCTCTTTGCTCAACCTCGTTCCATGAATCTCTTCGAGCAAATCTCTGGCGAAACTTTCAAAGTCCCCGGTTTCGAGTGAGAACACCACATTCGCTCTATACCCAAAGCTGTATATCCTCGCTCCTGGAAACTTTTTCGGCAATGAATCCTGTAGCCAGAAATATGAGGATTTTTTGTCCGTCCATGTTGAGTATGCGTCTCCTGTTATTCCGTGGATGGCGATTATGTCAACGGGATATTGACGCTCGGATGGCGGAGTAATGGTGGGATTGGGGATGTGGAGGGGTAGGAGACCATATTTATTTTCTCTCTCTGGTTTCGTACTCTTGAGTATCACAGCTGTGGTAATCACTTGTCGTTCTGGTGGAATTATTTGTTTGGGGAGAGGTGGGGAAGAACTGGAAGTTGAGGTTGTTTGAGGGTTTCTCCGCCAAAATCTGGAGAGCGATATCTTGAGGCAAAAACGATCAGTACGAGACCTTGATCGGTCTTAAAACTGATTTATTAATGAAAGATACTTACAATTTTCATACTTATACAACAACTCAATACAACAATCAAGTTTGATATCAGGAATTGGCGACAATCAAATCAAAGGTATACACGACTCAAACGAGACCGAGGCAAGAATGTCAACAAAATACAAACAGAAAATGCGCAGAGATCAAAAATAAAAATAATAAAAATAATTGACGGAAAAGAGACAAACAGATAATTATTTCACCACCAAAAGAAGGCAGCGTCCAATTCGCCCCCAATCAGCCTACGACACGTGCAGAAAACTCAGCCCATTGGTGTGGGAGGCGCGCGCAACGGCCTGCAGGGTGTGGAGCGTGGCTTGGTGCTGCATCAGGGGGGTTTCGACAGCGTTGAAAAACCCGATGGTTTGGAACGCATGATTGGCAAGGCTGCTTTGCTCGATGAGAGGAGACAGGGCAGAAAAGTTGTGTGGTATGGGACTGGAGAAGGCATGGGCGAGAGGGCGGGATGATACGATACTGTGCAACTGCGGCTGGCGGAAGTCCGGAGATCTTGCCGGGCTTCGCCTTCGGCATTTCGAGATACTACAAGTAGGATAACATCAAAATAAGGAAACTGGTCAAAAGCTCTGATGTCAATATAGGCGTTTCTTGTCGTTCAACAATGACATCCGATGAAGAGTTGCGAGATGAGGAAGATGAATGGAAGAGCCTAAGCCATTTTTAGTTTCCCGCGGTCCGTACCGATGTGTCTGAAATCTAGTTTAGTCTGGACACCCTGACTGCTGATACGATGGGCGTTGGCTGGGCGGCATGTATTAGTGTTTCAGAGCTCATGTATGATAGAGGCACGGCTCGCTGTGAGCATCTCTGGAGTTTTACCCCGCCATCTGCCGATTCTCTCTTCCAAACAGAATTCTAAGATAGTTCTTAGATTCAGGCTTAAGGGTGACCATGGATTATCAGAGCAAGATTAAAATGATGCACGACATCGGACGACAAGTTTCCGTCATATTTCTGCGAGATGAATCAAAGCGAGCTTGGAAACTGCTCAGCGTTTGATTCATCCAGTTTGCAGTCGTCCTCGCTTCGTTTGGAAAGGCTACACCATGTACTTCACGTTCACATTATCAGTCTGCCTACACTAACGGCGCATTTATTGGGACTGGTAGAGAGAAATTTTCATAGAATGATTTGAATTCTGAAAAGAAAAGTTTAGATAATAAAGGTAACTGAAGAAAAGTCCAGGCACAGTGGCCTCAAACTTCCACTATTATTTAATCTCATGGATGTACGGATGTAATGCTGATTAGTTAAGAGAACTACTGACCGATCAATTTTTGGTACCACACTTGGTGCACTTCTTACCTTTTTTGACAAGAGTTTGGCACTTCTTACACTTTAGTTTGTATGTTAAGCCGAGGACTGGTTGGTCAGTCTCTGAGGCGACAGCTTCATTGACAAGAGGATCATGTGGATCTTGTGTGGGCTGCATAGTGTCATGTCTGTTCGTCATGGTGTAAGTTATGTGGTATCAGTGGATGATAAGTCTTGCTTGAGATCAATGTTCCTGGACAGTTGTGTTTGTGGACAGTTGGTTTTGGGAGAATGACAACGTGCTTTTATGCTTACGAGGTCAAGCTATGGTGTATAGGCTAGATTACTGTACGCATTTGAACAGGATATGGAAACAGCTTGACACTCGCTGAGCAATGTGACGATGACATCTCCAGGCATGGAATTGCTGTACTGAAGGCTGCCATGACTGTAGAGCAAACCTATCTTTGAAAGCTGTTCTTTCATCTAGATTATGTGCTCTAAGGACTAGGGCCCACTTCATTGATATCATAATATGCTTTAATTACATTTGCTTTGGTGCGACTGTTGAACAATATCTCACATTTTTCATGTACATCTCTTAGGTATTACGATTTGAGTTCTCATTCGTCGGATTCGTGCATAAGCCTTTCATAGACAAATAATTTGCTTGTCGAAGTAAACGTTTGTTCAAACAACTAAGAGAAACAAACTGTGCCCTTTGTCTCTTCATATTGTTCCAGTTCTTGCACCAAGCCTCCAAGAGACGAGCTACTTTCATTGAATTGGACAAAGGAACACTAAATCCAAAGTGTATAACATTCTTTGGGAAGCCACGAGAAGGTACCAATAATCCGTTAGCAAAATCGACATTCAACCAATTCCTTAACGCGCCACCACAACCGAAATACAAATGGCTACGCTTAGTCCCACCGTCACGGCTCCTCTACCTCTTAAAATGGGAAGTGAATCCTGGACTGGTACGGGAGATGATGATATTGATGACCCGTTGTATACACGCGCCATTTCATTCAAGGAGCATGTAGATTGGGATCGTCTTTGTGAGCTCGTCTCGACTCTTCACAATGGAATTCCTTGTCGAATTGGGGAGAACTTCTCCATCGGGCACTTCAACATGGTTCGACAGCTCATATTTTCGGACGGGACGAAATGGGTTGCTCGCTTACGGCTTCCCGAGCTGAAGGAGATTTTCGGGAATAGAGAGGCTCTTGATCCTGTACGATCGATGCAGAGTGAAGTTGCGACTATGAAGCTCTTGAAGAACACAAAGCCAGCATTTCATCAAGAATCAGAAATAGCAGATACGAGCAGCAGGCTGCAAACAAGCACCCTCGTTCCGGATGTTTACCATTATGATCTGGATATAGACAACGATATCGGCGCACCATATATCCTTATGAGCTACATTCACGGAAACCTAGCTTCGGATCAAAGTATCATGCTAGACTGCCCTCCAAATCAGTTCGGGAGTCTGGCGCAAGACCTGAACTTCCGCATGCAGATGGCACGTATTCAAGTCGACCTAGCATCGCTGACGTTCGACAAGATCGGTGCTTTGTACCAGGAAGGCAACGGTTTCGTGATAGGGCCTGAGATACAAACTGGATTAGGTCCATGGGATAATGCATTGAACTATTACCGAGATGTCAGTCATCATTTGATATCAGTCGCCAGCGAAGAAGCGGATTCTGAGGTCAGAGAATCTGAAGCTTTCACAGCGATTCCCAAACTTGTTGAACGCTTGATGGCGATCAATGCTGAAAGAGGACCGATGGAGAAGCAATTTGCACTCGCCAATCGGGATTTTGGACCCCACAATTTGTTGGTGGATGCCGACTTCAATATCGTTGGCTTGATCGACTTCGATGGTGTACTGGCTGCCCCGCTCCCTGCGGTTGCTCAGTTCCCACAGATGGCAGGCTTTGACCGCCTGGTCCCTGGATCTGTTGAAACTGACCCTGTTGTACTTGAGAGCTTAGTTACATCTGAGTCTTTGATGAAACAGTACAAAGACTTTGTTATGTTGGCAGAGACAGAACATGCTGGTGGTAAAACGGAGCCAATGATCGCCGAGATGTTGCTTTCAGACATGTCGTTCATTGTTGAGGGCATGCAGAGTTTCTCGATGCACTCAGAAGAAGTCAACGATGAGTGGAAAGCTGCGTTTGAGACCTTTCTGGAAAAGCACTCGGCGTGATGTCTCATGACTCCAGGCGACTATTCCTTCCCCCTGTAAATACGCAAACGAATTCGACTTTCAATGAATTGCGCTTCTTACCATTTCTACCATTTTTTTGCTGCTAAATGTGACTCTTTCTTAACCTTTGAGTCGTGATATCATTTAGAGAACCTTTCAGCATGTGAATTTATTCCTATATCTCTTGGCCCCCTTCTTGTCAAGACCAAACGTGGCAGACGCGACAAGACTATGTTTTGATATTGCATGAATAAGCCGTCATTCACCTCTATCGTGTCGATAGATGACGATAAAGTCACCATCGTTTGTGGACGGGCTCTGTCAGATTGACGATATAGTCTTTTTTCGGGCTCCTTTAACAACCTCTAATCCGTCGAACTGTATCCAAAATATCCTTCAAGCTCTCTACGAACACTATCAGCGAAATGCCAGCTCCCTCAGGTCTCAACATGCTAAGCAATCCCTTCAAACTCTGCCCCGGTAGCGCCCTGATCACGCCAAAAAGGTTGACGTTCACCCGCGAGTCTAATCAAGTTCGTCGCAACCCCTCCGGCAATAAACGCGAAGCATATGTTCCACCAAGCCCTGCTGAAATTAGACTGATCACCCGCAATAAATGTCTGAAGGCAAAGAGAGCAGGAATTATTCTCAAAGGCACGGCCCAAATCCAACTTACAAAAGGCAAGTTCTGATCACCTTGATCACCGCTCAAGGCCTGGAGCTACCAAACTGACATAAGCATTTTGATCAGATAGTTCTCCTGAAATCCTCAAGATTCTCCCCAACGAAATCAACCTCAAAATCCTCAGAATACTGGAGCACAATACGCTCGAGCTGCACTATCAACGCGTCCAGGATTTCGGCCTCGTCTGTCTTGCGTTGACATCAGTCCACTTTTATAAGATCTGCAAAACGGTCCATCCGGGTCCTCTATCAACTACCCGAGGTGATGCCCTCAGAGATGAGAAGAACAAGTTTTGGGCTTGGTCGCTGGAGCGACATATTGGTGATTTCCTTGGTCCAATGTATGAAGTTCGCGAGCCTGATTCGAGATACGGTTGGTACTTCACATTCTATCTACTTAATTAGCTACAATGCTGACTTAAAACGTTCCATAGGATTCTACACCAGACATGGTTCTCCTTTCCTTCTCAAGGATGCTGGTCGAAGTGGCGGCCATGATAAGCCGTCGAATACCGACGATATATTTGGTTGAGCTCCAACAGAGAAAATTTCATGCTGGAAACGTCTTTATGCTGGGGTAGGAAGTGTTATTTGTATCAAGACCATCCGATCTCGACTGGATACGCCGGTAACGGGTTAATTGACTTTGACTGGACATAAGCGAGGTAAACAGGGAAGTGTACCCTTTAATTCCGTGTGGCGAAGAAGCCGGAATAGCTCCCTCATTCCTTCTGAATAATCATTTTTCGAGGCCGATCAAGAGGGAAATCTGTATGATAGATCAGGGAACATCAATCGGGGAATTTAGATTCGCAGAAATGTGCAGGCAGCAGTATTTGATACCTTGAACAATCGCGGTTGCCTGGGGAATGAAACGCGCCCGCCTCGCTTGCCTTTGTGACTAACCAACCGAATGCAGGTACCCGTAAACTATCCTTCCCTTATAAACCCCAGCGGCCACCTCTAACCAGCAACCTCAGTCATTCTTCTTTCCCAAAAAGTCCTATCATAAACATCATGGACGCTCTTCTTCTCGCAAATAAGGCTTCGTACCTATGCCAAGTCGCAGCCTTTCAGCAGAAATCCTCCATGCAACTCGCAAACAAAGGCGCTGGAACCATATCTCAAGAGACACTCTCTGATGCGGACACAACCATAGGGGCGAGAATAAGACCGCTATCTGAACAAGATAGAGACTCTGGTCATGTTCCAAGTGTGTATGCGAGAGAGAAGGCCGCGGTCGCGGATGTTCATGAGTTGAGGGTGAAAGTTCGAGGCCCACCAGCCGTGACCGTAAGTACGAAGAACGAGCTCGTCGGGAAATTAACATGACGCTGATTAATTAGCAGACTTCAAGCTATCAGTTTGATAGGTTGTATGGGCCGGAAAGTACGTCAGATCAGATTTATGATGATCTCTGCGGAGCTCTGATTCCTTGGGCTGTAAGCTATGAGTTCCTCGTTTTCGATAGAATACTTTGACAGAGAGAGCTGACAAAATTGTAGTGGGGAGGCGGCATAAGCACTTTGTTTGCTTACGGTCAGACTGGATCTGGAAAGACCTTTACGCTCGACGCTCTCGAGAGACGAGCTGCTAAAGATCTCTTCGGTGGCCTGGAAGGCAATCGTGATGTTCATATCTCGGTCTTTGACCTTGCTGGGAACGTAGCATCGGGTAAGCTCCCAGATAATTACCCCATATTGTCCCCTAACGTTTCCTAGATCTCCTCAACGACCGCCACAAAATCAGCGTCCTGCAAGACAGTTTCGGTGAAACTCAACTCGTTGGCGCTCTTGAGCCCAAAGTCACATCAGCCAGCGAACTCATCGACCTGATCGAGCGAAGTATGTCCTTCCGGAAAAGCGCACCAACACTGCGAAATGACAGCTCCTCACGCACGCACGCCGTCTGTCGCATCAGAATTGTCAACAAAGACGTCTCGGAAACTCCCGACGGCCTACTCTTTCTCATCGACCTCGCAGGCAGCGAAGCAGCAGCCGACACTAAAGAGCACAGTGCCGATCGAATGAGAGAATCGCGTGAGATCCATAAGTCTTTATCAACGCTGAAAGATTGTATTCGAGGGAGAACGATGTGGTACATGGATCAGGCGCAGGTGGGTCTTGGTGGAAAGTCAAACCCGGTTCATATTCCGTATCGGAATAGTACTCTCACGAAGGTATTGAAACATGTTTTTGATACAAAAGGTCATCGGCATTGCAAGACAGCTGTTGTGGCATGTTTGAGTCCGAACATTGTTGATGTTGGACCGACGAAGAATACTTTTCGCTACGCCGAGCTGCTCAGAATCCCAGTTCCGCCGTTCAAGAAGCCTCAGCACAAGGAAGATATGCCGTCGACTTGGACTTCGACAGTATTAAAAGCTTGGATCGATGATAATGTAAGCCCACGATACTTCAATTCCTAAACACTTGGGAGTAAGATCAGTACTGACAGGTCCAAACACTCAGTCCGGCAACCCACCAATCAACTCCCCCCTCCTCGCACCAACAGAGAACGGAATCCAGATCTGCCGCCTCCCCAAAGGCGAGTTCGTAACACGGTGTCTAAAAACGCCTGGAGTTACCGAAGAACAAGCCCGAGCTTTCTATGACAAGTTCTGGCGTCTACATATCGATTCTCGGAAAGTGCTCAGCAGTACCTCCAACAAAACAAAGGGGGTGCAAGCGAAAGTACCAGATATACAGACACAGAAGTCTGAGGACGGTAGTGGGAAAGACACAGCAAGTGTGCCCTTTCAACAACGTCTCTGCCCAGGGATGTTCATCGAGCGCAAGATGTCCTCTCAATACCTCTCCAAGTTCATGATCATGTGTCCCGTTGGCGCATTTTCCAGCTCAACTCCCAACTCAACATCGAATTCCGCTTCTTCCCAGACTCAATCCCAAGCACAAACCCCAGAAAAATCTTAACAAGACAAATCCTCCAATCCCAAGCCATCCGTCGCATCAACGGGTATCGAACTAAAAGACGGACGGAAATTCATCTGTGCGTTGGTATTGCCTAGTCCGATGGACGGAGCGTATGAGCTGGATGTGACGAGGCAGTACGAGATTGCGGTCGATGAGATGGAGAGAGAATTTGAGATGGAGTATGATGCTAGTAGTCGGTGTTATTATATTACGCTTTGAGTGGTGGTGAGAGTGAAGATGATGCGGTGGCTAGGTCCCGACTGCCGGGTGGGGAAATATTTTCTTGGAAAAGGAGACTGGAATTCTAGGAGAGTTGTCAGTGCATGGCTGGTCGTGACTGTTTAGTAGAGGTTTTAGAAACTTATCGAGCAGATCAGATAATTTTCTCTTGTTTCGGAAATCTCACACTTCCAACGTCAGTGCAGCAAGAAATGCATCCTCAAGACATGGTATCCATTGTACTCCACCCCAATCGCATATATATTCATCAATTCCAAGCATTTCATATAATACCCTCCAGATGCTGTCAATCCGCTGTATACACAAGCTTGTTCTGGTCCTGCACGCCGTACTCCATGTGATGGTATATGATCATCAAACCTGTCCTGTCCCATATCAAAATGCAAACCACATTACAAAACTAGTCTTTGTGCTGTCGAACTTAAACCGGCGCCGAAGCCGACCTCTCCAACCCTCTGTCACTCCCACTCCTAATCTGCCTATCCATTTCAGGCAACAAATCCGGTATCCTGAACGGTTTCGTAACAACACTATCCATACCACTCTCCTTGGCCGTAGAGATCTGCTCGCTCCTCGCATTGGCTGTGACTGCTATTACAGGCACGTGAGCAACAATACTACCCTCTCTTTGCAACTGTCTGATCATCTTGACACAGGTTAATCCGTCCATGATAGGCATCTCGAGATCCATAAGTACGACCGAGAGCTCGATTCCGTCGACCTCGAGACCTTTCCAGAAGCGGGATTTCTCGAGGAAGGAGAGGGCCTCACGGCCATGATTGGCAACGGAGACGATACAGCCTGCGCTTTGGAGTTGTCGAGAAAGGACTTTTTGGTTTACGATGTTGTCTTCTACAACTAGGACGTGTTTTGGTGCGGATGGTAGACTCGGCTGGAGGACACTGGTGCGGAGCTTCTCTACAACTTCGGGGCTGACGACTCGTGGGACGTCAATGCGATCGGCGGAGAGTGCAGAGAGGGATGCGGTCGGTCGTCTGCAGCGACGTGCGCGGATGTAGAATGCAAAGGTGCTTCCGACACCGACTGAGGACGTCACACCTATTTGACCACCTTGTAGCTCTGTCAATTGCCGACAGATGAACAGCCCGAGACCAGATCCGCCATATTGAACGTGGGTACGTGGTGAGGTTTGCGAGAATCGCTTGAAGAGCAGAGTTCGCTCGACTTCATTTAGACCTCGACCACTATCTTGGACTTCGACGTGAAGATAGACTGGTTCCCCTGTGCCCCAAGCACTCCCTTTTGTCATGTCTCGGCGGTTGGCTGTTCGAGGCAGGTATTCGATGCTGCCATTCGTCGGAGGCTGAGGAGACGCTCCAAGAATAATGACAATTTTCCTCCTTGACTCAGTCATTGTGAATTTGATCGCATTTGTGACGAGATTGATGAGAACTTGTAAAAGTCGACTAGGATCGAGCTTCACCCAATCGACGGCTAGATCCGCATAGGAATTGTCAACCTGGAATCGAAGGTCGATATCGCTGTTCTGGATCTCGACGTCGAACATTTTCAGGGACGCCTGTATTGTAGAAACTGGTTGGACGTCGACGGGAGTTATGATCAGGAGGTCCGAGTCAAGTTTTGAGAGTGTCAATACATCGTCGATGATTCGTTTCTGATGCTGGGCACACAGAACGATCGTCTCTGTCGCATCTGCATAGCCTTCAATGACATCTCTCGGAATGATGACATCGTTCTTATCGCAGTCGAACTGCGAAAGAGAGGTGCCGATCCAATCAGCACACTGAACAATAGCTGATAGTGGATTTCGCATCTCGCTAGATGCGAATGTTAGCAACGACTGAAGCCTCTTCCGGGGGATTGGTAGAGACTTACTGCGATGTCATATCAATGAAATTCTCTTGTTGCCTCTTGAGTTCAACAGCTTCGAGCATTTTCCGCTTCTGAAAGCCTTCCATCCACTTCTGTCGACTGATGTCTGTGATACATCCAAGAATTCCAACAACGGTCCCATCTGTTGCAAGCTCCGGATATGCAGCAGCCAGAATCCAAGTAAAACCCTCCACCTTTTCACCATCAACGAGATCCTCGGGCACGAAGGGTCTTTTGAGTCTTATTTCAAACGAAACCGATTCCCCTCGGAGCAATTTAGCCCATTCCTGGCTCATCAATGGAAGGTCTTCTTCCAATAGAACGTCTAACCAGCTCTGATATATGAATTAGCAATTGTGAATGAGATTAGTTTACTACGAATTTGTGTTGTACATACCATTGGTGTAAATGAATCCCGAGGATGCCCAGTGAGCCTTCATGACTGAAGTCAGCGGGAGTCGGTTAGCGTTTAAGAGCATCTTACTCATAGTAATTTTCATTGCAGTACACCAACAGTCCATCAGGCTCAATGTGATAGATTCCAACGGGAGCAAGATCGGCCATCCGTCGGAACCTAGTCTCGGTCTCTAAAGCTTCGTGTGTTTGAAGGGCAAGTCTTTTAGTTAGCAATTTCCGATCTCGAGCCGCCCGTCGAATTTCCTCCTCAAACAGCACTGCAGACTTTGGTGGTTGATCAGCAAATGAACTTAATCTTTGAGATAAGATACTAACAGCGAGAGAAGTAGCAAGTTGACGAGTCAATAGCTCAATAAAAACTCTATAATCTGCATCGAATCTTCTTCGAGGATTCAAACCGAGTATGAGAAACCCCAAAAGATTGTCTGCGGTAGAGCGAATAGGTAGGAACACAGCAGCCTTTTCAGGCGCTCCATCTGGAACTTCCATATCTCGAGCAATAAATTCTGGTAGTGAGTTATCCTCAACTCGAAGCAACGTTGGATTGTCTGATCTGACCAACTCCAAGAAGGTCGGAAGGAACAGCTCCATTGATTGGTCGGTTGCAGCGGGAGGGATATTTGAACAAGTGTCAGGGATCCGAATTTTTCCTTGGAGGATCCAATTTCGGTTTGCGCTGCTATCGGATGCCTCGGACGCAGATTCACTGATATCGGGGTTTACAGAGTAGAGAACTGTAAATGGCAAGTCTGGGTGATCTGCACGAAGAGAGAACATCAACTGCTGCCAGAAATCTTGCGGGTCTCGAGATGAAGATATGTATTGGCCTGATCGTAGAAGAAAGGCCATACGACGATCTGCGATAACTTGCCGGGTTGTGTCAAAGACCGGATTGTAGCTATGGTGAATATCAGACAAATACGTGTTAAAGATAAAATCACACAACAGTGGTCATAACTTTCAAACGTGTAGGGACTTACAAGGCTACATCATCGTTGTCTCCAAGAAATGGAATCATGGCTATCGAAAAGTATGTCTCCTCAAGATACCCATGCCGCTCGATGTAGAAGCGAGCGTCATCAAGCACAGTAGAAGCTCCAGTCGTATATGCTTTTTCGAAAGCCGGAATGAAATCACCTTCAATCTCTCCCCATGCTTCTGAGAATATCTTGCCCATCATCCCTGGATGCTTCTGGCCAGTGACATGCATGTATGGCTCATTATACATCATTGTTCTTTGCCGTCCCCAAAACATAGCTGCCGGCCGTGGATCACTCATGAGGAAGTTGACTCGACGCCTGAGTGTGGCACCCCACGAACTGATTGAGCCTAGCTCAGTGGATGCCCAGTCAAATTCCATGAAAAACTCATGGTGAGCGGAGGGGATTTTCTCCGGGTAGGCTCTGATGAAATCCAGGCGGTCGAGCGTCTCGGACTTTTGAATACTTTCGGGTATCGTCAGCTTGGCCGTCCCGCTATTTGGTGGTTTCTGGCCTTCACGAAGTCGAAAAGCAGCAATCTGGGCTTCCAGGGAGTCGTCTGACAAAAGTCTCGTTCGTGACTGTGTAGGGGAGTGTGAAGGTCGTATACTAGCTGTTGTATGTGTCCTTCCGAGCTTTGGCGCTTCAGATTGCCGTCTTTTTGCACTGATGTATTCATATTCGTCCCCTTCTGCGCCTGTCACAACTCGCCATCGGCCCCTCAGAGTATGCGTTGTCCACCACAGCCCACAATAGCTCATGTGCGGAGACCCGCCCTCCTTTGTAGATGTCGCCCATCTCAGGAATACCGTATACTCAGCATCTCTCGAGGATGCTGCAGTGGCTAGCATCTCATCTCCTACTTTCAAGCCTAAAAGCGGTATCTTCTCCAAGCCCGGGTTGTTGTATATCGGAGTCGCTTTCGCCGACTTCGTGAGGTCGAAGACGAGTGTAGGTCGATCGTCTATGTCTAGAAGTTCGAAGAGTCCCAGCTGTGGTCTGCCATCGCTGTTCGCCGGTTCTGGACTCCAATCCATATCTCTGTTTGCCTGCCGCCGAGCTTCCTCATCCTCCTGGACTGATGGGTGCCTTGAAGCAGACATCCCACCCTCTCCTTGGTTCTTCAAGCCGGTCGCGATTCGACCAAATTGAACCCGTCGCCACCCAAGCCTCTTCGTCAAATCCGCTCTGAAGTGGTGTATCTTTGCGCGCAACCACAATTGATTTGCAGGAACGCCGATTAAGGTTACGCTGCGGGGTGCATTTCATGAGCGCATCGCGTCGCATCACAGTATATCTGGCTCGGGCTCGAAATAAAGGAATAAGAAGCTTGCCAGCGCGTACATGTAGCAAGAGACAACGAAGAAAAAAAAGGGTCAATAGCTGCTTACCGTCGTGGAAGATGGACGTTGAGATAGATACTGACGCCAAATCTGTTTTGGGGATCCAGAACACAGTCTAAAATCGCTCCAAACAAACCCTAATAAAGAGCGGAGCCGGTACGTACCCACGCATGCCAGAGCTGCGCTTGCCATACGCTAATCAAGACCCTTTGGAAAAGAATGTCCATATTACTAGTCACTTGACTCGTGTCTTGGAATCAAAATGACTCGATTGTGAATAGAAGATGGGATGGGGAAAAGTTGAAGGACATCGGAAAATCGAGAAGACGATCGAGCAGGGATTCCGAGCTGCAGTGTGCGAGAACCCTACGTCACTGGAGGGGCGCCGAAAAAAGTGTATCGAGCTGTCAAGGTGGATCTTCGGATGAACAAGCGATCAAAGCTACATATTGAAAAGCCAGTTGGGTCTTTGGAGAAGTCATGCTCTTTGAATGGATAATTGAACTTTGTTGGGGATGGTTTTCTGGAGAGAAAACCGGGAAGGGAGAGTTAAGACATGAGCTGAGCTAACCCCATCTGACCAGCCGTATTCGAGAAGAATGTTTGTCTTCAAGGCATGAATATGCTTTGCGCCTCTGGACTCGAGGCATGAGCTAATTTCCACGTCGTAGTAATTCCGATCTTAAGGAGTTTGTGCGTCATTCACCAGATGAGGGCATTGCGGCGTGCCATATCAAAGGAGCAATATACACCAGGCTAGACGTTACACTGGCTCTACGCGAATACCATGCAATCCAAACAAATTCCCAGCCCATTACTCCAGCATCGCAGCATTATTGTCTCGTTTGACTCCTCACCGATGGCGTAGCATCCATCTCAACTGGCATTAAAGCCTCCGTATATGTCGGAGCAGGACTCCTCAAATCTTCGTGGTATGGCCTCTGCATCGCCGCAACACCGCTCACAGCAGGAGTCTTCTCCTTCATCACCGTGGTCTGAGCATCTACCTCATGCGTGTCAACCTTCGGCCCATAATAGTTGAACTGCTGGCGCGGCGGCCCGGAAGCTTGATTGACGTCAACCTCATATGGGTAGACTTGGTCTGCTCCAACTGGTCCATTCGGAGGCGGATGCGGATAGTTGGCAGAGTTGAGCCTGATAGCTTCGTTCTTCTTGGCTGCTCTCCTCTTGCGTATGAATAGGAAAATCCCTATGCAGATTGCAATCGCGAGGATTGGACCGACAATGACCGCCACAAGAACCCCAGTGGTCAAAGTCACTGCGCCTCCAGCTGAGGAGCTGGAGCTAGATTTTGGAGGTGATGTTCCTGTTGACGATGCTCCCGCTGCAGTTCCACTTCCACTAGATGCTTTTCCTGTCGTCTCTGTGGATTGGATCGCACTCTGTGCGATAGCACTAGTCGTTGTGCTTTCGAATGTGCTTGTACGTGTCGTCGTTTGAGCTGTTGCTGTGATGATAGTTGTGTAGGAACTGGTTATCACTGTAAAGCGACTCGTGTCAAGCGACGGAGGTGGGGTGTATCGCCCAGCCGTTGTTGTTGACCTCGTAGTCTGAAATCCAGTCGTGACGGTTGCTGCACTGGCTGAACACGTCGGGAGTGCATGATATGCGTCCTCATATGTTCCACAAAGTATATCTGAAGATCCTTCGCACTGAACTGCCCACTGCCATGTTGTCTCAAAGCCTTTCCAGGTATCAGAGATCTAGTCTCATATAGATGTGAATCAACAGCTAGAACTTACCTGTCACGCAAATATCCTCGTTACAAGAAGGGTCTTTGAAAGTCCGATCTGTACACGCTCCACGATATACCATTCCTGTCAATGGATAATAACATAAACCATCGGGTTGACAGATGTCTCCCTCGCTAGGCACACAGCAAGAGGAGAACTCAGCGCCCGTGCAGGGCTCCCAAATGTAGTCCGTGGGGATAGATCCATCGGGGTAATAACACTGCGAAAAGGCCAGTACATTCTGCACTTGCGAAAGAACGACAAGAGAAAACCAAACGAATGATTGGATATGAAAACGAGAAGAAGAAGGCATATTGAAACTTCAAAAGAGTGACGATCGAGGGAGAGACGCGGAAAGATCGGGGACGAAAACACTTGAAGGGAAAACTTGGGGAGACGCCATCAAGACATACATAACTTAGTGGGATGTTATTTCTAACCCCTGAACCAAAGCCGAACGTTTGCTTCCAGAGGCGTTCTTAGGATTTCGTCTACCCAGTTCGAGACATGCTTTTCAGCCCTGTGCCAAGACACGGCATATCATCAACAACTGTGATTGGATCCATGGAGACTTATTTGCACTAATCTGTTCGGCAGAGGTGACACAGGCTTGATGTGGAAATGGGGAGGGGCTCATGCTGTGGTTGTGAGCGCGAAGGAATGAAGGAAGGAGATAATAAGGTTTCGTGCCTGGATACTACTGGTAGTTCCCCTTTTCGAGGTTGTTCGGATTTGTCAGCACAGACTTCACGTGTATGGTACTACTCACATCACTTGACGTTGTCAAATCCGTGGAACATTCGATCACCTTTGATGAACATGACAGTCAAAAAGAATTTCGTCGGGCCTCTTGAGAGGTGAAGACTGAGCTCCATACGCGCCGCTTCGTCTCCTCGTTTTGTCGCCTGCATTGACCATCTGCATGCAGCCTGGAGCTTGATGGGTCAAGCACATCTGAAGACCGCATGCGTGTAGAGGCGTGTAATTCAACATTTCTCGCGTTCCACGATGCCAGACTTGAATGAGCTTGCAGAGGATGTCTCTCACTATGCTGAAGAAGCAAAACGTGGTATATCGAACATCGCAAAGCGGCAATGGAGACTCCGCTTCACCAACTCCTGTCGCGTCTGCAATGATATGAACTTGAAAGGTCATGAGGGAATGCAAGTCGTCGGATGGCTTCCTCTTCGCTTCACAGACATTCAAGATGGTGCACGTCGAGGTTGCTGTTACTGTGCATTGCTGGTGAGCGTGTGCAGCTACTATGTCCCTGGAGTGGGTGACTGGGCGCAGAAGTCGCCCCGAGTGGAGCTGGAACTGCAAGTACAGTATGGTGATCTGAAGGTGTTGGAGATTGATCTTAGTCAGAACGTCCCAGGACAGTGGCTCACAGCGCAAGCCCTCAGACGGTTAGAGATATATGCCTCAAGTGGTAGGTTACTCTCCTTCATTCTTCCAGTCGAGTGTGGTGACCTTACCCATTGCGGAAAGGAGGAACGTGAAGTTGTTGATGTTCCACGTAGGACACTACATCCCGTTTTGGCCACAACTGGGGAACACTCTCGACCTGTCTTCGCATTCGGGATCCCAGGAATGCTACGAATTTCTTCGAAAGCGCATAGCACTGTGTTTAAGCGGTCATCAGAGTTGCAAGGCTCTCAAAACACCGTTGCCAACTCGTGTCATTGACGTTGAGCTCCCTGCAACTCAAGACGTCAAACTACACGAGCTCAGAGCCTTGGAAGGTACAGGCCGGTACATAGCTCTCAGCCATTGCTGGGGTGGTCATGAGATCATCAAAACTACATCAAGCAACTTGACTTCTATGAAGAAGAACATCAAATGGGATATCTTGCCTCGAACTTTCCAAGATGCGATCAGTATCGCTCGAGAACTCCAGGTCAGATGGGTCTGGATTGATTCCCTTTGCATTCTGCAGGATGACAAGGCGGATTGGGGAGTGGAAGCCGCGCAAATGGGAAATTACTACCAGAAAGCTTTTCTCACTGTTGCAGCTGCCTCATCGCCCAATCCTGCAACGTCTTTCCTCTGTCCCCGGGATCCCAAAAACCTCCACCGAGACTTCCGAATCTCGTACAAAGGTGACACCCATCAAGTCAAAGTTAGACCGTTATTACGAGAGCGATATGTGGCATACAAGGTGGATAAGAGTAACAAAGGCGAGGAACACGAGCATAAATTTGGTCCGCTCTCCACACGTGCTTGGTGCTGGCAGGAGAACTCGTTATCAACCAGGATCGTGCATTACACACCAACCGGTAGGTTCTACGAATCCTTCTCTTAGGGCAGTCTCACATTTTGTTTACCGATTTACTGTTTACATCTCCGTCGCCCTCGTCTAAGCGCCTAAATTCGGAGCTGACTTGTCTCTCTTAACCCTCAGGACTTGTCTTCGAATGTCAAGGCGACGAAGAAGTTCACGTTGAAGATCACAGCCGTTTACCAACGTCATGGGTCGCTAGTCTGCCTCGAGCCTTTTCCGTCAGTGGCAGCCAACCATTCGTGCAGTGGCATGAGCTTGTCAAGACGTATTCAGAGCGCAGTCTCACTTTTGCTTCAGATAAACTTCCAGCAATTAGCGGTGCTGCAGAGAGAATACATCAGATCACAGGCTCAGTGTATCTTGCTGGATTGTGGAAGGATGTTATTGCACGGGATCTTCTCTGGTCCGCAGATACTTGGGGGGTTGAGAAAGTAGGGGCATTTACACGTCCACCACCAATATCGACAGAGAACGGTTGTCCGTCATGGTAAGTCTTTCCCGATCATAGCTTATCGCTACCCCCTCTCTCCTTGAAATATATATCCAACGCAGTACATGTCAAATACAGTTCCCCACGACAAATGCTCTACATCACATGAAACCCATTCCCTAACTACAAGTCCGCATATCGCAGGTCATGGGCTTCCCTAACCGGTCGTCTCGAATACAAAAACAACTTCCACCTATCCGGCCGATCACTCATCACCGTCCTCGATACCCACGCGTCACTGACAAGCACCAACCCCTTCGGCCAAGTCTCTGACGCCTCAATAACCCTCACTGGCTCCTTTATCACCGCCACGATCAACACCCCCATCCCAACCGGCTACTTCAACTACACCATGTGGCCCGACCAAACTTATCCCAAAGCATGGGTCAGCATGACACCTGACACCGTATTGGAAAACTGCGAGGTGCGACTCCCCAATGGCGAGGTCGAATCAACGCTTCGACGATCTTGTGTCAAGGCGGGAGGAAATCCTTCGGTGTTTGGGAAGGTTCATTGTTTGATGGTGTATGAGGACAAGGGAGATGTGTATGGGATTGTTCTTGTTAGGTCTGATATCGTGCCAGGTGCTTTTGCCAGAATTGGATATGCGAATGGTTGCGGCAAGTGGAATGACCATAAGAAAGAGCAGAGGACGATCACCATTGTTTGAAGCCAGGGGCTGGGTTTATCTTCTGGGTTTTCCTAGGGAACTGATCCATGGCAAATTGGAGAAGTAATTGATAACGGGTCGGTAAGTCTTGTATCTCCTTGGTTGCCTTGCATATTTGTATTTCTTTTTGTTTGGATGATACAGACTGATCCTTCCCGGATGAGGAACGGTGCCTCAGGGTCAACTTTACAACATTTACTCTAATCGTCATTAATTTACACTGTTCTCGGAGTTTCTTTAGGATTAGCGACGTTTTGGAATCTTTCAAGAGTGCCCGAAGGTCATTTCAGAACAGTGATTCCACACTCATACCTCGAAACGAGTCAATTGTAAGCTATATACAGTCCTTTCCTCCACCAAATTACAGCGTCGCTCTCAAAACCTCCCGCTTCAAACTCCTCACCACCTCCTCCGCCCCTCTCACCCCACTCCTCACTGCACCCTCCATATACCCACTCCAAACCCCACTCGTCTCGGTGCCCACAAAATGCAGATTCCCTACCACCTCCCTCAACGCACTCGACCCACCCACACTAGTAAGCACACCAGGCCCCGTGACCGGACAAGGCGCCCCCTTGCTATACTGCTCCTTACTCCACTCTTGCTCAAAGATCTCCACTAGCTTATACACTTCCTCTTTATTGTTGTAGATGTTGGAGACTTGAGCTAGGACTTGAGCACGGCGTTCGTGCTGTGGTAGTTTGGACCAGGCGAGGCCGGGAGCCCCGCCGACGAAGCAGGTTAGGCAGTAGTGGCCATCTGCAGGGACGGATGTGTCTCTGATGACGGCGGCGGGGGTTTGGTAGGATATTGCGAGGCCGCAGGATTTGGGGCTGGTGGAGGAGGGGTTGGTCCACCAGGGTGTGTCGTAGCAGAGGATCATTTTGCTGTAGTAGCCGTGGATTGTACTTGAGGTGATGATGGCTTTGGTTCCTGTGAAGGGAGGCGAGATGTCGATGTCTTTGTAAAGTGGTGTAGGGATGCTGAGAATGAGCTTTTTGGATTTGAAAGTTTGACCTGTGGTGGTGGTAACGGTCACACGGTTGCCGGAATCAGTGATTGAGGATACGGGCGTAGAGAGGTGGACTGTCCTAGGCTTGAGGAGAGCAGCGATACCGATGGCCATTTGTTGGGTTCCTGTTGTTGTCAGAACCGTTGATCAACTTGAATGGCCTGAGGGAATGGAAGCGTACCTTTCCTAAATCTCAGATACTGCCCACCGTGCTTCTGATCTGAGCGTAACTGCTTCAATCCCCCACCTTTGCCGGTATACTCGATGAAAAATTGGGCACTCATCTCCGTGGCCTCAATTCCAGTCATTACTCGAGACCAGACACGCACCATGTCTACTGTCTTCTGAGTAGCTCCTTTACTGATTACGAATTGCTCCAAAGACATCTGGTCGTAGTTCTCTGTGCTACTGGCTTTTGAGCCATAAGCTACTGAGAGGTCATGGATGATATCACGAATTCTTTCGAGATCCGTGACCTGAGCTTCTGAGAACTGTTGACTGTCAGTCACAGATCTGAATACTCGGCATGAAACTTTGAGATCCCAGTACCTTTGGTGACGTTCCATAAGGAAAGGCATGTGTAGCGCCATCTTTATCCTGAAAGATACAATCTCCATCGACGTTCTGCTCCAGGAGCTCAATTCCGAAGCGTTTTGTTAATGCATACACATGCGATTGATTCGTATCGTTTATCCAAGCTGCACCGATGTCGACACATCCTTTGCCATTGGCCAATGGAACAGACCAGGTCTTTCCTCCCACTCGATCACGCGCTTCGAGGACAATACAAGAAAGTCCTGCTTGTTGAATATCGTAGGCAGCTTGTAGACCACTGAGACCTGCTCCAACGACAATGACGTCGTATTGAGATTCTGACATCTTGGTGTTGATGTGTAGAGGCTCGAAATGTGATAGCTTAGAAGACAAAGGCAAAATAAAGATTCCAGGATATTTTAATTTGAAGAAGTCACTCAATGCCTCTCGCTAAGAATCAGGCCATGAAGGAACAGCCTTGCAGCAGCGGCGTTAGCAATGTTATCTTGAGATCCACGATCCGTGGTCTCCTACTGCAATCAAATAGATTTAACGAACAGATGCCTGAGAGGGGGTTGGTTGAAAGTGTCGAAAGTGGGAGGAAGTTGAAGATGTTCGGGATCTCTTGCCTCACGTAACGAAGCGAGCGGGGTCGAGAAGCACCAAGTTCAATGCGACGGACGATAAGAAAGATAAGCCCAGACCGGTTCTAAGCGTCAAGTCTATCTACCCCACTGTCGATATCTTTAAGACATCATAGGATACAGAGAATATATAAGTGGAGTTCCTGGAGATTTTTGGAGAGTTGTTGTCGTTGTAACAACTTGAATTCCTTCGTGGACTTTCCCGTTTACCCGAGTCGCTTAATTTCCCTGCTCCTCATAAACTACTTGCCAAGATGGGTTCTGTGGAAAGACCTTCTATACAATACATTCATCGAGATGAGGTAGAGAAGATCATTCAGGCAATTGTTCAAGACGGTGGTGTTATTATCAAGAATTTTGCAAGTGTTGAAGCTGTTGAGAGGGTCAATGCGGACACGCTGCCCTACCTAGAGAAAGACAAGCCTTGGAAGGCAAGCGAATTCCTTGACAAAATTGACACTCGCTGACAGAAAGCAAAGGGAGATCTATTTCCACCAGAAACTAGACGTTGCTGTCGTCTCATCGGTCGGTCACCGACTGCAAGAGAATGGCTTGTAGATCCACTCGTCTCCAAACTGCTGAGTGTCTTTGTTGACAAGACGACCCATAACTACTATGGCGAGACCAAGCACACATACACTAGTACCGCAATCCTCAACACTGGGCTGACAGTGCGAATTGGACCTGGTGGAAAGGCTCAGAGGCTGCACAGAGACGACAAAAACTTCCATGTAGATCATCGAGATCAGACGAAGACTGGGTACCGGGTTGGGTCTGATGTCGAACTTTCGTTCTTGATTCCTGGTGTTGCCACAACTATTGAAAATGGCGCTACTCAAGTATGTATATTGAAGAGAAAGGGCGAAATTGCTGACGCTGGATAGGTGATCCCTGGATCTCATCTGTGGGGTGCAGACCGTATTCCAAAGATTGACGAGATTGGGTACGCCGTGATGGAGAAGGGCGATTGCCTGGCTTTTCTAGGCGGCTTGTACCACGCTGGTGGACAAAACTCAACCGCCGACCAATATCGTCCGGTCCACGACCTTTCTTTCATTCGCGGCTACCTAAGACAGGAGGTACGACCCTTGTACTATATGGTCGTGATTGAGTGCTGATATATCATAGGAGAATGCGTACCTCGCCTTTTCGACAGATAAAGTCTTGTCCTGGCCATTCGATGTCCAAATGAGAATGGGATACACAGTCTCGTCTCCGAATCTTGGCTTTGTGGACTTCATCCAACCTTACAAATACCTAGCTGGAGATTTTGACCCCAATCAGCCTGGCGATTTGGATTCGAGTCAGGAGCCGAACAAAGCAGCTACTTGAGATATTGGAAAAGACAACAGAATTCGACGCTCTGCTATAGGGTGATCCCTGTGATTGTGGGGATGAGCAGTAACGTCACAGACTTGTACGACCCCATCTTGAATTTATTGCAATCCTGTTTTACATGTCCCGGTCTGAAGCCGATAACGTGGAGTGAGTTCATTCCACGAAGTTGCAGAATGCATTGTCTGGTTCCCCGCAAAAAAACAAGAAAAAAACATACAACAGTGGGTATTCGCTGGTGGTCACCCACCCAACTACTAATCCACCGGTCTGGTGCTTGTGTATGGCAGAGCGGACGGGATGCCCATTTCTCACCAGCCTATGGTCGTATGTGGCAGTGTTCTCGGTATTTTATATATTTAAAGTGAGACGAAACGTCTCGATGTATGTGAGATTGCGGACACAGCGCTACATCGGATTGAGTCTAGAGGTATGAATTAACAGTTTCGCTACCTATGTTACCTTGGTACCCATGTTACCTTGGTACTTAGTGTTACACAGTATCCCGTGACTGCATGACCTTAGGCTCAGGGACTTGTTCCAGTAGAACCTCCAGGAGGATTTCCTTGATATAGTATTGGGCTCGTTTACAAGTCAGGCAATTGCGCGCAATCATGGATTACGCGATGTGCTAGCTTGCTAGACAAGCTCGCGGGCGCGCGCGCTCTGCAAGATGTGTAGCAAGGCTTGCACCCAGGACGAAGGTCCTATATTAGACTGGCACGTCTGCCATTAGATAGGAGCTCCGTGCTCAACTTCAAATAGTATCTTCACCCATACTAGTAACTGTCTTCTCCCGTACGTGATACATCTACTTCTTGATCTTTCGAGATCCCAACCGCCACGTGTTTACACCGAGTAAATATTGACCGTTACATCTTGCTGCTCTCTGCTTACCATTTTTAAAGATGTTGTGGCTGGCGGACAGAAGTGTATAGAGACTACTTTACGGAGAAACTGACCTTTCCTTTGGTGTGTCGGGCACTTTGAACTCAAACATACTCAAATAAATAGTCCGAGATCTGAAGGCCCGATTCTTGGAAGTAGGTAGGCAAGAACTGGACGAAAAGATCACGTGGTAGGTTCTCGAAAGAGATCTCAGATATGAATTCTTGAGACATATCTTCAGGCTGTTGATGATAATTTTTCTGAAGCTGTGTAGATTAGTTTTCTTAGTCTGTGGTCGTATGTGTTGGATATGCCATTATCCAGCTACACATTTAGTTCCACAAGTTTCCCTACATCTACAGTGATAGCCCCCCAACTGCCGTATCAAACACACCTGTAGCGAGACCCTGCAATTAAGCGAAGAACGCTGAAATTCGAATGCTTTGTTGTCGTCCAGGCAGCCTTAGCGCCTCGCTTCAGCGCTCTGCCCTAGAAAAGTGTGTTTTCGGCAGTTGAGGGGACAAGATCGGACCCAGGGACCTCGTAATTGATTCCTAGGCCCAGGAACTTAGACCCTGGGATGCCAGTATTGGGATCGAAGGAGCCGACAATCGAAGCAACATGTGCAACTCCAGACACTCCTGGGCCAACGTGCTTGCTTCTACATGATATTCACTGCGGAAGTTGGTTTTGCTGTGCCCCATCCATACCTAGTTGGAGACGCAGCCGGCTGACATGCAGTCAGCACACAGCCAAAAGGCCAAGCCATTGCTCCTTTGTTGCTTGGCAACGAGCCGCAGTAAGAAAATAATGTAAGGTCGAGTAACCACGCAGACGTACCTGTGTAACTGTCATCTATTCCAATCTCGCTGCTCAGGGTTTTAATCCTGTTAGGCTGTGAGTGAGCTTGGCTATCAAATCTTCATCTCAAATATGCCTGAAGACTCCCATGATAATTATAGATCTAGAAAAGTCTGCCAGCCTAAACCTCTCATTGGTAAGCTCGTCTGGTCAATGATATCGCAGTCAAAGATGAGAGCAAGCATTAAGTCCTTTGGAGGGATTTCCTTTGTATATAAAATCAAGACATTCGCTCCAACTGTGAATATTCGCAAACATCAGCTCCTCGCAACAAGAACAACAGCCTTCATTCAAATCTCTGATACTGTCTCGTAAGAATCAGCTCGTCTCATTCAAAACAATAATTTCAAATCATCTCTCACGACTCTTTTGCACTTATCCTTCGGTCAAATACCAATTCATAACACCAGAACCAAAACACCTTACTTTGTGCATTTCAGACCCTTACCAGGCAGTTCACCATGCACTTTCCATCTATCCTCAGCACCCTTTTCCTCGTCACCGGCACTCACGCCGGGTGCTATGGTGGCGACCTCTGGTTCAATGGCCTCCACGGCGGCGACATGACCACCAGCGACCTGTCTGCTGAAGTCCGCGCCGACATCAACTCCCGATGTATGGAAGTCTCAGGACGCACTATCTCCAAAGAAAACCCCTTTTGGAAGTGCACTGAATGGGCCAAAACTGCCAACCCCACTGAAGGCTGCTTCGACAAATGTCTGGACAAATGCGAGCCCGCTCCAGGTGACAGCGGGATAGATGCTGCACTTTGTGCCACGCATTGTGATAAGGGTTGTGATAAGGGGCCGCCAGTAGGGGAGGTTAACCATATTGATTGGGCAATTGAAGTGAGGGGTGGTGATGGCGCAAAGGAGATTAGCTACGAAACGTGTAATTATTGTTCAATTGGGAGCTGGGTGGATGTCAACAAGGAAGCGAGAGCTCGCACGATGGGTTCTGGTTTCGAATTGATCCTGGATATGGCAAGTGTAGCTAGAGTCACCCCAATTCCTAGGCTTTACACTGTTTGAAGTAGAAGATAGATGTATATAAAATTTATAAAATGAATAGAAGGCATTACTTTGTATTTGTATGTAGTATTATGAGCCATATAAATATATAAGATCTCAAGTCATAGTCCTAGTGTCTAAGATTCTGAGAAAGCACCAGTGATTACGTGGGAGGCCAATCTGGGTTCTGAGAGCCTAAAGAGCTGGTAAGATACATATTATAGTAGATAGAATATATGACCCAATTCTCTTGAATCTAAAGGTACTAGTAGTGTGCCAGTTTTGATTCAAAACCGAGCTGGCTGACCTTAGATTTCAAGCACGGCAGGCTTGTAAGTGCTCCTAGACCTGTTTTTATGAGTAGATTAGTGGTGTAGTAGGACTAGGGCCCTAGTGAATATTTCCTGGGATCTGAAACTTGAAACCCTTAGACCCCGCTTTATACATAAAACATACTACTTTTGAGGTCTTTCTTTACGGCGGAGTAACTACAACTCGGATCTAAGAATTAGGCGAATGGACTATATGTATATATATATATATATATCAAGTCTTCTCAATGACCGGAAATACGATCTCTAAATGGTTTTAAGGTTGTTGATACTAATGCTCCAAAATCTCTGTAGATTGTCCATTTCTCACCAGCCTATGGTCGTATGTGGGAGACAATTCCTTATGCAGCTACATATTGCTGCTTTGGATGCCCGTGGAGCCTGGAGCCTGGTTTCTAGAGTCTGGAATCTGGCCTTCCTCTGACGCGGAGCGCGGATGACTGTCAGCGCGGAGGCAAGCTCCTCAGCGCTGATTGTTCATGCTCTCAGGATGGTTTCTGAGGCCTTAACTCGGCCAAATAGAGCTAGATGAGAGATTCCGTCCATATTGACTGCAGCTGCGCCAGCCTTATCAAGAAGGCGAGATCAATTGGCATGCTGGCAGCTGCTTGCTGAAAAGCACTCCAGTTTTCTCTTCTGCAGCGTCTAAGCGAAGTGTTTGGGATTCTCTCGTTCCAAATTTCCGTCCTTATTCCTTCCATCATCATGCATGCAGCGAGTACAAGCTTGCTGCGCTGTAAATTCAATGGCTGGCTGCTTTGGTGCGATCTGATTGGGGCTTTCTGATTGTCAAGGTTTCTGAGAAGAACTCCCATCAGCTCCCAGGTATCTGTCTTTTGGTCATGTATCTATTGGTAGGTAGGTCTGTTTTAGAGGAACAGATGTTTCAACGCTGCTACATCAGACTGCCAGACTTACAATGAACAAGCATACTTTGCAGATTTTTTGGAGCCTCTGCTGTTGCGCCACCAATTGGAGGAAGTTTTGAGTAACGTTCTGCGCTCGGTAGTTGTATTCCTTGTCTTTTCGGTCTGGTTCTGCTGACAGCTCTGGATTCTTAAAATAGTCCCTTCCCTATATTCTGTTCATAAATCAGCTGTTTCGGTTTCACGTTGCCCAACCTACTTGTACTACTTGGCGTCATTGTCGTTCGGTTCGCTGCTACACCTGGTCACGCCGTCTAATCTGTTGATCACCAACTCCACACTTTCTGGGTTACCACTCCAGGCCCGTTTTGTCGATCCGAGTACAGTGTCAACTAGAGCTTCCGTCTTTTTCGTCGTTCTTGTATTTTGTCGCACCTTTCCCATCTGCCAAGGAATTTGGCGGGGTTCACCTCGCTCTTCCCCATCCCTCGCCGACATCAAACTGCGGGTGTGTCATCTGGTCTGAAATATCATCAGCACGAATCGCCTCAGATGCACATTGGGTAGAAGTAGCGATCGCAAAACATCCTAAAGGTTGAGACGGAATCCATCCGACGCTTGTGATGATGGTCTGAGGCTACATCATCCCTGCGAGATGCATGCATAATGCTCATGTTTGTTTGAGGCCGCGTCCATCTACTCTATCCTCAACACCGATTTGACACAGGCTTGCGGTTCCTCGGCTAGTTTCGAGTAGAAACCTTGGTGGCAATGAGGAGTTACTTATAGAGCCCTGTTACCTTTCGATTACAGTTTTCTCCCCACCCGGTCACCCTACAGCTTGAACCTCTGAGAACTACCAATGGTTTGACTGCAGTTCATTCTTTACCGGTTGCAACAGTCCTTTCAGAAACAAACACTTTCTCAAGATGCAATTCTCTGGATTTTCTGCCGTTGTGGCACTGTCGCTCACTGGCTCCACAATCGCATCTCCCTTTCTGGCGAGAGACTTCACAGCAGGTCTCCAGACGCGACAGCTTGCAACATGCCGAACTAAAGTGATGGCTGAGCAAAGTGCCTGTGTCAAAGGCATCCCTACAACTTCTGATGGAACAGTGGATACCCAGAGCATACAAGACTGGTAAGAAATCATCTGAAAGCACCTGGAGGACTCATTCTTACATCAATTTAGCACTTCTACTGCTTTGAAAGGCTTCAACACCTGTGTCGGCGCAAGGAAGCGTGATGATGCTAGCCTCGATGCCTGCGCGGATGCTGTTATTGAAAAAGAGGCAGTCTGTTTAGAGGCTGCTGGTACAGATCAGAAGAAAGTTTCGAAATGGTACGTTTACATATGGCTTCATCATTGAGTTATAAAGGACGAAACGGCAGCTAAGACATCTACAGTTCCGGGGACGCATACAGGGGTTTCGTCGCCTGTGTTTGAACGGCTCGGTTGTGGAATGGACTACCCTGCTTTGTTTTGCGCATGAAATTCGAAGCTGCGGAGGTCTACTTATGCCAATGGATGCTTATTCAACTACACAGCTCAGTTCGCAGTCGCTTAGTGTAAACAGCTTCCAAGAGCAGGCGGTTTTTCATCCTCTCACACGCCAGCGCCTGGCGGCCAAGAGGTAAGAGTACGATTCTCACTTGGCATCATAGCACTTCAATATTATCTATCTGTTTTACTTACAAGCTTGGGTATTGAAAGATGTAGAGTACTTTGACGCGCAACTGTCCACTTGAGCTGGTGACAAATCCAATAGCAAGAGCTTGACCAACGCAACTTTCTGTATCTTTGTCTACATAACTTAGTTTCTGTTCTGGGAAGGTATTGGAAGAGTTCGGCTCAACAGCTTAGCTGCTCGAAGGCACAAAGCGCCAGGCTCAATACTCACGCAAGGGTGCATTGAGTTGCAGGCGGTCATGTGAAGCCCCGCTTTCTTTCTGTTGCTTGTTGCGTATCTGCTTGGAATTGCATCGACTTGCTGGCTCGATACAATACCCACCGGTGTAGCTGATCTTGGGAATGAACTTATTCCTTCGGTACGCTCAAATGTAGCTCTCCACGCAATTCAGATTCTAGTTGAAGCTAAGCAGCCAACAAACCACGATCCATTTCTCCTTTCTCGTTTCACCACTGAAGCATCAAGAACATAAGAACTAGTCTCTGCTCACCAGAAAATGGCGGCAGAGCCATCATTATCATATCTCGTCGTTGGTGCTGGAGTGTTTGGCGCCTTGACTGCTCATCAGCTGGCTAAAAAGTACCCGGGCAGCTCTATCAGTCTCATTGACCGAGCACCGTACCCCTGTCCGCTGGGTGCGTCCTGGGACTGGAACAAAATCATTCGAGCTGATTATGGAGACTTGTTCTATATGAAGAAAGCTCTGGATGCCATTGATATGTGGCGGAACGATCCTCTATACCATCCATTCTATCACCAAAGTGGGCTGGTCAACAACATCAACAATACAGGATTGGGACAGCGAATGATAGATAATTACAAGAACTTGTACATCGCAGTAGATCCTAGACTCGTCTCCGTACAAGATTTTTAGAAGCGCTACGACTGTTTCTTTGATGATACCGACTTCGAAGGGGTGAGGGAGGCTTTCGTGAATGAGAAGAGCGGAAGGGCGGAAGCTGCCAAAGCACTGAAAGCATTGATCGATGCCACTCTCGAGTTGGGCGTCAAGTACGTTCCAAGCGAAGTGTCAACTTTGACCTTTGATGATGCTGGAGATTGTGCTGGCGTCAAGTTCTTGGATGGAAAGGTCCTGAACGCTGATAAGATAATCTTGTCGACGGGAGCTTTGACAGCCAAACTCCTCGCAGATAGCGCACCCGAAAGACCCGAGTTACAGGTTGGAGACCGCATAGTTGCAGCAGCAGTTATTACTGGTATCGCGAGTCTTAGTGCTCAGGAGGGAAAGAAGTACACCGAGATGCCGGTGACAGTGCATGGGACATCATCCACTCGAGGTGAGCCAGCTATGCTAGCTTCAAGAAGCAATATTCAGTACTGAACAGTATTTCAGGAGAAATCATGCCTCTCACAGCGCCCTTGGAAGAAAAAGAGGCATACATCTTGAAGTTCTGCCGAGACAAAAGCTTTAAGAACACATACTACCACACCGCATCGAAACAGCACGTTTCAATGCCTCCACCGGAACCAGGAGAATTACAACGGTCTCCCAGCACCGGTCTCAAAGCTCGTTTGGATAATGTGACGAAAGGCATTCTTGGCTCAAAAGCAGATGATCTTGTGATTGATGAATACAGAGTCTGTTGGGATGGGGTTACACCTAATCAAGACTTCGTCATTACCCCTCATCCACATTGCAAACGTTTGTTTATTGCAACGGGTGGCTCATTCCATGGATGGAAGTTTATGCCGACTATTGGAAGATACGTTGTTGAGATGATGGATGGTGTCCTGGATCCAGAGCTCGCCAAGCGCTGGGCTTGGGAGAGGGGAGCGGAGGGTGGTGCTCACAAAGGCCTCCTACCTCAGCTTGAGTTGAGAGATCTGTAATATACGCCACGGATATGCTGGTCAAGCCTCAACGACTGGCTAGGACAGAATACTTTCTTAGCTTTCACGACGAGCTTGAATGAGCTGTACACGACCCACCAGCACAATGGCTGCTTCAAGGCTACACCATTTTTATGTCTCGAATTTCGGCGTCTTTCCACCAAGAAGAACCCTCTCGATGAATCAAGATACCAACTCGTCTGTACTCTCTACCCTTTTCCGCCAAGACAAGCGCATATGCTGGTAAGTCGCGTTCTTCAGCATTAAGTTTGCTCGAATCTTGAGCCATGTATCTCCACAGAGTACAAACGGATTTGTGCGGCTTCTCGAGCAATGGACATCCAGTACTTCACATCTGGGATCGGCTATGAATCCTCGGACTTTGACCATGTCGTAGTTGACGAATGGCAGATCATTACGGTCGTTCCAAATGGAAGCCCATGACCAGGATGGTGCGTGAGCTTCATTGTCTCGAAAAGTGGGCTTTTTATTCCTGTAATCGCTCTCTCTGTACCAACAAAGAGCTCTCGGGAGATCCTGAGACCACAGTCCTGCGAGGTACTCGCCAGACAAGCGGGTGGCCACTCGAGAAGCGAGACCAGAGAGTGCGGTTAGTCGGTCGATTTGCTTTGTGAGCTTCAGCGAGCAGTATTCTTTGACGAGCTCAAGCCAAATGTCGAGAATTTGAGACGTGGTCGCTGATGAGGAGTTAATTGATGCGTAAATCATCTTGAGCTGTCCAGACTCGTTATGCTGAAGAAGTCCGTCGGGGTCACCCTTTTGAAAGTTCTCCTGCCGTAAACATTCGCATGAGATCCCAAAACCACATTCCCAGATCATTTCCTCGGCATGGAAGTGTAAAGTCCGTACGGAAAGCAGTCTTTCCTGGAAGACCCACGCACGGCCGAGAAGCGGCGATGCAAGTTCCATTGTGTGCGCATAGTCCATACTCCTCGTGACATGATCATGAGCAACGTGCAAGGCGTTGCGGACATATATCTTGTACTTCGCTTCTTCGACCTCATCTGGTTCAATCAAAATATCTTCGCCAACATTCAGCTCCACTTGGTTTAGACTATCCAGTGACCACCTTTCAGCAAAACAGCCGCCTTTGCCACTGCTGGAATGTGTAGCAGCGATGTTGAGTTGCGAGTTCATGTAAACATCTGCCATTTTCGCAGACTCTACCTCCCAGTCCTTGAAGTCGTCTTGGATGATACAAAGCGAATCGATCCATAGATATCGGATTCCAAGCCCCCGAGTCAGCTCTATAGCATGACGAAACGTCTTCGAAAGTTCTGAGAGCTTGATTCCTGCTTTCCTTGCTTGGAGAGTGTTCGTCGTGGTCGTGATTATCTGTTCTAAGCCCCAGCAATGGCTTAGTGACATGTAAGGATGCCGATCTGTTTCTTTTGCTTCTTTCAAGTGTACTGTGTCGCTTTTCGGATCAACACCGACATCAACCACGCGGGTTGGAAGCCTCGATTCGTCCGACCTTTTGCAGATCTCGTGTTCTTCGTCACATGCTTTCATCCATAGAGTTGCGAGTTCCAAACATTTACTCAAATTCATCTCGGTAGCAACTTCTCTGCCGATACCAAATGCCGGAATGGAAGCATTTTCTTGAAACAATTAGTAGGTGATCAGTGGGTTGGAACAAAGCAGCTCGCCTTCTTCAGAGCGAGTATAGAATTCCACAATCTGTGCCGAGCCAATGTTATCTAATGTGATTCGAAGACTATGACCTCGACGCAAGTTGATTCCAAGCTGAGTCTTATCAGTCAAGTACTCGTTTTCGATCCCTTCTTCATCGGCTTCGTCCCAGTCATGCCTCATTTTTTCAAGTCCCGTGCATAGAATCTGACATGGTAAGCACCCTCCTATCTCAGATGAAGCCTTTAGTTCCGAGAATGTCACCGTAATCATGTAATCATCGAGAGTGCATGGTGGGTCTTTCGCGGGGAGGAGGTCGAAGTCCAGGTTTAAACAAGTCTGGCATATGGAGTTTTTGCTGTCCTTCGCAGGCATTGTATACTTTGCGACTTTGTAGCGAAATGTCGCATTTTACATTTGGAACACCAGAGAGCTGATATTTACGGAGATGGGGGGTAAAGCTTGTGCTGACTGCATTTGCAGTTGCAGGGTAAAATGTGCTGGGATCATCTCCAGACATATGGCCTACGCTGTCCCCTCCCACTCATGACCCAGCATTTGGTCGGCTACATTTTAGCACGGGGCTTGACTTGACCAAGAGATCCAGAAATTATGGGTTTGGGCGGTGGGGATGTCTGCATTGGGAAAGTGTTGTGTTATCAACAATCTACTACCAAGAGGTTGGCGAGGGGGAAAAGAATGAGGACACAGCAAACGTATTTAAAATGGGCAAAGTACCATTGTAGCTAGGAGGTGCCGAAACTGCTATGGTTTCTGATGAAATTTGCTACTGTTCGACGACAGCGATTGGCTGTGGCGGTACGCGGTGATATATGGCTACATGATGTACTGTACAAGATATGTTACACATTGGAGGGGAGAGCAGTGGCTCTCTTGGATCTCCTTCGAGCCACAACCTCAAATTCCGAAGTATGGAAAAGAGCACACATAGCGCGGCATGTTTACCTGCCGCTAGATTTTACTCATGTTCCAAATCATACTGATCCACTTGACTCTTCTTTTTTCACTTCCGGCCGAGGCTCTAAAGGCTCTGCTGTATCGCTCTCAACAGGCTTGTTGCTTCCAAGAAGCCCATCTTCTCCGAGGATGCGCTCGATGGCTTCCTTTTCGGCATTTGTTGCCGATTCCTTGACCCTAATAGCGCCTAAAATCCCATTTCTCCATGTCTTAAGCATTCCAGGATACTCCTGCCCAGACAGCGCATATTCTTCATCAGACACAACTTGAACAACCCTAATGTGGTTCTTTCCCTTCCGGAACAGCAAGAGGTCGTTGTGAATCAGGTAAAGTTTTGTCTCTTCTGGTTGCCAATTCTTGATAGTTATCCACGACACATTTCCGTCATTCATGGGGACTTTCTTAGCGCTGGAGGGACCGCCGATATACGCTCCAGCAACATTCACAAGCCGATGCCCATGAGAAGCCGAGTCAGCAATGCCTGCGGCATGGAGGATTTTGCCAATGCTCTTTTGATAAATTAAGCTTCGAGGTAGTTGAATGTTGACCTTTGGCTTATTGTTCATGGTGGTAATGCCAGCCTTTGCATCCGGATCCGACTCTGCATTTGAGCCACCGCTGTTGTGAAGCAGACGATGCTGAGTTTCAGATTCTTTGGCTTCGTGAGGACCATGAACAAGTTCTACAAACTCACGGGCGAGCTTGTGCTGTGCTTTCCGTTGAGATGGCGATTCCATATGCTCATTGACCAGGGTATCGATTTGCTCGATAGGCATGAAGGTGAATAGCTTTAGATACTTGCTCACATCTGCGTCCGGTGTTCGCAGAAAGAAACCATACAGGTCATAGGAACTCATTTCTTCGATGTCCAGCCACACCGCATTACCAGCGCTTTTGCCAAACTTCTGGCCAGATGCGGTTGTGAGGAGGGGAGTCGTAAAACCCCAAGGCTGCCCAACAGCTGCAGCTTCATTTCGGACGACGGGATTTGGATGATGTGCTGTTATGTGCTTGATCGCATCGATCCCGGCCGTGATATTGCCATATTGATCCGAGCCGCCAATCTGCATATTGATGCCTTTTGAATGGAACATGTACCACCAGTCCCAAGCCTGCATAAGAGGATAGGAAAATTCAGCAAATGACATTCCATCTCCTTTGCTCATCTTGTTTTTTACCCTGGATGTGTCAGTGCCCATAAACTGCTCCTTTTCCCTTGCAGACTCACGTATCTCGAGCCAGCATAGAACCAAGTCGCATTCCTGGCCCAAGGACTTGCAACACCTCCAGCATTGGTAGCTTGTTCCACCAGGCATTGTTGTTCACCAACTCTCTATGCCACGACCATTCCCACTTATAGTCGTATTTCATCCCGTATTGTTCGACATTTGCCCATAATTTCTTCAGTTGGAAGTGCATCCTCGCCATATTTGCTGTTCGCACAGAGCCGGGCTCCAATGTCCTTGTCGTCAAGCGATCCGTGGGATCGCCAATCTTCGCAGTTGCTCCGCCAAGTAGTGATACTGTGTGATACCCATGCACGTACATCCAGAACAGCGACATCAGGGGGAGCAGGTGGCCGACATGCAGTGACGCAGCCGTGGGATCGACTCCGACGTAGGCGCCGACTCGTTTCTTCGTCAAGTACTTGTCAAGAGCATCACGGTCCCTTCGCATATTAGTAAGAGGTAAAGGCAGGTGGTAGGGACCACTTACCCCGTGATTGAATTGACTAAACCTCTTTCCTCAAGAATTGTGAGCATACTCTTTTGTTTCCCAGCTTCAATCTTGGCGGCCTTCTCCTGCCATTGTGCCTCAGCATTCGCCAACTTCGCAAGATATTTCATGCCAATCCATCGCCTAGATATCGTAGTGGGCGAAGTCGAAGCTCGTAGGGCGCAGCTGGCGCAAACATAAAGGTTGGGCCTCGTAGACCGGCGAAATAAGGAGGGTGGTGCCATGGTGGCGGCTTATGCATCTATGAATCCATGTAAAGTAAAAACGAGAGAGAAGAGAATGCCGGTTTGGGCTTATGACGAATCTGCGGGCAACGGAGACAAGTCTGGACTGGAGAGATGGAGCTGTTGATATTTGCAGAGAATCTGTAATATTTTGGCGCGCCCCGAAGTTCTTCCGTGCGCGCGGCAAAGGAGATCCACCTGACTGGACACGGAAGCGGGAGGCCTCCCGTCCCGAGCTGGAGCTGTCCCCCACTGTCCCCAAGGTACCTTGTCCAACGTCCATGTCCCTGTCCCTGCATCATCAGCTGCACTCCACAGCTCTTGCATGCTGGCAGCTAGATTGTAATCCTCCTCACATCTTGACTCCTCTTTCTCCTAGTTTTCTCTCTCGTATGTGTAATTCCTCAATCCTCACTTTCGTCGTTCTCAATCGTTGCCTCTTTATCTCATTGCGGCATCTACGATGACAACCTTCATTAGTGCTGCTGACGGCAACGAGGTCTTTCAAGTTCAGTATATTCCCAAACAAAAGGCTCCTCCGGCTTCGGACGATCCCAGCATGTTGGCATATATCTCAACATACCCAGCTCTGGGTCAGGTCACACAAATCGAGAAGCACACGACTGTCTTCACAGCGTTGCTCGAGGTTGACCACAGTCGAGCTTCACAGTCGTGGCAAGTCTCCCTGTGGCACTCTGAAGGACAGGAGTGGCGAGAAGCGCCTATGGAACCCGTGACCAAAGCCGTTTCGGCTCCTTGCGAATTGCAAGTCAAGGACGGATCTCCTGCTGCTGGTCAGAGGAGACTTTACTTCACGACTCCATTGGCCATCCACCTTCCTACGAACTTCACAATTAAGTTCCGTGCTGGCCCAGCCGAGTCGTGGAAATGGGTTAAGGATCACCAGGGTACAGCCGATGGGGTCGTCATGTTAAGCACGGTGACCAGTCAGGACTCCATTTCAAGTGAACTGGAAGAATATATCAAGGATTTGAATCCGATCCTGAAGTCGAAAAACTATCGAAGCCAATCGCCTGGAACTACGCTTTGGTCGGTTGAAGCCCCTGTTGAAGGAGCAGATGGAGAGAAGTCTACAATCACAGACATAAAGTTCGGTCTGCCATGGGGAGTTGGAAAGTTCTCAAGGTCAGCAATCATCCCGACTTTGTTTGGCGTCTACGCTTTTGTTCTATGACTCTCCTTTGGTGCAACTTGGTATATAGTTCCAGCTTCGAAGTGCTGATTTCTCCAAGATGGTTCGCCCTCGTTCGGATCTGGTCGCCATGGCTGGCTCCTCGCCAGGGAAAGTCTGTATTCGGACTTGACAAAGAAGCGGTAATGTGCTCATTCCTGAGTCTCACGGGGAAGCATTTGGTTCTGCTAGCTATCACTGGTGTTGACGATGTCATGACTTTATTCACAAGCGACAGCGATGGAAACGTAGTCTTACATGTAGGTCCCGACGCGAATTGTTTGTGTCGAAACTCACTGAATGTGTAGATTCGGAACGACAGTGCTGAAAGCAAAGTATCAAGGGTTCTTGTTGGCCTCGGTGATGATTTTGAATCTGCCAACGCAGCAGTAATGTATCATGCTCGAGGGATCATCTCCACAGCACAAGCTGTCAGTGGGGAGAAGCAAAAAGAGATCGAAGCATTAAATGAAGGAGATGAGAAGACCAAAGTATGGGCCGAGAATTGGTATGACGGACTAACATATTGTAAGTCGACGGTGATGCACTGGCACCTCCATTCTGATCGATACTTCTGTAGGCACATGGAACGCTCTAGGGCAGCGACTCACAGAGGAGAAAGTCCTCAAAGCTGTCACTACCCTTGCAGAGAACAAAATCAATGTCACTAATTTCATCATCGATGACAATTGGCAATCAATTGATTACCGTGGGCATGGCCAATTTCAACACGGCTGGAAGGAGTTCGAGGCAGAAAGAGACGCTTTCCCTCAGGGTTTGAAGCACATGGTCAATCTCATCCGAGAGAAGCAGCCTAGCATACAACATATAGCAGTCTGGCACGCTATCTTAGGATACTGGGGAGGACTTGCTCCGGATGGCAAAATTGCCAAAACATACAAAACCCTGGAGGTAGTTAGAGAAGATGCCGAGAGGAGAAACCTTCCTTTGGGAGGTAAGGTCAGTTACAATTGTTCAACTGGGTGTCAGTAATGTAGACTGATTGGCCCAAAACCCAGATGACGGTCGTGGCGAAAGAAGACGTTACCAAATTTTACGACGACTTCTATCGCTTCTTGTCGTCTTGTGGTGTGGATGCGGTCAAGACCGAGTATAACTGCTCTATCTTCTCCAATCTTTCGGTATGCTAATGAAAATTGCAGTGCTCAGTTCATGCTCGACACATTCATTTCCGCTGAAGCTCGTCGTGATCTGATTCCAGCTTACCTGGACGCGTGGAATATTTCTACTCTCCGACACTTTAGCGTGAAGGCAATTTCCTGCATGTCTCAAACACCACAGATCCTGTTCCATTCTCAAATGCCGACAAACAGACCACCACTGCTCGTCCGAAATTCAGACGATTTCTTTCCCGAGATTCCCACCAGTCACCCGTGGCATATCTTCGTCAATGCACACAATGCGTTGTTTACACAGCATTTAAACCTCATTCCTGATTGGGACATGTTTCAAACTGTTCATGAATACTCTGGTTTCCATGCTGCAGCGAGATGTGTCTCTGGAGGTCCAATTTACATCACAGACGTTCCTGGAGAGCATGATTTGGACCTCATCAACCAGATGACTGGACCATCGCCTCGAGGCAAGACGATCATTTTCAGACCGAGCGTCGTGGGAAAGAGTCTGGATCAATATAACGGCTACGATGATGACCATCTCCTACTTGTTGGTACATATCATGGTAAATTGTCAGCTTCCCTACTCAGATCATTCACTTACAGTACCAGGTGCTGCAGTGACTGGAACTGGCATTATCGGATTCTTCAACGTCTCTCAGCGTCCTCTTACCGAGCTAATTCCACTCTCCAAATTCCCTGGCGTGGTCGAAGCGCAATACTATGTGGTTCGTGCACACTCGAGCGGCCTCGTCACCAAGCCCATGCAAGTAGTCGACGCCAACAGCCTCGTCACTATCTCCCTTGGTGTTCGTGGCTACGAAATTATGTCCGCTTACCCTCTCCGTGGATTCTTCGACGAGACGAAGAAAGAGACAACTTGGGTTGCTAACCTTGGACTTCTGGGTAAAATGGCAGGCGCTGCCGCTGTGGTTGCGAATCATCTCACAAAATTAGAGAATGGAAAGATTGTGATTGATACAAATATCAAAGCCTTAGGTGTTCTTGGTACGTAATTTCCTTCACCATTTACATTCCATCATCTCTTTCCAGCCCTGTACCTTCTGTATCTACACGACTGACAAATCCAGGCCTCTACATCTCCACTCTCCCAACCCTCTCCTACAAAGACAACATGATGATTACCATTCAAGGCAAAGTCCTCCCTGTCCATACCGTTACCATCAGCAAAGTAGACGACCATGTATTAGAAGTCGATGTGGAAACTGCATGGAAAGAACTGGATCTAGAAGCCGGATGGAGCAATGAGGTCCAGGTCAAGATTTACATAAATCACACTTAAAGATAAGAAATGGCTTGCCTTTTGAAGCGCATATAAGAGAGCAGAGGGCAAGTGTGGATAAATTGCACACCAGTGCTGATGAGGAGAAGAACTATATCGAGGTATATAAAATAGACACTCATTATAAACAAAAGCACTGCTACACCTCATCCAAGCTCAAACCATGCCTTCTCCCCTTCCTATCATTCTCAAATCACTAAGATCGTACCTCCCCGCTCTCTACTCATCCCTCACCTCAACTCCACACATTCCCATCCACCTCACCACCTCACCCTCAATCCCGCCCCAATTCCGCCTTCCCCACTAAAGTTCACCGCCAAATCTCGAGGTCCCCTCCTCACCGCGATGAAAGCCACGCCATTGGATACTATTCCGCCTCTACTGCACCGCCGACAATCACCTACTGCACGGCGTCTCTGAACATTCGCTGATCCGGAATGAAGGGCCGTGGGATCCGGGATAGAGAAGATGCGCGTCTGGCGCTTAAAATTTGAGAGGCTAGATAGATGCTGTGGGTTATTTAATTAACTATTTACTTTTGCTTGGTCTCGTGGCATGAGAAGTTGAGTAGGATAGAAAGAAGAAGGAAGATGGAGAATGGGTTTTGGTGGATTTGATGTGGTGCTGCAGGTGCTGAGAGCGTTGAGGACGTTGAGTCAAATTGAATGTCTATCCGACTTTTCACAGAGAAACGTATGAAAACAACTATTGTACTCTTTTCTATTACATGTACGTTTTTGGCTCTATTCGATAATCCCAAAAGATGGCCAATCACACAACTCCTGGCAGCTAAAAGTAGTAGCTATCTACCAAGCGAAGAAAGCAAAAGCAATTTCCAAAATCATATCAAAACTCCCTTTCCCTGCCAGATCCTCATATATAACATCTTACAATATAGAGTCTCTATCCGCCATTGCTAGACTACAATCTAGCGATAGCCTTCATCAAGACCTCAAGTCCCCTATCTTCAACACCGTCCTCTGGAGACCCTCCAATAGCTTGCTTCAGAATCCAGCTGACATCACTCTGTACACCAAGAGGAATATAACATCCGCTTCTCGCCTTTTCTAAACTCTCTTTCAAGCGGCTGGTATGTTCCCATTCCTTTGCCGCGACTTCAGCACGATCGATAACTTTCGTAGGGATGCCGCACATTGCAGCGCAATGCATACCGAAGCTGCCTTCTGCAACACCATCCTCGAGTTTGTAAAGGAAGGTGACTCGCCGATTGTCTTCGTCTACGTGAATTTGCATTCTCTTTGGAGCGATCTCAGGGTGGCCTGAAAATTCAGTTGCGAGGGAGTGGTAATGTGTTGCAAAGAAACCGGTGCATCCAATGTGAGTTGCGACATGGTGTAGTACTGCTTGTGCCACAGCTACGCCATCATATGAGCTCGTTCCACGACCGAGTTCGTCAAGGATCACAAGTGAGCGAGGAGTAGCTTCCGCCAGAATCTTCTTCGTTTCTGAGAGCTCGACGAAAAATGTAGATTGTGCGGCGAAGATGTTGTCATTGGCACCCAGGCGAGACATGATTCGATCAACAGGAGTCAGGGTTGCCGAAACGCAGGGAACGTAACATCCGATCTGAGCCATGATCACTGCAACACAGGTCTAGATAATGTCAGGAACAGGGAACATCATACAGGGAGGAATTGCTTCATACCATTCGCAGCATTGTTGATTTTCCAGCAGCGTTCGCACCAGTCAACAAGTTAATATTCGCTGCATCCCCACCAAGCTTGACATCATTTGGAATGAAATCCGCGACATTTGGCAGCACGCAAGGATGTCGAAGTTCTTCAAATTCAATCACACTTCGTTCTGAATCAACAAATGTCGGTCTACAACTTGGCTCTCCCAAAGCCGCCGATGCTGTAGCGAGACTTATTAGGCAATCGAGCTGTGATACAACCCTGACAGCTGGGAGCCATAGGTTGTAATCTTCGTCGAATCGAGCATACAGCCTACTTGCCACCTGTTTCACAATCTGGCCATGTGTCTCTTGAGCCTCTTGAAGTTGTCGAATCAGAGTTTTCAACTCTGGAAAGTAGTAGCGTTTGAAACCAGATGCCGAAGACATCATGCTCCAATCTTTCGGCACCTTGATAGACACCGGTACTTCCATCTGGTATATCTCTTTCCCAATAGTCTTGTAGTTGATCTTGGTCGTATTGCCGCCCAGCTCCTTCCTCTTGCGTTTCAGTAGGGCTTCCAATTCTCCTTCAATCTCTTCGATGTGGTCTTGGCTGCCATCGAAGTCTTCTTCGACTCCTCGCTCCGGCACCAGAAGTTTGAATTCTCTCGCCTTTGAGTGATCAAATGCTGTCTTCCAGAACTTTAGTGGCTTCGTCAGGTCCGGCATCGCAGAAATGAGTCTATCAACAATTCCATCGCCGCCACCGAAAGCTTGCAAGAGGCTCATGGTGTACTCAATTTGCTCAAAGCCATCAATAACCTTGACAAAGTCTTCTGGTCTGCAAGATCCCGCGTGAATGCGAGAAATCAATCTCTCCAGATCTGGCATCCGGGTCATGGACTCAATAAACTGTTCACTCAAAGTGCGATCCTTGTTGAGCATGTCTACCGCGTCCAAGCGGTCGTTGATTCTAGCTGCATCGGCCAGAGGATGGCAGACCCATTGTCGGAACATGCGCTTGCCGAATGGCGTTACACAGCGGTTGAGCAGAGTAAAGAGAGTTCCATCCTGGCTTCCATCAAAACTGTTGGCGAAGACTTCCAAATTGATGAGTGTCTGTCCATCTAGAACTAAGGTAGTGCCTTTCTGAATTGGGCTATAGGTAGTGAAGTTCCCTTGGGTCAAAAGACTGCGCTCCAGCTTGAGTGTTCTAAGATACTGAACAAGAGCACCCATAGCAGACATCAACACATCACTGCCTCTCGCAGCTTCCAGCTTCTCAGGCCAGATTTCTTTGCCATCAGCCTCTTCAGAGGTGAAGTAGCCATTGCAATCCAATTCCCGTCGAGTAAGGTCAGCTGTCCAGAACTCGTTGCCAGCCTTTAGATAGTTCCAAATAGTCGTCGGGTTGGTATTGTTCTTCAAAATACGAAGTGCTTTGGTGGACAGGTGCGATTTCTCAAGCAGTAGCTCCTGAGGTCTGATTTGAGCAATTATTGTCTCGAACTTGGTCAGGTCAACATCGTCCACGAATTCCGAGAGGAAGAACTGTCCAGTTGCAGTGTCGACGAATGCAACTCCATAATTGGGTAGGTCATCAATCATTTCTTCCTTGATGGCCACACAGAATGTAGCCATGTCATCTTGAAGCATGCTTCCCTCTACCAACGTTCCTCCAGTCAGAACGCAGGCCAGTTCACGGCGGATGATCTTGTCTGCCTTAGAAGAAGCCTTGGTTCCATTGCTCTTCCCTTCGGCTTCTCGCATTTCCTTGCCTAAAGCAGATTCGCACTGATCAACGCGAGCAATCTTGAATCCTTTGGCAACAAACTGGTTGGCCCAATGATCCAGTGACATTTCTGGGACACCAACCATTCGCATGTTGACCCGATCTGTAAGTTTGAGGTCAAACAACTGATGACCAATGGTGGCATCGTTCTCGTACAGCTCGTAGAATTTACCCTTCTTGAAGAAAACTACTGTATCCCAGAACTTCTGTTTAATTTCCCAGTATTGCTTCTCGAATGGTGAGAATTTCACCCATGCTCCTGGGGGAATATAAACAGTTCTCGGGTCATAGTCCGGATGTCCAATAGGGTTTCGATCTATATCTTGCAGGTTCGCCAGCCATGGATATCGATGTTCCGGCTCACTCTTACATGCTTTCTCCTTGGGCTTCTTCTTGTTCGATTGCGGGGTTTTGAGGGCACTTGACGACTTTTCTAGTAAAAGCGCTGTGTTTTCCGGGTCATACATCCATTGCTGCGCGGTTGATGTCTGTGGCATCTCCATATCTAGATCCTCGCTTGCATCTCTCGCGATTGGAGCAGGTGTGGGAGGAGCAATGTTTGCGTTGGATCGTTTTCGAGAGTTGGCGGTCGACACAGGCCTCTTTCTTTTCTTCGATGGCTTTACAGGAGCATCAGAGTCATCGTCGACGACAAAATCATCCATATCGTCTGCATTGTGTTAGCCACTGTATTGCCAGGCAAAGAGAGGATCAATGTACCATCGTCATCGTCCACTGCACCATCAAGCCCTGCGATGAATGCATCCTCTTCATCTTCATCCTCTTCAATTTTGGGTTTGGAGACTCTTCTCCTCTTGGTATTGATACCGGCAGGGTCGTAGGCATCCTCATCGTCGTCGTCGTCCGATTCGGCGTAACTGACAACCTTCTTTGCCTAGATAGAGTAATTAGACACTGGGGAGTGAACTCGAAGATGTGTGTTCCGCGTACCTTGCGAGACGGGCTGCTACCCAATACAAGGCCATTTCCGGTGACAGCCTGCTGAACTCTCTTAGCAGGTGTCGAGGGCGACGGCAGACCAGTGTCCTCTACCTCTTCTGGGATCCCTCCATTCTCATTCTCCTGGGAGCTGGACGGGCCTATTGCATCACTACTTGGTACAGGAGTCATGCTCTTGACAACGGGTTTCCGGAACGCGGGTTTCTTGACTGGGAGGGTGGGTTTCGTCATGGCGTTGACGGCATTTGAAGTGTCGTTCGCCTTTAAGACGCCATTAGAAGCGATGGGAGTAGGTGTACTGCTCGCGGCCTTCTTTCCGAAAAAGCTCTGAATCGTCCGCTGTCCTGACGAAGGTCCAGCACTGGAATTCTGCTTCTTCAATGATGGAGGGGCCCGGGCAGGCGTCTCTGATCCATCCTTTGCCTTTCCCATTTTGGTCGCTCAGTAGAATTGAAGAGTGGTTGTACAATTACTGCTAAGAAGAACAGATAATGGATCGAGAAGCTGGGATGTTGGCAGGTATGGCAATGGGCATTGAGAAGAAGGAGAAATATGAGAGCTGAACAGCTTCAGAAAGCTGGGGAAGACGCGTCGGGGAAGTGCAGCGCGTGCCAGTCGCGGATGCTGGTTCCGTGGCTTGGCCCGCGAACCCCTGTCATACAGCATCAGGATGTCGATCCACGCTCCCAGCTTACCTTACACGTTCTAATGATCTTTTATTATTTACTGTATCTTAGAATATCTAAGCCTGTATCAATGACGAGCAACAAGCAGTACTGCCATTAACTAGTTCCCGGCCCACTACCTAGTAGTACACTATTGTACTTTGGCTGCACTGATCTCGCCGATATTCATCTAGATTTAAGTGACGTTACTGTCACATCTACAATGGCCACATTATTCCGGCCTGAATAGCTCATTATCAGTCGAAGAAGATAAATCGCATTTTACTGTCCAATTCTAGCCTAGCTGGCCTCTAATACTCCGGCTTCCCATCCTCGGTATCCATCCAGTACCTCCATCCTATCCCGTTTGTACCCACAGCGTCAATACTGCGCCATGATCTCCTCGTTACGCCTTCTCCGAAGACCAAAACCTCTGCCTCTCATCCCTATGGTACTTTTCCGTTACTGATGCCTTCGATGCACGTTTTGCTCGACGAGCTGTCAGATCTCTCGCCACAGGAGAAGCAACTCGACGATGTGATTCCGAGAAATGAGCAAAATTGGCTGTTGGTTGTGGAGCCGCAGGCGTGGCTGCGTTGCGCTCAACTCGTCTCCTCTCCCTCTTCTCCTGAGAGTCAGATTCGCTCGGCTCGTTGGTTGCGTAATTGTGAGGGACAATAGGGACAAAGCTTGATCGGAGAGTCTTGACGTAACGCGAGTTCGTCGACGAGGTAGCTGGTCCATGGGAAATTTGAGCATCGGCCAAATCATGAGATTGTAATCTTCTATTCGCCCAAAAGGGGTTCGGCTTCGGTGGACTTGGTTGGAAATCTCCTGATCCTTGAGGCAGAGGTAAAAGGAAGGAGTCTGTAGAAAGATGACCTGAAAAAGGTACCGTAGGCCGCCCTATGATGCTTCCGAGATTGATTTGTGAATCTCGACTGCTCAGAAGGGACGAATTGGAGTCCCAGCTCTCAGTTTTCTTATCAACGTATATACTGGTTTCATTTGTGCTTGAGATCGAGCTACTGGTACGCATGTTACTCTGCCGTTTGGCATTGGTATGGAGGTGCGAGACAGTCAAAGTCTGGCGTGCATCTTCATCAATCATGGGGTGTTTCTCCTCCGTCTCCCAGATTTTCGGGTTCTGGCGCTTCACTCGACGTCTTTGATGGCTCTTCTCGTCGAATCTGACTCGTTCTTTTCCCTGCATTTTATTCGTGCTCTTTGACTTATTCCGTTGCAGAGCTGAGAACACCTTCTCGATGAACTTAACCTTCTGCTTCGGGGACGCGTTGCTCGTCATCTTGTCGGTGACAAGGCTATCAAGGTAAAGGTCAGCGTAGTGGGGCGAATCTTTGGGTTCTACTGGCTGGCAGTGATACTGGGAAGACTGGTGGCTACCACGGGGAGTGAAGCTAGCGGGGGAGCTCCCCTCATTTCGAAAATCTCTTTTCCAGACCCTGATATCAAGCTGAGGTCTTTCATAGTAACGTCCTGGGACAGAAACCACAGAAACGCCGTCCGATTCCTTGTCATAGTTAATGGCAGTAGCGACGGCATCACAGTCCTCCAGCCACGCTTCAACTATGAGGCATGATCTCTTGATAAGCACCGGATGAGGATCCAGATCACTCCCTGAGGGGCTATACTGTGGGGTATTCCTTTTCTCTTCTAAATTTCTTCGCAGACTGCCATCCTGTGTTGTCTGTTGCGAAGTCAGCACTTCGTCTCTTCTCATTGAATCTGTCAGATGCTACTTCACTTGAATGACTACAAGAGAAGCAACTCATAGGTGCATCAAGGATCACAAACATTCACAGCAGTCTCTTGTTCCATCTTCTTTCTTGCTTGCATGCTCGCACTCTCACTAGGCATGATCGAATTGTCAGAAACCTCGCTGCTAGAGCCTGCAGTACCCCGCACCTCAACAGCCTGGTGGTCAGCCATCTGCTTTTGACAATGCAGCAACTCGTCGTCAACTTCATTCAGCATTTCCGTGATGGCAGCAACAGGCACAACTTTGTGTAAACCTGCTAAGGCTATTCGAAGCCTTAGTGTTGCGTCAAACCTCCAGATCCAAAGGTGCTCTAAGTCGGGACCGAAATCTCGGTGAAGTCGTGCTAGAGCTAGACCTACTGGCTTTAGAGCTTTGTTGTTATTTGACTCTAGGGCTTGAGCTTTTCTGCAAAGGTGGCACATTGTGAGTCTGCACAGGAAGTGGGGTTTGGGCGGTTAGGAAGGTAACCAGGGGGTGAAATTTTGGAAGCAGGACTGAAATGACTCCAAAACATTTAGCCTATTGGGCTCGGATATACAGGAAAATAAGGGTCGTAATACTTTCCAAGCTATTGTGCTCCGAATAACAACAACTCTATCGATTCAATTCATACGTACAATTGTCGTGGTTAGTGAATCATGAACTGTCCCAATTTTCCTTTCTAAGCGACAAACCATGTCCTTCGTGAAAAAAGTGATAGAGATATGGATAAATGAGTCCCGCCGAGGATATTTTGGTTCACTAAGTGATCTGCTATAACATTGTAGTTTCACAGCCTGATCTTCGGTTCGCTTCTCAAAGTAAACACAGTTGGGTCACGTGATTTCATCTCTATGGCATTGCAGGGACGGCAATCAGTCTTTGCCAGCTCCTAAATCTAAATTCAGCTTCATCCGGAATACCTTGACATAACTCTCGTGGGTCCGAAGTGCTTGTCAACCCCGATAAAGGTATCCCCTCCAGCGGTGGTTTGGTAACGCCTTTTAGCGCCTTAGTAGTCAGAATCCTTACTAAAAATCGAGAGTATTCAGAGAATCGCTATAATACCTCTATTATTTACTATAATACTAGGTAAAGTAATTACTATCTTTACAGAATTTAACCTTATAGACCTTATAGCTAAATATTAAGGCTTTCCTATCTCTGGATCTTTAAATATTCAGAGAGAGATTAATAGAAAGCTCTCTTAGAACTTTCCTTCGGACTTATTAAGATACTCTCTTTTTTATATATACTATATAATTCCTTTTAACTTAAAATCGCTCTAATATATACTTAGTTACCTAAGAAAGCTCCCTAGAGTCTTTAATAGTAGATATTAAAAACAATTTACGTTTTTTATAGTTTTCCCTAGTAAATCTAAAATATTTCTTAAAAACCTCTATTTAAAACTTAGTTTAATTAACTTATTTACTTTTTAAAAGCACTTAAGAGTAGAAACTAAGTTTCTAAGTATTTATAAGAGTTATATCTAAGAGTATATAGTTAAGGCTTAATAGCTACTCCTTTAATAGAGCCTTTTAAAAGTATTTAGTCTCTTAAGTTAATTTCCTTAGTCTATACCTTCTATTTAATAGTTATATTTATCTTTAAACTTAGGAATCGTAAGTATAGCTTAAGGATTTAATCTAAAAAGCTTCTAAGTAGTCTTTATAGTAGAAGAGGTTTTAAAGAGGTATTTATAAAGCCTTTCTACTATATTTTATCTATTAGAAAAGGTAAATATAAAAAGGACTAAAGTATTATCTTTCTATACTATTATATTAGTTAAATTATCCTTAGTTACTTCTATAAAAAGATAACCCTAAGGAATTTAATTTTTCCTCTTATCTTCTACTTTTATATCCTTAAATCGCTTTAAAATACCAGATTTTATAGTACATATACTAGTAGTACCTTAGTTATGTTTTTTATTATATTTTAAGAGCTTAGTAGTTATAAATAAGTTATCTAAGTAAACTAGGAACCCTTTGCCTTTATTTAAAAGCCTTTTTATAAGATAGGCACAGATAATAGATAATAAATTATTACTAAAAATCGTAAGACAAGGGAATATTTTAGAGGCCTTTTAATATATCCGGATTCGATGATTTCTTCTCTTTTCTATAGAAAACCTAGTCTAAAGAGTAGCCCTTCTAAGCTAGGACTTATATCTTGTATCCCTAGGTAGTTAGCTTACTATAACGGTCCGATATTTACTTGGTGTAAATACAAAAGGCTGTAGTTAATCTCTGGTAATTAAAAGGTAGGTGTATTATATAAATAAGAAGATAATTACTAAGTATTAAAATACTATTTAAAGTTAAATACAAAGCTCTTATCTAATAGTAGACGTACTAGCCTTATATAGAACCATCGCTTTTAGAAGATCCCCTCGGGATCCTTAAATCCTAACGATCCCTCGAGATCTAAAGATTTATTACGTGACTATATTATAACCTCTTATTATTAAATCACTATAACTTATAATACTACTATTGTGGTGGGGTAGTGTGGTTCAGGGTCGGAAGATAGTTGGCCCGTTCCGAAGGTCACATAGGTAGGCGCGATAGCGCGTAACAAATATATCATCTCCTCTCTCCTACTATTAGTTCGTAGACCTATACTTTAGAAGTATAGGAGGTAATTAGAAGGGGCAGGTAATCTTAGTTAGAGGAAGGACTACTTTTAAATACGAACTAGGAGTTATTTAGGAGGTAGTATATATTCTAACTTTTAAATACTCTTTATAATATATACTTTTAAATACCTTTAAACTAAACCTTAGATTTTAATATATATTAATATATACTTATTATTTATTTATTATTATAATACTAATATTAATTAGTAGTTACTTTATACTATAGAATAAATAAGTTAAATATTATAAAGTTAACTCTTAAGATATAATACTAATTTAATATTAGTAAGCTCTTATTAAAACTAAGTAAAGTAAGCCTTATAAAGTAACTAGAGAACTCTTATTAAAATTAAATAGAGTAAGTTCTATACTATTAAAGAATAATAGCTACTCTTTAATAGTTATTAAAATATTTCCGGAGCTATTTAGTTAGATATTTCTAAGATATAGAAAATATATCCGGAATACTTATAAAATTACCTCTAATATAATAGCGATTCTAATAGACTAAGTTATAAAATAACTTAAAGTAGAAGTTAGAAGCAGCGGGATCTTAATATAAGATAGAATACTAATACTTAAAGCACTTTTAATAAGTCTTATAAAAGCTGATATTAATAGTCTAGTTGTTACGGGGTACCTAGGAACGCAGGGAGTAAAGAGGTAATATTGTATTATCTGAAACTTAGGGAGAGTTTCAGAGCTTAAGAGGCGTATAGCCTTTAAGGGCTATAGCTTAAAATAGTAGGAGCCCTTAATACTATCCCTTCTCTTATACTAGGCTGCCTTAGCTAGCTATATATATACGAGGGCCTATTACTTATCTATAGTACCTCTATAAAGGAATTATAATTAAAAGGAGTAGGAAAGAAAAGAAAATAAATAATCGTAATTATAAAACCTCTATTCTATTAGTGAATCTATATACACTCTAACTCTATTCTATTATCTATAGTAGAGTAAGGCCCTTTCTATAGAGGTACTATAGAGGTGCTATAAAGTAAGTATAGGAGTTATATAGTTTTATCGATATCTATAGATCGTAAAGAGTTATAGTTACTATTATTATTATTATTACTATTATTATTCTTATCGCTATTAGTATCCCTGATTTTAATACTACTATCGCTAACCTCTTTATAATATTTATAAGTAACTACTCGTGCTATTATATTAGATTCCTTAGCGTTTAACTGTATTTTATAATTAAGCTAAATTCTCTTAACTTTTTTACTCTTACGAACTCCCTTAGGTGTATTATAGTAAGTATCGTGCATCTAGCGCACCTGAGGCACTCCCTAAGGCGCTCTAGCTAACTAGAGGCTACTTATATAACTAGAACTCCTAGAGCTTCCCCTTATAAGGAAGCTTTAGAATACTTTAATAAATTAAGACTTTCACACTATATAAAGCTCCTCCCTATAGTATATAATAGTTAAGAGCTATATTCACTTATTTAAGCTACTATTATAGTAAGGTAGTGTAGTTCTAGGTTAGAAAATAGTTAGCTTATTTTATAAGGTTATATAGATAAGTGTGATAGTATATAATAAATATATTATTTTCTCTCTCTTACTCTTACTACTTATTTAGTTAGTAGTTCTTTATATCCCTACTTACTATATACTTTAATAATACTACCTTATACTTTTATATTAGTAACTTATATAAAGAACTAGAAGTAAGGTAGAGGAATAATTAGAATATAGCTAAGCTAGTAATAAAAATAAGAGTTAGAATTTTATTACTTAGTATTTCTATTACGGAGATAGATAGATATATAAGAAGTAGCTAAAAAAAAAGAAGCTCTAAGAACCTCTATTTAGTAGGTAAGATATTAGGAAATAGCGGAATATAAGTAGAGAAAGCTAAGGAAATATAAAAAGGAAAGTTATTATATAAAGCTCAAAAGATAAGGTTATTATAGTAATAAAGAAAGTTTATATAAAGAAAATAAGTAAGGAATAAATAAATATAAAAAGAAAGTAAGCTTAATATAAAAAAGAGGCCTAAAGTAAAGTAAAAAAGGGATATAAGAAAAAAGGGTTAAGGAAGTTAGAGTAGTTAAAGGAGCTAAGTCTAGAAGTTATAAGAAGTATAATCGCTATACTTCTACTAGTAACTCTAGCACTTTTAACTCTAGTAATATTAAGTATATTATACCTTATAAGTAAGTACTAAAAGTTTAAATTATTTACTAAATTCTCTAATATAACTATATTTCTAAGAGATCTTAAGAACTAAAGAACACTAAGTATAAAGGAAAGCGATATAATAGAATATATTTAAATCCAGGAGAAAAGCTATTGAGAATTAAGGATTATGTATTTCTAAGATAATAGAAGTTAAGTATATTTTAGTTATACTAGCCCCGGGTATACTAAGCACGCTATACTTTAAGAGAGCTAATATTATAGAGTTCTTAAAATAGTATACTAATTAATATAATAATACTTAATTAAAGGATATAAACTAAATTAAAAAGCTTCCCTAATATTATAATCTTATTATTAGTTAGTATATTAAGATACTACTAAAGTAGATAAGTAAGAATTAGGAAGAGCTAGTAGTCTCTTTTTTAAAGAAGTATAAGGATTAGGATACTTTTTAATAAATAAACTTCTAATTATTCCTTAAGGCTTTAAAGTTAAAACTATAAACTATAGAAAGTAATATAAAGTAGTTTATTTAATAATTTACTATAATCTTAGTTACTTTAGTAAAAAGAGACTAGTTAGAAAATTATACTTAAGGAGTATAGTTCTTAAATAAGTTACTAGAGGATATTTATAAGAAGGT